GCTTGAAAGCAAGGAATCAAGCCTAGAAGAAGAAGAAGATCTTGGGCTCCAATTTGTAAAATATCTCTTCTCTCTCTAGAAACTCACCCCTTCTCTTGGATTAAAGAACCCTAGGTCTAGATTTTGGTTTATGGTTGATGTATGTGACAAATTCCATGTTTGATTGATGATTTTACTTAATTGATAGATGTTTTCATGAATGACATGAGTTGGGTTTCCATTTTCATGCATTGAGCTTTTGACCCAGGAGAGAGAAATCCCCTTAAAGCCCATTACTGGCGTCTTTGGGTCACTCCTATCGTATATTGCCCGGGTAATCCTCGAGGGAGTTGATTCAATCGGTCTCCTCACAATATATGAAACCCTAGGTTGAATAAAGCACCTACCCATCCACTGATTCGTCGTTCTGGGTCATTCCCGAGCGAGTCCTTCTCCAAACTGTAGAGTATTTGAGTCGATCGAATTAGGATGATACTCAACATCGATCCAAAGGTCGAAAGTAAGGGTATTTAACCCAAGAGAGCTCCAAACCTTGTAAATAGCTAGGTTAGTGGTTAGTTAGCTTAGTTTTATTAATCACTATCCTAGGTTGGCTAGATAACGAATCCTAAACCTGAAGTAGAGTAAGTATAGATCCCCGTGGTACGATAAATTCTTATTGCTTGCTTGCCCTATGCTACACCCTGTCGCCGGTTACACTTGGCCGACGATTGAGATGTTGTAGATAGATTGAGTCAGGTTCGATTCCCCCGTCTTCCCAAATCAGTTTTTCAAAACCGATTGGAAACCAAATTCGTTGAGTCAAGTGATGAAGCATAGGGAAGAGAGGCAAATTGCATCGACGTTAGTCTAAAGTCCCGATATTTGAAGATATCGACGGTAGTGTTGTTGATTCCTGGGTTTGGCGACGTCGAGTGACAGGAGGAGGAGGATGCCGGTAGGAGGAGGATTAGTAGGATGATAATCTCGTCGCTCATAGGAGGGTGGCAACTGGTTTCGAGGACAGTTTGCCGGCGAGGAGAAAACAAAGATTGAAGTCGGGTTAAGCGGGAAGTGGGGTTTGGGCCCTTTGATGACCGGGTTTTTTGTTTTTTATTAATTGTTTTCATTAATCTATATGGCACTGTTGTTTAGAAATGTCACCAAGTCAATAGCGTCGTTACTTGACATCGTCAATGAATTAGACGGAATTGGCTATTTTGCCTATTTCAAAAAAAGTAACTATTATTTACAAAATCGCTAAAATTATGGTTATAAAGATGTATTTTACCTAAAAATTTACACAAACAATAAAAGCCCATGATTTATTGCTATCACATCATATCAACAAAATGTATTTGAGCCAGTTGTGCAGGAGGTTATAGCTCCTCCCAATTTTTTTTTTATATAAAGTTATAATGTGTGAATCCATATCGTGCAGGGGCGGACCCAGAGACATTTAGGGGTATCTCGGGACACCTCTAAATTTTGAAAGATCGATTATCCAACCTCGGTGGTAATTTACGTGTACACAAAAAAATTATAATTAATAGTCCCGGGCACCCTGAAAATTGGAAGAACGATTATCCTACTATCGTTTGTAGTTTGCGTATGGAAATAAAAGTGGTAGTTTGAGTAATTCAAACACGGGACACTACGATTACTAATAAATATAATTTCCATTAGGCTACAACTTTTTGGTTGTTCTATTCTAAACACTGTGTAATAGCAAAATCCTATTCTCTATCTTTAATTATTTTCAAAACCTAAAAATTACTCTAATTTCAAGCTTATCTTAATTTGTATTGATTTTTATGGTTGTACGACAAGTGTTGAAAGTATCTTTTCAGCTTTGAGTTACATCAAGAACAAATTTAGAAGTCAAATATGTGTTAGTTCGTGAATGATTGTCTAGTAGGATATACCGAGACAAATTTGTTGAGCAGTGAAGACACCAAGTGTATTTTATAATTTTTTTAGAATATGAAATAAATCATTGATTTTTTTTAACTTGTACGAGTTGGGTATTTTCTTATTTAAGAATTATATTATTTTTATTAATTATTAATGATTTAATTTTTATTTTACTTTATTTTTTGAAAAATGACACTACTTTGTAAAATTCCCGGGTCCGCCACTTATATTGTGAGAAAAACATTGGAAGGTGGTCGGATGAGCGCCAGTAGCCCCCATCTTCCAATATTTAGACTCAATCTTGAGAAGCTCTTGTAGTGTACCATTATCACCCCATTCTAACTTTCACTACTTTGAACTTCCATGAAATTAGGGATGACAACTGGTCTGGTCGGGATCAGATATTGCACATCCATTACTCTATCTGAAATTGTTCCGGTTTTACCTAAACTCATATTCATATAATAACCAGGTAGAATATAAAAACAAAACTCATACCCGATCAGATTCCAGATATCCATGGTGATCCATGGATAATAATTTGTCTTTATAGTTTCAACCAATATGTTAACAATTATATATATATATATATATGGACATTACATAGGTGACAAATTACAACTATAAATTAATAAAATGAAGAAAATTTATTAGCCACAATACAATTTCATGAAATTATTATATATGTATGGTAAATATAAAATAATAAAATATGTTGATAAAAATAATAATCATATCTAAACCAAATACATATTCGGGCAGGTTCAAATTGAACAGTGAGAACCATGTCCACCATCACCTGCAATATTCAGAATCGAATTTTACTTATACCCATAAAAATCTTTTGAATTCAAATTGTACACACTCGACTAAGTCGAATTCGAACAAATATCATTTAATATAGGGGTAATACCATTGGAAATACCAACCTTTAGCGAAAGTGTCATTTATATTACATAACTTTCGATATGACAATTGTATACCAACCGTTAAGTTTTCTGTTAGTAGTTAACGGAAAATAGAGTCTATGATGACATGGCAGCTGAGATGGAAAATTTTAGCAAAAAATAAATATAAAAAAAGAAAAATAAATCAAAAATAGAAAAAGGGAAACACCTTCCTCCTCATTCCCTATCTCTCTCGATCTCTCCACACCACCGCAGCCTCCTCTGATCTCCCCACAAATTATCCGCATCCTTTGCCCGCCGCCACCACATCCTCGCAGTGACTCCCACCGCCTCATCGTCCGCCACTCCCCGCCTTCCCTCAATTTCCACTCTCTGTCATGGATCCTGGAATCTCGGCCAATCCGTAGAGCTCCACGACATCTGTTTAACGCATCTTGGCACAGATCTAAACCACCACAAGAGGAAATCTGTGGCGGTGTTCGCGCTTGTCACAATTTCACCGCTGCTCTGTTTTGCGGTGGCGATGAAGAGGAGACAGAGGTGCCAGACAGAGGAAGCTCATTTCCGATTCTCACCAACGATTCTATTTCAATAGGCGGCAGAGTAATCGTTGGAAAGTACCTGGGGGAGAACGGAGTCGCCGACGCCCTCTGATAGTGATTGATACTATTGGGCATTTTTGGATTGAAATTGGGTTTGGGTTTTGGAAGGGGTAACTAGCAATAGGAAGCGTAATATCCTTGATGCATCGCTGGTTCTTCGAGTTGCAGAGATTGGAAGATCAACAATTTGGAAAATCGTTTGCTTTGTGATATTAGCTCTCTCTTTATAACTCTATATCACTATATGGTTTGGATTTCAAGATAGAAAGATGAGGGAATTGGGGTCACTCCCTCGTTGTTGGCAGCAAATGTAGATCCAAGATGAGGTTGCTAATTAGAAAGAAGATGAGGAAGACCATCTCCGGCGGCAATGATACGGTGGAGGAAGAAGACAACGAAAGGGAGCTTGAGGATTTCTATAAAAATATCAATTATTCAATTATTAAGGAATTAATTTAGAAAGATAGAGAAAGAGTATTTAGAAAAAAAAATTAAAAAAAAAGTTAATAATATTAGTTTATTTATTTTTGAAATAAAATTAATAATTTTAAATAGTAATTTCTTACATGGCACATATGCGGGTGACACCTAAGCGCCACATAGTCAAACATAAGTTGACTACCGTCAGGTCAACCGTCAATTCTAACGGTCAATAAAAATTCGCGTAACACAAATGACACAAACCCCTAATACGTTGGAATATTTTTGTGTTTATTGAAAGTACGTAATATAAATGGCACTTTCGCTAAAGGATGGTATTTCTAGTGGTATTAGCCCTTTAATATAGTTATTTTTAGCATGATTTTTCCATTAACACATCCAAACCAACCTAACTGATATGTAGTGGCCTCTGCCTTTCTGCTCGTTATGCAGATTCATGTATATTTATAGGAAAGTGAAAGAAAAAATAAGAATGTTGAAAACAAGAACTGGGCAGCAGAATTAAGTATATATACAGAAAAAATATAAAAAATTTGTGTTGAGAGAGTACATTGGTATCGACGAACACGAGAGACAGAGAGGGGAGGGAGCATCTCATCTCTTTTGGCATTGCGGTTCTGCCACGGCTCTTACTCTCCATAATTTAATTAATATTACAGGATAGCTTAAAACCTTTGTTATAAGAGCGGAACTGGATTAATAGAATAACCAAATCAGTTATAATAGTGATTCAGTTAATTCGATTGGATGGTAAGGAATGTATTAAATAAATTTTTTAACGATTTAATATGAAACCAGTTGAACCACCTCTAGTTTGGCTGGTTCACAAATTCACTATTTCAATCACAAAAATTATTGAGAAAAAGTATTTTAAAGTAAACTAAGATCAACCAACCTTCATCACTTGTTTATTTATGCTTGTTTTTCTACATTTCTAAACCTCCCTATGGCTTCATGAGGTCCACTACGGATTGTCACCTTTATTACTAACTTGAATATAATAAAAAAAATATAATTTTTTTTTGTGAGATAGTTTGAATGTTTTATTATAACTTTTTGGTGATAGATGATATGGATTCGAAATTATTTATGGTTAATGATAAATTTACTTTATAGTTTTTTTTATATTATATATGTCTTTTATGTTAAACGCTCTATCAACGATTAACCAATAATTTTATAACAGATAATCACTGAACCATCAACCACTAATTTTTTTCTGGTTCAATCCAGTTTTGGAAACAGAGCTTAAAATCAATCTAGATTATCATCAATTATCAACTAATAACTTAACAACGGGCCAAATACTACAAATCTACTACTTTGTTTCCCCCGGTCTACAAATGTCTTTGTTGCCGCTGATATTACACTTTACCCTATTTTGAAAATCTACAACTACCACATATTAATAAGTTATAACTGATAAGGGAGTTAATCATGTCCATAAAATAAATTCAACCCTAAAATTTTGTTCATATGATCAATTTATTAAAATCTTTAATGAAGCTCATCGTTCTTTTCCCCTTTATGAGGGAAGTCATCAACCTAATTTTTAAATTATTAATATAATTTTTCTATGAAAATATTCACGCACTAATACCACGTTTTGCATCTCAAGTAACACAACGTTTATATGAACACAAATATTAGATTATATGTGTTGTTTCTTCACTAATTGTTCGCTCATTTATATACTCAAAGAATCAATCAAAATCTATTTCACCCATGATTATTTCTTCACTAATTGTTCGTTCATTTATATAAACATCATAATATCAAAATACAGTATTAATCCATGTATTTATGGGGTCGTTTGGATGTGATAGTTACAATGCATCGTTTTTTTTTTTTGAATTTTATGCATTGTTTACTTGATTTGACACAAACTATCACTCAAAATGAGTGATAGTTAAATCTCAAGTTTTCATTGAGATTGTTGAGATTGTTGTGTTTCCTTCTTCTTCCAAATATGTCCTACCTTTTTATGTGTGTTGCTTTTCTATATTAAAAACAAAGTGCATAAGTGACATTTCACCCAAAAAGTGATATAATTTAGTTAAATACTACAATAACTATCACAGAAACCACAATACACCAATTTTCTTATATACATGTATATTATTATGCATGCATTGATGACAATACATCGATTTAACTATCACCAAGACGAAACGAACCCTTAAAAAAAAACTAAACAAAAAAAAAGCTTTATTATTATGACCCTCCCCTTGTTCCTTATCTCTTCACACACTACAACTCCCAATCCCATCATCAGCCCCCCTGGCCCCTCTCTGTTTTTATTCTTCTCTCTCTTCCAAATTATGTTTCCCTTTTTCTTTTCTAGTTTTTATTATATTCATATCTAATTACCCTTTTACCCTCTCCTTCCTTGATGTTATCAATTGGGAACCACCAGGAGCATCATTTGATTTTTATTTTCTTTTACCCCTGCCCTGCCTATCAATTATCATCTCCTCCTCCAAAACTAAATATAATAATAATTGGACAATAAAAATAAGATAAATAATAATAAACCAATTAGAATCCACCAAAGAAAAAAAAAAAAAACTCCAGCATCAAATAATAAAGGGCTTCATTTCACCTCTCCCATGGCGATTCCCTAATGCTCTGTCTCTCACCTTCCTCCCTCCATTTCTCTCTCTCTCTTTCTCTGGTTCTGGTTGGATCTTTCACTGAAAGAAAGTTGGTCCCGAGATCGGGTTTATGCACAGATTTCCCCCAAAGTGAGGGAAAGCCATAAAGGAAGCAATTAGTGAAGACGAGGAGCGAAAAAGGCAAGCGCAACGATGAAGAGGGATCATCAGCAAGCCACCTGCGGTTTCGGTGGCGGCCCGGATGAATCTGCATCGGCTTCAATGGCGGCGAGCTGTGGTGGTGGGATTGGGAAAGGCAAGCTCTGGGAAGAAGACCAGGATGCGAGCGGGATGGATGAATTGCTTGCTGTTTTGGGTTACAAGGTCAGGTCGTCGGACATGGCCGACGTCGCCCAGAAGCTTGAGCAGCTGGAGATGGCCATGGGGACGGCGCAAGACGACGGGATTTCTCATCTCGCCTGCGACACCATTCACTACAACCCTTCGGATCTCTCCGGCTGGGTCGACAGCATGTTATCGGAGTTCACCAACCCGCCGCCTCCCTCCGCCGCCGACCCCACAGCTGTCCTCCACAGCAATAGCCATTCCGCCGGCGGAAACGGCGGCGGAGGTGGCTCTTCCTCGATTTCTTCCATGGATTTCTCCACCCCCACCACGCAGTCCCACAAGTCCGCGGTCTTCAGAGACGATTCCGAGTACGACCTCAGAGCAATCCCCGGCGTCGCTGCTTACCCTCAAGCAGATGAATCGGACAAGGATAGCTGCAGGAAGAGGATGAAAACTTCAGCTGGGGGTTCTTCAAATTCCGGTGGTTCCTCCCTCTTGGCCACGGCGGCGGCATCCTCGCCTTCTTCCTCGTCCTCGCCACCACCGCCGATTGCTGCAGCTGCTGCTCCCTCCTCCGCTCTAATTGCCGAGCCGACTCGGCCGGTGGTGCTGATAGATTCGCAGGAGGCCGGGGTCAGGCTCGTCCACACCCTCCTCGCCTGCGCCGAGGCGGTCCAGCAGGACAACGTGAAGCTCGCCGACGCGCTCGTCAAGCACACGGGGTTACTGGCGGCGTCCCAGACAGGCGCCATGAGGAAAGTCGCTACCTACTTCGCCGAAGCTCTGGCTCGCCGGATTTACAAGATCTACCCACAGGACTGCCTCGACCCTTCCTACTCCGATACCTTAGAGATGCACTTCTACGAGACCTGCCCTTACCTGAAATTCGCCCATTTCACGGCGAATCAGGCGATCCTCGAGGCCTTCGCCACCGCCAATCGGGTCCACGTCATCGATTTCGGGCTGAAACAGGGGATGCAGTGGCCGGCACTTATGCAGGCCCTAGCATTACGCCCCGGCGGGCCGCCGGCCTTCCGACTGACCGGAATCGGGCCGCCCCAGCCCAACAACACCGACAATTTGCAGCAGGTCGGGTGGAAGCTGGCCCATCTGGCGGAGACGATCGGCGTGGAATTCGAATTCCGAGGGTTCGTGGCCAACAGCCTGGCAGATCTGGAGCCGGAGATGCTGGATTTGCGCCCCGCCGACGTGGAGGCGGTGGCGGTGAACTCGGTGTTCGAGCTCCACCGCCTGCTGGGCCGGAGCGCCGGGATGGACAAGGTGCTGTCGACGATCAAGGCGATGAAGCCGAAGATCGTGACGGTGGTGGAGCAGGAGGCGAACCACAACGGGCCGGTGTTCGTCGACAGGTTTACCGAGGCGCTGCACTACTACTCCAGCCTGTTCGACTCGCTGGAAGGCTCGGCGGCGTCGCCGTCGTCGCCGACGACGGCGAGTCAGGACCTGGTGATGTCGGAGCTGTACCTCGGTAGGCAGATCTGCAACGTGGTGGCGTGCGAAGGCGGGGACCGGGTCGAGCGGCACGAGACGTTGACTCAGTGGAGGGCGCGGATGGAATCGGCCGGGTTCGACCCGGTTCACCTCGGGTCGAACGCGTACAAGCAGGCGAGCATGCTGCTCGCCCTGTTCGCCGGCGGCGACGGGTACAGGGTGGAGGAGAACAACGGGGCGCTGATGCTCGGGTGGCACACGAGGCCGCTCATCGCGACGTCGGCGTGGCAGCTCGCGAGATGAGTCGGGAGGCTGAGTCAACTCAACTCGGACTCGGTCTGGAAGACGATGGAAGAAACCCCCCGAGTCGATGAAACTCAGAAGAAAGTGGCCCACCGAGTTTTGGACGGTAAAAAAAAAGATACGAGAGATTGATTGGAGAGATGAAATTGAGCGAGACGAGATAGGGGAAAAGTGTGTGTGCGCGCGAGCGAGGGTGAAAAAAATGAAGGAAAAATAACCTAAAAAGTGGATTTAAATTGTGAGAGTGTGTAAATTTACCGTCCTGTTTTTTTTACACACTTGTTCACTGAACTTTGTTACTTTTCGTTAAGCTTTGGAATTTGGAATTTCCTTTTTTTTTTCTCTTTTTACGTTTTACCTTCTTTTTTTTTTTGGTTATTTGGTTAGAGCAGTAGACCTCGTTCCTCTTTTTTTTGGGTTTACATTTTCCAGGTTGGGACTTGGGAGAAAAGAAGTTGTATCTATTATGTGCTTCTCTTTTCAATAAAAAAATTATGAACTTTTTTTCACTTGTAGGTTTATGTTCACTTTGTGGGTTAAAGTCCAATTGTTCTTTATCGATAATGAGATTTACATTAGGCATAACTTTCTTTTACCACAGGAATCCAAGTTTTGTGAGAATGGATGAAAAGACAATAATTTGTGCTTTTTATCATGTAAGGTGGAAAAACAGAAGGGGAAGTGGATAGAAATGGTGGATGAGGCCTGAGGGAAGCCAACTTTTGAACATGGAAATGCATTTCTGATAGGGGTTTTGCATATTTTGTTTGTTTGGTTACCCAGCTGCAGCAGAACAACATGTCATCAACTTCTGATTCCGGCAAAAACTTTCATATCTATCTGCAGACACTTCCTTCCAAATTAGCTTATATAATATAGATAGCTCATAATCGTGGATCATGTACCACAACACTAATACGCCCCTTCAAACGAAAGCCATTCACAAGGGCTTGAAGTTTGCACAGGTCTAAAGACAAGAATACCATGTGCTTAACAAATGGGGGTCACCGGGAACCGAACACAAGACCTCTCGGTCACAGAAAGCTCTGATATCATGTCAAGAACCAGTTGCTCCCAATAACTCGAGTTGTTGGGAGATGTTCAATCGTGAATCATATACCACAACACTAACAGAAAGGACGGTGGGCGGAACTAAACTTGGTATGAGGAGTCGTCCCTCACTTTTATTTAACTGCAGTTGGACTAAACATTAGATACGACTGATATTGCTCCACTAATAAGTGAAAGTTTAGATCTCTTGAATAATTTGACTTCACTTGTTAGAAAAGTTCTTTTTACCTCTACTAGTTGAGTTTGTTTCCTCTTGAGAAGTGTGTCAAAGTGAGTTTATTATTAAAATCAACTTAATGGGTCGGTTTGTCTGGCATTAATTACCCAACCAAGTTATTTAGGATGGTAGTAAAAACAGAAAGAAAGTCTCAGGTAAAATAAATAAAAAGTAAATAAACAAACAAATCAATTGACTAACTGAGTGATTAGAAATCAATTGTGATAGATTAGGTGGCGTGGGAAAAAAAGACTATTTTCACCCTCCAAAACACGACCCATCCAAACTTTGTTGTCTGTAATCAACAATGATTTTTTTGGGTAAGAAGAGAAAAGTAATGTTAAATCGCCTCCTTCCTAATCACATCAAATCAATAATCTTCATGATTATTTATTGCAATTAGAAACAAAACGACCTACAATGTACTGATGAACCAAGAAAAAAAGATGACTTAAATTATAACAGGTATTAGTTAAAAATTAAGAATACGTTTAATCCAAACAAACATCGCTAACGTATATACAGTAACTACATACAAATATATATTCTGTATACGACCGGTCACATCGAAGGGTAACAGTTCCCTTATCTGTAGGTAGAAGGAACAGGAAGGAAGGAAGGATCCCACGGTTTGTTTCATTTTCTTTAATATTCCATTTTTTGCTTTGGGAGGAACGAACGATTATGTTAAAAAACAGAACCAACGATTTCAATAAATAAAAAAAAGGAGTAGATTGCTATGGTTTGCAGTTTTGTGAGATTTTTACAATACCATATGCTGTTTAGAATATATATTTTGGGTTTGGTTTTGGTTTTGGTGATGGTTTGGTAGGGATAGTTACAATGCAGACAATGTTTACAATGTATCGTTTTCCTGATTTTTCTGCGCAAACACAACATGCATTGTTTGCTTGATTTAACATAAACTATCACTCAAAATGAGTGATAGTTAAATCTCAAGTTTTCGTTGAGATTGTTGAGATTGTTTGATGGAGATTGTCGTGTTTTCTTCTTCTTCTTCCAAATATGTCCCTACCTTTTTATGTGTGTTGCTTTTTTATATTAAAAACAAAGGGTAAAATGACATTTCACCCAAAAAGTGATATGATTTATTTAAATACTACAATAACTATCGCAGAAATCAAACGATGTACCAATTTTCTTATATACATGTATATTATTATGCATGCATTGATGACAATACATCGTTTAACTATCACCAAAACCAAACGACACCTTTGTTTTTGTTTTATTTTCGTACACAATTCATAATTTTCTACTTTAATTTACCATAAACTATGTTCAAATTAAGTGATTAAACAATTTTAGCTTTCATGATATATTTTATTCAAAACTTAATGATACAATCACATATCAAACGGCATATTTGACATTACATATATAATACTATATTTTCACAATTAGACATAGATTTAACAATCTCGTATTCATTGCACTACATATAACGATAATCACAATAGTAATAATAAGTGTGTTTAATCTTATTATTATTATTAATAATAAAAGTGTGGGGGTCCAGGGCAACTGCATAGCTGTCGTCCAGGCAAGAGGGCACAGCTGGCGGTCAATAATTTGATCAATAATTCAGCTCAGCATGGCAAGAATTAGAAACCACGAAAGGGAAGGAAGTTGGGTTGTTCTTGTTAACATGAAAATGAAATGAAACGAAATGATGTGTCGAATAAATGGGTGGGGGTATGGGTGCCCCAAGACAGCTAATATGAATCATTCTGTTTTTTATAATCAAAATGTATATTTTGCTTCACATGATATGTGAAAATAAGGATTTGGATAGAAAGAGGTAGAGGAGAAATTATAGAGATTATTAACAAAAAGACGAAAGAATGAATTAAGACGCGATGGAATATATAATCAAAGGGTATATTTGAAAAGTGTTGAAATGACAAGATCTTTAATTGTCGAAAGTTTAGATTAGACCAGTCTCAACTCTCCACAGCTATGTAGCTATAAAAAGCTCAAAAATGGGCTAAACATTTTGAGAATGTGAAATTGAAGAACGACATAATTTACGCCTAGAGTTTTGAAACTCTCATTGGATGGAAAGCTCCTGCTCTGGTTGGTTTAAGCTAAATACCGATGGCGCAACACAGGTCATCTCGAGTGTGGCTACTGTAGGAGGGGGGGGGGGGTGCTTCGTAATAATTATGGGGATTGGATTGGTGGTTTTTGCAGCAAACTTGGTACAGGGGAGGACGCTAAATGGCGGGAGTTTGGGGAATTTGTCAAGGCCTTAACATGGTATGAAATAATTAAGAGGTTCTAATTCCTCATTCTTGAATCGGACTCAAGACTATTGCCTTAGACCTGATTGAGAAGCGTACTGATCAAGTGCATCCGTACGCCACGATTGCAGGGTCTATTCACCGAATGATTGCTGAAGGTTGGATGGTCGAGATCAGTTCATAAGTATCGTGAAGGGAACAGGTTGCGACTTTCTTCGTGCTGTAATCTGAATGGTCGATATTTCAATCGACAAAGAATCTAATATCAGGTCAACTCATCCCATTAATATTAATTAATCATTAACTCATGTGATTGAAACATGTTTAAGAGTTCTGAGCATATGCATGCGTGTACATGCACCAATTTGACCGGACCCCAATGCACATGCCAGATCTACTCTTGCCAATGAAGGGTTACTTATACATCCAATTACTTCAAAAATAGTCTTTGTGGGTTGCACATCCTTCTGTGGTTGGGTTCAAGTTCCCTAAAACCTTGAACTTACTCCAACTGCAACATATAAATATAATTAATGAGGTTAGAATCTTTTTTAAACAAGGGTGGAAAAGTGACATTCATGGAAGGTTAGCAATCTGGTTTAGGTCATTGGTCTAAAGAAGCAATTAGATTGAGAACTAATGTTTCGATCGCTTCAGTCCGGATTATGAAAATGTTATTATAATGTGTTTATTCATTTATATGAATATTAACATATAAAACTATATCAAAATAACATTTCGTACTTGAATCTAACATATAGTGAAAATTCAAACACACTCATCATATAATATAAATATTCAAATGTTCAACTTAGAATTCCAAGGATAGGGTTAGGTGAAATGAAAATAGAAAAAGAAGACGCATTTCGCAAAACAAAGGAAAAAACAACATCGTGTGACCTCCAATCATGAGATGGTGTCATGGCGAATATGCATATTAGACCTTAAAATAAATAGACGAGTTCATTTTTCAATCACTTTAACTACAACTTTAAGAAAGTAACAATAATATTTTGAAAACTTCTCAGTTGAGGGTTCATTTGGTTTTTATGATTGTTTGGTTGTAATCGTACGTCACAATGTTTGTATTGTTTACAATTCATCTTTTTTTATTTTTTTATGTACAAACAATACATGTATAGTTTACTTGATGTGACAAAAACAACCATCCATTATGAATAATTGTACAATCTCAGCTAAAAGCTGAGATTATTGGGATTGTCTAGTTGAGATTGTTTTTTTTTTCAACTTTAACCTTTAGAGATTATCTTTTGCATTGAAAAGAAGGGGTACGAGTGACATTTCCATTAAAAAGATGACTTTCCTTTTTACTTATAAACTCAAGCACATATACCAAACATTGTAATCTACAATACATCAAATTCAACAATACATGTATTGATCACAATACACCGATTTAACAATCGAAGAAACCAAACGAGCCCTGAATATGAGTAATAATAACAGTAGATCAGTTTCTTGTAAATGATTAATTCACAAGAAATGATAACTATGTTGTGATCTTTCTTTTATGCTACCCTTTCTTTCATGAAGTATGCAAAATTTCCAGGTGTGGAGGATGATTAGGTCGGTCGGTTCAATCTGCGTGAACCAAGTATTTAGATTGATTAGGGTTGCTGGTTAACTCTGTTGTGTGAGTTTGAACCTAGTGAACTCAAGTCATTCAAGGACTAAGCTGATTGGTGGGTTTATTTGGAAACTAACCTATATAATCTAGTAAACAAGGGGGTTAATGGACTAATTTGGTCCGAAAATTACACTAATAGACTAATTTGGACTGAAATTTTTAAAATCTCCATTCCGTTTAAAATTCATAATTATTTGAATTATTTTGACCTGATCCGTGGGTTGACCGTTATTCCTAATGGCAGTTCATATAATAAACCGATACCAAAATGAATGTCAACTAGTACCAACGGAAACAAAAACCCAACACAATACACAAACCCTAGATCTATGCAGTCAACATTCTATAGAGAGAGACCGATAATGAGAGAGATACAAAGACACAGAGAGAAGCCAGTGATGTGTTGAAGATAGATAATAGAGAGAGAAACTCGTTAAATTTGCAGTCGTTAAGGAGAGGAGAACGATGAAAAGCAATCAAATACAAAGAGAGAACGAGACGGTTGACGGATGGGGAAAAGGAGAGCTGGTGTGGAAGAAAGTTGGCAAATGGTATATGACGGTCGAAGGAAGGTTCACCAGAAAGACAAAGGAGAATGCTGGTTTCTCTCTCCAATTTCCAATCTTCCCTTTTTATCATGACCGACACGCGAAATTCAGCTCGCCAAATACCCATCATAAACATCACCCAGAAATCTCCGTCAAATATGAAAAAAAGAAAGTCGACAAGCTAGCCCGTCTGACCGTCCGAGCAAGGTGTTATATGTAACCCTCATTTCTACATAGGATCAATCAATTAGTATATTAAACCATTTTGAGGAGGGTAAAACTCAGGATTAGAAACAAAGTGAGTGGGCAGATCTATCCATAGTGTCATGATGAGACGACTCACGGGGTGCAATTATGGTAAGTGAAAATCAAAGGTGTTGTAGGCTGCTCTGCTTCCTTGGCCCATGGAACTAGGCAGGCACAGCTGCTTTTAGCCTTTAGGGTTTGGCCGATCTATCTAGGGCTTGTATCGGATTTCGATTGGGTGGTTGCTGCTGCAATATGATTTCTTCTGTACCCCGGCCATCTTTGCTTAGCTTCATTATGAAGTGAGAGAGACAAATCAAAAGCTAGCTAAGTTAAAAAAAAGACAGAGAGAGAGGAGAAAGAAAGAAGAGCAAATGAGAAAGGGAGAGAGAGAGAGAGAGATAGCAACTGGTCGAAGGGAGTTATTCATGGTTGGTGCGTTAAGGTTATCCATATCTTCGCGACGCACGATCCCAAAGCCAATAAATTAAAGCTCCAAACTTGTAGTAAGTTATGAGGGTTCAAAATCTGATGATGGTCAATGGTCAGTGGCGTAACTCAAAAATTAATTTGCGGGGAGAAGAGGAATACGATCAAGACAAGATATAGATTTATAATGAAGTTTAGCTTGTAATTTTGCCACCCTATATAGCTACCAACTTATCCTTCCTTTTGCTGTTGATATATATATTGCACTTTCCAATTGATAATCAGATTTCACTAGTGCATTCTTTCTTTCTCAGTGAATTATTGTACTTTCAACATATAAATAAGAAAAATGGTTTACATTCCATTTCTTATTTGTCTGTGTTCGTTTTGAAAACAGAAAGTGTGATAACTTTCTGATCGTTATGGAATAACAAAAATATTTAAGTTTATAGCATCTCTATCTCACATTTTCAAAAAAATAAATATTCAATTTTAATTGATGAGATTCAATATTCGGAAGAAAAAAAAAACATTACTCGGAATTGTTTCTGTTACTTTTATTTTAGTCCTTTCAATTTTCTAATTGTTACCGATTTCGATCCTTTTTATTAAATAGATTTTCTTTTACCGATGGTTTGGAACTAAAATAGTTAAGAATTTTGAACAAATGAACGTTTCATTTCTAAATGAATTTCTATAACATTTATAGAATTCATTTATACCGGACAATATGTTACATAATTAATATCTAGCTTATTCTCTAATAAAATATAAACTATTCTATCATCTCCTTTTTATAGTTCATATTGCCTGAAGTCAGGTTTATGGTATATGCGGTCTGACCGGCCGATATAGAACATAATTAATATCTATAAAATATAAACTTTGCCTTATATATAAGGGTATATCTTTGACGAGGGGGTCCAGAATGATGCATGATGGACTAAACTCAGTTTGCTAGTACGCAATTAATGTTGGGTAGAATGTTGTTTATGCTGTCCATAGTTGTTTCACGTTTAAATTTGAGGGGTGATATTTGCAATTTACCAATATAATAAATAATAGGGGATCTTCAAGAGATATTCTGAGAATCCTGGAAATAGACTTTTCTGGAGATGTTATCAACAAAAATCATTAATACCAGCCCTAGTTGCTTAAGGTAAAGGGGTTTGATGTTTTTGTTTTAATTAGATATATGTCGCCTCCTGGTGAAATTTGGGGTATCGCATATTTTGAGTATGAAAACGCAATCTATACATCAAATTAGCAGGATTTTTGGGCATGATACTATACCCTAACCCTTAATGAGTGAACCTTAGGTCCTAATTATCTAAATCATAAACTATAAACCCTAAGATGGTGCATTGATTTTTTTTGCATATATTTGGACGAATCATAACCATCAATTATTGTTTCTAATAAAATTGATCTTGGGGCATAAGATTTAGAGAAATAAAGCCTAGATTTTGATCTTTAAGGGTTAGAGTATAGTATCATATCCGAAAGATCAGTTAATTCAAGTTCTAGATAGCTTTTTCTTACTCAATGTGTGCGGTATCCCAGATTTCACCATGGTACAGTAAAATTCCATATATATATATATATATATATATATATATATGCCTGTGAGCTGCACCTATCACCGCCAAATGCTAATTCTCCCAAGAATTTTACAGAGCGCTTCGTGGGGAAATAAAGGGAGAATAATGATTTTCTTGAACAATTTTACAGAGTTTTTAATAAAAATGATAGGGTTATTTAATGATTGAATCGTCTTAAATTTATAATTTTGCATAGTTGATTTGCTCTATCTTCACGAAGAAGTTACTAAACAAGTTTCAAGTCTTTGAAGAGATAAATCTAAACCCAGATAGATCAAGCAATTTATGGATGTGTAGGGTGGATTTAATCAAATTTACCGACTTGCATTAAGTTGGTATAATTGTGATCCGCTATTCACTCACATTTTTCTTTGGATCGAGTTGGGTGGGTGACGGATGGATTGTGGATTAAGGTGCAATAACAATTCTCCAACTAGCTATTAAGAAAGTTGACTAACATTTATAATAAGTTCCTTACAGATTAGTAAGATTGTATCAATTTAGACACGATCACTTTGTCTCCCTTATACGGATCCATGTAGTATTTGCATCAAAATTTTCATTACTTAATTAATCAACTAATTGTGTACATAAAATTAACTCATTTTGTGATTTTGATACTATCAATAGTTTATAGTTTGCATCCCAATATCTAATGAACATTACACAGCTTAGTAACCAATAATAGAATTCGAAAAATATTCTTTATTCTCCACCTTTAGAAGTTAATGCGTAGCGTGGTTATGAAATATGGCGATTATTCGATAGTAGTAAGAAGAAACAACTTTTTGTCGTGCGAAAATATGGTGCGGGTAGTTTGGATGACCCCACAATCCATCCACCACCCACCCACCCAATTAAGTGCAGGCAGGAGATTCGTCAATCTGGAATCCACCCACATCAATCACCCACCCATCCATTACGCACTGACTTATTTGCGCGTGGATCCATATCAAACCGCAAAGTAAGCATACATGTGCCCACCTCTAAAGCAAGCCTCTATCAGGGGCGGAGGGAGAAGGTTAGAGGGTGGGTGCCGAGAGCCACCTTGGCTCGGGAGGAAATATGGTAAATTAGTTATAATAGTTAATCGGGTATGAAAAATAACACGTATTTAAATGAGAATGGTTGACCTTTCAAATATTTGATGTATGATTTATAAGTTGTGTAAAAATGACAATTGTGCATATGATCCGCCCAAATTTAAAGATGTATTTGTTCAATATCTCGAACAAATTTCCACCAATCATAGCTAATTTACAAAAATAATTTTATTTCAATCAGGGGGAGGGAGAGTGTAACGGGCGGATGCTAAGGACAAAAATGAGTAAAATAGTATAACAGTTAATTGATAATGAAATTGAAGGCACATCTAATTGAGAATGGTTGACCGAGAGATCAAGTGTTCGAATCTTGGCGGCCCCATTTGTTAAGCACATGATATTCGGATTTGCGAAATATCTAAGCACGTATAAGTTAGTTTTCATTAGCGGGAGAATGTTAGTAAATACTAAATAGTATAAGTCCATTATTAAATCTTTCACAACAACTCGAGTTATTGATACTAAACGGTCTTGACGAATAACACCATTCAAAAGCAAATGTCTAACTAAATCATTAATAATTGGTTGATACATATAGAATGATATTTTTTTATAGCTTCAACATATATTTAATTTACCAAATTTTTGTAAATAAAAAATTATATCATAAATTATTTAAAATGTTAACAAAATTATTTTATCGTATGTATTTTTTTCCTAAATGAACCCACTCTCGACAAAATCCTGACTACCTACGCCCTGCCCTCTATAATCCAATATGGTCATGTTTCTTCATACAATTGATACAACTTTTTATTTGCTCTACCTTTAGAACCATAACATGTAATAATAAAGGTTAAACGTAAGGAGTGGTATCTTTCTTCTTCTTCTTCAACTTAAATTTTTGTGGCCGACTCGAGCGCACTCCATTTGTACAGAATTTTTAGTCTGTCTTTTCCTATTTACCAACAGCGATGGGAGGAAGGAAATGTGGACGATCTCGATCACCATGTCGAAAAGGAAGCCATACTTTTCCTCTTCATCTTCTTCGTCTAATCGTCTTCAATTCAATGACACGGCGAAAAGGAAAGTGGGGTACGGCGACAAGTTTTAAAGACCTGAAAATTACGGTTATTGTTCCATTTTGTGTTTTAATAATTTTTTTTTGCAAAGTCAGTTGCAGATTGCCGGCCAGCCAATTAGAGGCATCTCATGGCAATTATTATAAGACTTTTGGGTTTTTGTCTGTATAAATTAATTAATTATTCCCTTCCTTATAATTATATTATGTGAATCAGCCGGCGAAAGAAAAGAAAACGGCGGAGTGGAAGGATAAAAGATTTGACTTGGCCGGCAAATTGGTGATGGGGTTGTATTTTTAGTGCAAAACAGAGTTTTCTTCTCCTCTCAATTGTCATAAATAGTGTTTACACTTTACCCATCCGGTATAACATCAATATGGTCACCCAATTCATCTGGCCATCCAATCTTATTCCAATAATTCGAGTTATTGGGAGAGGTTTAATAATGGATCATATACCGTTTATTAATACACCCTCTTAAACTCAAGTCATGTGCTTAACAGAAACAGATGAGGGTCATCGGGATTCTAACAGGAGACCTTTCGGTCACAGAAGGCTCTGATACCGTTTCAGGAATCAGTTGATCCCAATAATTCGAGTTGTTGAGAGAGGTTCAATCAGGGATCATATACCATTTACTAACAAATTCATCTCTATTATATGCGAACGACTGACATATATTCCATATTCAGAGTGATATGCTCGTTAGATGTACTTTGTTGTACTTTGGTGAATCAGAATTGCCGATTTTTATTTAATTTATCTTCAGGTTTGAGTTTAGAAAATCGGGTCTAGAGTTTATCAATTAGACGTCAGTGTATAATATCATACACCAAACTCGATTAAATTAATATTTACTTGAGTAAAATTAAATGTACGACATACCCTAAGTAAAAAAATATGATATATGGACATTGAATTAAACAAAGTTTGAGACATGGTGCTATACCTTAACCTTTAAAGATTAAAATCTAGATCTCGATTTTATAAATCTCATACACTAAGATTAATTTAATTAAAAACAGTAATAGACAATCATGATTCGTCAAAATATACCCAACAAATTATATGAAACATTTTAGTGTTTATGGTCTATGATTTAGATGATTAAGACCTAGGATTCACTCCTCAAGCGTTAGGGTATAGTATCATGCTGGTATTTATAATTATATAGTATAATACAATAATAGGGGACTAGATAGGATGCTAACACCCATCAGTGTTATATGCTAAAATAATTCATTAAGAGTATTATAGTAACTACCCAAACATAACAACTCACCCCATCCGTTCTATGGATTTGGGTTTCAAATGAAAATGACATTTTGTACCTGAACGTAATATATTTTAATATTTAGTATCTAAATTAATTTCCTTTTGCATATAAGTCCTAAAATTATTTATGAAAAAATTAATTTTAATATTTATGTCTTACAGAAAAGGTGTGATTACTTAGATGGGGAATGAGAGAAGTATTAGATGAGCTTTATTTTATTAGAAAAGGTGTAAAGTATCATTATTTTATAATAATAATAATAATGTTGCATGGGAATAATGTAGTGATTCTTAATTATTCATTAATTAGGGATCACTTAGTACTTTTCCCTTAATTAAGAATCACTACTAGGGATGGCAATTTTGCTCATACCCATGGGTTTCTTACTATCCAACCCAATTGGGTTGGATATGAAATCCAAATAGATGGATATGAGTAGAGTTTGATGAGTTTGTACCCATACCCATTTATTTTGGGTTGAGTTGGTTTTATATCAAATGGATTTGGGTTTGTACCCATGCCCAAATACAAATTACAGTTTGGTACCCAAACTTAATAGACATGCATATTTAGTACCTAAATTTATTTTTTTTGCATATAAGTCCTCAAAATATCGATGGAAAATTACGTTTTGGTACCTAAATTTTTTTGGTCTTACATTTTGGTACCTAAATTTTTCAAGTTTTGCAAATAAGTCCAATTTTTGCATGTGTAGTTAAAACACCCTCAAGTAAATGGATATCCATATCCAACCCATACTCATTTAGATTATGGAAGCAATATTCATACCTTACCCAAACCCATCTATAAACCCCCAATCCCATTTGCACTTCACCCATACCCAACCCATTATCAATGGGTCTACTTGGGTTTGGGTATAATTACCCATGGGTGGGTAATTTGCCATCCCTAATCACTACAAATAAAAACTCCGATGGTAAAGCAACACACGAGTTGTAAAAAAGTCAATAACGGACATTAATGTCAATTTGTGGAAGATACTGTAAAAAAGTCAATAACGGACATTTATCTCCGAATTCTAAATAATTTAAAAATTCTAGCTCTCTAAATTATCAAAAAAGGTTTGAAAATTTCTTGTTTGATACTATGACTGATGACATTCAATGATAAATAGATATTCTAACTTTCTATAATTGACATGTTTACATTCTAAAAAAAACAAAAATTGACATGCTTATATTTCCTAAATTTTAACGGCATAACTATTGTTCAATCTTAGGTCACATAATTTGTGTAGGAGGGGTCGACGCTCCCGTTCATTTAAGTTAATTTTGTTAGTTATGATATAACAACATTATCTATGATTATTGATTTGAATTATAAATAATATAATGACATTCTTTTCACGCTCTCGACATAAAATTCTCTATAAACAAACGCTTTCAGACTCTCGCTCCCGCTCCACAAACTGATTACCTAAGTTCAATCTATAAATTTTACAAACCTGCTCTACATTTCATTCCCCAAGAAACCGTTAAGATAATTTTCCTCTCTATAAATATGAAAACTCCTACCAAACGAATTTTAGTGGAGGAGACTGGGAAACTGAATCTCAATGCTAGAATCCTGTCTTTGAAAATTTTCACTTATCATCTCCCGAATTCCTTGTTATGCTCCACCAAGAAAAAAAATGTTTCCTTTTTATTTTATTAATTTATTTTTCATTCATATTCATCCATTAATTTGTTTATTCATTTTGCTTTCCAGAAGTCTAAGAATGGTCTCCAATTAATCTTTTCGATTGGGCCATGGCCACGGGAGCCCTGTTTGATTGAAGTCTAGGTACCTTACTGGAAGAGAGGCAAGAGAGAGCCCTGTTTGAGCAGCTATGAAACTTTTGGCATCTTCAAAAATATCGTCACAAAATATATAACTCTTTTCAGCGTTGAATTTTAAGCTTAAGATATGAAAAATATTGTTAAAATTCTCCTACTTCCTGCCACTGCACTAACAAATCCATTTGAGCACACTAGAAGGCCATTTGTGAAACACAGATGATCAATATCCAAATGTTTACAATGAGGACAGAAAGTAATATACTCCTCTACAACGATCTTATACAAAAAGCATGAAAAACTTCCCACTGGAATGGTAAAGCGGTAGGGAGACAATGGATCTCCCTACCTTAACCTCTTACCTGCTGCAAAGAACCCATATTGGTAGAAAAACTAAAGGTTTGGGTTGTAACGAAAATTTGAATAAACTTATTAAACAATTTTGATTTGTCCATGATTCACGTTGTTGTAACTTATTAAACACAATTAGCTCCTTAGATAGCTTTGTATCAGTTTATATAATTGTACAATTGACAAATCATTGAAGATCTAAAACAGTATCAAGACGTCCCTGACTGGAAATACCATCCATCAGCACCAAAGTCAGCATTCGTTTATTCCACTTGGATGGACAAAGCTCAACCACTAAGACGACCAACAGCAACAGGCAGCACTTTGAAGAAAACATGTAGGGCCCGTTTGGATGAATGAATGAACCCCATCAATCATACGCCTCCACACGTTCCCATCAGCTCTTTAATGATCAAAACCTAACTTTGAGTTGATTTATTTATTTATTTATTAAACAAACAAACTTAACCTAACTTAATTAACTGTTTATTTTACAGTTGATTTATCGAACTTTCCAGATTTGCGTTGCCTTTTGGACTATTGGTCGCTTTCCCCCCACACGGGTGGTTTAGTAGTGCTAAGTTTTTCTCCATTTCTTTACAATGTTCTCTAATTCGTCGGGAGGATTAGGGATGAATATTGAACTCGAGTTGATGGGTATCAAATTCGATCCAATTCAGTCAAAGTGGGTAAAATTTAGTGTTAAAGGATTCTGATTTTGGTTCGGGTGCGGGTTTATTTGCTTTTGAAACTGCTGGGGTGGGTTTGGTTTCGACAAATTGAACTTGAGTACTTGATGTGTATCCAAGCCGATCCAACTCGGTCAAAGCGGATAAAACTCAGTGCCGAAGGATTTTTGGTTCGGTTGAGGGTTTATTCGCTTTTGAAATTGGTGGATTGACTTTGGATTTTGTCAAAATCCAACCGGCTTTCCATCCAATCCACACCCAAAAAGCAAAATGGTGTCGTTTTGTATCCAATATGGAGAATTTACGAATATTATTAGTCTATATGTCAGTGTAAACTGATTAATTGAATAATATAAATTATCTTAGATATTGTTAGTCTTTATAGAAATATATGTAGAAAAAAATTCTATAATATTATAATATGAGTGTTCGAAAAAATAATATATAATTATATTTGTGAACCCATAAATATACATACACTCGTAGATACCTATTGGATTGGGTTAGGTTTGCTCTTCTAAAACTCGCTGAAAGTTCTTTTAATGGATACATCCATTAAGTTGAATTTAGATTTGAAGAAACTCGATCCAACCCATCCATGATTATGCAGTAGTCTGAAACCCATTTTCTCATATAATGCTCCACCACTATTGAAAAATTCGTTCAGTGCCAATATTTGCATCCCTCGCACTGTAATCCTACTTTTTGCTCAGCCTGCATAATTTGTACAAGCTAGCTAGTTGGATCTTTTAGTGATGAAATTTTCATCAAATTAAAGATGCTTATTAGGATCTAGCTAGGACTCCATACATAGTGGACTAATCTTTATAACCAAATACTATATATTCATTAAAAGCTAACTTTTTTGTTTGAAAATTAAAAACTTCTAGGTGTCTAAAAAACATCGATAAAAAATTTTTTGATGTACAAATATATTTAGGGGGTGATATGCGTTAAGTGGTTACACCGTCACTAATGCAAAGTAGCATATGCGTCTTAAGAGGGTGATATATGGTTAGTGGTTACACTTTTAAACTATTCAGTAACAATTAATCGATCATAAGTTAGCAGTGTGATTATCGCTTTACCAAAATATTCGCTTAACTGAATAGTCTATTAACACTTAACCAACAAATAGCCTATTATAAATATTTATGTTTCTCTACACCAAAGTGGTCACAACTCACATCCCCCTCCCAAACAAACTCTTGTTACAAACAAATAATCTCCTTCCCTTACCCTCTTATTATTTCTTAAATTTCCTCCTAGTGTGAGCACTAAAATTGAAAATTGGAAAGAGTACTGCCGATTTTGCGATTAAGAAGTAGACATCAAAATAGGAAAGATCGCACTCATCACACCTTCCACTCTTCACTTTCTTTTCTCAGTCCCAATAGGAACAACATGTCAAGCCCAAATCAATGATAAAAAAGAAGACATAAATATCTAGGAAAAATCTACAAAAGTTCACAATTGAAAAAAAGAGGGAAGCCTTCTATTGGTTCAGTTGATCGGTCGGTTATTTTGGTATAATTTTTTTCGGATCACTTGCTAAAAGTTAGTCGGTCAACCGACATATTAACTGATAGTTAACTATACGGTTATGGTTAATCGATATTTGACTATATACATACACAGTACAGTTCACTGTCCTGGTTTCTCCATGAAGTGCCGGGATAACACCAATTAGATGTTGGTTGATAGCCCCACATATTGGAGAAGTCACTGGAATTCATGATTCATACTTGCAAAAACACCGATGAAGAGAAAGGGTTGAAAAGAAAAACAAAAGAATGAAAAGTGAACTTATGCCTTTCCTTATAACCTAGAAAGTTCTGTGTCAACAGTGTCAAAAATTGAAATAAATTTCTAATCGAGTTTTTATTATTATTTTCATTTTGCCTATTCGATTTTGTCCAGCAGGCAGCAACCATGAAACATGAAGTAGAAGCATCTGCAGTAGCCTCTCACTTTCTTAAATATTTACATTTTGAGAAAAGAACACATCTAGTTTCAAATCCTAACTCCTCTATTACTTTTACATATATGAGTAGTAATAGTAATGAGAGTGTTTTCTTATTATAATCTCTTTGTTTAGTTTTATAACTTCTTCACAAACTACAAGGTTCGCATCATCGTCTGCAGTCTTACTGGATAGGCTAATTAAGGCTGCTTCAAACAGACTTTGTTTTTTTTTGTTTGGGTAGGAAGACGGACGACAATGTGTCCTAATTCATTAAACTAATAGAACGATCCATGGAGATGACCATGGATACAAAGGTTTGGTTTGTACACATTGAAGGGATGTGTACCAAAAGGGGCCAAATGACCCTTGCTTACCAAGAAATCGACGGCAAAATTTCACTCTCTATACACAAGGGAGACTTTAACTTCCCAATCAAGATCCAAAAGTTTTCCAATACGTGCAGCGATTAGCCCATGTCGCTGATCCTTGTCCATGTGGTTTTCCATTATGCTAATTGTCGTTGATGAATCGAGGTTCAACTCCACCTTGCGAAATCCCTTGTCCCACGCCCTTTGCATCCCAACTTTTGATCCTTTGAGCTTAGCCATGGTGATAGTACAACGCCCCAAGTTACAGGTGAATGCATGAAGATATCTTCCGAGGTGGTCTCAAAGAAGTCCCATGCCGTTGCATTCCCTGAATTCTGCAGAACTGATCTGTCAGTTTGGATTTGAAATCTCTCTAGGTGGTTTCCAAGCGATGGGTGTTGGAGTGTACTAGTTTCTTGGAAGAATAATGCACCTTTCCTCATTAATCCTTGCTTGTTGGTACACCCGAATCTAGGAAATGATTTTGCTAATGAGCCCTGCCTCTGAGTACTTTTTCCCATCCAGATCATCCAGCAAGTGATGCCAAAATCGGTTCCTCTATGTGCATCTTTGAGGTTTTTCTTCATCCATTGTTTGAAGCTTCTCGTGTCATGAGGAGACTGTTCGATCTTGAAAAAATTCCTGAACCCCTCTGTTTTCCTGCATTGTCGCAGGATGTGCTCGATCATTTCCGACCTTCCATTACATGCCTTGCAGCTGCGATCAGTGGTCAGCTTTTTGATCGTTCTTCCATGGAGCACTGGTACCCCAAGGTACCTTCCAAGGTCATCAATTTCATGAATCCCCAACCTGCTGCAAATCTCCCTTCTGTTCGAGCTCCATTCCAGAACACAGTGTGAACAAGTACGGTGACAATGGGCTTTCTTGGCGAAGTCCCCTTCCTGGAGAAAAGCTCTCAGATTCGCCCCCATTCCAGAACACCTGCAATTGAGAGACACACCGCATAACAATTGAAACAAAGTGGCTAGGAAATCCAGCAAGGGACAAGGTTTCCTCAAGGAATTTCCACTCAATTCGATCATAGGCTTTTGCCAGATCGATCTTCATGAGCATCATGCCTTTCTTCTCTATCTTCCTAGCCATCGAGTGGACTGTTTCCTACAAGATAAGAATATTGTCAGTAATATGGCATTTTGGGACAAAGCTCATTTGGTTTTGTTCCACCAGTATTGGCGTTAGGCATCTGATCCTATTGGCCAAACATTTGGCCACTATTTTGTTGCTAACATTGCATAGGCTAATTGGCCTAAATTCACTCATGGAGACGGAACATCATTCTTTTGGATTAAGACCAGCAAAGTCTCATTGATAAATCTGATCTGGTTGTGGTTGATGAAGCATTCCTAAATGAATATGCAAAAATCATCCCCAACATTCTCGAACAGATTTTCTACTTTATAGTTCCCAGAACTCCAACCCACGACTTATATACTTTCGATAAAACCTTACGTATAAGCTGGAGGTGTTTATTGGTAGTAGAGCTGAAGATCTGAATTTGCAGTACATGCATGTATAATATAGCAAGGCGGACTCAGGTGGTGTGTAAGGGTGTTTCAAGACACTGCTAAAATTTGGAAAAAATTTAATGAGCCATTCGATAGTAGTTTGAGTATGAGAGACATTTTTTAGTAAATTGATTAGACAATGATTTTTTGGAATTCGAGACAATTAAGTCTAGCGGTATTGCCACAAAGCCAGACTAATCTATATTAGTCGAACTTATGCTAGAGGCCCTTAATATTTGGAAGCTGCTTATTGGATGCCATTGTAAGTTTTGCTTGGTATCAAGATTCACTGATTTTGGAATCAGGGATTTTGATTGTTGAGAGAATGAAGGATGCTCGAAGAGAAAGAAGGAAGACGAAGGGCATGTTTGGAGGATGCGATTCATACAATTGATGTATTCTACCAATTAATGTATTGTAAATATATGCATTCTATCAATTGTTGTATTTGGTAAATCCCTTGTTTGGTGTTGTATATTGTACTTTTCACATAACCTAAAAATAGTACACTTTTGAGATTGATGGGCATATTTGCCCTTCAACAACTCCTCCTTCCTTTATATCCATTCCAGGTTGGTGGGGAAGGCTATTAGGTTAGGTAAAGCAGCAGCGAGAGGAAAATAGAAGTGGGTTCCAGCAAAGGATACGCGACAATTCCGGCGAATCCCTGACAACGACCAAGAAGAAATCTCTATAATTTGCAAGTGCGACTCTCCTGCAACCGTTAGGACGTCACATACAACGGGTAATCCAAATAGAAGGTTCTTGGCTGCTTGAAATGGAGTCCAAAACAAGTGATGTCCTTCAATTCCCGGCTAAAACACAAGGCCCTTCTTCTTTCGATCTCGGACGAATTCCAATGGCGGGATACAACTACGAAGTCGGCTCCGTCGTGATGGTGAGGAGGCAGCGATTCCTGTGGGATGCAAGGATTAACGTGGATGGCGAGGTAGATGAGTTCAAGGTTTGATCTTCTGGAATTCCGACGCAGGTCGTCGAGGGAGGAACAAGATAGATTTTCCCCTTTTTCTAGCTTCTATGTGTCGATGGAAGGAGAGAGGGTTAGTGGAAGATGAGGTTAATCTTGGTATAAAGAAAAGAAAATAGGGCTAGAAATAGAATAGAAAGTTAGGCCACAATCATTTGTTTACAATCTCTCATTAAAGGAGAGATTGTAAATCTTCCATTATGAGGGATTGTGAGTGGGCCCTAAAAAAGTAATGCATGTATTTCATCCCAAATTAAACCAAAAAAACAACTTAATCTACTCAAATGCATGTATTGGCTAAATCATTCATCTCAAATCCTAACCTCCAAACAAGCCCGAAAGAATGTTACTCGTCTTTCCTTTTAGACAGAAGTGGGCTTAAAGCCCATACGAAAATTGATTTAGTTGTAAGTGAAAATCTGGGCCGGGCTTGCTTTTGTAAATAAGATGGAAGAGTCACCAGAGCCTGAACCAAGCTTCTTCTTCTCCCTTAAAATATTCTAACCCCATCCGTCTGTAGTCTGTACAAGTGGGCCAGCTAAATCTGGGCCGGGCTTGCCGGTTGCAACCCCTGGGCCGCGGCAAAGAGAGCCAGGGAAATCATATACAAAGTAGGTTGTCCCACTGGGGCCTAGGGGTGGCTATTTGGTCCGGTCTTTTTGGTTTTACCATGGTTCAAAAAGGCACGATTAATCTTACGCTTAGGCACGCTTAGGCGCAAAGCAATGACAAAACGCCTCGCCTAGGGATTTCGCGCCTAATTAGATACTGGAACACGTTAATGGAGTACGGCGACATATAAGTCTCTCCTAAACATTACTAGATGGAGCTAAGAAGCCAATATTAAATACCAAAATTAACATAAACTATGAAATCAAGTTTCTATTGCAATATTTTCAATAGCTCAAGAACTTTGTGAACTATTGAGCTATGATTCTATAAACTCGTAAGCTATATTCTTGTCATTAAGTGTTGAGTAAGTTATTAATCATTTTAACTGAAGTGAAGAAGTGTTGTAGATTATTATTTCATTCATCATGCCCTGCGAATAGCTATTTTCTTCCAACGCCTAGGCACGCTTAGTCAACGCCTAGGCGAGCTAGGCACAAGGCAAAGGCTCAACGCCCACCTTACGCCTAGCGCCTTTTTGAACCTTGGGTTTTACTTGAAATCGGATCGAATAAACCGGATTGGGATCGGATAGCAAACAATTCAATATCATTTTCGGCCTTAGATTTGAGGTAAAAAATCGTTATGGACGAGACAAAAAACCGGATAAAGACCAGATAAGAGAGCCCGACACCCAAAACTAAACCAACTCCTCATCCTTTCAGGCCTCAGGCCGCTCAAATCCTCACAAGCTCAATCTAAAATCAAAACCGGACTGGGTCAAGACCGAACCGGGATCAAGACCAGACTGTATCCAATTCAATTTTTGGTCCTTATATTCCCGAAAAGACCGAATTAAAACCGAATCAATTAGGTACAATTTAACCGGACCGGACCGTATAGCCACCCCTGCTACCAGCCACTTCCGAAGAGGAGCTGGATTGCATGTTACGAAAATTTTAAGTAAATGAAAGGTCTTTGTAGTAGCAAGACTTGGCCGTAGAGGATGTTGCATCATTGAAACTAGTAGGGACTACTGTATCACCCCATTGTAAATTCATATCAAATTTAGGAAATACAGTAGTCGGTAAATTGTTAGCCCCTCTCTCACGGCCAATTATCATAGTTCAAGTCAGCCTCCCTTAACAGATTCCTGACTCCACCACTGCTGCATGGATTCTATATTTGACCTTGAGGAGGGGAAATATCAGTCTTGCATAGAGACAGTGGTGAAGAACCAATTTTTTTTTGTAGGAAGGCGTACAATTTGGTCTCACGTAAGCACCTGTCAAGAACGAATCGAGATAATCGACAATATAAGAAAGTAAGAAATATACAAATTGATATAGTACTCTCTGTGCTGTCGGACACTAATTCAATCTAAGTAAAGGATAACAGAAAGTAACAAGTACATAACATATATCTGCTATATGTGTAATTCATATATAATTTGATGAGGTTGGCGGGTTTGGTAGGCCATCATTTTCAGGTGATTCGATCGAGGAGCCTAGCAGTTGGTTTATTTGGTGGATGACTTGTTGCTGGAAAACGTTTATTATTATTATTATTATTATTATTATTATTATTATTATTATTATTATTATTATTATTATTATTATTATTATTATTATTGATCGTAATTTTCCTGTTTTAAAACTTGAAAGTAGAGAAAGACTTGTGAAACCAAGCCTTCCAGCCGGAGGAATAACCCTTTCGCCGGCGTGCTGCAGCCGCCACCATCTCCGGCCTCCCTTCCGTCATCTGGGGTCGCCGCTGGTTCTTGCAAAGCACGAAGTTCCTCCCCCCGCTCCTTCCTATTGCTTCCCCGAGCTCCAGCGCTGCCATTTAATCATGTAATAATAAATGATAAATATACACGGGGGAGTTATATATAGAAAGAAAAAAAAAATGGTAAGTCAACTCTGTCATTTTGTCTTCTTGATTATGTAAACTAATTTCATATGAGTAAATGGCTCAATCTTATGAATCATTACCCACCATTGCTAAAACATAAAGGTTCATAGAAGTGTCAAAAGGGGAAATATCAAGTTATTCAATTTTGCTACTAGTTATAGGTCATGCATTCGAATATTGTCCTCTTTTTATTATTTATTTAAACATATTACCAAATTGTTCTCTTCTATTTATACTATCCTAAATTGTCTCGATAATAAATAAAAATAATTATATATTCTATAGCCTATATATAGTGTATTTGTTTTCTGGATGATAAAAATATTTATATATTCTATTAAAATATTTATATATTCTGTAATATATATATATATATATATATATATATATATGGTGTACATTTTTACAAGGTCGAGATAGGTTTGTTTTATATAGCAGGGTGTGCAACCGGATCATATCACCAAACTTAACGAGAATTGCGTTCCAATACTAAACTACATTTTAGGATCAAGATCAGGCCAATATCGTGTTCGGTCGCTCCAAGCGTTTGGTTTGGTTCGATGCAATTTGACACAAACCAAACCATTTCACATTCCTAGCGTTGGTTTGGTTCGATGTAGCAAGATACGGATACCTGAGTATAGTACCATTTCTCAAACTACTCCGAATACTATATGAATGAAGTGGTTTCTTGGAGGCTAACAAATAAATAAATAAATATGCGTTTTAATTACCTTTGGAGTCAGAGCCTTGATCACCAGCCGAATAGAGAACGAAGTCAGTAACGACGTCGGAGCCAAATCCCGGCAGCCTGCCTTCTTTAGCGTAGGCCCTGAGAGTGGACTCGATGACGGCGGCGACGGCGTCGTCCTCCTTCACCACCAACCTTATCGGCCCCGTGCTCCCCAGCACGTTCACTATCACCAGAAACTTCTTGTTCTTGCTGCTTTTCTTCTTCTCCTTCTTCTCATTTCCGCCGCCAAGTACTCCACCCTTCACCGTCATTATATATTTAGTAATATCGCCGCCGCCGCCGACTGTGTTAGGAATCGGTTCACGGCTTGTTTGCTGCAGCAGGCGATCGGGGAGGGATTGAGGTGTAGAAAAGAAGGGATGGTGAGGAGAAAGTGCAGAGGTGGAGTGGTTTCAACCATTAATCAGAGGAGAATTTGCTAGCTGTTATTGGGTATCGATGCTCAGTCAGAGGAGAAATTTAATGGAATTGGAGTGGCCGGAGGGGAGAGGACCAAAGTACGGCTGTCTATCTATATATATACAGACACCAACGTTTGGTAGTGAAGGGTTCGTGTAACAGCGGGGAAAGGTACCTACAGAAAAGAAAAGAAAAGAAAAAGAAAAGAATGGTGATGGTTGGATTGCTCATGTGAACTTGTAATTTTTCGGTCAACCTCAATTAGGATTTGGTCGACCTAATATAATATGTTGTTTCGGTGTAAAAATAGTTTTATGGCGCCTACTTTGGAGATTCATTTCTTATAATTGGCTCTCGATGGAAATTGGAGATTAATGACTTGTTCTGAAGCTGGAGTGTTCCCTCTACACATTGAAGTGCTTGGGAGCTCGATAGGAAGTACAGAAGACCATTTTTTTGAAACTGATCAAAAAGGCTATGCCAAAACTCGGAAAACTGCCTGAAAATGGCCAAGTCTGGGAAAGTGTTTGTGAAAGCCTACTTTGGACCTCAATTCGAGAAGCATGGACGAGATTCGAGTCCAGGGGCCTCTATCACATGAAAGTAGATATGTTTGTCTATGGATGAAATATTGGATATCTGGAAGGCTTCAAACAAAAGGCTCGAAGTTGCTACGAAGTAAGCTGCCTTCTAATAACACAAGGCTGAAACGATAGATTAGATTGACCTAATCATATATGAGGTCGACATAAAGTACAAGTTACGACTACATGCATGTCACCATAGCAAAGTCCTAAAATATACTATATCGGTCTACTTGCTATTTATTTTATCGGTCATTAATATTCGGTTTGAATTTACACCGCTTAAGTTCACTTACATATATCTAATTTTATTCTACGAAGAAAGATACCTCAACATCATATTCTACTACTATTTAGGTTGCATCCCATCAGTCCCACAATATAGTTTCGAACTTGTGCTATCATGCTATCGCCCACCACCTGGACACCCTCTATTTTTCTACTAATTCTCTGTATTATATATGTCAGGTGAGACTCTATTTTTTTTGTTTTACTTTCTTAAAAGGCGAATAATATTATAAGTAGAAAGAGCTATATACAGAGGACTTTGACAAGATCAGAAAAACTATACGCAGAAAACTATACACAAAGTTTTACAGCGGCGAGTAATGTACTTGTTTTCCTTGTTTAGGGTCGGAATAGAAGGATTTGTATTTGTAAAAAAAAAGAAGTAAATATGTGTTGCTAATATTGTTAATGCTAGTTCTCTTTACATATAGATGTTAAAAACAAAGGCCTGTGTGTTGTTAATTAGGAAAAATGCGACAAATATATGTAAATGACTAACTATGTTGAGTTTGTAAGATGAGGTACGAAACTCGCTTAAAGTGAGGGTTTTAATGATTATTCCGCCTCCTGCTACTGCTAGTAGGCTCCTCCCAAAGACCCTTTGTCACCTTGGTCAAACTCACGTACTAAGGAATAGTTCCTAGTTTCTCTTGTTAGGTTCAACCTATCATGCATATGTTTGTAAATTTACTTTTGCATGACTATTGTATTGTTTTTTTTCCATTTTAGTAACATTAGTATATGTCACTAATATTTGTTATATATAATATATATTTGGTGGCACATATATTTGCTTGCATTTGCATAGTAGGTCTTTGGTTATAACTATATATACCTTTAAATAAATAATAATTTTATGTCAAATTAAATAATCTTTACATGGTAATTACGATGCATTTTTTAATAGGCAAGTTTTGAACATGATTCGACGATCTCATGACAAGATTTCTTGTCTAAAATGTTAGATTGGAAATAGTAGAATTAATTCATAAAAAAATAGTAGAATTAACATTTGTATATTATTATCTTTAAGAGTTACATGAAATTACAAATACGTCGCACGTCTAAGATAGGATAAATAATTCACATTTTGGTGAGATTTAGTATATATAGTTTATTTAATGTATAATCCATGTATTTTCTACATTTTTCAAATCATGGACCCTTAAAACTAACACATTCTTACTATACACATAATCTTAACACACGCATTCTTGTAATACATCATTTTCGTATTCAAAGGTTGCAAACGACCCCGTATCTGAAATCACAAATCGATTTAATTCAAAAAGTGTCATTGTTTCTTTAATTATATGCATGAAGGTGAACCGTTGGATATAGATGTATAGAATTATATAGGCTTACTTTCCTACGAAACCCGGGGCAGAGCTACAATCTAGGGTGGGCCCCAACTGCGGGGATTGGTCTCGACTCCTAGGTTATTAAGGATATTTAGTATAGATTTTATAAGTAGAACTTGTTCTGTAAATTTTATCATGAAATAGTTATGTAATCTAATGGTAGTCAAATTTAACTTGTGTCTTAAAGTACACGGGTTTGATCAGGGGCGGACCTAGGTTGATCAATTTTAGAACAAAATTTCTTTGTAAAGTTTTGATTTATTAATGGTGGTATTTGAACTCAAGACTATTTGGCAATCCTTGTTAATTTTGTTTCATTGTTGAACAGTGAACACCCTCAATGTAATTCTTGGGTTCGCCACTGGGTTTGATCCATATTGGTTACATAATTTTTTTTAAATTATTTTTGACTCTCGATCTCGAAATCATGGCTCCGTCCTTGTAGGAAACAAATATATTAGTGTAAAAGGGTTATCATTGCTTATGAAGGTAAACTTTTGATTTAGATGTATAGATTTCTATAAATGTCTTTTGTTTTTTTTATTGCGATTTCTTCAGATGTCTTACTTTCTTGACAAACAAATATATTAATACAAAGAGTACGTGGGGTGTGAATAATTGAAGTATTTAAGGTTTCTGGGTGAAGTAGCTACGTAAGCCGTACAGCTACGTAATGCAGCTTTGCTTCCAGTTTAGCTCTCGTGTGCTCTGTTCTTTCACAAAGTCAGCTCTTTAGTATTAGAGATGAACCAAATCGCATATAGAGATGTAGGTAGAGTTCGCAAATGATTTGTATCTATAAATTGTTCAATTGAATTGATTTGTATCATACGGATTGGATTGTTGGATCCATAGATTATATGGATTAGATCAAATGGATTAGTGAGTTCATGTATTGGATCAAATGAATTGGTGGATTGGACCATAGATCCAAGTGGCATATAGATATTGGACTAATTTGTAAAATTAAAAAAAGTTTGGTACTAAAATGTCATAATAAAAAGTTTAGGTAAAAAATGTAATTTCCAATGATAATTTATTTATAAAAAATAAATTCTAGGTGCCAAATTGTAAAATATATATGTACTAAATATAATCTGCCAACAATCTATGAATCTACAATCCAATTGGATTTGGATCAAATGGATTGTATTAGTTGGATATTTAAATGGATGGATTGAATTGAAAATTGCCACCTCTACATGTAACTTGATGAGCAAAGAAACTTGTATTCGGCCCAACATGTGGCATAATCAACAGTGACCCAAATATCTAATTTATACGTGACCCAATCAACCCGCAACCTGATTGTTTCGTACCATACCTCAATTGTCTAGTAATGCAACGAACACTTCACGGAATAAGAACACACGAACCTGCCACTTCAAACACTCGAGGAATTCCGACAATTGAGAGTATCAAGAGAATCGTGGGGACCAAACAGTGCATTCGGTCTCGCTGTGATTCGGTTTGGTTCAGCCCAAATGTCAATTTGGTCCATTTATTTTCCGCATTTATAAAATTTATAAGATCAAATATCGAACCATATTATATTTGATTCGGTGTGCTAGGATCCAAACATCAGTTTGATCCGGTACAGACCAACTCATTGCACACGACGCTCATCTGCAGCTACAAGTCTACAACGCCATGGTGGTTCTGGGCCTGAGTTCAGGTCCTTAAGGCCTAATCCTTAAGGAGAAACTTAAATGAATTCTATTGGTTGCTGGGTTTTTAGTTAGTTGTAGGAAGTTATATGTTAATTAGTTAATAAGGGTATTTAGGGGATTTTAATTAATATTAAAATTATAATATTAACCCTAATAATCAGTTTATCCACGTGTTGGCCAATTTACCCAACCCTAATTAGTATTGAAATTCCATCTTTTGTTCCTCCCTTCCCGATTACGACACTAAGTATCTTCGTTCGACGTCGACGCTCCCGGTTTCTGCAAGGACCTCTTCTTCCCCACTCATGCTATGCCGGTTGCTTTGCTGGACGTCGGCAGGGCTTATGGACCTCCTCTTCTCCGTTCCTGCTACGTCGGCTGCTTCGTTGGATCGGCCGGAGCTGCGGAGGCCTTCTTGAAGACCCACAACGTCAACTTCTTCCAAAGGCCTTCCGCCCACTCCGTCGACATCCTCGCCTACGGCTGCACCGACATCGTGTTCGCCCCCTACGGCGACTACTGGCGCCAGCTCCGCAAGATATGCAACGTCGACCTACATTATTAACATTGTTCCACTTTCTGCATTTTAACAAAAAAACTATTTTCAATAATATTAAGCTACATTATTAACATTTTAAGTCTCGCTATTATCATTTTAACCTCTGGTATTAACATTTTAACTTATGTTAGTAACATTATAATAAATTATTAGCTATACTTTCAATAGTATAAATCTATATTATTAACATTTTAACTTTCCTTATATAAAGATGGTTTCATTATAACTTACGTTATTAATAATTTAAACTGCGCCATTATCATTTTGGCACATGTTATTAACATTTTAACCCACATAATTAAAAAAGAGCTTTTTATTTTAACCTACACGTTATTAACATTTTAAGCTATGTTATTATCATTTTACTTTTAGCCAACGTTATTAACATTTGGTTCTCACTCTAACTCTCATTACTAACATTTTAACATTCGTTGCCTATCTTTTCCCTTACATTATTAACATTTTAACCTACGTTATTATCATATTAACCCACATTATTAACACTTTAACAAATTATTGTTACACTTTCAACATGCATTAAACTACATTATTCACATTACAAATTCTTTCCATTTTATTCTATGTTATTAACATTTTAAGATACATTATTATCATTTTAACCAAAGTTATTAACTTGTCATTCTAACTTACATTATTAACATTCGTTATCTATATTTACCCTTACGTTCGTAACATTATAAGAAACGCTATTATCATCATCATCACCCATCACGCCGAGCATGGGAAGCTGGTGGCGACGTCGACGGGAATCTGACGAGAAGATGATCGCGACGGGGAAACGACGACGACCAGGCAACCGTGACGGCGGGTTTGCAGACGGAACGACGACGTGATCGTGACTTGACGACGACGATATTGCAAACGAGGAAACCAAAACTAATACAGCCGTGATTTGACAACGACGAGATTGCAGACGAGGAAACCTAAACTGACGCAGCCGTGACTTGACGACGACATGACCCAGCCGTGATGCAGTGGCTCCGAGGTCGGGATTGCACCCGGAACGCGATGGCTAGCCGGCGACGGGTTTGCAGCCGTTTTAGGGTTCGGAGGAGGCCGATTTTTTCGATATTAATTTTCAAATCAATAGTGAGGTATCACAAACATGGTTTCTGCCATTTTCCATTTCAATTATTAATCACATTAAATTTTTATTATATTCCAGTTTTACCCTTTTAGGTAGTTAACTAATTATTACTAATATTTTTCTCTCCCCTTCTCTTATTGGCTGGAGATGGTTTAAGATCTTCCTTAAGGATTAGACCTTAAGGACCTGATCTGACCCGGTGGTTCCGCGGGCCATGAAAATCGAATGGGCTACTAACTCTATTAATTTCGTTGGGTTTTGGGCCCAAGGTCACTAATATGATCATTTGTGAGATGGCCAAAAGGAAACAGCCCAACATTTTGCTTCGAACATGAGAAGAAGAAAAGAAATGGAAAAAAAAAGAAGGTTCGAGAATCGAGGCTCGACCGTCCAAGAAAATAAACAATTTATTCATTTATTTTTCGGTCTCCTATTTTTTATAAATAAAATACAACTTAACGATCATCAGTCATCACTTTCACCAGCCACGCCGCGTATAATAAAAACCTCAGTGATCCTCCTTCCAGAAGAAAGCCTGCTTACTTTCCCCTCTACTCCCAACTGCCCTCCAGTTCCCAACTCCTCTCTCAACAAATCAATTCCGCCATTTTTCTTCTTTTCGATTTGCTCTCTGTCTCCTTCCCAACCCATCCGGCTAATCGATTCAATCAACCTTCAAAATACCGGCAACAGTCGGTCGCGTCCTGCTGCAGTGGAGGGGAAAGAATGGAGAACATGATGGGGCTTCTCCGAATCAAGGTGCTCCGAGGGATCAACCTCGCCATTAGAGATGTCCGCAGCAGCGACCCTTATGTCATCGTCAAGATGGGCAAGCAGGTAACTTTCACCTCAACTTCCCCCCGTGCCCTCAATTTTCCCTCTGCAATTGAATTTGGCGTTGTGGGTTGTCGAAAAGGTTGTAACTTTGATCGGCGACAGGCTTCAAAACCCAGCTGCCATGTCTTAGCCGGAAATCTGTAGACGACGAAAGCTTGTGTCTTTGTTGTTTCGCTTTTTTCTCATTGCAACGGCATAGTGGCAATGAGCCGGCCGTTGGCGGATATCCCAATTTAGGGTATAGATTGATTGTGCTATATGCTTTCCTAAACGGTATTGACCGGATCAAGTGTTAGAAACTAATGGACGAACAAAGTAGGGACATACGTAACTCTGTGCCTGCTCTGCTCTGCTGCCCTTGATGTTACTGATTGGAATTGCAGAAACTGAAGACCCGAGTGGTGAGGAAGGATGTGAACCCAGAGTGGAACGAGACCTTGACATTGTCGGTCAGCGACCCGGGTCTTCCTGTCAAGATCGTGAGTAATATACTATACTCAATTCATTCGGTCGATTCGTTAATGGTAACTAGAACTGATGATGGACTAAGTTGTTGGCAGGAAGTGTTCGATCGAGACCTGTTCAGGGACGACAGGATGGGGGATGCAGAGTTCGACATTGGGACCTTCGTGGAAGCCGTGAGGATGAACCTCCAAGGGCTGCCCAGCGGGACCATCATCACCAAGATGCAGCCAAGCAGGAAGAACTGCCTGTCAGAGGAGAGCTCGGTCGTGTGGGCGAACAACGAGGTTGTGCAGCGCGTCTTCCTGAGGCTGCGAAATGTGGAGTGCGGTGAGGTCGAACTCGAGCTTCGTTGGATTCATGTCCCTGGTGCCAAGGGCTTGTAGTATAGAGGAATGACTGTAAGTGAGCTGTTGTTTGTAGCTGATATATGATGTATTGCTGATTTTTTTTCCGGGTTTTTGCTTCTCACCATTAGTTCTAGCACCCTAATTATCAATATCTACAGCTTAATTGATTCTTCTTCTGCTGCTGATTACAGTTGTTTGAGTGTGTACATTATTCTGTCTGAGTTGTCTTTGCCCTGACAGAGGACACTTTTCTTTAGCATATATATGTTGCCATGAATAAGTGGCTCGTAAATCGTAATCTTCTCCATCCTACTACCAAAAATGTTACTTAACCTGGGAATGACCGAATTAGCTTATTGACATTGGACTCATTCTAATACCAGTACCAAAACAAATTCTTATGGTTTGATGCAGATTTGAGTTCCTTGCCGCAATGGCACATTTCAAGTGAAAAATGACAACGAAGTGAACGAACACAACCAGTTGGGCTTGGGCCGAATCTCATACGTAAAGTTATAAGGGGGTTGATTATTGAGCCCATTAATTTGGGGTCGGGATCATCCACCGGATCAGTGGGTTTTCATTTTGCTGACTGAGGTTATGGGAAGCGGATGAATGAAGTAAAATTCTCCGTTACGAAGGAAGAGTTTGGACAAATGGGCTTCTCGCCGAGTTGGCGATATGGATGGAACTATCGAAGTTTGGTACCAGTATTTGAAATATACCAAATATCGTATTGAATTTGTCGATACTTGATATTACCGAATACATGTATTATCTTATGCGAGTGGGATTGAGTTTCAACTGTTATTTTGTATTAGAGATTACATGATTGGAATCAATATATATATATATATATATACGGAAATACTTATCAATATAGAAACCTAAGATAGCGTGTACCCAATTCCTGCTCCCTCACTCACTACTATCAGACCCTCAACCTCCAAAATGGTCAATTAGTTATATATAGTTCATTCTCTCACTATTTGACAACTCATACAGAGCTCATTTTGTTACTTGTAGTATGTTTTTAGGTTGTTTAATCGTCCACGGTTTTAATTTGTTGCTTTAGTTTGTTAATGGGCTTCTTAGGCACCACATTTTCTAGTTTGTTGTTAATATACTTGTAGTTTTCCCCATTCGTTTTGCAAGAGTGTTGGATTTATTGTTTGTTTTTATTTATTTTGCAAATGGTTTGTGGAGGTGCTCACAGAGGAAAAGTATTTGCATTTGTATATTTGATTTGTAATTTCTGAACATAACTAATTTGATATTTAGTTTATACCGATACCGAACAAATTTTCTGGGATTTGGATCGGGATATCAAATTTATTTTGGGATTGAGATTGTGATTAAGTTTAGGACACTATTTGGTAATTGATACTGGGATACCGATACTGTACTGATTTCCTACCCTAGTTGGCGAGACGCTCAAGAGACTTAGCCACTTTGGGAGTTGGACACTAGCCATTCAGAAACAAAAGGGATGAGGCATTAGCAAATATTATCGCCAATCTTGCAAATTACTAGTTTTTTTCCACCGACTTTCAATCTTTATCCTCCATTTTTCATAAACACAATATATACTTTCTCTTCTATATTTTGTCTTCATAAATCTAATACTTTTCAATTATTTCAAAACAATACTTTCAATTATTTTTCATTAATACTTTTCAATTAATTTTAGTAAAATATTCGTGACTATTTTGGAAACAGGTTTCAAATATAGATTATGTTTGGTTGTAAAATGATATACGGTGGAATCATCATTTATATGTGTCTAATATCCATATAATAGGATACATGTTGATTGATAAATGAATTTTGATTTCATGGTTGGCGTTATTTGGATATAAAACAAGAAAATAAAACATATTATATGTAAAAATTGTAACATCATACAAATTTTTTTTCATGGTTCGCGTTATTTTTCACATACTACCATCTATATTTTGTTCTTCAAATTTTAGAGGTGTACCGGAGTACCGGACGCACCTACCTGAGCTTGCTAGGGTTTCTGCTTTTCTGCTACTGGTCCCTAATATCTTTGGTAGCTGTTCACTATCAGTTGCTTTTTCTGCATGAGGACAGAATACCGTCCTGTTGTCTTCTTTCCTTTTCTCTGTTAATGAATTAATGTCCGAGAGAGTCTTCAGTTTGGATGCTGCCTGGGGCTTTTGCAGTTTCGATCGTGCCCCTAGTACTTGTAGTAATGGAACTTACTCAATTCCCGATTCCACTTTCCAGAGAGAAATTGCGGTTCATGGTTTTGGCACGTAATATACATTCCAACCACTTCTTTGAGTGGAGAAGGGTTAGTTTCTCTTTTCTACCGAACTCTCTTTGATGGAAATATGCACTTAGCTTGATGGTGCAAACTTCTCATATGTTATCCATGTCTTCTTACACTGATCTTTATCAATTTGATATCAACTACGTACCTGTGGAGTATTCCAATCAGGCCGGCCGAGATAATATCATATGGGAGGCTAAATCGGTGGACTCTTTTAACGCTATGAAACGATGAACCACGACCAAAACATAAAATACTCTATCGCTGATTTTTCCAGTACAACCTCCAGTACGATTTAACAATCATTGGAAGGTACTATAAAAAAAAAATACAAAGTTAATGGATGGTATTGCATTATGTGCATCCCCCAATCTACAAAATATATAAAGCATATTCATTGGTTCAATTTTCAGGATTTTGAATTTCCAGGCTCCAGAGCACTTCCCGGAAGGATATTCTCGACATTCTACCCTCCATTTAATTATGCTGTGCGTTTTATCAAACTTACTGCAGCCCATGTGTACGCCGGGCTTTGCTCTCCACCAATTTGCGTCGGTATTGGGCCTGTCAACAAAGACTATTTGTTCGCACTCTCTAATAATGGGTCATAATCGGCTACTGAGACCGTTCCCGTTTACCGGTTCGATCAATCCCATCCGTTTTCCCTTGCTTCCCCGTTTGCGTTTTGTCTCCCCTGTTCCGCCACCGCATATCAGCATCAACGAACAGATCCACAACCCCCTTATCCCCTCCGTTTCAGCATCAACGAACAGACATGCCTGTTACTCTTCTTCCCTGAAATCGTAGCGGGGTCATTGGTCTAAGACGCCAAACCGCCGCCGCCATAAGTTTCTGCTGCCAATGGAGAAGCAAAAGCAGCTCAACGTCACATCCCATTCTGGTGAAAAGGGAGAAAAATGAAGTAGTCAAGTAGGCGGTTGGTCAACATTAAAATGAAAATGAAGTGGGATAAATAGGTTTGCCCTTCATCCAAAAACAAAGAAACCTGGTTTGCTAAGCATGGTTAACTGGTGGCAAAGCTCTATAAAACCGCCTATACAAGTTTATGGCGGGTGGAGAAGCTAAGCTAGAATTGAGTTTTGAGAATGCTAACCTATGTTTGAGAACGAAAGGAGGTAGCAAACATAATCAGGCCAAGAGTGAGAAAAGTAATGGAAATTTGGGCGGGAATGACGACAACGGAAAGTAGATGTGATTCTAATTCCAGCAGATGGGCAAATACAAATTATTTAGTTTGATCCCAGTCTATTGTACAGACATCAGTCACTTTTTCATTTGTCATGTGTGCATGAATTGCACGTGTAGTTTTATTTGCCAAATGGAGAGATGCATGCCACCTGACCTTTGCCCTTTACCTTTGTGACTTCAACCCAAAAATCAAAGGTGATATAAATCAAAGGTGATAATCAAAGGTGACTTCAACCAATTAACTTTATTTTGCTTCTTTGTTAAAGGATTCATTTCATTTGTGGAAATATGTATCGTGTGGATTACTCCAGTGCAATTTCTCCTCACTTATTTCATTATTTGGTTGATTTCTTTTATCGAGTAACAAATTTGGTTTTTATTATCAATAATTATGACAATTCGTGTATTTTTGTAGATGATTTTAAGCTTGGTTTGTACAACAATATCATATGTGCAAGTAAACGTCAATGGATCCTTGGTGTATTAGTGACTAAGGTCTTAGTTTCTTAGCATTTAGTTTCCGAACTCTATAATAAAGGATAATTTTTTTTTTTGACTTTTGAACAGGGTCTCCCTGGTCTGGATTGCATCACACAGGAGTTGGTTGGTTTGAATTGTACTCTACATGGTCTGATCCATTGTTTGTGTTCTAACCTTTCGGTCTGGACCATAGACAATATATAAGGTCAGATCTGGATTGTTTCTCACTTAATTTGGACACTCGCTACTTTCTTTTAACGTTCATATGCTCATTGCATATGAGACTTTTCAAAGGACATGGGGTGGTTGGGTTTGAGAGTGAGAGTGAGCGTGAGCGTGAGAGTGAGGGGTGGATAGGAGCTAGGGCGGCGGATTTCGACCATCGACGGTCACAACGATTTTGATTATACCGGAAGAGCACTAGCGTGTCTGTGTTACTATGTGGTTGGGGAGAGAACTTTTCATTTTTTATTTTTATTATCAAAATCATAATGATCAAATTACTGGTATTTCGGCCGTGATAACAAATTTCATTTTGTATTAAGAAAAATCAGTTGGAAGACCACCGGTATGAAACAGTAGTTAAATTGATAAAAAAATGTCAAAATCTAGAAAATAGTGGTCCTGCTGAATCAATAAATTTCCGATATGTAAACTAAATGACTTCGTTTTTGTATAACTAACTAACAAAAATGAAGGAATTTCTCGGATTCAAATATCAAACACTTGGATGATGTTACTTATTAGATTCAAGTATAAACATTTGGATGTTAATATTAAATATTGCACATATATATATATATATATATATATATATATATATATATATATATGATTTCTCATTTTGTTTGTAATGTGGTATTTTTTTTTTAAATATGAATGTAGATTATAGATAGATTTTCAATAAATCAGTTTTACTTCGATCATACCATATCACTTGCTAAATCGATTCAACAATAAAAATTGGTATGACAACCTTGATCAAGATAACTATTGTGTTCTAAAAAAACAATTGTTGGATAATATTTTGATTTTTCTATTATTTATTGATTATTGTTTTCCTCGATGTGGCATTCAGGTCAACAACTCATTCACGGTTAAAAATATGGATCCTCCACATTGACTCGAACACAATATACAACCCAACTAAAGTTTGATTACGTACGTATAATAGAAAGTAACTCCAATATTCAATGATTTACTTAAGTAGTCCACCTTAATTATAAATAGTGAAAGACCCTTGGTTGTATTTTATTTGAATGTTATAACAATTTTTCTATTCTTTTTATTATATTTTAGCACATTTTGAATATTTTGACGAGTTGCCAAGATGTTTTCCAATAAAGAATTGTACGAAATATAAGAAAATTATAATTTATTAGTCAAATCTACAAAATATTTCAAATTATTAACCAAATTTTTCGAAATAAAAAATATTAGTAAAATATTTTGTAACCCATCAAAATATTAGCCATTTGTCGATTATCGTTAGTAATTTTGTAACTATTTTCTTAGTTAAAATACTATAATTTTAGAATGTTGATCTCCACATGTCTTTTCCAAGTCAGTATCAAGTTGCCAAGTCAATATTACTAACAAAACTGCTAGCAGAAAATTAACGTTTGACTACTATTTTGTATTTTGAAATGTTTGCCTAATAATTTGAAAAGTATTATAAAAAAATAATTTTAAAAGTTTGAAATATCTAGCTAATAAATTGTAGGGGTAATACCTTCTTTTGGCCCAAACTATACTCAAACTTTCTATTATTGGCCCTTGGTTTCTAAAATTGCTCTCTTGGCCCGAACTATGCATCATGCACACTTCCTTGCTTGGTCCGGCGCGGGTTTTGATCGTTAAATTGGACGGTCAACTCCATTGACCGTTAGTCGAGCGCCAGGTCACTTGCCACGTTAGCGAACCCAGAATAAAAATTTTGGATTTGGTTCAAAATTCAAATTTTTTTTATTTCGGATTCGCTGACGTGGCAAGTGACCTGGTGCTTGACTAACGGTCAATTGAATTTACCGTCGAATTTGCCAGTCAAAACCTGCATCCGGCAAAGCAAGGAAGTAGTGTGCATAATTCGAGTCAAGGCATTAACCCTAAATTGTATTTACCCTAAAATATATATTGAATGTGTCTTCAATATATATCATATATGTAAGACTATAACTACACAAATACTAAACTATCCCGGCCAACAGGCCGGGCCCGGTGCTAGTAATATATAGTACACTTTTGTGTACTTTTTTTCATTTCAAATTTCCTGCAACGAGAGTGAAAGTAGGAAGGATATTTTTGTCTTTACACTTAATTATTTATCTCACATAAAAAATATCAACATCAAGATTTGAACCCGAGTCTCTTCAAACAAAGACAACAATCACAACCATTTATGCTGAACAAATTTGTTGTGTCCTTTTTAATACAAAATATACACGAAGTTCAACTCTCTGAAAATCACAGGACTTTCCATCATGATTAGCAAGCCCACTAAGTATACCGTATGTATTTTTATGGTGCTTGATACTTCAATTTTCATAGTAGAGTTTCATGTAATTTTCTCAATTTTAAAATTCTTTCTCTCTCCTTAATTTTTGCTAAAGGTAAATTGGCAATTGGCTAACATGGAAAAAACTAATTTTGTCACTACGTGTTGCGTCCTTGCATTTTTTTCAATTTAAATTTGTGGTTTTATCTTTGTTCTTATCTCTTTCTAACTTCCTCGGAAATTCCCTCCAACGTACAATAGTTTGCGCCCCTTTCACTTCCCAATACAAGGCCGCCATTGAAAATCAATTATCCGATATCTCTTGGCACGTCAGTTTTATTGTTGCGGATTTAAGTTGGAAAAGTAAAAGAATTTAATAAATAATGGAGTTGCAGAAGGAGGATTAGAAATTGAATTTTTGGTTGAAAATATGTCTCTTGAGATAATAAAAAAATTTGGCTGTACAAGGAAGAGTGGTGGCTATTGGATCTTATGTTTATGGTTTTTACATCTATCACAACATATTTTTATCTTAAAACGAGGAATCATTGATTGATTTATTGAAGTAGGTCGATTCTTTATTCAACCTACTGGAACTGATAGACAAGGAGTGTCTAATTTTGTGCCTTATTACTTTGATTGAGTCTATTAGTGTGTTGGAGATAACCCTAATTTTGTCGTTTGCTCTCAAGTTTTGATGGTCCCCTCTTAGCTTAGTTGTTAGTATATAGTTGACTTGAATCAACAACTCTCTATTTCTTTTTTATCAGTGGCATATTGTTCATAGAAGGAGCGCATTAAACCCTTATGTAGGATTGTGAGATTTAAGATTTAGTTTCAAACTATTTATGGGTCGTGTGGAATTTCACTGATCTTTTATACCCTCTTTCTTGAAAACCAACTAACTAATAACATTTTAACGAGGGCTTAATAAACATTATGAAAATGGAATTAATGATAAATTTTATATTTTATATTCTTAAATGATGATAGTATTTCTCCGAATGTTAGACCTATATATTCTTTCTTTATGTATCATCTCGATCGAAGGATTGTCAATAAAATTAAACCGGTTGATTGGCTTAAATGTAACATAAAAATATAAATAATCAAATATGAACATTCCGGCCAATGGGCCGGGTTATAAGCTAGTTGGAAAGAAGTGAATCTTTTATCAAAATGCGTTAATAAAAAAATTCCATAATGCCACGCCTATTATATAAATATCCATAATTTTCCATGAATTTGGGCTAGACCGTTGCAATTTTCAGCAATTTAGGAAGCGGGTCTCTGATCTCTCAATCTCTTGAACTTCATGTTTTCCTCCCTCCACCATTCTACATACATCTTTTCCTTTTGCTATCTTAATAAAACCTAAATAAAAGTGTTTGTAATTTGTTTAGGTTTTAGGTACAAGTTGTCATTGTTCGTGCAACATAAGAGTTGCAACAAGCAACAGTAGTACACTACTGCCAATGATAAGGTCATCAGCGGTGTGTTCGCCTTGATTACAGTAGAGTAAGTTGTAATCAAGCTAATTTTCTTGACTAAAGTTACATTGTATGATAAATTAGAATTCTGAATATGGATTGTAGGTTGTGAATTTTGAATGGATGTTGTAGGTTAGGTTGGGATTTTGAATTTAAAATATTACAGGTTAGACAAGATTCAGAGTTTAGATGGTAGGTTAGATTAGAGTTTACATGAAAATAAGATTTCAACTACATATTTAGTGAAATACTGTTCGAATGAAAAACTTCTCACATGGAATTTGATAACGAAAGAAGATGAATCCACTGCTTTGAAGATTGATAGCAAATTCTTTGCAAGAACTATAATACATGGAAGCTGGTACGTACGCTTCAGGGACGGAGCCATGAATTTCCAGCATACTGATAAGAAAATTTTATGAAAAAATCTTAATTACGAACAAAGAGTTCACAGAAATTTTAATATATGCCACTTAAAATTGTGTCGAATTTAAAAAGTAATGACTTATCTCTTCTGAAATCATGATAAAAGAATCATGTGTTTTATAATACATCATACATTTACCTATTTCATAATTCACAAATCTGAATACAATCCATTAGTAAAATAAGGTAGTCGAGATTAAACCATATATATATATATATATATATAGACATGAGGATAAATTTTTTCTAAGAAATACGAAGATACATGTAAACAAATCGAGAAAAAAAAACTAAATAATATGTAGACGGTTAATATTAAAAATTGGGAGACCAAAGGCTAAGGCGCTAAGTCGTGTAAGCACCACCAACTGTGATGATTTAGGTGGAGAAGAGGTAAAATAAACGACATTAAATAATATGTAGACGGTTAATATTAAAAATTGGGAGACCATAGGCTAAGGCGCTAAGCCGTGTACGCACTCACCAACCGTGATTATTTAGGTGGAGACGAGGTAAAATAAGATTAAAATTAACGAAGCAAGGATCGAACCAGTAATCTTTCCCTCACATTTAATGTTAATTGAGCCTTAATAACACTACACCACAGCACATACGATGTGTTATCTATGGTACGCTTGTGATCCTTTTGAATTTTCACGATCAATCCTCATGGTCATATCTTTTAGTTTCTACACATCAGAATTTAGCAAAAGAAACAGCAAACAGAGGAGTGTGAATGAACCACGCCATGCCACGATCGACCACCACTGTGCCATATAACGCAGGCGACAATTGCTTTCCTATTTAGGGTACAACAAAAGTCCCAAAAAGAGAAAAGCCTTGATTGCATGAATTTTTTTTTAATTTTTTTTGTCAAATCTCGAATACAAATGACCATCAATATTAACTGTTAATTTAAGAATAAGGTATGGTGAGCATGGAAAATTTTAAATATATGAGCATGGTATAAAGATCTAAAATAAACCTTATTCTAGCCATTTGAGTTATTGAAATTAAATAATATAAGAGTTGGGTTGACAAAGTGATCGTGTGTTTCAATTTTGATGATCCTAATAATAACAATTGATTTAAATAAAATATATGGTGAATCCGTGAAAACTTCAAACCTTTGAGTTTGCTTTCATTTAAGGAAGAGCGTTGTGTTGATTGTAAATAAGTTCATATCGTTTTTCGACCAACACTTATAATTCTGGTCCGGTTAAGTACCAATCAGGCGCATGTAAGAGACATAAATTAGTTAGCATATCCATTAATCCTAACTATTATATATGGTCAAAAATTCATGTTTTTGTAGCCAGCATACGACACAATGAGAATATAGTATATTTGCAGCATATATAGTTTATGTATCTCAAAAGTAAAACTTAAATAATAATAAATTAAATACAATTTATTAATCAAAAAATTTAATTTTAACAAAATATTAGTCCTAGTCAAACCTTTCGAAATACATAATAATAACCAACTGTTAAGTTATTGTAAAAATTCATCACTTCCATTAGTTAAGGATGATCCGGCAAATGAATTTTGGGTTTTCAGTTAAATTCCTTCTCCAGGCTAAATATTAGTCAAACTTTTCGCAATTGAATCCTAACTTCGTAGAATTTTGTGTTTTCAGTTAAACTCCTTCTCCAGACAAAAACCCTATAGTAGTATCTTTGTTTCCTGTGCCGTTGTTATTCTTGTCAGAAATTAAAAGATTGAACCAGACGTCGTAAGTGATGAACAACTGCGATAGTATTTTGTAAATGTCGGGACAAGATGAGTGTGTGGCGTTGTTTATGAAAAATATTTTAATAATACATATATTTTGTCGCGACATAATAAGTAACGACAATTACAGAAAATGTTAGTTAGTCAAGAAACCAGATGATGATATAACATCATATATAACAGGGGTAAGACTAGACGATCTCTCTTGATAAATTATGTTTCTGTATTTGAACTATCGACGACTATCATGACTACAGAAATCACTTATCATGACAAAGTCGTAGGCCGACTCGATCGCTGGCAAGGGTACGTATTGGACCTGGGTTCGCCATGACGACTGAGTCAATTCCAGTAAAAGCGCGCGCTAGGCTAAAGTGGCATGCATGAGATTGCAGAGACATGAATTTCCTGTGGTGGTGGAGATAGACAGTCAACCCAGCGCCCCGGTCCCCCAGCTGCCTTGTTTTCCCAATTATTGCATCTGTCGACGTCGCCAAAAGGATTCGGCTGACGTGTCCATGTATCAATCGTTGGGGATTAGCGGAAATGTGGTATGATTTAGGATCAATACAAAGGAAACATATGGTGTTTAATCACTCAATTTAGGAAGCACTCACATAAGCCTTATACTTTGAATATAATTGTGAACTCTCAAATTGTAGAGAACACATACACCGCAACTCTTTGTTGCCCACTCTTTTTTTTTTTTTTTCAATTCCCTGACAACTTCCATCCCATACAACATATATATATAACTGGAAATGGAAAAACATAATATTAATACATCACATGGCTTCTTCTTTCACTTGCCATGCAGAGACGACACACCACCCTCACCATTAACCACCCATAATGAACCTTGGCCCCTGCATTCATTTGAGCACACTAGCCATGTCTCTTATCTTGTACATCTGCTATGAATGTTGATTGATAATTAATTTAATTATTTGGTGGTTGTGCCTTCTCTTCATTTCAACCTTTAAGGCTTCATTTGATAATTTGATCCATCAATGAACTTAGACATACCATGTGAGATGCTTGAGAGAGACTTGATTGCAAATTATCAATAAACATCAATCCCATATTTTAAATCGATATTGGGCATGTGTTAGTTTGTGTACTGTAGTGTGTATAGTCAGTCTATATAATGAAGCTGCGGGCGGCCGATTGCTCGTCATAATAAGATCGGTCGATCGAAAACACACCTTCTTATAGCTTAGTTATATATCTAAGAAAGATTGGCTAGGGTTGGCCGGCCGGTGGAAGATGGAGAGCGTGGCCGCCGGAGGACTAAGGAAGGGAGCATGGACTGAAGAAGAGGATAGGCTGCTGCGTCGATGCATTGAGGTTTACGGCGAAGGCAGATGGCATCAGGTTCCCGTTCGTGCAGGTATATCTATATCTATATTTTCTCGTCGCTGCATCTATGACATATGAAGTTCTGTAAGCATGCAGAAAAATATGAAGTACTCAATTTCTCAAGATGCTCAAAGCCTTTCTTCTTAATGAATTAGGGTTTGTGTTAAATAAGGGTATCTTGGAGTAGTTACACTTGATCAATAGCTCGAAATAGGAAATAATTAAAACTCGGTAAATAGTTTACTTAGTGTTGGAGCTCATTTTGGTATTTTTGCAGGATTGAACAGATGTAGGAAAAGTTGTAGGCTGAGGTGGCTGAACTATCTGAAGCCAAACATCAAGAGAGGAGAGTTCTCAGATGATGAGGTTGATCTCATAATCAGGTTGCACAAGCTGTTGGGTAACAGGTGAATTCCTGTACTGATCAAGAATTGAAGTATATATATGTTCCTTTTTTTTTCTTCTTTTACTTGTTATTCTAGGGTACTTAATTGGGTCGTTTGAAAAAGGTATTTTTGATGAGTTGTTCTGGTATATGCATAACGCATTATGAATAATTAGTTTGCACAAAATAATCTATTTGGCAGAAGAAAAAAAGTCGAGATGTGGCATTTTGAGCAAAGCTATTTCACTTGACTCACTTTTTACTTATCACAATTGACACCAATGAGAAATAACTCATGTGGTAAAATGATGTATCCAAGCGATTCTTATAAAACATATTCACGTCAAAATTAAAATATAGAAATATTTTAATTAGTCTTTTTTGCACTAACTAATTAAATGCACAATATTATGAACAAGGATTTGATCTAGTAGTAATATCACTAGTTTTGAACCTAATGATCTCAGAATCAAATCCATTTAGTAGTAGTTAATTATAAAACCAAACCTATGTTATCACCCTTATCTATAAAAAAATAATTAATAAATTCACTGCACAATATTTTTAGAAGAAAAGGACTGAGGTTTCTTCCGATTGTGCGAGAGCTAAATTACATATTTAAATTTTGCAGTTCTTGCAAACGGGTTATTTTTTTTCACACAATTAGACCAATTGGTCAAGTAATTTCACTTATATCAAAGCAGATAACCTAATTTTATCCTGCAATTCCATAATAACTCCCATCAATCAATTTTTCCTAATCATTTCACCAATCCTACCACACTCCTTAGCTCATGACGGGTAAAATTTAGTTTATATATCAATTATCTAATCACAATCATATGGACGTATCTCTTTTATCATTGTGTAGTAAAAAAAAATTAAACGAAGTAGAATATAAAAGAAATTGGGTAAAAACAGACGATCTGCCTGAATTATAAATGAGTTGTATAATTTTTGTTGTCACGCAGTGTGACAAAAATTCTAAACCAATTTAACGAAAAGTCCATTTCTCAACCATTAACATTTTGATGCGAATATATCAACATAAAAGTCATCAAGTCAAGTCTCAACCCATGCTAGCTTAAGGGATAGCGCCACTGGTGTTATATACATTGATCTCTAAACTAATTAGGATTATCGTAAAAGGTTCACCCAATCGGTTTAACCGTCAAACACACGAGTTGATGTCACAGACACGAAATCATTAGAAGTAACAAACGCCAACTTATCATCATAAACCTGTCTCAGGATTGGATAAAGTGTGTCACGTTTCGGACATCAATTGGATGCACAGATTTTGCGGTCGTTTTCCGACGGAACAGCGGCCGGCCGGCCCCCCTTGAAGTTCGGAGCTGTTAACGTCCCGTTGCTGACAGACAAACTCTACAAGATTATTTTGTGTAAACTAATTCATAATAATGCGTTATTGGGTAAATTGCAAGTTTGGTCACTAGAATTACTATAAAATTTCACGTTTGTCACTAAGATTAATTTATTCCATCTATAGTCACTCAAATTAGTCACACAATTCAAGTTTGGTCACTGGCCGTTAGTCTCCGTTAACTTTTGCTGAGGTGGCAGTCAACTCTCATAGTTGACCATTAAATAGGTGACGTGGCAATTAAAAAAAATTAATCTATTCAAAATTCCACCTCATTATCATAATAATTAAAAAATAAAAAATTATAATTATTAAAATGGAAATGGAAATGGAAATGAAAATGAAAATGAAAATTTTCAAAATGGCGGAAAAGCAATCCGGACACCTCTCAATTCCCTCCACGACCAGCTCTTCCACGAGAACACCATCGCCTTCACTTCCAAACTTTCCCATATCTCTTCATCTTCCCTCCTCCAGTCCCTGTAGTAAATCCGGCGAATTTCACCCACCTGTAATCTTCAATTTCGCTATTGAACCAGAACCCGAGATCGAAGGTCCAGGTCGGGCACCCAAGCGAACTGCTTGGTGGCAGGTTTCCAGAGCGCTGCTATTGTGGTTCTGTACTCGAGACAGAGCAAATCGAGGTGGAGAAGTCGTCGTATCTCGGGACGGGCACCGGCAGATCGCGGTGGAGGGTTGCGAGGTTTGAGTCGAGCATGGAGATTAGGAGGTCACCGGTGGTTTGGCCGTGGCGGATGATGAGCAGGGGGTTGTCGGAGGCCGAGCGGCGGAGGTGGGCGGCGGTGAATTGAGGTGTTGTGAGGAGAGATGACCATCGTTTGGAGACGGATTTGAATCGGAGAATGAATTTTACGGGTGATCGGGTGAGGATGTCGATTAGGATGTCTTCGGGGAGGGATTTCAGGGGAGAGGCAGAGTAAGCCACTATTTCCTATAAAAATCGAAATCATTTTCTGCCATGGACACCATCACCAAAAACTTTCATTTTCATTTTCATTTTGATAATTATAAATTTATTTTTTAATTATTATTATAATGTGGTGGATTTTGAATAGATTAAATTTTATTTTGTATTTATTTTTTAATTGACACGTCACCTATTTAACGGTCAACTATTAGAGTTAACTGCCTCCTCGGCAAAAGTTAACGGAGACTAACGGCCAGTAACCAAGCTTGAATTGTGTGACTAATTTGAGTGACTATGGATGGAATAAATTAATTTTAGTGGCAAATGTGAAATTTTATAGTAATTCTAGTGACCAAACTTGCAATTTACCCAATAACGCATTATTATGAATTAGTTTACACAAAATAATCTGTTTGGCAGGAAAAAAAAAGTCGAGATGTGGCATTTTGAGCAAAGCTATTTCACTTGACTCACTTTTTACTTATCACAATTGACACCAATAAATTATTTGAAATAACTCATAAATACAACGGGTGGTAAAATGATGTGTCCAAACGATTCTTAAAAAACATATTAACGTTAAAATTAAAATATAGAAATATTTTAATGAGTCTTTTTTGCACTAACTACTTAAATGCACAATATAATGAACAAGAATTTAATCTAGTAATAATATCACTAGTTTTGAACCTAATGGTCTCATATTCAAATCCATTTAGTAGTAGTTAATTATAAAACCAAACCTATATTATCAGCCTTATCTATAAAAAAATAAATAAATAATTCACTGCACAATATTTTTAGAAGAAAAGGACTGAGGTTTCTTCCGATTGTGCGAGAGCTAAATTACATATTTAATTTTTGCAGTTCTTGCAAACGGGTTATTTTTTTCACACAATTAGACCAATTGGTCAAGTAATTTCACTTATATCAAAGCAGATAACCTAATTTTATCCTGTAATTCCATAATAACTCCCATCAATCAATTTTTCCTAATCATTTCACCAATCCTACCACACTCCTTAGCTCATGACGGGTAAAATTTAGTTTATATATCAATTATCTAATCATAATCATATGGACGTATCACTTTTATCATTGTGTAATAAATAAATAAAAAATTAAACGAAGTAGAATATAAAATAAATTGGGTAAAAACAGGCGATCTGCCTGAATTATAAATGAGTTGTATAATTTTTGTTGTCACGCGGTGTGACAAAAATTCTAAACCAATTTAACGAAAAATCCATTTCTCAACCATTAACATTTTGATGCGAATATATCAACATAAAATTCATCAAGTCAAGTCTCAACCCATGCTAGCTTAAGGGATAGCCATTGGTGTTATATACATTGATCTCTAAACTAATTAGGATTATCGTAAATGCATATAATAAGCGAGGTCACACTAGGGGTGGGCATTGGTGCGGTCCGACCGCACCGAATCGCACCGTTAAGTTTGCGGTCTAGCATGCGGTCTACAATTTATGCGGTCCGCGGTTTGCGGTCGATTTAAACCGAAACCGCACGGTTGCGGTTCAAAACCGCAAACCGCAATCAATCTTTTGCTAGTGATCGATGAATTCTTTCTCCAGCTCTACGCCAGCTGCTGCAATTCCTAGAAGATATGAATATGAAATTGACAAACTGATTTGATCACCTTTAAGAGAGTTCTACCAAATTGCATGATTTCAACCAGGAAAAAGGGACATTTGATTGATTTTAGCTATGATGCACCACTAGAACTAAGAAACAGAGGAGGAAACAGAGAAGAAGCACGATGGATATCCGGCGTTTGAATCAGAAAATCGGAACATGGTAATTTTGAAATCTTAATTGGCTTTCAAAGCAGAAAAACGACGTCTGAAAAAGAAAGTTCTTAGACCCAAAATGAAGAGTCTGAAGTATTTGTGTTTATATTAAGTCTTCCAAATTGAACTCCATTTCAATATGTCTTGCATACGAGCTGTTTAGAGTAGGAGTGTACTCTATAGAATGCACAATCCTTGAGAGAAAAACTTGGATAAATGGTCGGAAATTAAAAAAAAAATGATGCAGTGGTACCCATATGAAGATTTTGTTTAGTTACTCTCTTCTTTCCAACTGAAAACAGAGGACTATGACTTGTTCCATTTTGATAACAGAAAACCTTTAATCTTTCTCATCAACAGAGCATGCCATCAGACCTTGAGTGTGTCACCTACACCTCCATATTGTTGGCACAACCAAGAGAGTAGTATATGTTGTTATATGAACAAACAGAGAGACTTGTTACTTGGATTCCTTTACTTATTGATTGGATTCATTTCCAATAACAATTAGATATGTAATATATGTTGTTATATGAACAAACAACAAGTTCTATAAATACTCTATTGTTAACGAATAACAGGTTATACTCGGTTTTTTATTATGATTAAATCGTTATTGAATGTACTTTGCGGTCATGTATGCGGTTGCGGTCCAAACCGCACCAAATCACTAATTTATGCGGTTCGATTAGACCGCACCAATTAGATTGCGGTCTTGTATGCTGCGCGGTCCAATTATTTGCGGCGATGCAGTTTATGTTAATGTGGTGTGGTGCGGTTTGGACCGCACCAATGCCCACCCCTAGTTCACACGCTTCCTTTTTCTCATGAAAAGCAAAAATTACATCGACCGTAGCTAGCTAGATACATTGTCATTTTGTTCATTATTAGTATTTGTTTCACTGCTTCATGTTTTTGCGAACGTGGCCCCAATTACGACCGTTGCCTCGTCAGTGAGAAGGAAAAAATGGAAATCTAATTAAGGTTCACCCAATGGTAACCATCAAACACACGAGTTGATGTCACAGAGACGAAATCATTAGAAGTAACAAACGCCAACTTATCATCATAAACCTGCCTCAGGGATTGGATAAAGTGTGTCACGTTTCGGACATCAATTGGATGCACAGATTTTGCGGTCGTTTTCCGACGGAACAGCGGCCGGTCGGCCCCCCTGAAGTTCGGAGCTGTTAACGTCCCGCAGCTGACAGACAATCTCTATAAGTGTTTGTGTTTTTCTTCTTCTTCTTCTTTCCTATTGAAGATGAATAAGTTGACAGAAGCCAAAAGGGTTTCCATCAAAGCAAATCAACAGTTTATTATTCAAAACAAGATAGACGAAACGAGAAGGTATCTTAGTTTTTGTCCTTGTAAGCGGCAAAGTCAAGACCCCGACACTTCTCGGTGACTTGCACGGACCGATCTTTTCAGTCCGGACAGAATCTGGCCCAATATCTTTCACCGGGGAAATAAAATAAAACAATAATAAAAAAAATTATGAATTTCCTATATATAATAATAATAATAATAATAATAATAATAATAATATGTAGGTTGTTTTAATCTAAAACGACAATGTATGTAACATCTCGAACCTTTTCCAACAATATACTGTCGGTTATGGGTCCAGGCCCTCAAAGAATTTGTTTAGGGTGCATATGAAGGTAAATTTTGATTAGGTCGCCCATCATTGCACTGTTACACAGTGTACACGTTTAATTTCACAGTTCTTACAAGTTACAAGAACTCTTCATTGCAGCAAAAACGTGTTTTATCGGTTAATGCTGCCAGTGTTTTACTTATGAATCATAAATCTAACCCGTATTTTGTTGATATGGAATTCTCCTAGGGGTCGTTTGCTTGAGTCATTTGTATGAGTCATTTGATGTTAAAAGACTCGTTTGCTAAAGAAAAAATGCATAAGTCATTTCGTTCATACGAAAGTCCTAAATGACTCTATCAAGTCATTTCCAAATACCTCCTATCCATGAGGCATGAGTCATTGCCAAATGACTCATTATTTAGTTCAAATGTTCTAACTATTTTCTTGTCTATTTTATGTAAACCCAGTTCTATCCTTCTCTTTCTATTATTTGTTTTCTATGTAGTCATTGCTCCGTCGTCTCCCCTCGGATTTATATTTTCTCTCCCTCAAATTTCATTGACGCGAAGAAGAGGGTCATCCACGTAACATCGCATCATTTTCTTCCACCAACACTACCATTTGTAATTAGCTTAAACTTCGAGATTTATGAAGGTGTTATCTTTTGTAAAAAAAAGTTAACATATAATTATTAATTAAAGTTAGAAAGTAGTATTATACATGGCAAACACCCAAATAATATGTTTTGTTGGTTGCAAAATGATTTTGTTTATATGGTTGGCTTTATTATAATAGGAAACAAATTAACATAACAATTTTTAAAAAAATTTAAACAAACAATGCATTTGTAATGCTTACATTCCCAAATGTCTACAATTTCTCAAATCCTTGCATTTAAACAAAGACTACAATGTTGTCTTTATAATAAATCGTTTGTTCGGTCAATTCTAAGGAAGAAACTATGCGTAAGCTCATCCCTGCTAATTAGCTTCCAATTAATCTGACTTATTGCCTGTTGGTCATTTCTAAATATATTTGTGGGAACACTACTGTGTAACGCAAATGGATACGTCTGGTGATATGTATCGCGGCTGGGTACATCTGGCAACTTTGGTTGTGTTTGGTACATCTGGCAATTTTGGTTGTGTTTGGTACATCTGGCAACTTTGGTTCCGTCTGGTACATCTGGTATTTGAGAGAGAATTCAAGTCAAGGTGGAGATTGTTAGAATATGACTTGAATTTGATTTGGGTTTGTTTTGTGTTTTAGGCCTATTCTGTTTGGTTTTGGGATTGAGTTTTGTTTGACCTTTTTTCCTTGTATGTTTGGGAAAAGGTGTTTGGTTTTCTGTTTGGGATTAGGAGAAGAGTTCTATAAATACTCTTCATCACCCTAGTCTGTAGTAAGGTCAGTCAGGGTTAGTTTGTTTGGTTTGTCCGTTTGGAATTTGGTTTGTAACCTGTACTCTCCTCAAATTAGTGAAATTTGTCCCCCCTGCCCGTGGATTAGCTAGCACACATTGTGTTAGTGAACCACGTTAAATTTGTGTTCGTTCGTGTTGGTTTGGATTATCGATTGCACGCTTCTGTTCTGACACAAACAATACATTTGTAATGCCTACTTTCCCAAATGTCTACATTTCTCCAATGCCTATAAACAAATTAAAAATGACTACAATGTTGTCTTTATAACAAATTCTAAGGAAGAAACTATGCGTAAGCTCATCCCTACTAATTAGCTTCTAATTAATCTGACTTATTGCCTGTTGCTCATTTCTAAATATATTTGTGGGAACACTACTGTTAACGCATATGGTCGCTGATTGCGGGGCGTCTGCCGGGAAGAACCGCCAACGATGTGAAGAACTACTGGAACACCCACCAGAAGAAAAAGACGGCGACGGCGACGGCACCGTTCCCATGCAAACCAGCCTATCTTAGCGACGGCCGGCAACCGGCTGCTGGTGCCAAAAACAACATCTCACGACCCCAGATAACGAAAGCCAACATTATCAGGCCGCGACCTCGTACCTTCTCATCCAAAAGCCTCTCCTGGCCCATGAAGCCTGTCGAGCCCAACAATCCCGCTACATCAAATAAGCCCAACAACAATATTATTAATCTTCATCATAAGTTGCCGCCAAGTCAGCAAGATGATCGCCGTCGTTGTCAGGAGAATCATGACGGCGCCGGAATCACGTGGATGGACCAGCACCAGCTAGAGAGATTCCTCGACGATGGCATTAATAATAATCTACCAGTGGCGGTGGACCACGAAGCTGATCAGTTTCCTCTCGGCCAATTAATGTCGTCCATATTGCCAGATCATCAAGAGAAGAGTGTTGATGATATGATGATGTTCCAGGAAGACAACTACCAAAGTTTCTGGAGTGATCTGGACATTTGCCATCTTCTCAGTGATCGTCATGACTCATATGACGTTTAATTTCCTCTCGGTGGATCCCTCATAAAAAAAAAAGTAGCTCGGTCAAGTCGACTAGTTTCATTTCCATTACTTCTCTACAAAAAAAATATGTTTAATTATACTGGACAAACAAATGATTTTCCAGTATGAACACGTGGAATGAAGCATGAGTTTTATATGATAAGTATTAGTATGGGTAGTGACTAGTGACATATGATTTTTCAAAAAAAAAGTTCTAAGTAATTTCTCTAACTCGATTTGTTTTTTTTATAAAATATCATTACCGTTTCCATTCAAGTTTTTTACTCCTAAAGCCTAGGAAAACAAAAATCTGAATTAATATGAATGAGATATGATCCTTGAAAGATTAATGAGAGTAAATTATGAACGACTGAGAATGCTTTGGAATGAGTGCTGGCATTAGAACTAATTAACCTGTAAGGTTTTTGTGGTGTGGTAAGTTTTCTTGGATAAATAATGCTGAAATAGTGAAGAGAGGGAGGCAAAGAGCAATGGGAGGAGGATGGGGTAGAGTACTATTTACAGTAGTTACCATAATACCTTTATTAATTATTGTTAGCATAGTGCTAACACATAGGGTGTTAATACGCTATACGATTCAATCCATTTTGATCCAAATTCAATTGGATTGGTGGATTCATGGATTGTTGGCAAATTGTATCATAATACATATATTTTTATATTTTACATTTGGTACCTAAAAATTATTTCCAATACAAAGGTAGTTGAGTGTTTGGCTGAAATCTATTAGAAGTGCTTTTAAATATGAGAGGTTGTGTAAAATGACTATAACGGACTTATAATATAAACTATGAATAAGATTTCTAAACAATAAAAAGTAGTAAAAATGGATCTTGCTAGATTTCTTTTATATTAAATAATATGATTTTATAATTTATTTTATTTTTAAAATTATATAAATGAAATAAAATTATATTTTCTGAAATAAAATTAAAATATGGTAAGGTTAATCTTGTATTTTCAAAACAGTTTTTCGCAGAAACCCCAAATCGGAGCTTCTGCTTTTATGTTATACAAAAACATTTTTCAACTTTTCAAAAGCTAAGCGTTTAGATGTGTTTGGCCTTGCTCCAGCTTTTGAAGTCGAAAAGCACTTCTAAAAGCCGGACCAAACATAGGCATTGTGCATAGTTCGGGTCATGAGAGCAATTTCAGAAACCACAAGCCAAGATAAAAAGTTTGTGTATAGTTCGGACCAAAATAAGGTATTAACACTCTAGGGTTCTGTACTTGGATTAAGAGCTTTCTGTACACTGTCTGAACATACAGAATCGAAGAAAAATTAGCAGTTGGAATTGATAAGGAACGCGGCAACGATTACAGTTGCTTTCTTGATTAGTTTCTACTGACAAATACAAAAATGGAACCAAGCTGGTGGGAAAGGAAGAAGAGAGAACGTTGCTATGGTAACTAGCAGGAGCTCTTTATATGAGAAAATGCCAGAGAATAGGCAAAAGACAGAGCAGTTCATCCCTATAAAATCTGTGAGCTATGTAAAGAGAAAAGAGAGAGAGATTACAACTACGTGTACCCATTTCTTCTGTGATTGCACCACCACCCTGCTTGCCCCTTGTATGGCAAAACACTGATAAGAAAGTTAATGAAGAAAAAGCAATCGAAACCCCAAAACTAAAATAAAACAAGAACCCTGACACTTGGTTATCTTTTCATCTTCGTCCCTCTTTTCAGCATCCCATGAATCAAATCACGCTACTGCACTCTTCAAACAACCTCTGGTTCTTATTTCTTATTCAGTTATGACGACTGATTCATCTGGGAGAAGACAATAAATAGATTTATCTCCACGGAGGTTGAGGCTGTTTATAGTGCAGGGAGTAGGGTTCCCAACCACCATCTGGTTCCTTGCGTTTGCCCATGGCCATTCCAGAACTTGAGGAAGAATGCTGTGGGTTGGACCTCAAATGCTCCTCAAAAGTCCTGCTGCTGGTTGGACCACCAGTCGCGAAAAACTGCCTCAACCCACCACTGCTGCTGCTCCCTCCGTCGGTTGGAAACCCCAAGTTGAGATCGAGGCTTGCTCGAGACGATGGTCCAGCACCATTTAAACTGAGGGGTCCACCGCCAGTCATGTTCATGAGGAACGGCTGCTGAGAATATGGAGGAAGAACAGCTGATCCAGATCCCATAATATGAGGTACCATGGGGGCCCCTCTTGAATCCACCAAGTATGGGATTGTACCTCCCGGTGGTACATACATCGCTGCCGGAGAGAGAGACATAGGATTGTAACCAAAGACGGGAGGAGTAGATGCATACGATGATCCTGCTCCTGTTGGTACCATACCCATAAATCCTAATCTCGCAACACTGGATGTATCCATTGCAGGCTCCAACAATGTCTTCCCGTTTGGCATGGACATGGATGGAGTCTGAGGCAAAAAGAAATCCCTTCTGCCAACTTCTGCTCGACTACCTACTTCCACTTTAGCTCCCATGATAGAGATAACCGGATCTCCACCTTGTCTGGATACTCCTCCATTATTAATACTCAAACCATGAGAAGACTTGCCGTTATATAATCCCTGATCAAGAGAATAATTTTGGAAAAGAGGTCTATCATTCAAATCAAAGTTCCTGGATGAAGGCCGCAATGAAGATGAAGAAGCAGGAGATGGACTGCGGTGATGGCCATTCCGGAGAAAAAACAGCCCTTCCTCCTTCCTTACATTCAACTGTGGATTCGTCTCGCCGTCATCGCTCAAGCAATTTAAATCAAGGGTGGGCCTTTCTGATTTACCCGGGTCCGCAATGTTAAAAGAAGACTCTTCCCCACGTTGGAATGACAAAGATGTTGAAATTTGCCTTCCCCCCAGCATCAAGTCCACTGCATTCTCATCTGCACTCTCACTGATATTGAGATCAATGTCGAGCCACCCCTGCCTCTGTTTTGAATTACTACTGCTTGCTGCTCCAGTTTCAATGTTGTTATCAACCTTCCGAGGTGAGGCTGGACGAAAAGCACTGGTGGCAGCAGATCCCTTCCATCCAAGTGATCCTTCAAAGTGCAATGGGGCAGCAGGTGAAGCTGAAGCTGCTGCTGCTGCTGCTGGCCTTGATATAGAAACAATAGAGATGGGAGCAGAGACCAGGTCTGCAGGATGATCTGCTGCATCATCTGAAGAGAATTCTTCATTAAGATCGAACCCACAGAATCCTTTCTCCACAACTTTTGGCTCTCGAGCTGCTTCAGTCACCTGAGATGACTCCATCTTCTCATTTATGTCATTCTCTACTTTATTTATCTCGTTAGAATCAGGAGATGCTTTCTGTGAAGATGGCAGGTCTTCAGCTTCAGCTCGGTCTTCTTTCCCACTTACTGAATCTGGGCTACCAGGCTGCTCATTATGAGGACTTCCCCTTATCTTTTCTGAAGAAGAAGTGCCTGATGGTTCTCTATCGTCAACCACTTCCCTCTCAACTTCCTGAGCAACTAGTCGTGCAACTTCTAACGCATCAACTATCCCATACTCGACATCAATATTGGACTTTCTTCTATTGGTTGAAAAAGAACTCTGGGTATCCAACGTTGATCTAGTAGAGAAATCATAGTCATCTCCTAGTTCCTCATCATCATCACTACTCTGCACATTTTCATCCTCATCGGGCCCAATGTCTTCTTCCGCATTTGATGTAGTCCTCAAGACTGCAGATTTCCTTGATCCATTTTGATCATCTTCAGAAATCGCTGTATTAGTCAGTGGATCAATGTCATTGGTAGTATGTCCACCATCTGCCACACCTTTCAGGGCTGGTACAGCTGTTCTATCATCATCAGACGCAGAAGCACTATGAGACTTACTGCCCTCAGTAGCCTCCTCAAACTTTTGTTGCAAACTGGGATCTGTATTCATCTCTTGGATGTTCGCATCATCAGTTGTCGAGTTCATTACAGATTCCAACTTAGTAGAGGCTGAAGCAATTGAGGATGCATCACATAAGTTGCTAGGATTATTTAGGGCATCTGACTCAGGGTGGGTACCTAGTCCACTTTGAACTAAGGAGGTACGAGTCTCAGTGGAAGCAGCTCCTTCTAAATTTCCTACAGAGGTCTTCTCTTTGAAGGAAGTGCCATCTTGATTGCAATTTGATATAACAGAATCAGTCACGGATATGTCACCCTGGTTTCCATGATCTGAGACTGCTGCATCTGTTACTACAGGCTTGCTACAAGGCATTCCCTGGTTTTGATGATCCCTATCAACTTCAGAGTACTTCACAATTCTTGATTGTGTAGCTTCATCACTGGAAGGCTCTGCTGCACATCTTTTGGTCTCATCACTTCCTTCAACAGGAATGTCTTTCTTAGTGACGTTGCCATCACCATGAATCACAATGGCTGCATCTAATCCCCAAGAATTCTGGCTATCATGCTTAGTTTCACGACTATCCTTATCCTGCTTCCAAGAATCAAAAAGTGCTCTTGCTCTATCTTGAACGCATGAGCTAGGGTGGTCAAGAAGACTATTGATAGTCGCCCAGACCCCTGAAGAAAGAGACCGGGCTTTGTCTATTTGCAGCTTCTCTATTGCCCTTAGCAGTGCAGTTATTGATTCTACTATAAACCCAACACTTGTACTGCGATTTTGATTCTGGGCCTCCTTTAACCATCTATCAACAAACCTGAGTCCATCTAGTTGAATAAAAAGATCAAGACAATCCCTATTCTCTGTAGCAGCAATTGTGCTGCCAACTGCCGTCCACTGCCTAGTTGCATCACCAATGTTCTTAACAACAAGATCTTTCTCCTTCTGCATTACAGCAATCAGCTCACGTACTCGAGAAGGGACTGTCAGCCCATCTTTCATCTCAGTTAGGGTAAAGAAATCTTCAAGCGTCATAGTGTTTCACATACCATACCGCCAGTCACTAAAAATCCTTTTATAAAGGATTGCTCTTTCGTTCATCAAGACATTCATCAAACTCTTACGACTAGTCAGTAAGCACCTGAAAAAAGAATAAAAATGTATTGCTTAAGAACAGCTCCAAGCTAAGACCTAGCCAAAGAATCGCAGCATCCCTAAAATATAAGACTGATTACATTACCACATAAAAGTCACAATCACAGAATGCCTGATCTTCAGTACAAGTATCACCATATGCTTTGTTGACACAAACTAAACCCACAACAAAAAGAAAATATCAAAGGCTCAATTCTATTAAGGATCACAGGGTAGTCACTCCTACCAATGAAAACCGTGAACGACGAAAGACAACATTAGCCTGAAGATGGCTTTTCCAAACTTAATATTCTAATAAAATGAGCATTCCATATAAAAGGGAAAATAAATGCTAATATGTAGAAACAAGAAAATTTAGCCTGGTGGGGTTTAGGAATGTGATTCGCTGGATGGGAAAAGAATTATACTGTCAAAGGAAGGCCACCCATAGACCATGTCACCATGCAGCAGACGCGGCATCACAATTACCCCATCTCATGGTAAGAATATCAATGTATCACATACTAGTAAACAGTTAAAACATGCAGCACCCTTTCGAACTAATGGAAGAGGGAAGCGAATGTGATCAGACAACTTCTGTCCACAATGGACAAGAGTGAAACTAAAATTTTTTGTGGGATAAGACATAAAAAAAAGCTCTGCAAATTCAAAGTTCAGCTTAAGTAAACTGATCGAAAATGCCATGTTCTCATAAAAACCAAAAATCGGATATTGATTAACAAATTAAGCATCGTTTCTAGTTTTAATGCAGAAACTGATGGCCCGGATACAATCAAAGCATGGAAGGAATCCCAAATTCTCAATCAAAATTGAGAAAATAGTGAAGTCTGAACATGAATTGGAGCCGCAGACAACATAGTCCGTAAGAACATACCAAAACCCAGGAAAGGGCACACCAAGGACCATAGGCAAAGCAGAGGAAACCCTAGCTACAACTTGAGTAAACATCAAACAAAGTCCCCAGAAGAGAAACCCTAACTCACTACGGCTACACATTTACACGGGTAGGAATTCGAGAATTTCGCATCAAAAACTGCTTCAATTAATGCCCAGATACGGCTGATTCAGTAGTTAAAAAATCCAGGATACCCGAGACCCATTGATCGCCAAAAACCGAAATGAAAACCCCTCAAAAGCACAATTCCACACACACACAAAAACAGAAAAGGCCGAGAGCTTTCACAATTCAGATGGAGAGAAAGGAATCGGTATTTACCTTCTGTATCAAGGAGGGAGGGGAAATCAAACAGGACCACTGCTTCTCCTCCTAACTCTGAACGAGGCCGCCGGGAGAGAGCGCCGCGCGTCAGCAGGGAATTCCGGTTCAGCAGTTTGCAGTGAACATGCTCGTCTACTATGGCGCAAAAGTAAAAGAACCCTTCAGCTTTCGCACGTCGAACAACCAGAGGGGAGCCGGGGCAGCCGCGAGAGAGTCTTGAGAGAGAGCAGCGGTTCTTTCTCTTCTCCTGCTTCGCGTAACTTTTCCAAACCTTGTTCGTTTCTGCTTTTTCTCGATGTGGAAGTTTTCAAGTTTCTGGTTGGTTTTCGGTTCGAAATTGGGTGGTCGTACGTGACACGCGTGTGAGGGCCATTGGCTCGGGTTTGGTGGTCAACTGTACGTAATTCCGTTTTAATTTTCTCGCTAAGGATAATAATATTATTATATTAGTCAGTCAGTCTCATTTGCGATTTGCGATACGGATCTTAGTATGGATTCGGTTTGCATCAGTTCAATCTTATACTCCAGTCCAGGCCTGGACTTTCTACAATCTTTGGCCCAATTTGTTGTCGTACTTGGGCCTTGAAGAAGTTATCTCAGCGGGAAATAAACATTGGGCCTTAGTATTTTTTTTTCTTGGCCATCGAAGTAATATAGTGGTGGTTTGGTTGGATGAACTGAAAAAACGAGAGAATTTGATCAATTATCTCATATTATAAAACGGTGCCTATGATGACTTGCAAGTTGATGTAACTTGGAGAAAACGGTAGATCTCTTCCATCAAGTGGTCGATCACTTTTCAAGAAAATGGTCGACCTCTTCTACCAAGTGGTCTACCACTTGAGTCATCTGGTCTACCACTTACGGAAATGGGTCGATATAATGACACACTTACCTTCAAGCGGTCAACCTCTTCTACCAAGTGGTCTACCATTTGAGTCATCCGTTCTACCACTTTCGGAAATGGATCGACCTGATGACACACTTACCTCCAAGCGGTTTAACACCCTCCCTCAAATTGATGGTATTGACGCAACATCAATTTGTGAGCTAGAAACCAATGGTGAGCAGGAGCCACAACCTTGATCGACAAATCTGTCGTGTGATCTTCATAAGCAATATAAGAAAGCTCAATGATACCTGCTGTAACCAGTTGTCGGATGTAATGGACATGAACCTCTATGTGTTTAGTCCTATCATGAAGAACAGGATTAGTAGCAATTCTGATAGCACTCGTGTTATCAACATATAGTCGAATAGGAAGAACACACTGGACACCCAAATCAGCTAACAGTCGCTAAAGCCACACAATTTTGGACGTGACCTCACTCATGGAGCGATACTCTGCTTCTGTAGACGATTTAGAGACTCTCTCCTGCTTCCTGCAGCGCCAGGAAACAAATGACTTCTCAATCTTCACACACCAACCTGAAGTGGAACGTCGTGTATCCAAACAACCAGCTTAATCAGCATCTGCATAAGCCTCCATAATAGGCTCACCACCTGGTGTACCCCGAAGAGAGCGCAGAATGTGCTGAACTGCGACCCGGTGCATCGTCCGTGGAGCAGTCATGTACCGACTAACCACCTGTACAACATAAGCAATATTTAGCTGAGTATTAGTCAAATAAATGAGACTACCAACGATACTACGATACATAATACCATTGGACAACGGATTTCCTGCATCTTGGCAAAGTTTGAGATTCTGCTCCATGGGGGTCCACACGACTCACACTCGTCCATCTGGGCCTCTTCTAGGAGATCCGCGACATACTTGCGCTGACTCACATGTAGTCCTGCCGCAGAACGAGTAATTTCAAGCCCCAAAAAATAATATAAGTCCCCAAGTTCGTTAAGATGAAAAGCATTCCGCAGATCTGCAGTTAAGGACCATATCATCAACATAAAGCAACAAGACAGTAAGTCCATTCGTATTAGAGAGAAGAAAAGGGAAGGATCATTATCACTCTGAATGAACCCCGAATTAAAAATCGTCGACTGAAACTTCTCAAACCACGCTATAGGTGCCTACTTTATGCCATAAAGAGAATGTCGCAATAAACAGACCAACGAACTGTCACCTTTAGCATAGCAGGAGGCCACTCCATGTAGATCGTTTCCTTTAAATCCCCATGTAAGAACACATTTTTGACATCCAGTTGTAGCAGACGCCACCCCTTCATGGCGATAATAGCAAGCAAACTGCGGACCGTCTGCATTTTGGCAACGAGAGCAAATGTTTCATCATAGTCCACGCCATATTGTTGTGTAAAACCCTGAGCAACAACCCTTGCTTTACGACGTTCAATCGATCCATCCGCATTTTCCTTGAGAGCATAAACCCATTTACTATCAATCACTGATATTTCAGGTCAGCGAGGTACCAAATCCTACGTATGTTGAGTCTCAAGAGCATCAGTTTTAGTCGTCATAGACTTCTCCTATTCATCTATGTCGCGTGTTTATTTATAGGTGGTCGGGACAAACACAGAAGAAGTGGCAGAGAAGGCCACGAAATCAGAGTGGCAAGCAGGGGGCACCCTTCCGTCATTCGAGTCGAACGACGAAGGAGCGGTCCTGGTGACTCGCCTGCAGAGGAGCTCGTTGTCGTGCTAGAGCTAGAGGACGAAGAGGAGCTCCGTAAGGAGGAGCTCAAAGACTGGGAACTGGACGATGATGACTCGAACGAGAGAATGGTGGAGGCCGGAGTGGGCAATCCATCATCATCGTTGTCACCTGCTGTTGGAGGAAAACTGGGAATGGAAATAAGAAAGTCCAGCTGCTGACTCGATGGAGAGGTCGCAGAATCATAATAAAGATCATTTTCAAGGAAGACAACATGACAAGAAATGCGAAGATGTCGTGCAGCAACATCGTAGCATGCATACCCTTTATGCGTCTCACTATATTCAACAAAAACACACTTAGCATCCTTGGACGAGAGTTTATTACAGTCTCGACGAGGGAGGAGAACATAGCATATGCAACCAAACACACGTAACCAGCCATAGTTGGGAAGCCGCGAATAGAGAACCTGGTAGGGACTGCACTGCACCAAAACCGGAGTGATTTGACGGTTAATGAGATACACTACAGTATGAACAGCTTCAACCCAAAAGCTGGTCGAAACATACGAATGAAACAACAAAGCCCGAGTTAGTTCCAAGACATGGCGATTCTTTCTCTCGACTAATCCCAATTGTTGAGACACACATGGACAGGATTGCTAAGGAAGAATGCCCTTCTGACGAAAGATATCACGCAATGGATGAGATGAGAACTCCCCACCAGGATTTGAACTTAGAATCTTGATCACTTTACCAAATTGGGTCGAAACCATATGAATAAAATCGCAAGCTACCTCAAAGAGTTATGATTTCTGCTTGAGAAAATAAACCCAGGTGTACCGTGTCAGTGATCAATGAAGAGAGCAAAGTTAGGGGTGTTCAAACGGTGTGGTTACCATGGTAACCGTTTTAACCAGTACTATTTGGATATTTTGGTTTGGTTAATTTGGATAATTGGTTTGGTTTGGTTAAAGTTTTTAGCTTGTTTGGTTTAGGTGGTTTGGTTTGGTTTCAGACACTCCTAATCAGCCAAACCAAATTAACCAGATAAATAATTAGCCATATATCTAATATATACACATACTTAATACTTTGAATAACCAATCAAGAGTTAAACGGTCATCCTTTTAGACTCATAAAATATAAAGCTTGATATTGTTCCTATAATGTATATTTGTATATGTAGAGTGTAGACCACAACATATGAACGCCTAATTTAGATAAATCTCACACATTATGTTGGATGAAAACTTGAAAGCAATGTCCTTTTTAGCCTATGAAAATTGCTAAAAGACTAAGTCAATTCAAACAAACACAACAATTCATTAACTCATACCATTGTGATAATTTTTTGTTAGGTGAATACTTCTATACTAACCGTAAGATAATTCTCTTAGTTGCATGTATTTATTTTAAGGGTCAACTGTAACTATGTGTTGATTGTTATGTTTTATTCATCAACAGTATAATTTATAGCTGAAAAGTAAAACTGCAACCCCCATTCAAAATTTCCTGCCCATAGAGTGATTTTAGGAAGCTGATGTGCCAGAGTGTTAAGCGGGGAAAAAAGAGTCCCGCCTGATTTCAGAACCAAAAAACTCTCCACTACCCACTTTTTTCTCCTTCCAGGCCCACGTTCTCATTTAATTTGTATAAAAAAACTCTCCACTACCCACTTTTTTCTCCTTCCAGGCCCACGTTCTCATTTAATTTGTATTTTTTATTTCCGATTTCCCTTCCTTCTACTCTTTCACCTCATTCGAATAAGTTTCTTGGCCCTCAGAAAACCAAACCTTGACTCAATCATCTGGTTCTTTTATGTGCTTGCATCTACCTTTGATTTCCGTTCTCTAAGCGTTAGATCGGTATTGGTTTTGCCGTAAGTTATTCTTCCTCTTTCAGATTTCTGTTTGTTGTTGTCGCTGCTTTTAAGTTTTAGGGATTCGGGTTCTGGGTTTTTTTTTTCAGGGATTCGGTTGCAAAGATTCATCTCCCTTACCTTTGGTTCATTCCGTTTTCTTTATTCTCTCTTACCTTCCTCGCTTCATTCTGTTGATTGGATTATCTAGAGATCAAAAGGGGATTTTTGATTTTTCCCTTTCTCTTGAAAGTAACAAAGCTGCTTACTTTAAATTCCACTTCGCTTAGACTGTCTTCCAGAGAGCAGCCGACTGCCGATTTTGAGCTGAGTTTTTCCGGGCCGCAGAGAAAGAAGAGGAAAGAAAGAGACGCTCGGCGGCGGCAGCCAGGTACTTCGTCCGGGTCGTTTTCCGGGTCAGTAAACCGAAGGGCCGGCTATAAACTACCGCTGGCCTGGCGGGGGAAAAGGAAAGCGTAAACCATAAGGCCTCGGGGATCCATTTCTCTCGCCAGCCCATACTTCAGAGGCCCAGCCTACTTGAGTCCAGAACCAGCCCATCGCCGACGAAATTTGGCGCGCCGTCCCCCACCCGCCACCACGTATGAGACATAATCAATTTACTTTCTGATGTTAACTCTGTTGCAGGTAAATGTCGAAATCCAACTTGATCAGTAAGGTTTTCTCTCATATGTTTCTAGGTTAATTAATCTAATGGGACTGGCTATGATCTGATAATGTACTTTCAGCTCTAATCACTAAAGAAGTATAAAGTAGGCGGTATTGATAAGCATGCTCCACTGGTTAGTGTATTGGTTCTACCAGGCTTTTTTCCCGTTATTACATAAGATCATTGGACAGTTTTATCTCACTCCATTAGTTTGTTTTATTGTTCTTCAACTTCATTTGCATTGTATTTGTATTGTGACATTGGAGTTGGAATCCATTTGTGCTAAAAGTACAAAGCGTAAACTGCATAATTGAAAGAAGGGATAAGCTTGGTATAGTTAGAAGAACTAGAATTGGTAAGCACTTATAGTGCTTTTCTTATTGCCAGCTTGCTTCTTTTTCAAACTTCTCTTTGGATATGATTTTTATGGATGCCTTTGAATTATATTTGTGTTGGTCATTACATTGTTGTCCTTCTCGCTCTTCCTTTGCATCCCCAAGCTTGGAAGCCATTCTGTTATATGTGTTTTGTTCATCAATTTAAATTATGCCTTATATAGTTATATTTTTCTTCGACTGTTATGTTTGTGTGGTGTGTTGTATGTGTCATTAACTCGCACAAACTTATAATTGGTGAGGAGTTCAACTTCTGTTGTAACAATTAATTAATTTATATGAATGGCAGCTGCAAAATTTACTGGAACGGGTGCATCATTTACCACGACCTCTATTTCAGATTGCATCAGGTTATTGGAGAATTTAATATGGATAGTGCAAATGTCATCCCATCTGCCCAACCACAGATTTATCGATCGTCTGTACCATGTGAGTGTCATGGTTTAGCACACAACTACTTCAATGCAAACTGACATTAATATTTTCCCTTGAATCTCATTTGTTTAGGGAAACGTCGAGCAATGTTTATTCATCCTGAAGATCAGTATCAACGCTGTGTTTTATCTGCTGAAGAGGAAGAAGCATTTGAGAGAGGTGTGTTATCTGTGTTTTAATTTTTCTAATTAGTTCATCTATTCAATGAGTAATACATGGTTTTATATTTAAATTCTGCAGAAGAAGCTGCCTTACAATTCCAACTCTCTCAACTTCGGCGAATACTATCCCAAGTCGCCCGTAAGAGAAGACATCATATTTTGAAACGGAAGGTTCATAGGAGGGGCTTGCCTTTTGAACACCAAGGTTGTTGTTTGCTAAATTTTGTAGCAAGTCTTACAAATTAGGCTATTCTAGATTGTTGAATCCTTATTTATTTCTTTAATATCGTATGTGTTTTGGTGTTGTTCATAGTTTTGGAGTCGGAGTTTAGATTTCTATTACAAAAGCAAAGTCGATTACTTCGACGTATTCATCTGCATAGAAAGAGACGTGGCCGAAGTTTCTTTCCTACAGAAGTCAATCAAAGTATGTGGATTCTAATGGCCACTATTATACATGAAATGGTTCATCTCTATTTCGGTTTAGTTTTTGTACATTGGATATATGTTTTTGTGTTCTGGTCAACATATTTTGTTTCCTATTTTGATTTTAGAACATATAATGTACCCATTTATGCAATGCATATAATTTAGTGATGTACGCTTCATGTCACCTTATGCAAATAGTGGATTGTTTTTAGATGTTGATGTGTCAACGGCAAATTTGTGTGTTATGAACAAACTTTAGTGTTTCCTGAAATTTGACTTATTCTTACTTAAAATGAGCGGTATACCAATCTATCTTGCCTTGAGAACATTTATTTTAATAATTTTGTTTACTGTAGCGCGCCTAATTCGGCTTCACAGTTTCTCAATCTCATTCAATTTATGAATTATTGTGACAAAAATTTATTAATATTACTTATCTATTTCACTAGGTCTTCCGTTGGTTGAATTTTTTGATATTGGTCCACCTTCATGTACGTGTCAATATTGTGGAGCAGTTATGTGGCGGTTCGAGAGTACTTTATCTACACGGAATGATGTGTTGCCTGCATTTCCTTTATGTTGCAAACATGGTAAAGTGAAATTGCCTCCCCGCAGAGATGTGCCCGAATTTCTTAAAACTCTACTTGAAGGGGATACACCATTAGCGCGTCACTTTCGTACTAACATCAGAGCCTATAATGGGGTTTTTTGCTTTATTTCTCTCGGAGGTAAAGTCAACCACTCTATTAATGATGGTCGTGGAGTTTATGTATATTCAATCGGTGGTCAGATTTATCATCGAATAGGATGTTTGGTTCCTGGTGATGGGGATAGTCCGAAATTTGCATAGCTTTACATTCACGATTCAGATAACGAGGTGCAGAATCGTATGGACTTTTACTCCACTGATCCTGCCAAAAATCCGTTGCACCAGTGTATTGTTGAAGGCCTCCAGCATATGTTTGATGACAATAATATCCTGGTACGTACATTTCGTTCTGCGCGAGATAGGATACAAAACTCTGGTGTCCAGGAGCTTCAACTGAAACTATTGGCTAAGCGTGAAATTAATAGTAGAGAATATGATTTGCCCTCTGCGAATGAGATTGCAGCATTGATTGTAGATGAAACAGGAGAGCAATCATTTTCTCCAGATATAATTGTTCAACAGAAGGGTTCAGAAATGGAAAGGATTAGCGTATACCATCCAAGTCTGATGGCATTAAAATATCCAATTTTATTCCCATATGGCGAGGATGGGTGGCATCCCTGCATTAGCTATAGTCACAGTAGCTCTAATATCAGTGTTGGAGATAAAATGATAACCCAGTGTGATTTCTATGCATATCGTCTTCAAACCCGTCTCTAGGAGTCGAATTCTCTGTTATTATCTGGTAAATTGTTTCAACAATATATGGTGAATGCATTTGCGTTAATTGAGGCTGAACGCTTAGACTGGATGCGTACCCATCAGTCGAAGCTAAGAGGACACTACTACAAGGATTTGTTGAATTCTTATTTGCGAGGGGATAGTGATATCAAGCTTTCTGGGAAGCCAGTTATTTTAGGTGCCTCACACATTGGTAGTCCAAGATACAAGTATGAGAATTTTCAGGATGCGATGGCTATTTGCAAGTGGATTGGTTATCCTGATTTGTTTATAACATTCACTTGCAATTCTAACTGGCCAGAGATACAGTTAATGGTTGATTTGATTAGAAGGTACAGTGGCAAAGATCCTGACCGGGCTGACATCACCGCCAGAGTTTTCAAAATCAAGCTTGATGAGTTTATGTTAGAGGTTCGCGAGAAACAAATATTTGGGAAAATCAATGCATGTATGTGTGCTTATTCATTCGTTATTTATCTATTAATGTTCATCCATTACTCTCTTACCTCATTGAACTAATATTCCTTTTCCACTATTTGCATCTTGCTGTACAGATGTCAAAGCAATTGAATGGCAAAAGCGGGGTCTCCCTCATGCACACATATTGCTTTTTTTGGCCTCGGAGAATAAATTCCATGGTCCCGCGGCTATTGATTCCATAATATGTGCTGAAATTCCGGATCCTGATCTTGATCCTGAACTGTATGCAGTTGTCACAAGTTCAATGATGCATGGCCCGTGTGGTACAGTACGTCCTAATAATGTGTGCATGAAGAATGGGAAATGTAGTAAGCATTACCCCAAGGAATACTCTTCTCAAACAACTATTGATGAAACTGGGTTTGCTAAATATCGTCGGCGGAACAATGGTAGAGTTTTCAACTGTGGCGGCGTTGATCTGGATAATCGATGGGTTGTACCCTACAATCGATATTTGTTACTACGATTTGGAGCGCATATCAATATTGAATATTGTAACAAGACAAGGTATGGCTGAAGTAAATCGTATTTATCTATATGACGTTGTTGTTTCCTTTATTATATTACCAAACTCAGATTCTTAATGACAGCTATATGTATATTTATATGCTACACTCATTATTAATTTTATGCATGCATATGAATTATGATTTAATTTCCAAAGATGAATAAAAACCAAACCAATATTTGTGCGATTTCTCTTTTTTTTTAGTTATTTTATAAACCCAGTGTTATCTTATTGGTGTGACTTCTTGCCGCAACTCTGTAATTTTTGTAATATTTTTTGGTGTGTTTTCCTTCATTTCCCCCCCCCCCCTTGGATAAGCTATTGTGATCCATTTATTGCCTTTTATTCTCTGTACTTTGATTTCTTATTTAATACAAGTCACATTTAAGAAAAAATGTAATACAACTTTTTCCTACTTCCCTATCTAACATCTACAACTTGGTTTTATTTGATGTTTCTATAGGGCTGTGAAATATTTGTTTAAGTACATCAACAAACCCGAGGATCGTGCAATGGTCATTGTAGCTGCACAACAAACAGCTTTGGCTATGGATGGTCGGAATCGTGGAACTACGGTTGTGCAAATCGATGAGATAAAGGCATTCATGGATGCCCGTTACATCACATCGGGAGAAGCATGTTGGAGAATTTTTAGGTTTGATATATACACTCACTCTCCAACAGTACTGCGTATGTCCTGTCATTTGCCTGGTGAGAATACAGTGTATTCAAATGTTGATTCTAACGTGGAGGAAGCGGTTGAGTCTAGCAGTTCCCAAACCTCAATGTTGTTAGCATGGATGGATCTCAATCTTCAGTCAATGGATGCACGGAAATATACCTTTGCGGAGATGCCACAATATTATGTATGGAATAAAAAATACAAGAAGTGGCAGCAGCGCAAAAAAGGTACCTGCATTGCTAGATTATATTACTGCTACCCATCCGCAAAGGAGCAATACTATTTGCGAATGCTATTACATGTTGTTAGGGGTTGTTGTTCTTATGATGATATTAGAACAGTGAATGGGGTGGTATATGAAACATTCCAAAAAGCATGTTATGCTCGGGGACTGTTATCAGGATATTCTGAATGGAATGATTGTGTCCAAGAAGCTTCGCACTGGGCTTCTGGTTATAAACTTAGAAAACTTTTTGTCACAATTCTTATTCATTGTCAGGTGGCTGATGTGACTTCTTTTTGGTTAAAGAATTGGGAATTACTAAGTGAAGGCATTTTGCATTCACGACGTAGAGAGCTGAATTTACCCCAGTTGAATTTGTCGGAGGATGAAATTAAGGAGTTGTGCCTTATTCATATTGACAAATTGATGGAGAGATTTTCGAAGTCATTAGCAGATTTCCCTGGGTTGCCTGTTCCCGATCAGTGTTTGCGTTCACATACGGTAAACAGGCTGATAGATATGGAGATGAATTATGGACCCGATGACTTAGACTGTCCTGAGGATCGACATAGTAGACCGTTGAATGGAGAACAACAAATCGCTTACGATATGGTATTACATTCTGTTTATACCAATGAGGGTAAATGCTTTTTTGTGGATGGATTTGGGGGTACTGGTAAGACATTTCTGTGGCGAGCAATTTGTGAGCAATTAAGATTTGAGAAGAGGATAGTATTATGTGTTGCTTCATCTGGTATTGCTGCACTACTCATGGTCGGTGGAAGAACTGCACACTCAAGATTTCACATTCCCCTGGATTGTGATACAAAATCAACTTGCAATATTGAGCAAGGTTCTAAGGTAGCTGAATTGATTCTCAATGCTTCACTTATTATCTGGGATGAGGCACCGATGGCTCATAAACACAACATAGAGGCCCTAGATAGGACATTGAGGGATATTTTCCGAGTTAAGCATGTTGATTCTGAGTTGAAGCCTTTTGGAGGTATGACTATTGTGTTTGGAGGTGATTTCCGACAGACGTTACCTATCATCACGAAGGGTACACGGACTGAAATTGTTAATTCTTCCATAAAGAGATCTTATTTGTGGCGGTCTATGACAGTATTGAAGCTAACCGAGAACATGCGATTAAAATTGCCTCATTCTGAAGCATCGGCCAGGTTAGCAATCTCAAATTTTAGCAAATGGCTTTTGGAAATTGGTGATGGTACAAATAGTAATATTTTTGGAGAATCAATTATCCCGATACCTCTACACATTTGTGTTCCCCGTCGCAGTGATCCAATTCCTGATATTGTTGCTGAAATATATGGTCAGTTACTCTCCACTGAAAATATGTCAACCTATTTGGTTGAGCGAGCTATCTTAGCCCCTCATAATGACACTGTTGCGGCCATTAACAATTATGTATTGGGTCTATTTCCTGGTGAAGAAGTTTCTTATTTTAGTTCGGATTCGCTAGAGATTGATGCCAAGAATCAGCATGTTGAAGAAGGGGACTACACAGTTGAATTCTTGAACTCTTTAAAGATTGGGAATTTTCCGGAACATGAGTTGAAATTGAAGTTGGGGTGCCCTGTTATTCTGCTTCGAAATCTGGATCAGAGTACTGGACTTTGCAATGGAACTCGGATGATCGTTAAGAGATTAGGTAAGTGGTTTATTGAGGTCCAAATTTTGACCGGGACACATGTTGGTGATACAGTTTTCTTACCACGCCTAAGTCTATCGGTCCACTACAAGAGCTTAAATTTCACTCTGGTTCGAAGGCAATATCCAATTGCACTGTCATATGCAATGACAATTAACAAGAGTCAAGGTCAAACATTTAATCACGTTGGCATCTGCTTGCAAAGACAAGTATTTTCTCATGGACAGTTGTATGTTGCTATGTCTCGAGTTACGTCGGAAAGGGGACTCAAGATTCTTAGCTGTGACTCTCAAGGTAAACTGGTGAAGACTATGCAGAACATTGTGTTCACTGAGATTTTTGAGTAGTGGTTTATTGATGTATTATGTTTTATTCGATTTGAGGACTAAGACTGTCAAATTTATCGGGTCGTTACAATTTGAATCTTGAGTTCTCAATTTGTCCAAATTATTTTCCTATTTTTAACAGCCAATTATATGAAATGTGATTTATGCACACTACTTTATATTTAATTGTACCTCAATTTACTCTACCGAAGGGTATGCGCGTGTGACCGTTATATTGCAATACGAAGAAGAACTTCCATAGTCGCAACTGAACTAAACTAAATTAACACCACAACCCAGCCCACAAAACAACCCAAGCATGGTTCAGTTAAATAAAATATAGTTAGAGAGGGAATGCCCAGCCGGATTTGTTGAAACTAAATGGCCAACCTATTCCCATAAAAAAAAGGCCAACCTACACTACCTTGGGCGGATCCTTCTCCACTCCCCCACTCCCCCACCTCCTCTACTGCTCAGTATCCGATTTTTTGGATCTTCTATGAGGTGAAGGCTGCCGCATTCCAAGCCATTATTTCTTTATTAAATACATTCATTATGATTTTCATTTCATGTTAATTAGTGGTGGTGTGGGCCGGGCCGGCCGGGTTTGCGCATCAAATAATAATTAGCAACTTTGAGAGGCAATTTTGGACAAGAATTGTTGACACAGTCGCAATTAGCAATGTTGTTAAAACGGAACCGGACATCGATCCAAATTAGTAAAGGGTTCAAGGTTTATCAAATAACCGGTGGTTAATCGATATTAAAAACCGATCATAAACCGGTGTTGACTTACTTGGTAGACTTAACAATTTTTTTTTTTTTACAATTATTGTTTCACTTATTAGAGATAAAAGAATAAAGTGAGAATTATTAAAACTGAAAAAGCATAATTTGGGCGGCTGCTAGGTCTTTTTTGGGAAAAGTGAACTGATTTTTCTTCTCTTTATATTTTATTCTGTACTTACCTTCTTTTGTTTTTGAATTTTTAATTGCAACAAAATAAAAGGAAGGCGCATGTTTGATTTTAAGAAGGTGGGTCGTTCCCCTCAAAAAAAAAAAAGGTGGGTCGTGAGTTCCGTGACACACCCGCCTCTTGAACTCTAAATGGCCAACCTTCTCCACTCCCCCACGAGGCCACAAATCCTTCTCCACTCCCCCACTATCCCACTTTCCACACACACACGTACTCCACTGCATGCGGCTAAGTAAATCACGTGTGTAGAATCACTTTCTCTCCTTTATATAATGGAGATACCACTTTCTCTCATGTTACATTTCCGTTTACTACTTCCCATACAAAACACTTCGGTTCCATTGACCGTGCGAATTGCATTCAATATGGCGGGCCTGCCTCAATTCAATCAGTAAGTACTGCTCATGCATCCAACAAATACTACATCATGTAATTTCGATTCTTTTTCACTACTTAATGCCAAAACTTACAGTCCAATATATAGGCTTCCCCATGGTTTTATTGCTAATCTGCAATATGATGATGCTCTTGAAATTTGTGAGCGTGCCGACACCATCGATCTCATTATGTTGCAAGTGGATGTCAAAAATCAGGTAACTAAACAAATAAATTTCTTTTTAATCGTACGCCTTTTGTGGCATGCTGCATTTTATCGATTTGCTTTGACAATATTCGTTTCTGTGTTTACATCAGGGCACCTCTTTTTTGTTATCCGGACGTGTAACTAATTTGACGACGTCCCGGTCCCCTGCATCCAGAATCCATTTCGTCCACCTCACAATTGAGGACGAATTCATTGGTGTTGACATCGTCTTCCCGTCATCACAGTTACGAACGATTGTTGAATCTGTATTCAGTCATGCAGATGTTGTCAATGCTGACTATATGGCCCTTCTGAACATGCTTGGAGAATAGACATTTGAAGTCATGGTCACAGTCGGTCCCTGGAACGATGCATTTGGTTATTGTGAACTTGTGTTGGTGAAATTATTTTTGCCTTTGTTGAATTGAGTACCATGTCATGAACAATGAGACAATGTATTGAGTTTTCTTATTTTGGACTTGCATGTTATTTGTCGTAATACTCAACTAGATTAGATTTGTGATTAGTAAAATTTCATGTAAGTATTTTTATTCTGATTAGCTAATCTTCAAATGTATTTCTAACTTATTATGAATGTTCATTCATATTACATGTTCGTCTTCAACGAATTGCAAAATTGCAACAATCTTATGATAATATAAAACAAGACTCATTTCTCGACACTATCATTATAGATATTGTAACTCCATTTCCTTAAACAAATGCGGCCAACGGGCCGGGCTATAGGCTAGTTATATAAATTGTGAATTGATAAATTAACCAAAAAATGGTTTTGGTTAATGGTTTTTTTTAGTTTGGATGGGTTGGGTTGGGTTGTGTTTATATGAGGTGTCATGTTTTTCTGACGTGGCGGGTCAATTTCTTGTTTTTCTTGGGTTAAAATTGGGTGATTAGATATCTCTGTTAGCCACGTCAGCAGTTAACTGACGGCACTAACGGAGTCTGACGGAGGTTAACGGAGAGTGACCGAACTTAGACTGTTCAACTAATTTAAGTGAGTACGAATGGAATAAACGAATTCGAGTGACCAAAAGTGAAATTTTGTAGCAATTCGAGTGACCAAACTTGCAATTTAGCCAATTCTCAAAATATATAAGTTTGGTGTGGTACGTTGGATTGTCCAGTGATCTAGGTGTTGATTCGTTATAACCATAGTAAACCACACTCGAATGCTACTGTCACAAAAAAATGTCGTTTGCTCTTCCAAACGGGTCATTTGTTATTTCAATAAACTTTGAACGACCGTGACTTTGTGCTCCACAATTTGATCATTGGAAAAAAAAAACATAAACATTCAAGGATTACAACTTTTACGAGGGCGAGCAATTCCAAAAGATAAAATGTATTTGAATGTAATGGATTTTGAGAATATAAAGTTATTTGATTTTCACCTTTCCGCATATATTCTGAACATACTTCTGTGACAAAAGTTGTAGTCTTTGATTACGCAAATTCAGAAATATAATTTACAGTGATCGAATTGCGGAGCACAAAGTTATGATTGTGCAAAGTTTGGCAAAATTATAAAACGATTCGTTTTGGATAGCAAATCGCCTTTTTGGCGATGAACGCGGACCATACTGCATAGGCAGTTTGTGTTATCATCGAACATTTGAAAAAGTTACGCAGAACAAAAAAAATAGGGTTAATATTTTCGTATGGCCTGAACTTTTACCAAAATAAACATCCTGGCCAATCTTTTCGATCTATAACATCCTGGCCCGAACTATACACCAAAATAAACAATTTGGCCAGAACCGACTTTTGACCGTTAACTTGGACGGTCAAACGCGTTGACTAACGGTCAACGCACCACCTCACTGCCAAGTCAACAATTTTCACTTAAATTATTTTACAATTTCCACCTATTATCATTTTTTTATATTTTGAACGCCAAAAAAAAGTTAAACAAAAATAAATCAAATTAAAAAAATAAACTCTTCATCCCCTCTCTGATCCCTTTCACTCCCCGCTGTCATCTGTTCTCCAAAAATCATCTTCTGTTTATCCTTCTTCCATCACAATCAACTGTAAATGCCCCAAGTGTAAAGTCCAATCCATCTCCCCCGTCACCGCACCAGAGAACCTGGGTGATTATCCCCAAAATTCCCAAATCGTAAATCAAATAAAATCTGAAGTCCAAACCTTTACTCGTCATCATCATCGCCAAACGGAGGGAAATGAAAAGATTGGATAATGGTGAGCTTCCCTCCATCCATGGCGGCGAGTGCGAAAATGGTGGTACCAAGGTCGATTCCACAACTTTTCGCTCACCGCCCTTAGTGGATCGTAGCTCCTCTGCCCTCTTTCGCTTGCTCCCGCTGCCGTCGTCGAGCCCCAGGGGAGGAAGGAATCAGGCTCACCGACAAACTAGCAACAGCAAGAGGCCCGCCGCCGGGCTCGAGAAGAGGCAATCGAGCGGGAGTGCGGGCGAATGAGCCGGAGTGAGGGATAACATAGAGGGATTCATTATCCTCTTTGATCCCGATCAACTGATTGAGGACCTCTCTCTCGTTCAAATCACGGATCTAGGGTTTCAAGTTCTCAAATCGTCGCCGAGTTCCTGGATCCAATGGCAATGGAGTCGTCGGATGGGGAAGATGAAGGGAAATTACGGGAGGAAGCCATCATCTGGTTGTGGTGGACGACCTGAGAGAGCTGGTGAACATTCAATTCCATTTGGAGAGGAGACAACAACAGGGAGTGAAAGGGATCAGAGAGGATGGAAGGGTTTGTTTTTTATTTTGTTTAATTTTAGTTTTTATTTTGTTCAAAATGTCAAAGAAAAATGATAATAGGTGGAAATTGTAAAAATATTTAAGTGAAAATTGTTGACTTGGCAGTGACGTGGCGCGTTGACTGTTAGTCAACGCGTTTGACCGTCCAAGTTAACGGTCAAAAGTCGGTTCTGGCCAAATTGTTTATTTTGGTGTATAGTTCGGGCCAGGATGTTATAGATCGAAAAGATTGGCCAGGATGTTTATTTTGGTCAAAGTTCAGGCCATACGAAAATATTAACCCAAAAAAATATGACTAAAAATCAAGCACAAAACTACGGCGGTTTGAAGCTTCAATGTGTATTACTCGAGTCATCAGCGATTTGGATGGATCGATTTAGTTTACCGGAATGCATTCTAGTTCGAGGCTGTTTCGCTTTAGTTTAACTTCCATTCATATGCAATACCTTTCAACTTCCGCCACAATTGAAATCCAACCTAACCACCACCACTCCTTCGACCGACCACAATTTACGAATACATTCTCCGATTCGTTAAGCAACCTCTTCTCTTTTCCCCCACCTTTTCTTTCCATGACCAAAAGGAGTAGGGAATAAGAAAAAGCCAAAAAGTAAAAAACAAGGTTATTATCTACAAAAACTGAAAAATTAAACTAACATGCAGCAACTAAACCTAATCAGACCTTTTTCTCCCCCTGCTTTAATTATTTCCTAACTCACGCCGCCGACGGAGGAGCGCGGCCGCCGTTACTCATCATCTTCTTGAACTCCTCGAAGTTGACGCTGCCGTCGCCGTCCTGGTCCACCTGGCGGATCATCTTCTTGCAATCGCCCAAGCTCGACTTCAGCCCCAGCATCTTCATCACCGCGTGGAGCTCCCCCGCCGAGATCAGCCCGTTCTTGTCCATGTCGTACAGATCGAACGCGTCCTTCAGCTCCTTCCAGCTCCCTCCTCCTCCGCCGCCACCGCGGTCATCGAATCCGCCGCTCTGGATGAATCCGACGAACTCGTCCAGGTCAATGTAGCCGTCGCCGTCCTTGTCGAACTCCTTGATCATGCACTCCACCTCTGCGGCGGTGACGGCGGTGCCCAGCTCCTTCAGGCTGTCGACGACCTCCGAGCACGAGATCTTCCCGTCGCCGTTCTTGTCGAACTTGTCGAAGATCTGCCGGATCTCGTCCGTGGATCCGTTGATCGGAGAAGACGCCATCGCTGAGAAAAGAGGGGGAAATCGGAAATACAATATCTTCTGTGATGAAAAGCAACAGAGAGAGAGAGGAGGAGGCGGGGTTTAAATGGAGGCGGATAACGCGGTTTCCAGAATACGCGTGATTCTTAATGGTTGGGTAGGTGCGTGGCCACGGTAATACCGTGTGGGATATTGGAGTCGCTGTTAAAGAGGAGTGGTGGAGGCGAGATGGAGGGCGAATGATTGGTTGACACGTGGTATTATTCTTTTCGGCTGGCTGGCTGCCTGCCTTGTGAGTTGGGGAAAAGTGGTGTACTAAAAGGTGCAGTGGTAGAAGTAGAAACTAATAGTGCCAACAATTCGAGTTATTGGGAGCAATTAGTTCTTGACATGGTATCAGAGTTTTTAGTGACCGAGAGGTCTTGTATTCGATTCCCGGTGACCCCATTTGTTACGCACGTGGTATTCTTGTCTTTAGACATGTGCAAACTTCAAGCCCTTGTGAGTGGCTTTCGTTTGAAGGGGCGTGTTAGTGTTGAGGTATATGATCCACGATTGAACCCGTCCCAACAACTCGAGTTATTGGGACCAACTGGTTCATTATATGGTATCAGAGCCTTTTGTGACCATGAGGTCTTCTGTTCGAATCCCGGTGACCCTCATCTGTTTCCGTTTATGTTAAGCACACGGTGTCCGGACTTGTGTCTGTCCAAACTCTAAGCCTAGCCCGAGTAGGAGTGCTTGCATTGCAAGTTAACTGCCTGCTTTTTCCTAGTCTTTTCATTAAAAAAAAAAACTTACAATTGCTTGCTTGCTTGCGCTGGGGGAATGGCTTTATCTGTTGACGTGTGGAGGAAACGTACAGTTTGTTCTTCCAAAATAAATTGCGACTTTTTTGAGTTGTTAATTGGAAAAAAAAATTGTATCAGGTAAACGTCAGCATAAAATGTTTTTTTTATGGTATAACAATATTGGAAACTATCAAGCTGATGAAGAGAAGATGCCTTGTGATACAGGCAACTGTGGTGTTAATAATCCACCATTAATATATTGCACACTTTTGACAAATTTTCAGGGATTCAATTTCCCTGCTCTCCCCTTCATTTTCGGTGGGGGTAATTTAGTAATTGAACCATCTCTTATCCCAGCCGGCCAACATTACGCGTTTCCCTTTTATCTCTCTGCAGTTTCGTATACGAATGAAGACAGAGAACTCTTCAGTTTCCTTTCCCTGTTCCAACCTTGGAGAAGAAGACCGCGATCTGTAAGCGATTCGGAGAAGAAGACCGCGATTTGGTGGATGGGTCTCTTCAGTTCCCTTTCCCTGTTCCAACCTTGGAGAAGACTACCGCGATCTGGCGAACACGATCTCAATCCCCATTTAAAATCTCCCTCCCGCAGCAATGGCGAACACGGCGGAACCATTTTAGGGTAATGCCGAAAACTCTTTATCTTGGTATTCTTCTTCTCGGATTGTATCTGTATTCTCATAAAATTGAAGTCAGAACCTCAATTTCATATTTGGCTGATAATCGTCTATGGGGGCTTTGGTTGTGTACGATTTCCAGTTTGTTTTTGTCGATGCTTCTTCGTGTTAAGGCATACCCCTGTCTCTTTGTTGTCTGGTCGGGCTTAGGGTTCCCCAATCTCATGAACAGGTTGGATATTGGGGTTGGAATTGGCCTGGGTCTATGCCATTATGGTTTGTACCGGCTGCCTCCCTTGCTATCCGTCGCTGGCTGTGTTGCAAAGTCCAATCTGTTGGCTGTGTTGCAAAGTCGACTTCACCGGAACCTGTATTCAGCTTTTATTCACTACAAACGTGTTGAACAATGTCAATTACAAGTTGATGCAACAAATTCAGTATTGTCAAAGCTTGTGGGGGAGAGTTACATCCTTCCAATTTAGTCGCCAGTGGTGAAATGAAGAATGGTCAAAGGAAGGGAAATTGGATCAGTTTATTACCTGTTTGGGAGCATTTATTGGAGTTTTATTCTCTTTTGTTATTTTTTCATACTATCAGTTCACTGGCACCACATGAGAGAAGATAGTTGATCTACAGAGCAGTCTCTGCTTTTATCAGCTGAGGCTGTGTTCATCTACATTGTTCTTATAAGTTATAATCCCCCATCCCATTGAGTAAACTATCCTGGGCTTGAGTGTAGCAAATCTTTGCCCGTGGCCGTGGGTTTGTTGTAGTAGCCTTTTGCTTTAGGATGTGATTCCCTGTGATCGGATTCAAGTAGGGTCGGCGATGATATATAATTTTTGTTATGTGGTCAATGATGTTGAAGCAACGGGTCTTTGTGTTTACAGTTTTGATCCCTGCATGATTTGTTTGCTTCTCACTGTACATACAGGCGATTCGTCTGATGAAATGCTGTTGTTTCCGAAAAGGACATTCCAACCTAGCACCCTCAGGTGTAAAAGAAAACTCTAACCCTCAGTTTCGTTGCTTTCTAATCTTATCTATCAAAGTTTATAGGTAATTTGGTTTGGTTATATGTGCATGGTTTACCGCTTCTTAGCGTGGAGACATGGTATGGGTTTGATTGCCTGTGTGTAGATAGTCCGCATAATAGAGTCATAACGACCTGGGATTGTTCATAATGAAATCGGGTGAATGTTCTGTGATTCATTGCTATGACGGACTGTTTTCAGTTGAGTTAATGATGGTTGTATTAACTTTGTTTTCTTAGCTTCTCTCTTTTGGATGTGAAAGTTGGTTGTTCGTTTTGCAGTATGTATCCCCTACCTTTGACTGTGTTAGATAGAATTGCTATGGGATTTGTATTTCTAATTATTTTGTTTGGTAAAGATGAACTCATTTTACACAGAACATCAGAGCATGGAAGCAGTGGGAGGCCTGCATGGTCTATTGCAATGAGTTGCCGAACTCGCCGCGATTTTAGGTATCAGTCGTTGCTTCAAAAGTGTCGTTGTCATTGAATTATTGTGCTTCCTGTTAGAATGCCAGACATTGAATCTGGAGATTGCTTATCCCATCTTTAGGATTTCCTTTACTGTGCTGTTTGTAATGGAAGACTCCTCTGATTGCCTTTTGCCAATCTTCAATTGTTCTTATATCGAGTTGGTATGTCTATTAGTTAAAGGGGTGTTTGCAAGTTAAAGTGTATTCTTATTTTGTGTTCATCGTATGAGTTTTGCTCAAAGGACCAAGTGCATACCGAAAATGCCATTGCATAGCTTGGTTATGGCTAGCATACTTTTTCCATTTCGACTTTGGAAGTCTAATTTGCCTTATTCGATTTGTTTTCTAGGATGATCATGCCTATATATTATTTTCTTAATATTATTTTTCCATTTCAGCAAGCGTTCATTCAAGTTTGGTTGCATCTGACCGTCGTCTACCCAAATTTCGATTCCTTTACTGGAGGTGTACTTTTTGCAACCGAAGCTCAACATGGATACTCCTTCCCAAACCATTTCAATCTGTCGGTGTTCTTACAAAGTACAACGGAATTATGTTAGTAGTTGTTGAAATATGTATTCAAGCATATGTTATTACGCCTTTCCTTTGCTATATATCACAAGAGCATTTGATTTCTAGAATTTGGGCACAACCCTATATAAGTTTACCTTTGATGTTAAGCCTTGACCAACTTCTCATATAGAGTGTTTATATCACATAAAATTTACAAATTAGTATTCTTAACTTTGGTCTATTTCAGATTTCGTGCAAAATATGAAGATTAGGATTTACGTGTATCACCTTTCACTCATTCATGTATGTTGTTTGCGATTACCCTAAACCCCTCACTTTATGTCTAATTCTCCACAATTCTAATGCTTCTTAGGACTTGGTGTAGCTTCTCATACTTCTTATATCATCACAACAACTGAACACGCCATTTCCATCTGTTGTGTATCCTGGTGAATACGAAATATGGATACCCGCGAAAGTGAAGAGGGGGACTCATCAATTTCCCAACTCGGTGTTAGTAACATGAGATCCAGTGTGCCCTGTGAGTTTGAATACCAAACTTCGGCATTTGTATTCAAACCAAAGTTGCTTATAAATATTAACTAAAGTATAACTTGGTGTCATTGAATTGTTTGTTGTCATGATCTAGGGAAACGTCGTGCTATTTTCTTCCAATCTACTCATGTAACTAATGTTGTTGCGTCAGTTCAAAAAGACGCTGAGGTCTTAGAAAGAGGTAATGTACTACATATTATAATGTACTGTTATTTTTGTACGATCAACCTTCAAACACAGTTATTGTATAAGGGGAAGCATTCTGCCTAGATTGATGGTTTTCTCGATGGATTGCTTCTATGAGTTAATACATTCTATCTTATTGGGTATATGATCGATATTTTGGCAGAATTGCAAACTTTGAAAACTGAACTATCTAGAATTACTGCTGAATTGCCTAAACTTGCACGACAGAGACGACGTGCTCTCATCGCCAATAAGGAACGTCATTGTAGACCACACAATGGTATATGGTGTACCCATTTGTTTCTTTGTTTAAATAAGTTTGGATTATGTCTTTCCAACCAATTTAACTTGGAAGGCGTTTATGTAATGTTAATTTAAATTTGGTTTTTGCTGATTTCAGTTCAACAATTGGAGGCTAAATTTTCATCACTTAGTGCTGCCCGTAATAGATTAGCACGTAGGATTTACTTACATAAAAAACGAAAAGGGCAGACGTCATTTCGGAAGCAAAACCAATCGGGTAAGTAGTAAAATGGCTCATCTACCCAACAAATATTTGTGTCTCGATATGGACATCGCATTGAAGTTTGCCTTTGCTCATTAGAATGTGTCTATTGTGATGGAACTCTTACTAAGTACCCTTTTCTGTATTTTTTCTTTATATGTAGTTTTTCCCGATGTTAAGTTTTTTCCGTCGGAGAGCCATGTTACGTTTGTCCATTTTGTCGTGCTAAGCTATGGTGGTTGGAAAGTGTTGCCACATCGCGAAAGCTTCAAACTCCCATTTTCTCACTTTGTTGTAAACAAGGCAAGGTCAGACTACCACCTCGGCGAGACCCACCAGAATTCTTGAAGGAGCTACTTGAAGGACAAACGCCAATTGCCCGTCATTTTCGTGAGTTCATCCGTGGATACAATGGTGTCTTTACTTTTATATCTCTTGGTGGTAAGGTGGATACATCGATAAATCATGGTCCTGTTGTGTATGTCTACTCAATTGGTGGTCAAATCTACCATCGTATTGGAAGTTTGGTGCCGGCTGAAGGTATGTCACCGAAGTTCGCTCAGTTGTATATTCATGACACAGCAAATGAGGTACAAAATCGACTTGATTTCTACAAGCTCGATAGAGAAGTCAATCCTCTACGTGATCACATTGTTCAGGGACTGCAAGACATGTTCGATGAGCATAATGTTTTAGTTCAGACATTTCGTACTGCAAGAGATAAGATACATGAAGAGGATATTGAACAGGTTCAGATCAAGTTGATTGGTACTAGATCTGGTGGGGGAAGAGAGTATGATTTACCTTCGGCTAATGAAATTGCTGCACTAATTGTTGATGAAGCAGGAGACGAAACATTTGGGCCCGATATTGTTGTTCAACACCATAGTTTGGATATGCAGCAAGTCAACTTTTACCATCCCAGTTTGATAGCTTTGCAATACCCTATTTTGTTTCCTTATGGGGAGGATGGGTGGCATTCAGATCTTATGTATCATCATCCAGATGAAACAAACGGTGAAGGAGACCGCACAGTTTCTCAGTGTGATTATTACAGCTATCGACTCCAGACACGTGTTGGTGAGTCCAATTCGTTACTATTTGGAGGAAAATTATTTCAACAGTACGTCGTGAATGCATATGCTCTGGTGGAAGCTGAAAGACTAGATTGGATTCGCAACAATCAATCAAAACTACGAGCTCATTATTTTCAAGGTTTGATGGATGCATTTATGAGAGGTGATACAGAGCTGAAATTGAGTGGAAAACATATCATCCTGTCTGCGTCGCATACTGGTAGTCCACGGTATAAATATGAAAATTTTCAAGATGCAATGGCGATTTGTCGATTCATAGGCTATCCAGATTTGTTTATCACATTCACATGTAATGCGAATTGGCCAGAGATTCAGTTCATGCTTGACTTGCTACAAGAAGAAGGTCGAAAAGACCCGAATCGCACTGATGTTTTCGCTAGAGTATTCAAGATGAAATTGAATCAATTAATTGTTGAAATTAGGGACAAGAAAATCTTTGGAAGCACGTGTGGATGTAAGTCACTATACTATTTTATTTTAAAATCCTTCCTCCAATAATATATGGTAGAGTTTTGTGAACTTTTCTCCATTTCAAATTTCCTACAACGAGAGTGAAAGTAGGAAGGACATTTTTGTCTTTACAATTAAATATTTTATCTCAATAAAAATATCAATATGAGGATTCGAACCCGAGTCTCTTTAAACAAAGACAACAATCACAACCAATTACACTAAACAAATTTGTTGTATCTTTTTTAGTACAAAGCATACACAAAGTTAGACTCTGAAAATTGGATGAATTTTCCATCATGATTACCAAGCCCACTAAGTCTACCGTATATATTTTTATGGTGCTTGATACTTCAGTTTTCATAGTAGGTAGAGTTTCATGTAATTTTCTCAATTTTAAATTTTTTGCTCTCGCCTTAATTTTTTTGCTAAAGGTAGATTGATAATTGGCTACCATAGAAGAAACTAATTATGTTACTGCGTGTTGTATCCTTGAAATTTTCAATTTAAATTTAGTGCTTTTTTATCTTTGTTCTTATCTCTTTTAACTTCCTCCGAAATTCGCTCTATCGTGCAATAGTTTACGCCCCTTTCACTTTTCAATACAAGGCCGCCTTTGAAATCAATCTTTTGGTATCTCTTGGCACTACGATTTTATTATTCGGGATTTAAGCTAGGCAAGTAGAAGATTTCAACTCCGATATCAATCCATGACAAATAGAATGGAGTTCAATAAATGGAGTTGTAGAAGGAGGATTAGAGATTGAATTTTTCATTGAAACATATCTCTCTTGAGATAAAAATTTGGTTCTACAGCATAGAGTGGTGACTATTGGACCTTTAGGTTTATGGTTTTTGCAGCTAGGTCGGTTCTTTATTCAACCTATTGGAACTGATAGATACGGAGTGTCTAATTTTGTGTCTTATTACTTCGATCGAGTTTATTAGCATATTGGAGGTAAGCCTAATTTTGTCGTTTGCTCTCAAGTTTTATTGGTCCCCTCTTAATTGAGTTGTTAGTATATAGTTGACTTGAATCAACAACTCTCCATTTCTTTTTGATTAGTGGCATATTGTTCCTAAGGAGTGCATTGAACCCTTTATGTAGGATTGTGAGGTTTAAAATTGTGTTTCAAACTATCTATGGCGTGTGGGAATTCCAATGAGCTTTTGTACTCTATCTTTCTTGACAATCAACTAACCAATAGCATTTTAATTGGGGCTTAATTATCATTATAAAAATGAGATCAATCATTTTTATATTTTATATTCTTCTTTCTCCAAAATTGGACCTATATATTCTTTCTTTATATATCATCTAGATCGAAGAATTGTCAATAAAATTAAACGGGTTGATAGACTTAAATGTAACATAAAAATACAAATAATCAAATATGAACATTCCGGCCAACGGGCCGGGTTATAAGCTAGTACTACTATAAAGGTGTAATTCTCATGAGTTCGAACTGATAATTTCTAACAACCAAGGTGATGTGATGTGATGCGATGATTGGTCGATTGCCGATTGGTGCTTTAATTCTGATGCTTTGAGCAATATCTTGCAGATAAGAAGAGTATAGCTCATGGCATAGACAAGTCGCAAGTATTTAATTAGTACCATTTAAGCAAACCCTATTTGATTTCTCAAACATTGTCGAGTTACAAAGATAGTTATCAAATTGTTAGCACTGCAAATTAACATTTTTTATAGAGTAAGTTGTAAACTATGTTGTGGCACGGATGCTAGAAATTGCATAAGGGAGAACAATCTTGCTTGGCTTCTGTTGAAGCCAACTCATTTGCTCGCGTTTGCCTATTCATAACATTTAATGCATTGTCTCCTCCAACGAGCGTGTGCCTCGACCGACATCTCCCCACATACACTGAAAAGGGGTGCCTGCACTAACCTGTCAGCTTTTGTACTAATTTGGCGGATGCCTATTTTGTCGTTATGCGCCTTTAACGAAGGGCCTCTTTTTCCTGTGCAACTCAAAATTGGTTAACATGGGCTTTGCTCAATTTGGGCTTGCTCCAATACTATTATCATGCTAAGTGGGTTTGACTAAGCTACTTCTAAACACCCCCAACAGCTTCCAAAAAGCCCTAGGAGATGGGAATTGGACCTTTGATTGTTAGAGTCGGAGTGGAAGAAGATAGCAGACATGCTTAAGAAGAATGACGAATGCATAACTCAGATGGGGAGTGTGTGCATAGTAAGGTTGTCACGCCAGCGTTAAAGATGATTTAGTAAGTGATATGGTCCGATCAGGATAAAATTGGTTTGTATAGGTTTTAACAAAACATGCGAAAAAAGTGGGAAACCGTTAGTACCAAATGAATTTTGCATATATATTATCTATCTTAAGATAACATTTAATGTCACAATCCAAAGTATACTTAATTCAGCAAATAACATTAGTATCTAAATGTTCATACTTGAATCCACATAAATTTCTTTCTTTTGTTGATTAACTCCACCAAAACCACGTCTTTATTTTAGGATAAAAAATTGATGATTTTAGATTGACCACTAATTTTCCTGATTTTGATAATCTTTACTGATTTTGACTACTGCTTCGTACTGTTTATCTTTCATCCTTTTTTTTTGTTGAATACCAGTTGAAGTTGATTGTACTGATCGACATACCAATGAATTGAGAACCATTGTACAAAACATAAAGTAGTTGTGGGGATTGATTGAAGTGAGAAAATAGAGGAAGAAGACTCTCTCTCTTACTTTCCTTTCTCACTCTAAACTCTCTGAAATTCCAAACGTTGAATCTGGGTTTCCAGCAGCATCCTTCAATGAAGGTGCTTTTTCGGCCTCCTTAGGAATCCTAATGGAGAGGAAGAAGAGTCTCATCTTCTGCAAACCAACCATCAATGAGTTGTATTGTCTCCTCAGGAGTAAATACCCCCAACGCTCCCTGCTACCCTCCATTAAAAGCTCAACCTTTGACATTACTACCTCTTCTCCTTCCCCTGCAACCAGATCTGGAAACCAGAAAATTATCCCTACCTCATTTAACCCATCTAGCTTCTCCAGTCCCATGTCAAACCACACCCAAGCCAAATCTTATTCCTTAAATTCCCAATCTCCGCATAGCTTGTCAGTAGCCGAAACTGAGAACATAAATCCCAGTCTTTTCAAACCACCTAGACCCGAGAACAGAGTAGCCTTCTCTGGAAATATCATCGAGCCCTGGGATTGGCGTACTGAAGAAGGAGAAGCTTTTATGGTGATCCATACCCATCAATCCCAAATCCCACCTAATTACCTAGCTCTTTCATTGCTGGGTATTAAAGATGGGTTCCCCCTCTGCTCTATATCTAAACCGTGGTCTCCCTGGAGTTGTTATCCTAACCCAGACTTGAAAGACTACCTTCTCTGCCCTGATTCTGAAATTCCCCTTCTCCCTCTCCAAATGGCCAACCAAACCGAAAACTCCATCTCGGTCCAGTCCCAAGAGTGGGATGATGAAGAGCTTGCAATCATCTTCACTGATGAGTTCCCACAATCCCAGGAGGGTCCGCGTCTGCGCCTGGTTGGGAAGCTCTTTACTGAGAGAGAGATCAGCCGATGGACCATCTCGGGGAAGATCAATGGAGCTTGGTCTCATTTCTGTGAACCAACTGTCCATGAGGTACAAAGAGCCAAAAACACCTTCATCTTCACCTTTGGCACTGCTGCTGAGATGGAAAAGGCCCGGGTTGGCAGACCATGGAATGTGTCTGGGTGTATGCTTCAATTGAAGCAATGGGATGAATCCATCATACCACAAGATCTTCCTTTTGATCTAGCTGATTTCTGGATCCAAATCCATGGAATCCCAGAACACAGGAAGACGGTTTCTAACATTCAGTCGGCAGTGGCAATGTTCAAACAGATCCATAACATTGATATGAGGGGCTTGAACTCTGAGCGCTATATGGAGTTCGTTCGTGTGCTGGTCCAAGTTGATCTCAACCGCCCTCTTCCCCCAGGTTCCTACTTCAACAACAATGGGTGTCGTGAATGGATGGGATTTCGATATGAGAAGCTCTACTCCTTGTGCTACTACTGCGGCAGATACGGCCACAACAAACAAGAATGCCCCCGTAGAATTGCTGATGTCGAAGCTAGAGTGGCGGGTCCTCCTGAGGGGCGTTTCACCCCATGGATGAAGGCAGGGACCAATGCGAGGAGACCTCCTCCTCCTCCGCGTGGTCGAATCATGCCGCTGCCAACTGCGGATACAGGGTCCAGCTCCAACTCGCCGGGTTTTGAGCAGAACCAAATCTGGGTGGCTGGTGGGGGATCGCCGGGAACCGGCAGCTTCAATCCGGCAGATTCCTCCTCACCGACGACTGACGGAGGCTGGGGACTCGCTATCCGAGGACCGTCGGGGTTCACCCCACACCCGTTCCCAGGAGGGGATTCTTCGGCAAGCCCCAGGTCTGTCTCAGGGCCCCACTCCCAACGGCTCCAAAGCCCAATCTCTGCTCAAAATATGGTGTATTATGGGGCCCAGGCAGCTGCTTTTTCTCCCACTAGAGAAAACATTAATCGTCTCCTCTCCCCCTCTGTTGTCCGCAATCTGTCCATGGACCTCAATGAAGGGCAATGGGCTGGAATGCATCAAGCCCACCACACTCATTCTGTTCTTGAAGGGATCCAGGCCCAAGCCTCTCTCCTTTGCACCAGCAACCAGCCCAACCAATCAAACTTAGCCCAAGTTATGATTGATATTAACCAGAAGATGGATCTTAACAAAAAAACCAGCAGAGGAAAGCCAGCAACAGTGTGTTGTTTTTTCAGGGGAGGATCAGAGGGAGCTGAAGAAGAGGAAGCAGGGTCAGGAACTCGACTTTGAAGGCCCTTATTTTTCCCCCGGTGACAATTCAGTCAAACCAAGGAATGCTCGAATCAGAACTAAGAGCTACAAGCACCAACTTGGGATGGGGAAAATGGCTCAAAGACAGGAAGAAGATACAAAGGTGCAACAGCAACAATATGAACCCGAGAAAACTGAAGTGCAGGTGGCCTGCAATAAGCCACCGGGTGGAAAATGAGTTACCTTAGCTGGAATTGCCGGGGAATTGGGCCACTCCGGACTAGCAATCATCTCAAAAGGATGACTAAGAAGACTCGCCCATCCATTGTTTTCTTGATGGAAACAATGAACTCGGAGACGACCATGGAAGAGAAGCGCATCCAAAACAATTTTCAGAATAAACACTATGTCAATCCGGTTGATTCAGCAGGAGGCCTTGCTTTGTGGTGGACGGCCGGATTTGATCTTCAAGTTTTGGATAGTGGTCCTCATTTTATCGATGTTTTTATCAACTATGGTAGTGGTTTTTTTATGACTTTTGTTTATGCCCCCTCAATTGTTAATGAGAGGAGGGTCTTTTGGGATTATTTGTCTAGTATTAGGGATGATGTTAATGTCCCTTGGGTGGTGTTGGGAGATCTTAATGCAATATTATTTAGCTACGAGAAGCAAGGTGGCGACCCTTTGAGGAGAGCTTCCGTCGAACCTTTCAAGAAGTTTATCTTTGATAATGGCCTTTTGGATGTGGGTTTTCAAGGCCCTTGTTTTACTTGGAACAACAAGAGAGGGGGTGATCGGAACATTAAAGGAAGATTGGATCGGGGCCTTTGTACACCTTCATGGAGAGAAACTTTTGCGGAAGGAACCATCACCCATGGTAGTGATATTGGTTCCGACCATAGAGTGTTAAGACTCGATTTCCATTCTACAGGTTCTATAAACTCCCCACCCTTCCGGTTCGATGATCGATGGGCCGGAAAGGAGGGATGCGATCAGATTGTCATGCAGGCATGGGCCACAGTGGGCACCCATGATCAACGTGTTCGGAAATGCCAAGATGACCTCAGGAGCTGGGCCCGATCCATGATTGAAGCCCAACACCAAAGGGAGAAGGAGATCACTATCCGGCTCGAGGCCATCACACACTTGTTCAGATCTGATGACATCCTTGAGGAAGAACGTGGTCTCCTTGCTGAACTGGATGCATTGTGGAAAGATGAGGAGAAGATGTGGCGTCAAAGATCCAGGATTCAGTGGCTTGCTGAGGGTGATCGTAACACTAAATTCTTTCACAACTCTACGATCTTCCGCCGGCATTTTAATAAAATCTTGGGTCTTAAGGGACAAAATGGAGAGTGGATCAAGCATCCATCTCAGCTCTCTACACATATCAAGGATTTCTTTCAAGATCTCTTTACTACTAAGGAGACTGGTTTCGATGCTAACCTTATGCAAGATTTCCCTCGGCTGGTCACAGCAGACATGAATGAAAGATTAAGCAAGCCTGTGACTTCGGAGGAAATTAAAGAGGCGGTTTTCTCTCTTGGCCCCCACAAATCCCCAGGACCTGACGGCCTTAATGGGTATTTTTTTAGGAGGTTCTGGAATGTGGTTGGGGAGGAGCTGTGCAGTGAAATTTCATCTTTTTTCACATCGGCCACGCTTCCCATGGGATGGAATGATACTCACATTGCTCTGATACCAAAAGTCCCTTCTCCTGAGCGTATTTCACAGTACAGGCCCATCAGTTGCTGCAATTTCAAGTACAAGGTTATCTCAAAGATCATGGCGTCTCGACTTAAGGACATGATGCCGGATCTTGTCTCTGAGATGCAAGCGGCCTTTACTGGTGGGAGAATGATACAGGATAATATTGTTATTGTCCACGAGGTCCTGCATCATCTTAGGAACCGTAGACAAGGAAGCCGTTTTGACATGATGATTAAGATGGATATGAGGAAAGCTTACGACCTGGTGGATTGGAATTGTCTGGATTCACTCCTATTAGCTTATGGGTTTAATCCGACATGGTGCAGTTGGGTCAAAGAATGTGTGCGAACGGTCCGATTCTCCGTTTTGCTTAATGGTGGCCCGACTGCTTTTTCTCTCCGACCAGGGGAATTCGACAAGGGGACCCTCTTTCTCCGTTCCTCTTCATTCTTATGTCTAACGCTCTGTCTTTCTTGTTGGACCGGGGTATTTCAAAGGGAACTATTCATGGTCTTAGACTCAAGCAACGATGTCCTCTTTTGTCCCACTGCCTCTTTGCAGATGACACTGTCATCTTTGGCCGAGCCTCCTTGGAGGAAGCAGAAGCAATCATGCAGATTATCAACGGCTACAGTTTTCTTACGGGGCAGGAGATTAATATTGATAAATCCTCGATCTTCTTCAGCAAAAATTCCCCGATTGATCTGAGAAACCAAATTACCTCTCGGTTTGGCTTCCCCTCTACTATTATTCATGACAAATACCTGGGGGTACCCACAGATTGGGGCCGGTCGAAGAAGGAGACTTTTGCTTTCCTCGTTGAGCGTATAGAGAAAAAGGGGGCCTCTTGGAAAAGTCTCACTTTGTCACACGCGGGCAAAGAGACTCTTCTCAAGGCAGTTATTCAAGCAATTCCGACTTTCATTATGAGCGTTTTTCTCCTCCCAGCATCTCTGACCAGGAAGCTGGATTCTCTTCTTCGGAACTTCTTTTGGTCAGGGTCGATGAACAAAAGATCGATTCCATGGCGCAAAGGGGAAGTGCTTAATGACCCGAAATTTGAAGGGGGGCTCGGTTTTCGTAATTTCCACATGTTTAACCTTTCTTTGCTTGCTAAACAGGGTTGGAGGCTTCTCAATGAACCAGATTCTTTGTGGGCTCGCCTCCTTAAGAGCATGTATTTCCCTGACTCTGATTTTCGCTCTGCAAAAAAGGGGAGCTCAGCCTCATGGATCTGGTCAAGCCTCTGCGATGCAAGGAAAGCGATGGACTTGGGAACTATCCGTGTCATTGGTAATGGAGATGATACATGGTTTGATAGGGACCCTTGGATCCCATCTTTTGAAGGCCACAAAATGTCATCAAGTAACATCCCCCACTCAAGAGTTAGTGCCTGGATCGATGAAGACTCGCGTCACTGGAATTGGAGTTTGGTCCATAATCATTGTTCTCCTTCGGAAGCGGAAGCGATTGCTAAAGTTCAGATTGGGCCAATCGAATCCAAAGACAAATGGGTGTGGAAGTTTACAACTAATGGGAGGTTTTCTGTGAAATCGGCCTACAATGGAGTGAGGAGACACTTCAGACAGCTTGGAAATCAACCCATGCAAGATCTTAATGCCCCATCTGCCGACGATTCTTGGAAATGGCTTTGGTCTCTCAACCTCCCACCAAAGATTCGCTTCTTCTTATGGAGGTGCCTCCGCAATGCTGTGGCCAATGCAGTTAAAAGCGCGATTCTACCTAGAAGCGGAAAAGGGGTAAAATCGTAAAACGTAGAATTAAAGCGTAAAAGCGTAAATTTTTGACACATACTGTAAAATAACTAAAAATATGTTAAGTACGACATATATTATGTAAAATATGAGTTCAAATAATTTAGATAAGTTAATAAATGTTTGCAATTCATTCCTAAAGTAGAGCAACTTATAACATCTTAATAATTAGTTAATAAACATAAATCTTAACAATAAGTCACCTTCCGTTCTATGCTAATGAATTTGGGAAGAGTCTAGCTGGTGAAATAAATTACACTATAGAAACTGAGAATACATCTAAGTACCTGATATGTATTTTATAATCTCAAATGTATCATATTGTTGGTAATCTACGTTTAAAATATACTTTATAATTAATTTCATGAAAAGAGTACTCATTTGGTGAACTAAAAGCGTAAAGCGTTTTAGTGAACTAGAAGCGTAAAACCGTAAGCTTTTAAGATTTAAAGCGCAATTTCGTTCGATTTTATACACTTAAGTTTTTATATGGAAACGAAAGCGTTTTGGTGACCTAGAAGCGTAAAAACGTAAGTTTTTAAGTTTTAAATCGCGATTTTGACTACATTGGCTGTGGCAACAAAAGCTAATTTGCACCACAGACATTGTGCTCCTGACCCTCGTTGCCAGATTTGCAATGCCGATTGTGAGTCTATCATCCACTGTCTCTTTCTTTGCCCTCACGCAAAGGAGACTTGGGAGAGGATCCTCCCGTCTTGCACCCCTCCTCTGAATTTCACGCAATGGTTCTTCTCTTTTCGAGATCCGGAGACTCTTTTATCTCTCCGTCTCAAGGTCTTTTGCCTATGGAACATTTGGAAAGCACGGAATGACTTCATCTTCAGAGGCAACAACTTGTCCCCATTGTTGTCCTCAATCACAACTTTCCGAGAGGCTTCTGACCCTTCTCCTTGTCGTAGCTCTTCCTTCCCTACTAACCAGCCAAGGGACACTCCATCACATTCTCTTCCACCGCCAAGTGATGACCTTATTAGGATCAACTGCGACGGGTCATTCGACAATGTTTCGTCTGAGGCGGCTTTTGGGGTAGTTATTACTAATTCCCATGGTCAGATTTGTGATGGGAGGGCTGGCAGGGTTATTTGTTCGTCCCCGATTGAGGCTGAGGCCTTTGCTCTTGTTGAAGCATGCCAGATGGCGGCCCTTGACAACTCTCCTACAGTTATCCTTTCGGACTGCAAGATTTTGGTGGATGCGCTTAAAGGTGATGAATCACTCTGGCCATGGCGGTGCTTTGCTCTTCTCTCTCGTGTGAAAGAGTTGCTCCTTCAGTGTAGATGGATTCATATTTCTTTCACCTGTCGTCGTGTGAACAAATGTGCCGATTGGGTCGCTCGTAATGCACGTTGTCTTTCTCTTCCGCCTGATTGGATCTCGGTCCTTTCTATTGTGGCACCTTTGCTGTAAACCCTTCCTCTTTCGAGATTGAATGAATGAAATCTTTATTAAAAAAAAAAGAGAAAATAGAGCTTCACACTAAGAGAACCAAACAACGCAACCCACCTGCTGACCCATAAAGCTTTGATTGATTGGTTTTTTTGGTTGTTGGTCCCAAAAATTCTAACGGGTGTGATGGATGTTCTCATTTCCACATTACAATTAGGTCAACCTCTTAAGATTTGTTTGATTGATTTTTAATAAAAGCATCATAAGTTCATTCTAAAAAACACATTCAATAATGTATTATGTAATTATTGATATATGGATGATCAATGACCTACCACATTAGATGCTCACTTGGGAGTTACATGTATCCCCATATTCCTACATCATTATCTCTTATTCATATGCATTGATATAAGGATGTAGTGGTTACCAAAGTGTGCCTATAACTAGAGCACACTAATGTATCAAAAGTGAAAAATGAATAAGAAGAACTCTTCCCCTCTCTTCTCTTGTGTCTTTCCCTCTCTAATCTTCTTTTATAGTTGTTATATTTTCCATTAGTTTCATAACATAATGGATATTCTAATCAACAAAATATGCGATGAAGTTCCTGTAGAAAAAAAATAATATATGTGGACTATTCAGGTTTACTTTTCAGCATTTTAAATTTTCCTGTCACAAACAAGGGTGAGTGCAGAAACGACAAGTTTGACATGTCAAATTTAAACTTAAATCTAAAAATTAATCAATTTTCTAGCCAACTAGACTGCTTATTTCCTTCATTTCCCCCTTCCCTTCAATTTTAAAAGGCTCGTATCTTATTCCTTTCAATTTTATTTTATTTTTTTTGCGCAAAAAATGATTTAACCAATAAAATGATACTCACTTTATATATTTTGAACAAAAATTCACATATCAATGACATACTCATACGCAAGTGAGTTGTCATGTACAACAGTGGTACATCAACCGGTTGCATTTGATCAATTGTGGTTTTGATTAATTTGATTGATTCCTTTAAAGTTCTTGGTGAGTTTCATTTAAATGGTTTGATTTAGCATAGACTTTATTAAATAGGCTAACCAATATTGACCACATTTCCTTCGTATCAAAAGGACATTGGCTCGAATGTCCCTACTACCTATCATGTGAATTTCATAATAACACATCAATACAATGTGGAATGAAGAGGTATAAATAAGAACAAATAATCAAGTTGTACATCTAATAGCTCATATAGAATGTAAATAGAATGCTTAATGACATATAAATATTTTTTTATACCATATTTATGAATTTATTGTATGTATGATTTAAATATTAGGTAAAAATAATTGATGTAAATTATTGAAAAAAATTCTTATAATGTTCTTTTACAATAGATTGGTATAATATTAATCATATGAAGAAAAAAAAAACATTGCGAACCTATAGTTCACAGATATTTTGAAGGGGTTACCGTTTTAGAAATCGATATTGGATAGAATAATTTTCACACAAACAGATTTATAGAATGCATTCATGCAAAGAAGAAAAAAAGAGCCTTGCTTGCTGAATCGACGTGTAAAGGTAAAGAAAGGCCCCAGGCCGGGATTTCTTCAAAGGACAGTACGACAGCTCCAAAAACATTCTTTAATTTTTTTCTATATTACCAACCAAGAGTGTTTGGTTATTGTGAAGTTGACATTGTCAATTGAAAAGCTGTTGATGATTGATGATTCTCATGAACAACCATCTTTCGGCTATGTGTATGATGGAATGAATCAGATCAAGAGTACCATGATGTGACTAATGAAATTGATTTTGACGTTACTCAAATTGTTGAAGCAATAGAGATTGAGATGGATGGTTTATCTTTGAGGATATTTGATTGTGTACTATGATATTTAGGTATTAAAAATGTTTAGGTGATGTTATTTGTTGGATTCAACTATGAACATTTAGATGTTCACATTAAATTGTGTATCTATATATGAACATTTGTGAGTTTGTTTTTAATGTTGTCTTTTGTTAAGATATGATGTAGATTCTAGAAATATTATCTTAAGATAAGTTATTTATATTTGTACCCAAAATATTTGTTAAAAACGACATAAACTAGTTCTATCACGATTAATTTGTAAAACCGGCGTACCAGGTTAAACCGGGTTGACAATCATGCATGGTTGTCATGCTGGCCGGTTGAACCGGATCCGATTATGAAACATGCATTCAACCAGTCCTGGTTATGAAACCTACATAAACACCTCTGGTATGACCGGTATGATCGATTAACAAACTCTCTAAGTAAAATGACATCGTTTTAAGTAAATTTGATTGATAAAAAAATAAATTTATTATATGTTTATGAATATAAAAGTTCAAAATTGATGTAATTTGGTGGATTCAGGTATACAAATTTAAATATTAAAGTTAAATGTTGTATTCAAATAGGAGCATTTGTTATTTTATTTAAAATGTTATATATTATTAAGTCATATATTATTAAACCGGAATGAACCAACACAAACTAATTGTACCACTAATAGCACCATTCCACTTGCAGGTATAAACCGGTTTGACAACCTTGCAAGTTACAATCATTAGGGGTGTTCAAACGGTGTGGTTACCGTGATAACTGTTTTAACCGATAGTATTTGATTAATATGGTTTGGTTAATTTGGATAATTGGTTTGATTTGGTTAAACAACGTAGTTTGTTTGGTTTAAGAGGTTTAGTTTGGTTTCAGACGTTCCTAACCAATCAAACCAAATTAACCAGTTAAGTAATTATCCATATACCTAATATATATTATATACACATACTTAATTCTTGGCATAACCACTCAAGGGCCAAACATTCCTTCCTTTTAGGCTCATCAACAATAAAGCTCAATATTGTTCCTATACTGTATATTCGTATTTGTAGAGTGTAGACCATGATATTTGAACGCCCAATTTAGATAAAACTCGTACAATATAATAGATGAAAACTTGAAAGGAAGGTCTTTTTCAACCTATGATAATTGCTACGAAATGAATTGAGAATCATTGTCAAATGAATTCTTGTGTTTGGTATGTCATATGTATAATTAATTTAGTTAATAAAGAGGATAATTATGTCATTCGATTATAATTAGTAAATACTTGTGGAATTCATTTGGAAATTCCATCTCAATTCCTCGGAATTGCTATAACTAGTTCCAATTCCATAGAATTCAAAATTTAGAATTGAAAATGAATTCTTTTAAATACCAACCACAAAAATGTTTCATTTCAAAATAAATTTCTCAAAACTTATTGAATTCATTTATACCAAATGATATGCAAGAGACTAATTCAATTCACACAATCACAACAACTAATTACCCATACTATTGACATATATTTTGTTAGGTGAATGCTTCTATTGACTGTAAAATAATTGTATTAATTGCAAGTATATTTGTATGTGTTCAATGTAATGTTTTATTCATCATAAAAATTGTGAATTGATGCATTAACCAGGAAAAAAATTCACTCAATTATAATGTGATGTTATATTGGTTAATTTGGTTACCCAATTAATCAAACTAGTTAAACTTTAATTTGGTTAATTTGATTGTTGTATTAATTTGAACTGATTGATTATGAAGATATTGTATTCTATAATTAATAAAATTTTGACTTGCTTGATTTGGTAATTATCATGATAACCATTTTAACACCCCTGTCAAATAGCAATCATGGGAATAGGTTAGGGTGGTTACTCAATTTTGAGTAATCACGGTGGCTACCAACATCTATACCATTCATTATCTTTATTTTATTATATTTTTACATTAACGATTAAGATTAGCTAAGGGTAATTTAGGAAATGAAAAACATACCACACCTGATTACTGTATATATTATACTCAAACCCTAATACAACCTATCTACCTAGCCGCCGTCTCTCCCTTCTCCCACCCCCATCGGCGTCACTCAGCCGGTCATTTTTCCCGCATTTGTCGACGGCGTGATGGCTTCGAATGGGGTGATGTCTGTGATGGAGAAGGAGTGGATGATGTATACTTCTGGGCATCAAATGGGGAGCTGCAGGATGGGGAAGAATGAAGAGGAAGGAGCGGTGGATGAGAATGGAGAGAGTTGGGAGGCGGAGGATCTGTTTGTGTGTGATGGAAGTGTTCTTCCGACGGCGGTGGGGGTTAACCCGACGATTACTATTGAGTCGATTGCTTACTGTCGCAGTCTCTCCCTTCTTCAAAAGGTGGGATGAATAAAAACCCTAGATCTGATTTTTTTTCCCGCATTGGTAGTGATTTTTTCGTAGTGGTAGTGTTTTTTTGCATTGGTATTGTTTTTGTCGCATTGGTATTGATTATCATATAATGGTATTAATTTGCATGTATTGGTATGGATTCAATCTGCAATGGTATTGATTTTTTGTGAAATGGTATAGATTTATATTGGTAGATTGTTTATATTGGTAGTTTTCGTGTAAAGGTATAGATTTATTTCTGCAATGGTATTGATATTTTTCAAAGTGGTAGTGATTATCTAATGGATTGGTAGTGATTTCGTGTTTTTTTTCTTTTGCAGAAAGATTGAGAAAAATAAGGAAAAGGGATCTGGCTGAAGATTATGGAAGTGATAGAAATAGGGAGAATTGTAATTAATAGATTCTTGTTACTACTTAAAATGTAATTTATTAAAAAAATTAATCAATACAATTTATTTTTCATACCCAATTTATCCTTAGTAACCACGGTATCCAGCAATCATGCCTCCACTTCCAGCCAATAGTAAGTACTCGCTATTCAGTGTACTCACTGTTCCAAAGAACTCGACAGCGGAAACGAAGACGGAGAGAAAGAGGGAATCTTATTCTATCAATCTAAAGCCCTCTCTTTGAACTGTTCTTGTTTCTTGTTACTCTTCATCGAGCAATCAGTCGCTAGGCTAACACCAAAGCATCTTCCCCTATCCACCTTCAATCTTAACGACCCAGTTCAGCAATACCATTACTCTACTCGTTATTTCCGCCATTTTCTTCGATTTTGATCCACAGTCCATCAAAAACCTACCTGGTTTCGCTTCCCCACCACACATTTGCTTGAGATTTTGTTCTTACCTCCCGTTTCTCTTCTGGGTTTCAAGTGCATGGCTCTGCTTCAGTCCCCTTCTCTTTGCTTTGGCGGTGCGGCTCTCAATTCCCGCCATAGTTCTGCCAGTTTCAGACCTGGAAATCTTAAACCTTCGCCCTTATCTTCTCCTCCTCGAGCCTCCTCTCCTCGCTTGAGTTCCCGATGTAATACGGTCCTCTGATCTGCGCCGTTCCTTTTTCTGTTTCTTGGCATTTGATCGTCTTGGCGATTTCAATAGATCACTAGTTCCGCCACTGTAGTTCGCTCGATTAAAGAATGTTGCTTTATTTTCTGGGTATCTTGAATTTTCAGTTTCTTCTTTTATCTTTACTCAGGTAAAGCGGCTCCTGCAGTTGGTGGTGGGTCGTCTGAGGCAGATGGCTCCTCCCTCGTGGTTTGCTTTGGGGAAATGCTAATAGATTTTGTACCCACAATCAATGGCCTTTCGCTGGCCGACGCACCAGCCTTCAAGAAGGCCCCAGGCGGCGCTCCTGCTAATGTTGCTGTTGGAATTGCACGTCTTGGTGGCACATCAGCGTTTGTTGGGAAGGTAACTTTCTGGTTCTGTTAAAATGATCAGAATAGTAAACGGGCTTTCCTTAAACCTTACATTATCAAACAGGGAAAGGATTAATCACTCTTGTAGTTCTTGCTAGTTTTTCTCATGTTAGGATTTAAAATGAAAGAAGTGGCTTTCTGCTGTCAGCTAGCTGATGGTGGTCTCTTGTAAACGAGTTAGGCTTTTCCTATTTGTTTTTCTTCGAGAGAGGCTTTTGATTTCTTGAAATATATGTTCTTTGAAATAATTAGTTCTATGATACTTCGTATGAGAAGTGATTTGCATACCGTTGCACAAATTCCATTTGCTTTGTGTGTTCTCTGCCAAATTGCTTAATGGCCCTGCCCATGTTTGTTTGTGTTGGATATAAGGCTTCTTATGGTTATTGGGAAGTAAATTTCGGTATGAACTGTTTCAGCTGACAAAAAAGGCGAACTTCTGTGTGCTTTTTGGAAAACGGATAACGATGATTTGCTTCTACTTTGAGTATGAGTGATCTTCTCTGTTGACCAGCTTACCATCATCCTTTTCGTTCTACAATTTACTGTTTTCAGAAAGCAGATGACCACGGCATAATCCTTCTTCAGTTTTCAATATGATTTCCTGTTCTATGAAATGTACAGGTCGGGGAAGATGAATTTGGATATATGCTTGCGGAGATATTGAAGGAGAATAATGTCAACAATCAAGGGTTGCGCTTTGATCCTGGTGCAAGAACTGCTCTGGCGTTTGTTACATTAAGGAGTGATGGAGAACGTGAATTCATGTTTTACCGAAATCCTAGTGCCGATATGTTGCTTCAAGAAGATGAACTTGATCTTGAATTGATTAAGAAGGTATATTTATGAATTAGTATTGTGCTAAATGCCTGTAAATGTCTGCATCAAGAACTGTTCATCTAGGATGAAGATACTCAGAACCTGACCATGTGCCTATGACTAATGAAACTGCACATGAGTTGATAAGTGAAAATCTCTGAAAAAAATCAGAAATGGTAGAAAGTATCCTATTGACAAACACCTCCCTGGTCATATATGCTTCACTTGGAGTTGGAGGTGATCATTGTCAGTTGTAAATGAGAAATGATCAGCAAAACATCAGCAAACTAATAGTGTAGAGTGTTTGGTCAACTTGGATCTCATTCTCAGTTTAGCTTTGTATTGTACTTAATGCATCTAGTTCAATGCAGCTCAATTCCATGCTCCAAGGATATTAACTCAGCAATTTGTTCTTGTAGATGATTGAAAAAGCTCTTTATATAGACTGGTATCTTTGGGTTAATCATACCAGTAAGAGAGGAAGTATTGAATTCCTGTTCATATATGTCACTTTATGGATTTAGGAGTAATCTTGTAGAAGCCTGTACTTGGATTTATGAGGCGGCACATGTTTCAGTTTTTGTTTTCCTCTTTTTGGTTTGAAAATTTGGGCTGCTCATGGTGAATTTAGGTTATGAGTCCTATTAATGCTTGTGTATATGCTTCTTATGACTGATTGCTACAGGCAAAGATCTTTCACTATGGCTCTATAAGTCTCATAACAGAGCCATGCAAATCAGCTCATATTGCAGCAGCAAAGGCCGCAAAGGAAGCTGGTGTTGTTCTTTCATATGATCCCAATCTGCGGCTTCCTCTGTGGTCTTCTGCAGAGAGTGCTAGAGAAGGCATCCTTAGCATTTGGAATTTGGCCGACATCATCAAGGTAGGGCTGATGCATATTGCAACATGAATTCAATGTCTATACATGCTCCAGTACCTTTCCTTAGTCGAATCGTTCTCCTTTCCGATTTTGTTTTGCTGATCTTGAAATGCGAGGGTATCCTGTTGTGAACCGCTTAATTTTTCATGTCTTCTTGATCATTCTCAGATAAGCGAAGAAGAGATATCCTTCTTAACGCAAGGAGAAGATCCATATGATGATGCTGTTGTCCGCAAGTTATACCATCCGAATCTCAAGTTGCTACTTGTGACTGAGGGCCCAGATGGTTGCAGGTATTACACCAAGGTATGTCACAACATCAAAATTCACCAACTTAGAAGCCAAAATTTGCAGCCTTTGACAGGAAGTTCCGTGCATTTTTTTCATGACTTAAGCAGTATGAGCACTGTATGTTGAAATTGCAACTCTATAATTTCTCTCTGCAGGAATTCAGCGGCAGAGTGAAGGGCTTAAAGGTGGATGCTATTGACACAACCGGTGCCGGAGATGCTTTTGTGGCTGGAGTACTGTCTCAACTAGCACGGGATTTATCTTTGCTTCAGGTATTAACACTCAACACGAGTTAACTGGCAGAAGAGTGGTAGTCTTTGTCTTCTGCAGCTTTTTTTTGTGGAATTACTTACCAATAACCCATCTGCTGACTGGTTTTGCTAATAAAATCATTTTAGAACGAGGAGAAGTTGCGAGACGCTCTCAAGTTTGCCAATGCTTGTGGTGCATTGACTGTGATGGAAAGAGGTGCAATCCCTGCATTGCCAACCAGCGAAGCTGTAGCGAATGCAGTCCTTAAGATCGTGGCGTGAAAGGTTTGTTGTTTACTAGTAGTAACTTTAGAGCGAAATCCATATTTTTTCGGCAAATGTTTGATAACCCGATCATTGTAGCTAGTTCAGTTCATGCCCTGATGAATGTCGTGTTAACGACAGTAACCCTGCTCACTCGGTACTATAGACTGTACCAACGGGGCAGCAATGGTGTAAGCAGTTTTTGATGTATTGTGTGTCATAAATGTATTCATGTCCTGAATGTAGCATCATGGGAACATTTTGGTTATGAGTTGCTGTCATAAATGTAAATGTTTGAAGGTGATGCTCTTGGAGGGCCTACCAGCCGTGTTATGCCAATTGGTTAGGTAATGATCTTATTCAGAATTGAAGAAGAGAGTACTTTGGGTGGGAGGGAGGATTAGTTCATCTGATCTGATATGAAATGATTCGCTAACCTAAAAGAATGCCAACCTTGGATTTGACTGACATCTGTCTCTTTATTAATTGCTGCTGCTGTTCAACCTCCTCTCTTCCTAACTTGCTTTGATTGGACCAGAATGAATGAACTTTAACTCGATTGTTTGGTATTTGGTTAAGAGAATGTCTATGTCCATTTTCAGTCATAGCATTTAATAAGGGTTATGCTATGCCTCAATCGCTAGTAAGGAGCTATTTTTTTATTGGAATGAGGCGCAGAAACGCCAAGAAAAAGGAAAGAGGGGTTACTTGGGAGGAGTTACAGAGGAAGTGACAATATTCCGAGGTGAGGTAAAGCCAAGCCACGTTCATCGTCCTTAAGCGTTTCTATAAGTTGGTCTGGAGGGTTGTCTAGTTCATGCATACTGTAGGGATAGATGACACTGTGCTTCGAGAGCTAGTCCGCGACTCTATTCCCTTTCCGATATGTATGCACTAGGTTAACCAGCCATTCCTGCACCAAAAGTCTTCGAATCGTGTTGAGAAGCGAGGCAAAAGGGTGCGCCTGATCGGACCTTTTCTGGATGAGGTCTCTTGGCATTGTATATTCGGACCTTTTCTGGATGAGGTCTCTTGGCATTGTATATACTTGTGGGATAGTTATTGTGAATTCTTCGTTCTATCTTTTGTATTTTATGAAAAAGTAGGAGTCTAGTGGAAGGATTGAAGGTTGTCAAACAAGTTTAAACTATTACGGATAAGCAACATGTACAGTCCAATGAAGGGGTTTACCGATTTATGCAAGTTCTAATAGAATTGGCGGGAAAAATGAGTAGCCATCGACACCAAATAAATTATGCATATTTCCTTCCTCCGGAATGGATTGTCATTGCCGACCTAGTGGCTCCATTATTGTAATTGTATCTCTTCCCACTTGTTTGGGTTTGGAATGAAATAAATGATGTTTGATGTAAAAAAAAAAACGTTGAATTAAATTTCTCGCATTACTCAAATGCCAAATAGCGAATATGATCCAACGAGCTACACTCTAATGGCTCTAGTAAGGAGTAGCTAACATCTGCACAAACTACTCATTTTTATCTCTTTATATCTATACTATTGCTCAATACAATGTTGCCAAAAACAACAAATCCTTCATAAGTAAACCAATCAAGATTGTTACGTCTAGGGGTGGCTATACGGTCCGGTCCGGTTAAATTGGACGAAATTGATTCGGTCTTAGTCCAGTCTTTTCGGGAATATAAGGACCAAAGATTGGATTGGATACAGTCCGGTCTTGATCCGGTCTGGTCCCAATTTGATTTTGATTTTAGATTAATCTTGTGGGGATTTGAGTGTTGGGGTCTCTTATCCGATCTTTATCCAATTTTTTACCTAAAATCTAAGCCCGAATATAAGATTGGATTGTTTGCTATCCAGTCCTAGTCCGATCCCGATCCGGTTTCGGATAAAACCAAACAGTCCGGACCGAGCCCTAATTACGTCACGTCTTGCACTTTTGCTTCACCATGAGTACATCGACATCGCTCTCTTAGCCGAGTATTGCTCCAGTGGTTCAGAGTCCCACATAACCACCGAACCACATCATTTTGCTTACCCGGCCCGCACTAAGCGCAGGTTCATTTTCAACCTTCAAAAGTGTGTTTTAACTTTCATTTAGGGGTGAACAAATACACCCCGTAAACCGACCCACCCATCCAACCCGACCCAACCCACCCGTATTTATCGGTAAAACGAAGGTGTTGGGTTGGGTGAGGGTTTTTTTTTTTACAACCCGCCTCTATTGGGTTGGGTTTGGATTTTGGATTACACAACCCGTAGAACGCGACCCAACCCGTGTTCCAACTATTGGTAGGAGTTCGTATCTAAAAAATATTTATGTCATATATAGCCATATTTATGCGAAAATTAAGATATTTCGCCATGTTTTTCTTTCATGGTCTCCCTAATCTAATGCATTTTTTCGGCTTAAAGTTTAGACATAAATTTAATATAGCTATGATTCACGTAATCCTTTTTCTTGTGTACAATTTTAATAGAATAACATATTACCGGTGCATTCGTTTATAACCTTTTTAGCCTATTTCAATAAATATCGTGAAAAAACTAGATATATGTTGAAGTAAATCACATTTTATTAAAACTGAAACAACATTTGTGAAATTTGATACATTTCACCTCGGTTGTATTCGTTTGAAATTTAGTTATTTATAAAAAAAAATATGATGTAGAATAATTATATATTTTGTGTTGGGTTGGATTTTTACTTAAAATATAGTCAACCCGACCCAACCCAAATTAAGAACAAACCGTAGGGTTTAAATTTATTTGGGTGGGTTTGGGTTTAATATTTCTCCAACCGTAGTGCATGGGTCTGATTATTAAAATGGTTAAACCCAAACCACCCGACCCATGTACATCCCTACTTTCATTACATGAAATTTTGTGTTTTCTAACTACACTTTTAAATTGGATAACAATTGTATTTTGGTGCTTAAAGTTCACATGATTTAAGTGACCTCCTCTATAACACATAAATTTAAGTTTTATAAGATAATTTCGAACTTGGATAGTTTTAAAAGATTTATGCACGTGAAATTATGCACGCGACAAAGTATGTGAATGTGTCGTTCCTCCGCGAACAAAGTTGTTTGAGAGTGCTTTCAGCCACTAGTTTCTCATCTCAACCAACATCATTGGCATGCCTGAAATCCCGCCATTCTTCCTCCATTTTCCCCTCATCAATTCCTCAAAACTCAACCTCCTTAAATCCCCAACACAAACAATCGATCAATCAGATTTGAAAAGCCAAAGGGAAGACACAAAGAAAAGAAATAAAAAAAGTTTCTTTTTTCCTCTAGTTTGGAACAAGAAGAATTAAAAATCAAAAGAAGAGGAAATAAAATTAATTACTCTAACAACAATCTAATCCAGAGTAATAAGAAAATGGCTGACGACGAAGCACAGGAGCAGGCGGACAGGGAGCGCATCTTCAAGCGCTTCGACCTGAACGGCGACGGGAAGATATCGGCGACGGAGCTTGGGGACTGCCTGAAGACGCTGGGGTCGGTGACGCCCGACGAGGTGAAGCGGATGATGGACGAGATCGACACCGACGGCGACGGCTACATTTCTTACCAGGAGTTCACCGATTTCGCCTTGGCCAATCGCGGCCTAATCAAAGACGTCGCCAAGATCTTCTAAAGAAATTTCATTTTCGTTTTCGTTTTTTTTTTCACCCTAAATTTTTTGGATTACTCGTTTCGATTTCCGTCCACATTCCTTTCATTTTTGTCTTCTCGCGTTTGAATGTTGACCCTAGTAGTAAATTTCTGCAACTCCATTTTTCGATTAAGGATTTGAGGCTGCTGGGTGCAGATTCTTGATTGTGACAGTACGCTGTATTTTTTTTCCCCATTGGTTTAAAGTTTAAACTGCCTCTTCAGTTTATTAGAGGAAATGTTTGTTTGGTTTGTCCGAGACGCCGCTTAATTCAGCCACACCCCAATGAGGACATGAAGAAGGCAAAATTCAAACGTTACAAAGAGATAAAAAAAAAAAAAAACCACTTAATCAGTCCTCTCATCTGTGTTGCCTCTTTTTGATACTTACACGAACAATACAAAACAAAGGGGATAATAATACAATAAATTTATACTTTTAGTCCAAATTGACTGTCAAACTATGTGTCAGGCCAATTGAGTCTATATGTTGTATAGTTGAGGTCAGGATGTTAATTTCTGAAACCAAGGGCAAAAGTTGATTATATGGTCATAATTGAGGTCAAAATAAGGTATTAACCCCACTTTTAAATTATTAAGACAAATATGGTCCGACCCTAGGAGCGATCGTTACCCGTGTCAGCAATTAGTGACGCGAGAGAGGTTGGTTACGACGTAAATGTTTGAAAGTCCATACGGATTATTTTTTAATTTACAAAAAAAAAATTGTTTGGCTTTATAAACTATCTCCTTAAATTACAAACACATTGTGAAAAAATATTGATATATAAAGGTTTTGGTCGTTGGAATTACTATACATTAAGTGGTACTTCTATAAATAATTCGAACTTTAGGGGTATTCATATGGGACCTTGGTTATGAGCTTACTATTCATTAAGCAATATTTCGAAAAATTGTTGGACAACTCTCCCAAACATTTTTGTGAATTTTAATTTTACTTTTGCAATAATGTCTTATAAATTATATTTTTTTTTACTAATTTTTTCATACAGCACATTAACAGTGCCATTTTTGCACTCACACTATATCTAGTTTATGATAAATAAGTGTGTTATTTACTCTATTTTACTTTTCCCAAGTGGTATAGGGTGTCCTTTCATTTGGTCACATATTGGAACAACATTCATGGCTGTCATGGCGATTTTGCTGTTCTGCTACAATTATTGGCCTTGTAGTATTCATCCAGAAGGCATAAATAAATCGATTTCTTGGCCTGTGAATGAATTATGAAGGGCTGTAGTACACACATGAATCCTTTTTCTTTTTTGAAGTAAGTAGCGATGGGGGAAACAACCGGACAGAACAGAAGCAGTGAAATATGTTTGTTCAGTTCAGGTCCGTGAATGATAGCAGAGGACATCTTCTTAAGATAGTCAGGTTCTCATTCGATCAATCAATTATATCTTAACTGAGCGGCCCTGCTAGTATGTGACATGTATCGGTTTGATATTGTCCATCGCCGAATGAACCCTAAAATCAACCATAAAATTCATAATCAAAGAGATTTTGCGAAAGACTCAATATTAGGCGAATTCGATTGCTCGTTCGTTAGTCATATATGCTCTCCCAAACAATTAAATCAGTATTCTAGATCTTATTTATCATTATGGTTGTTAATGAGCCGAGCCGAGCTGAGCTTTGCCTTGTTCATGTTCGGCTCGTTTATAAACGAGCTGAGCTCGAGCCCGACTCGTTTATAAACGAGCTGAGTCAAGTCGAACACGAGCAAGCTCATTTATTAAATCTTGACACATCATTAAGATCGAAAGTTCGGCTCGATCTCAACTCTAAGATAATTTATAATATAAACACCCTTATATTTATATGTCATATGTGATACAAGTGATTACCTAATGTTATGTCATATATGAGACGTATTTGCTTACATATATTCAGTGTATCAAACACCATATGAGGTTATATATACAATTTAATAATTATATGCATTATTAACAAACCAAATCATAAGATATAGATTGATTTTCTCATAAGCTGTAGTCGAGTTGGCTCTCTAGTCACAATGTTGGGACATCTCATAAGCTCAAAACAAGACAGTCATGAGTTGTATTAAACGAGCCACTTAATCGAGCTAGTTTACGAGCTTCACGAGCCGAACAAGGTAGAGCTCAAACTCGGCTCGTTTATTAACAAGCCATATTTTTTTTTAAACTTTATCGAGTTCGAGACCGAGCCACTCACGAAGAGCTCCGCTCATTAACAACCCTATTTATCACGGTGAACATTTTACTTTTAAGTAAAACATCCCTTGACAAACAGGCCAAATCAAAGGTTTCTAAACAAAACTTGCTCAACAAAGTGAGAACATAATGCACTTTTTCCCAAATCCCAAGCAATGAGAAAGGGGGAAAGGCAAGAATGGAAGAATAGTATTATTTACACACACACTTGCCTATTGTCCATCCTATATACACTTTTGCTTTGAAATCTCTTTCTTCTATTCCCCCTCAACTCTTTACCTACCCTCCAAATTAGTTACCCCTCCCTCCTCAAAGCAACCAACCAAAAAGAATCACAGTCCCACCACAACTGGACAACAAGGCCAAGAACCCTCAAATTATTATTCCAAACAAACAAAAACGAAGAGGGAATAACAACAAAAGAGTCAGTAGTAAGTCTTGCACGCTTTCTTGTTGGATTATACCTCACCGACAGTAGAGGTGGTCGTCTTCTTCAAGCTCCGAAACTCCAAGCATTGCCAATGCCAAATGACTCTTCATCTCACTGTTCTTGTCGTTAGTCTGCTGGAGTTGTGGGTAGCAATCTATAATCCCCCCTGCCAAGTTGAACTTCTTCCTGCTGCTGCTAGACAACAGTGGAACTACTGCTGCTGATGCTGCAAGCTCCTCATCTCCTCTCAGTATGGCTAAGATCTCGTCTATCCGGGGCCTGCGAGATTCCTCGCTGCTCACACAGGCAGCAGCTGCATGGATCATCTGGGTTATTTGAGATCTGTTCCTTAAGGTGCAAGTAATTCGTGGGTCGAGCAATTCTTCGATCGCTCCTTTCCCTTTGTCCAGCAAGGGTTTGGCCTGTAAATGACATATATGTATGTGAAAGGAGAGTTCCATCAACTCTATGCTATACAAGTAAAGGAACAAAAGAGACTTCAGTCTTAGAGGTATCGAGGACCGTATAACAAAAACAAATCCCCGAGGTGTTGGGAGATGTCCAAATTTTACATCATTCCTTACGAACTGCACCACTAACTACAAGCGAGTACATGGCTTATAGAAGGCATTTCTTCATTCTTGAAGAGAAGAGTCTGGTTACCCATGTCAAGAAGTTTTCCTAATCAAAATTTCCCACCAGAAGGCAGATCCAGAAAAAGGTTATCTTCACACCAAGCAACGGCTTAATTCTAACAAGCAAGTATCATGCTTTCTCTACTAACAGTTTCACAAGTAGTTCCCCCAGGTAAACTGTTGAAGCTCCATTCAGGATCAACTTGGATTGTACAAAGAGAGAAGCCAAAAAAAACTAATTAAGAACTCAACTCAGCTTGTTTAATCCTATCACCGCCATTCACTAGACCATAATCATATTAGTCAATTTCTTTTCTTTTCTCAAAGTCCTCATTTGTATGGAAAGTCAGAGATGTGGGTCTAAGAAACGAGATGAGGGACCATTCAACAGAAACGAAGGGGACCTGTAATAAATAATTTAGGGGAGGGAGTTAGGAAGAATGACCTACCCATAAGACCAAATTCTCTTCCCCTGGAGGGCGTCTAGCTTCAATGGGTTTCCTTCCTGTAATTAGCTCCAAGAGGACCACCCCAAAAGCATATACATCAGTCTTATCCGATACCTTGCCATGCTGGAAATACTCTGGAGCCAAGTAACTGCACATTTTTCACCCAGTTTTTTTCATTATCAGCAAATGAAGAAATCATAAACAGATCTTTCCACAGGTATCCTGTCTTTAAGTTGAGATCTCAAATCATTACCCAAATGTTCCCTTGACAGTCTTGCACAGGAAAGGGACACAAGGTGAGGAAGTCCAGGTAGCCAATCCGAAATCACACACCTGTATAGTGCAAGAGCAGGAACAACAACTTATCACCTTTTACCACAACATCACTTGATCAAATCAGATGTAGAAAGCTAATATGGTCTAAAGCATGATGATTGAGAAACTAAATTAATATTCACTTTACCTTGGGGATTTTCTTGGAAGAAAGGAGTATGTTTGAAGGCTTAATATCTCTGTGCACAACACATCTCTCAGTCCCATTGTGCAAATATGCAATTGCTTCTGCAACTCCAAGGGCAACCTTGTACCTCACAGACCACGCAAGTGTTGAATTACCATTCAGTCCTCTCTTCTTCTTGTTCTTCTTCTTCTCTGGAAGATGGTCAGGGATTAGGATAACAAATCAAAATCATTGAATATTTCACACCAGTTTCTCATTCTTTCCAAAGATCAACAGTGCAAGAACAATACTAACCATGCAAATGGCGATCCAAGCTGCCACTAGAAACATACTTGTAGACCAAGAACAAGCCTTCCTGCGGATCAATACAGAAACCCACAAGAGGCACTATGTTCTGATGGTGAAGAGAGCTTGCAATCATCAGCTCTCTACAGAATGCCTTGGAAGACTCTTTGTCCTCCTTATCCAGCCTCTTAATAGCCACACAAGTCCGCATAAATCCAACCCTTCCCCTGAAGACAAAGCTCATAGCTCCCCTTCCCAAAACTTTACCTAACCCACAAGAAACCAAACCAAACAGAATCAGAACCATAACCAAGACCGGACAACAGCAAGCAGCAAACATGCAAAATCTTCTTAAGATCTTCCATCATTCGACTCACCTTGGGAGAAATTACTGGTGGCGGCGAGAATATCACTGTAGTGAAACCGAATCAAGGAATTCGCCACAGGGGAAATACTCCTCTCCAGCGACTGAATTCGCTTCCATCCCAGCTCCTTACCCCGCGAATCGCTCAACCCGTTTTCCAGATTCACCATCAGAACCGTCGCCGATGAAGTCGCGGAGGAGTTGATGTTCATCGATTCCAGCTCGACCTGAGAGCAGAAACTGAACCTGAAGGAAGAGTGAACCGACTGGGGTTCAGCATTCGCCAATTCGGCGCCGCCGCCGCCGCCTGATTCGGCGAGAAGCCAAGCCTTGTTGTTTTCCAAATTCACCTTACTCTTCTCTCCTCCTCCTCCTTCGCCATTCTTCTTCTCGAGCTCGCTGCTGGGGAGGAAACAGGACAAGCCGAAGTGCCACACCATCTTCGTCAAAAGGGTCTTTGAGGTATCGATCTCATTGACACTACTGTTGCAGTTGCAGTAATTATCCGCGGGCATGGAGGGTGAAGAAAACGACAAAGAAGAAGTGGTAGTAGAAGCAGAAGAGAAGGAATTGCTAGTAGAGCAGAATAAGCAAGCGCTACTGTGGGGACTCAGCTTTTGGGTTGAGCTTGTAGTACAATTTCGCTGAAAGATTCCCATTTTTCCTTTCCCAACCTTTCTGTTCAGAGAAAGCAGATCTCAATGAGAGCTATAAAAAAAATAACACAGAAACCCAGAGCTGAAAACGGGTAGAAGGGGAGTTGGGAAAGTTAAAAAAGAAGGGTGGGAATATCTTAAAAAGGTAAAAAGCTTAATGCTTTGCTTCAATGGTGGGAAGAGAATTTTATTTCCCCCCTGTTGTTATCTGTTTTTTGGGCTCTCAGCAGCAGCAAAGGGGCAGAGTAATGGAAGGTGGGCAATGTGGCAAATATAAAAGAAAGGAAGGATGGAATGGATGGATGGATGGAGGAACAAGAACATTATTATTAGTATTTGTGTGAAGGTGATGAATGATCGCAGCTTTTCGATTTGTTTAATAAATAGTGTGTGTTATGTGAGAGCGGGAAGAAGGAAGAAGAAGGTAGCGAGAAAGAAAGAAAGATGGCCATAGGAGGAGAAGGTTGCTACAGCAAAAATAGTTGTTTAGGAAATCGCCACCAAAGATGCATAAAATTTTGATAGAGGAAAGTGAGGTGAGGGTAGGTTTTAGTTGGGAGGAGGAGATTGCTTTATTTAATTGTTTTTTTTATGGATTTATTTAATTGTTAATACAGAAGGAAAATTAATCAAAATAATAAGAGCTTAAACAGAGAGACAGATGTTGGTGTTGTGAGTTAAGTGGACGAAATTGAACCCACAATCTGTACTATTGGTCCAATGAATTATTTTTCACTCACAATTTAAGTTCTTGAGTTAAGGGTATTACATAGATTGATTGAATTTGACCATAGTCAACAGATTGACCTATGTATTTTGATTTAGAACAAACAATTCAAACTTATTTTATTTTATATATATATCGGTTTAACTTTATTGTTAACTACTAGATAAGAGATTTGAACTTTCAACTTCAAAACTAGCGGTAGAACTTATGAATATATATTTATCATTCTAGGCCCTGTTTGGATGAATGATTTTATAACGAGGGATTTTGAGGCCAAATCTCTCGGCTAAAAATCTAGATATGTAAACGTGAAATTTATACAGAATCACTCGTTTGTTTATAGATAAAGAATTTAGGCCCCTTAAGAGACCTTCTGTTTGCTGTCGAAGCCCTTCTGTTTGAGGGATTTTAAATTTCCTAATTGCAAAATCCCCGTTCTTCCCAAATGCAGGATTGTTTTATATGTCGGCAGAATGAGGGATTATTATAAAATCTCTCATTACAATCCTGCATCCAAATGATCTCCTAATGGTTTGGTAAATGTTTGATGACTATGGTAGTGAGGATGGTAGTTAGTAGTGATCAGTAAAAAAAACTTATGTGTTTTATGACACAAATATATTAAAAATTGTTTATGGTCGTATTAAATGCTCTGTTAGTTTAGATGTAAGTATTGGGTATGCAACTCAATCTAAGAAGAAGAAGAAGAAGAAGAAGAGATTTGTAGGAGTGATTGATGCTTTGAAGGAGAAATCTTTGTCGTGAAAGAAGAAGATAGGGAAGAAGAGGAAGAAGAAGATATGGAAGAAGATTGAAAGAGACTTGGAGGATTGTATTCCTAAATTTCCATTTCAAATCTCGTATCACTTCCAAATTAGTTATTCACTTACTTGTTGGCTCAACTTCGATATATAAATTTCTTGACATTTTTAATAGAAATTTGAGCCTAAATCTCTCGTTATTAAATTTCGCATATAAACGATTTCATAGCTATTTCTCAACCGAAAAATTACACTACCAAACTTTCTAAAATGACCAATTTGAGTCATCATACCATCGGTATATATAGCGAGAACCCCATATATAGAGACTACCCATCAAGCATGCTCACAAGTACCCAAGCTGTCAAGGTATCAAGTGACCTACATGAAAGCAAGGGGGTTAGGACATCGAGCAAGCTACATCAAGTTCTACGACAGTTGAAGGAGTGACTATCGTTGAGGTTTATACCTTATGGCTATAAATAAGAGAAACGGAGATGGAGCAAGATTACTATAATGTCAAACTTTACATTTTTCTATAGGAGTAGGAGTATGTCAACATAGATTGTCCTAAAACTCCTAAAAAAACCCCTAAAAAACCATCAAACTTTGTTCGTTGAAGTATGAACGGTATTATTGATCACTGTCCAAGAAAATCATTAGTACAATCCATTAAGATTCAACACCATTTTTTTCCGCCGAAATATACCACTAAACATACAATAAGTTAATAAATCATCTTGCACACGACAGTTCATCCAAAGAACCCAATCAAGCTACCTAAACAAATTGCCCAACTACTCAAAGTAACATATCCAATATCTTTGTGTGTTTCCCCCTAAAGAAAGTAAGGCCAAAAGACAGGATTCATGATATTAATAAAAGACTAGCTAGAGCCTAGAGCTAGAGAGAGATCTAAAGTTGGAAGAAGACGAAGCTTTGGGATGACGTGTTTGGATTGAATTATGAACCCAACCGGTTAACAACATCATTAAAAGCGAGATTAGAAGGACGAAAAACAAAGAGAAAGAGGTGAACCCAAATAAGAAGAGAGCTAGGCTGGTAACCAACAAGAGATTAATTTTGTAAGTTATAATTAGCTGTGATTGTTCAAGAAATGTGGAGGGGACATTTGTGAAGCCACGTGGAGAGTCATGTATGGTTGTTGTTGTAGATGGGAAGCTTGAAATATAATAATAATGTTTGTTTCTGTTTCCTTGCTGAGGTTGGGCTGCAAAATGACTAATTAAGTAGTATTATATTTTCCTAAAATAATAATTGTGTAGTTTGGTGACCCTCCAATCCAACCATCTATATTCTTTCTTCTCCTCCCAACTACTGTACATGGGAGCTCCATCTATTAGTAAGAAAAGAAGGGAAAAAACCTAATCTCAATACTGTTCATGATAATCATTTGATTAGAAGATCCGATCTCCTTTCGCTAATCAATTTCTCTCGTGTTCCAAACAAAGATGTCATAAATCTTGATATTTGCTTTGGTCCTAATTGCTCGGTGAGCGTTACTGTCGTTAATTCATTAATTAAGATACGGTGAATCAAGGTTGTCAAACATATTTATACCGTTAGACTTGTTTAATAAGTGATATTGTTTGAGTGGTACCGCGCGGTACGTACACAACTGGTTTATGTCTGGTTTTAATATCCCACCCCACCCCATCCACCCACCGCACCAGCACCCCGTCACCGAGAAGAGGATTGATCGTCGATGCCCTAATCTCTTACTTTCAAGTAGCAAGTGATATTGTTTAATTTATACGTACGCAACTAATTTATATCGGTTTTAAAACCCAACCCAATCCCACTCATCGGCACCGGCACCCCTCACTGAGAAGAGGATTGGGGATGAAGCTAGGGCAGGGCAGGGCAGCATCAAATCTTTGCGTTAGGCTGGCTGGTGCACATGAACCGGCTGCTGCAACATAATTGCGTGCATGCACCGTTGATTCACTTCATTAATTGATTCCCCAAACACAAATTAAAGCACATTGACCACTGACATTTGCACATGCAACGTTCCGTCCGATATTATTATTACCGTCGAGTTTGTTAATACTCACCAAATAGTTGTTAAGTGAAGTTGTACGCCGGAGGGATGAAGAAGGGAAACAGGAGAGACCCCCCGAATTTGGCCCCAGAGGGCGTTTACATTTAATTCACTCCTACTATATACTGTTAAATAAATAAATATATTGAGAGTTACCATGAACGTGGACGTGCCGGAGTGGTTATCGGGCATGACTAGAAATCATGTGGGCTTTGCCCGCGCAGGTTCGAATCCTGCCGTCCACGTTTTTGGTTTTTTAATTGTTTTGGGCTGAGCCCAGGTAGATGGGCTTAAGATCCTACTTTATCCTTTTTATATTTTTTAGGCTCTCGTTGTCATGGGCCGTGCCCAGGTCCCATAGACTGATAGCCATCACCGCTAGCCTACCTTTGAAAATGAAAAAGGTATAACAACAAAATCGCTAGAAGGAGGGCTCGAACCTCCGACCTTGTGGTTAACAGCCACACGCTCTAGCCAACTGAGCTATTCCAGCTTTTTGTTTAATGGTTTTGGTAGAAAAAAATTTATAACTACTATGTATGAAAATATACACTTAACATGGTCTACCAACAAGCCTAATTCTACCTTCTAAGCGTATTTAACGACACATTAATCACCATCAGCTCTCGACAAACCCACGGCTTAGAAGTAACATACACCAGACAACAATTGATAATGTCAGAAGTATTTGCTAATCCTCAAATTGTTATTGTATCAGTCCTGAACAGGAAGAAAAAGAGGGAAATCCATAACAATGTTGCTATTGTGATAATCAATCCTCAAATTGCTATTGTTCTGTTAAAAGTTTCGAATCCATCAACAAAAGGAACGTACAATTCACCTACAAAGGTGCACCACCAAAAATTATAAATGAGTAGACACATCTACCGTATTTACCAGTGATTTTCCTCTACTATAATGTTTCAATCCTGCTTAAGGAGTTAGTCCACTTAGGCCTCGAGAGTGTTTCCATCTCTGCAGATTGAGCTCAACAAGGAATTCTTCAAAGCGACAATATCGCGGTTTGCAACCATATTGTTCAATCGGGCTGGGTTGGGTAATTTCAGGTTGTCGCATCGGGTTACGGGTTGGGTCGTGTTGGTTTGACTGATTTCGGGTCAAATATTGATCCAACCCATTCGGTTTCGAGTCGGATTACAAGTCGTTACGGGTTATGAGCGCTCTCATAAACAATATCAAACATCCTTCATATTTTTTTTTAAAGAACACGGATTTTCACATATGCATGACAATAGTTTACCTAACATATGTCAATTAACATATTTTCAAATCCTTCCATTCTAATGAAATGAAATACAAATTGGCAAGTCGTTAGAAAACAATCAGAAGTGTACAAGAAACACATGATATTTGATTACCTTTAAACTCCAAAAATGTCTTTCAAATCCTTGTGTTTTTTTTAAACATCTCAGTAATTTAGGAGCGATTTTATCATTCTGAAGTTATTTCTGGTAATTGTAGGAATGATTTTTTATTAACAATAGTCTATGTAACGAATTCTGACTTGAAGCACTTTGTATAATATTTTTTCCTCATAATTTTCTCACAATTCATTCTTGAAATCCCATTCCCAATACCTTTTCATGTATTCTCTCTCGATTTTCTCATAATTTGTCTCATCCATTCTAATTCCTCACACTAGTTTCCATTATCGGAAATGGGTATAATTTTGATATTCTATCTAATTGTTAAATGCGTAAGGATATGAGTTAACCCGAACTATTTTGAATAAGCAAATAAATATACAATATTCTTATTTTGAATAGGATAACGAAGATAAACAAATTTTCACTTCAAACACAAAATTCAGACAAACTCTATTTCTATTTTGCATATTCATGTTTAAATATTTAATTTCAGCCAATAATTAATCCAGATGGATAGTTAATCCAATCCATGTGCTTTCAAGGTGGGAGTGATCATCAAAAACATTAGTGGCTCTTTAATTTGCCAAATCAATACCAGTAAGTAACTGCAATTATGGCTAAGTAGGAATATAGAAATGATGAATCAAATCAATACACTAGCTAGCTAGCTAGTTAAGATTGATATGACGATTTAAATGAACATTATTAGGGAATTAATTTGAATAAACAAGTATGAAGTCAGATTGGAGGGAGGGATAACACGTGTAGTATGAAGTGTGATGATCTGTTTAATACTGTACTATGGATTTGAATTCCAATTCTTTTTTAAAAATCAAACGACACATCTCCTTGTCTCAAGGAGAGGAGTGAATTTAAATATATATTAGTTGATGCATTAATTCCCTATCAAGCCATGTGGGTTGGGTGATCATCATTTCCATCCTCTGTACTTTGTGGAGCTACACTTCTTTTGATCGCTTCTTGCATTGTGCATACAATATTAAATTAAAAAATTTCAAACTTTTTTTTTTATTTCTCTCTTATTCTTACTAGTTTGGTGTCCAACCCGTTGGTCAGAATATCATTTGACCACAACGTATTTACGATGTGTATTATAATGCTTTCAAATGGGTTCAAATGCCAATTCCTATATGACATTAAGGTACCATCGAAATTATCTTTCAATTTTTAAAATTCTGATAACCTTTTTATTAATAACCGAACGTTGTATTCTTAATGGTTGTAACACTCGTGAATAACCATTCATGACATATCTATAATCTGTTTAGTGATGGAGTCACTTAATTGTTGATGATTGAAAAGAAAATTGACATAACAAAAAAACTTGAAAATGTGTAACCAAAAGTAGGAAACACATAACCATAATCTTTACCAATATTTGTTTGTCTTGCTTGAGAACCAATACATGTATATCAATATGTTGAACTTAAGGTATTCTAAAGAATTTAATTACAAAATTTGTAAAAAATTTACATCCCTTGTTCATAATCTATGTCATCAAAAAAATATTTGTTAACCAGCATACTTGACATTTAGCTGAAGGACAATTTTACTCCCTAAGCTGGCTAAGCAAATAAATTAAACCTCTCCTATGGTACACATCATGCTAATGCATATAACCACATCAATGCGTACATGAAAACTTCTGCCCAATTTCATGATTTGTCTTTTACTTTGGTTAGTTTATATTAAACACCAAATAACTTCGAATATACATATAGTTAACTACTCTACAAGTTAAAGAATTAAATAAGTGCAATAATCTACAAAACTGGTTTTCAAAAATTGTGTTTTTTTTTAAACTCACCCATGTGATGGCAATGGGAGGGTTTGGGGTAGGTTTCTCTGAACCCTCTCATCTCCATTTTTAAATACCCAAACCCATATCCACCCCCATATGCATGCGAGAGAGGTTTTGCAACCCCATCCCTACACTCGTGGTTATAGGGTACCAGTAATAGCCCCTTATATGCAATCTTAGTATACCAAGAATTCAATATATAAATCTTTAATTATAATACTAAATGAACCTAATAAATCATGAAATCAATAAAAGGTTATAAATACAATCATTCTTAATACGAATTTAAAACATCCAACACTAAAACATTCATCAACCCCTAAGACAAAGTAGAGAGCAATGATGAAATTTTTACGGATAAAAGAGGATGTGAATTGAACAACGGAGCGACTGAGTTTCAAGAGTGAATGATGAGTTGAGGGAAATGAAATATGGTTTTTTTTTTGCCATTGACATCTCAAAAAGGACAGCAAGATACAATACAATGGACCCTTTAGTTCAATAAAAAAAACAGGAGAAAGAAAGGGACATTGGTCGGCTAGAAGTCGATCTAACGATCAAAGAGCCTTTTTTGTTACGATATGGGTAGTTCTATTATACCTACGAGGTGCAAAATAAAGAAGACACGCTGAAATGAGGAGAGCAATACAAAAATCTCTCTTAAGATTGTCCACATTGAAACGTGTAATGAATCTTTCCCGTTCACCATCTGAACGATCACCTGCACATCACCATAACACACGACATTAGAAAGAAAATGATAATAACACCAACGAACAACATCTCTGATTATACGTTTGCGTATTGTGGAGAATCTGGAAGTCTCGAAATAAGGTGGTTTTTGAGCATGTCCAACCTCATGCCCAGTCTCTAGCTCGTCAATGTTTTTTCCAAGTTCGTGAAGTCTCTTCCTCTCTGCCTTCGGTGCCTGCTCCTCCTCTCCAGCCCTCAAGATCTCGCCTTCCCTCCTGGATCCCTCCTCCTGATGGTTTTCTGAAGATCAACTTTGATGCTGTTGTTCATGCTTCCGGGTGCCCATCTGGTCTAGTGGTTCGTGGTACAGACGGGCATGTGGCTTTGGCAGTAGGATCTCTTGACCACGACATTGATGATCCCTACCTCGCAGAACTTCTTGCTGCTAGAGACGCCATCTCCCTTTTGGTCTCTAAATCCCTTCCTCGTGTCATCATCGAAGGAAATTCAGAAGTGGTGATTCGTCAGCTTCGTCAAGGTGTTTCTTCAGATTCCCTTGGAGGACCGGTGCTTCGGGATTGCTTCCTTCTCCTGTCTTCAGTCTCTGTCTCATTAGAGTTTAAGGCTGTTCCCCGGACTGCTAATAGGGCTGCCCATAGAGTGGCGCAGAAAGCTCTGTTACTTTTTCCTCTTGAGTTATGTTCCTTCGACTTTGTTGGGTGGCTTCACTGATGTAGTGGGTTGGTAAGGGTCTTGGTAGATTGTATAGTTTTCTCTATTGACATATCTTGGAGAAAAAAAAAACGAACAACATCTCTGAGCGCCAAGAGTCCCATTACGAAAGGATCTATAATGTGGTTGTATAAATGCCCAAAAGTAAAACTCACAATATCTACTCTAGAATACCCAACAAATCTAATCCCCCATTTCAACTCTTTATTATTTTTTAATTAACCTTCCTATCATTGACAAGTTACAACATGAACCCCATATTTTTATTATTATTTTATATTAAGAACTACTTTTGGTGGGTTATTGTACGAGGGGAGGTTATAACCATATCCACCCAATTCCTACAAACTCTTTGTGAGTTTTATGTAGCCATACTCACCCTATACCCAATTAATATGAGTATTCTCCGTTGACTGAGTCGAGGGCGATCAAATACACACGATCATAGATTTGATGTCATTCCTACATGTACGAGTCGGACAATGGCTCACCTACAAATTGGATTTGATGTGCTTAATATGAGTTGGGCTAATCCACCTGTCGCCAATATTGACATTCCTAGTGAGAAGCTAATCATGTACTCTTAGTTGATTCATCGTAACATAGTGGGATATAGTAGGATTGACTAAACGTGTTCGGTTTTTTGGGTTAACCGCAACCGAGCGGTTAGTGGGTAACCACACACCATTTTAAGAGTGTCCTTAAGTAGACATGGTTAGTTATATGATATGTTTTGCGGTTAGTGAGTTAACCGCTAACCGCACCGAATAAGTAAAATCCGTGTAAACAACAGTTTAAATAACCGCACCTAGGAATTAAGTCCTTAACACTATCCTTTGATCCAATTGACAAAAAACTTTCAAAGCATCAAATAATCATGACGTTATATGTATCGTTCGTTTATGTGTTGCTGGATGTTAATTCGGATTGTTATTTTCTTTGTGTCGTTGGATGGTAAAAATAAAATGATGGTTTATTTAGGATTTTCCTTGTGTTTTTCGTCAGTAGGTAATGCAGGTTTTACTGGATACTGCATTATGCGGTTAATGGGCAACCTCCAACCGCAAGTAGTGTAATTGGTGTGGTTAGCTTATCCACCCCTAAACAGGTATGGATAACCGCTCATAATTGTGTGAGAGTAACTATAACCGCACCGATTGCCACCACTGGGATATATTATGAATGTTTTAACTGTACTAGATTATTATTATTATCCATATGATTGTCACACACATATATATTATAATACGTTTGAGCAAATTGTAAATTATATATAGGGTCACATGGGGGAAACCCCAATTCATTCTCCCCCCTCACAGTCACATGCAAAGGGAATTTTTGGATCGAATGCTAGCAAAGCTATGAGCTAACCTCACACCCACTTTCAAACTCAAAAACCAGTAGTGGACGACGAATATCGTACGTTATCTCACTGGATCAAGGGCAGCAGCAACTAAGTTCATTGTTAAAACAATTCCCAGACAAAGGAATGTGTGAAACATCATAAAATATTGGACGCAGCCACGTGAAACCAGTAGACAGAAAGATAGATAGAGAGAGAGGAAAGAGTGAAGGAAGCAGCAGTCGAAAAAGAGATGGATGACTGAGGCTAGCTGGAAGCCATGCATGGCAACAACAATGGGAATCTCAAAGACGTGGGGGGTGGCGTTGGATCCGCCGAGGTTTGTGTATAGAGGCTGGAGATAATATTAATTTTGTGGTGTGTGGCCAGCTCAAAAAAATCCCAATACAAAATGCTGGAGAATCGCGTTTGCAGTAGTAGCAGGTTCATTATTACTTGCATATGGATATTTTCTATTTGGCTCCAAAACCAGACTTTTGACCATAAAAAAAAAAAAAAATTTAGTTAATGTGTCTCGTAGTTTGTTGGGCTAGCTACTCTGGATTTCGCCCAAATGATAGGGTTCATACTTTAGTTGTTGGTAGGGCCCTAGGCAATGGGAGATCAGAGGGATTGATTAATAGAAGAAGAGGTAGCTAGACAGGGACGGGTGGAACCAGGAGTTCCTGCGTCTAGATTAGGAGACTAAATCGAAATTAGGTACTAAACGGTAGTTAGCTAACAATTCAACAAATATATACACTATATTAATTGTAATTATCCAACAATTCAATTCATGAATCCATCGATCTTTAACTAGATTCGAATTAAATGAGTTGGGTTAATTTGATTATTTCGTGGATGGATTAGATTGGATTGTTGGATTGGATTCAAACGGCCACCTTCGATGCACCACCATGCATGCCTACGGACCTTATATATAGTACATAAACCAATTATTGGGTGGGCGTGAAATGCTCGGCATAATTGGTCACGATGTTCTCGTTCCCACGGGTATGCTTGTTGATTAGGTAGACCTCTATACTGTTGCTATGTCTAGGGGAACAGTTTCATCCAACGAATCCGAGTGTCTAGGCATGGACTTGAGAGAGTGTGTCAAGAATCAGTCGGGTCCTAATAATTCGACTTGTTGGGAGAGAGGCCAAATAATGGATTCTGCTATAATTATTTTACATATCCTCTTGAACGAATGCAAACCCATGGGGCTTTATACTTACGAAGGCTCAAAATATAGCTTGCTTAAATCAACATTCATCTGTTAATATTGAGGTCATGCGAATTCGAACACTAGACCTATCGGTCAACGCCTCTAAATCCATGTTAAAAATCATTTCATCTCAAACGCTTCATTTATCATCATGAATGTAAGAATGAATCTTATAATATTTCCTTACACTGATAGCTTATAAATTTACCCTCAGCCAATTTTTTTTTTTAATGAAACTGAGTTATTTTTGAAACAAATAATTCACCACAATAACTCGTTCTCACCAAAGAAACAGATAGCCTGCAATATTCTAAAATTTGAGTACACATTCTCCGAAGACAGACAACCATCACCACTTAGAGTTTCCGACGACTGCATTACTGGCTGGTTGGATCAGTAACATGGGATTAAGTTGTAGAATGAATTCCTCTGATTAATTATATATCAGACTACAGCGTGCATTCAGCCCAAAATTGGCTACTCATCGTCAATAGTTAATCAAAATCAGACCATGCAAATATTTATTAAGATATACCCTTTATATTATTATTATTATTATTATTATTATTATTATTATTATTATTATTATTATTAATCCAACAGTACCCTAATTGCTTAGCTAACTACTACTAATAATAAGTCCATCCGGCGACTTTCTTGCTTCACATGTCTTCTTGTCCATCTTACCCCATCTACCCTATCTCCCTAACCTAATATATATACAACCCTCAGCTAGCTTCCCCTATTCACCCTCCAACTAGCTTGCTACAAAATTCCACTTCCAAAACAAGAACAACAAACCCAAATCTCGATCTTCCCATTTCTTCATCTCCACCCCAAATGAACTCCGTCCACAATTGCACCGGCGCCGGTCCGACGATGATGATGACGACGACGACGATGAAGAGAAGCAACTCCTCTCCCTCCAACTCCTTGGAAAGCCCGACCAGCACCACAACTTCCAACAACGACTTCATATTCCACCCTTCTTCTGATCATCATCACCACCACCATCGTTATCATCATCCCATTACCACAGATCATCATCATCATCATCACAACAACAATCTCATCGACTTCCAAGCCGGCCCCGGCCTCCTCACCTTCGACCACTCCTCGTCGTGGGACAACTACGACGCCGTCGGGCCGTGGGACGACGACGCGATGAACGTAGCAATTAATAACAACAACAACGTCGTTCCCACGAGACGCGGCGCCTTCCAAAACGACGTCGTTGCTAACGTAGCTGCCGCGAATAATAATGTCGATTCTTCTGTCTCTCACCATAAGCACAATAAGCGCCCCGGAGCCGGAGACAGCGCGCAGCCGCAGAAGAAGCAATCCAACGGCAAGTCTGGAGCTAAAGCGGCTAAGCCCTCGCCATCGTCGTCCTCGTCGCCTCCGTCCAAGGACCCACAAAGCATTGCTGCGAAGGTACTATATATAAATAAATATATATATAATCCATCTATATGATTCATTTCTACGGCAACTCTCGAAAGATCTATACGGATATGGGGAATGTTTTGTCTTTATCTAAGGTCTACTCAACATGAATTAAGAGTTAACGAAACTTTTCAGAAGAATTTTTTTTTTCCCCACGAAGTTTTCAAACAATATTATCAACTGATTAGAATTTCGTTTATTCAGAATCGGAGAGAGCGGATTAGCGAGCGGCTTAAGGTTTTGCAAGAGCTTGTCCCAAACGGCTCTAAGGTATGTTTATATACATGCATGTTGACCTTGTTTTCGTTTCGATCTGGAAATTAAATAATTATATTCTTCGATTTTGTGTATATATGTATGTATAGGTTGACTTGGTTACGATGCTGGAGAAGGCGATTAGCTACGTGAAGTTCCTTCAGCTGCAAGTCAAGGTTTTGGCGACGGACGAGTTCTGGCCGGCGCAAGGAGGGAAAGCTCCGGATATCGCGCAGGTGAAGGAAGCCATTGATGCGATCCTGTCGTCCTCGAGAGGCAAGAACAACAAGAACTCTTCGAATTCTTCCAACTCTAGCTCGGAAGGAGAAGGAGAAGAAGAAGACGACGACGAGTAGGAGAATTTCCCCATGTGGGGCCCACTAGCATTTATTACATAGGAAGTCAACTTCCAACAATTAATTCCCTCATTATTTTTAATATTCATTTCAATTATGGTAGCGGAGGTTTAAGAGGAAGTCCGTGTTTAGGGGGGAATTATTAATGAGTAATTAGCGATTAGACGATAAGTCCTTCCCATCTGAGGCAGTCAGGCAGATCTCTTTCTTTCTTGTAATTTTGAAAAAAGGAAAAAAAAAAAAACTAATTACTGAATTTGTTAGTGATAAATCGGCTTAATTCAACGTGTAATCAAGGGGGCTCAAAACGGCCGCGTCCCCCATGTAGTTTCATTTTTTGGAGAGTATTTGTATTTCACTAATTGGTGAACTCGTTTGTATTTCATTTTACTCGGTGTAATGCAGATATTTATTGTGTTGATGATTAATAGCGGTTTCCTTCTTCATATTCGTTTAGTTTCACAGTATCTGTGAAACTAAATTCTAGGACTAATTCAAAAAAGAGTAAACACCCTTCAACTACTAATCTTATTTACTGGTTGTGTGTGTTACATTGCAGAAAGCCAAATTTGGTTATATACAGAAGCAGAGGACGAGCAGGGGGGAAGAGAGGGGTGATTGAACCCTAGCTTGACTACATCATAAGCAGTTAGTCTCAATCATATGGATCCATAATGGGCTTGGGTCGTACAATAAAGGGAAAGAAGACAGCCCAGTTCGCTAACAGCCTCCTACAAATGGATGCTGGTCTCGAAACATTAATTTGCTTGACAGATTCCACTGACGACACATAGAGAAAGCCTTCGTGAAAATGTCAGCAATATGATCCTCGGTGCGAACATAGTGGAGTGATAGGGTACCATCACTCACAAGGTCACGAACATAGTGAACATGAATCTCAATGTGCTTTGTAAGATTGTGGAACACATGATTGACGTCAATCCGAACGGCACTAGTGTTATCAACTAAAACATCCATAGGAATAGAGCATGTGACTCCCAAATCAACTAGAAGACGAAGTAAATCAGATATGTACTTACGTTGACTAAGCAGAAGTCCTTGAGTACTATGAGTTACCTCCAAACCCATAAAGTAAGAGAGCTCTCCAAGATCCTTGAGATTGAAAGTAGCTTGAAGACTAAACTTAAGTTGATGAATACCCTCCTGATGAGAGTCGTTGATGACCATATCATCAACATATAAGATCAATGCGACAACACCAGCAATGGATGTCCGGGTAAAGAGAGAAGGATCGTTAGAGCTCTGCTGGAATTCGAGTTGAAAATAGTAGAATAAAACTTGTCAAACCATGCACGTCGTGTGTTTGAGATCATACAACGCCCGATGAAGGCGACAAACATGATTTGTAGTACCAAGAGTGTAGCTAGGAGGTCACTCCATGTAAATCACCTCGTCTAAGTGTAACACCCTACCCTATACGTTTTGCCTAACCATATTGTTCATACAATTGCAGCGGAATTAATCTCGGGTGTTACATTAATTATCAAAATTTACCCAAATAAAATTTCGACATGAATTACTCGCGTAATGGGCTAACAGTTCTTGCAACTTATCCTGCAAAATAATTCATCACAAACATATATACTCACAACCATATGCATTGGCTTTTCTTAGCCATAGTCACACTTTTCATTCTCCACAACTGCATACCATACTCGTCACAACTTACACAGTTACACAACATATACACATATCGTCAACTTTCCACACCTGTGGATATCTCACACTAAATCGGAAGCTAGTATGCACATGAAAAATGTTCTCAAAACATCTTTTTACAAAAAGGTGTGGATCACTGGACAAAATCCCGAGTAGTCATCCAAGCACAGAATAGTTGAAGACCATACCTCATCCTGGCTTCAACTCTAGCTCCTCTCCCACCTAACACTTATCTACTGTTGCTGCTGATGATCTGCTTACACATAGCATAAGTAGAGAAGAAGAATAAAAGAGGGTCAGCTCATGGCTGAGTGAGACAATCATTGCATCGTGAGTTCATAACAGAGCATACCCCTACCATACATCAAACAAGCCAAAACACTAAGATCGGACCTCAGCCATCCTCATATCCCAATAGGCAAAAGACTCAACCACCTTGACTTATGCATATGCATCTTATCATGTTTTAATCATAGGCGCCTGGCTACTCCCATGCTAATTACTCTTCCGGGAATATGGACCAAACATCTCGTGGATGTGGTCATATCGGATCCACCACTGCCGGTGTAGTCATATCGGACCTGACACCACTCTAGGTGTGGTCATATCGGACTCAACACCACTCTGGGTGTGGTCATATCTCATGATGAATCAACGGTTAACACCACATCAGGGGTGTGACATAACATATCATAACGGAGTAATAGCATAGGGATCCCTAATTACTATATAATTGACCATGAGACCAAATCACTCTTATTTGGTAATCTTATACATGATCCATATCTCATCTTGCTTAATCATAATTCGCTACTTGCACATGTACCTGACCTGGCCACAATTGACTCAACATAGGTAAATCAGGAGTCGTATAATTGCACTTCCTCGGGATAAACCCTCGTGCCAGTCATCCTCCTTAAACGTCATTTTATCACCAGGGAATATATATTTTCCCACATGTGCATCCAAATACAACAATCATGAAAAATCATACACAATCACCTTTTCGAACCATCAGAAGGCATATCAACAGTCAAGCCCACAATTTGCAACATATACGAAATCATCAGCATAAACAAGGTCCATCTCGATTAAGGCAAGTCAATAATATCATACAGTAGTCCATGGTTCATCATATAGCACAAAAGTTCATACACCCTTAATCATGCCATTCTAGTTCACCTAGGTCAATTCTAAGCATCAATATAATTATCGTGATACGACAAACCCGGTATGCCATGCTAATCCCTCACCAGTTCTGGTCGTTCAAACACCGGTTCTAGCCTCCCGTACCCCAATTTCACTTTCTCAAACAAACCTGGAATCAAAATTCGAGATTGTCCTAATATCCCGTGCAGTATCCTCGTCAATGTTAGTTCTAGGCTCCGGATCAAATTCTCGATAAAAACACATCAAACCCTGGCCGGAGCTAAATTCAGCGGTTTGGGCCCCGACCTAAATAATTGCCGAAATTCATGGATTAGAACTAGAGGATTAATTACCTCGCTGCAGGAAGCTCGTATATGAAATCTGGGCTTAATCCGGCTTCCGGATACTCCAAAACCCTAATTTATACGATTGGAGGTTCAAGAAATTGATGGTCCGAAACTTCTCCATAGACGAGGAAATGATGAGCTAGGTTATAATAAAGGATTACCTGACGATTTCACCAATATTTGGATCGCTAGAACTAAATAATTGAGCTCTACGATTTCTACCCTGTGCGCGCTAGGCCTCTGTGTTTCTGTTTGGTCTCGCGGCAATGGAAATGGGAAATAGAATGGGACAAGATGGGGTTTCTGTATATATAATTAACTTTGAAGCGGTTCCGGGCGCTGCTTTAATCAAATCCCCTCCCTTTGCGACACACAAGGGTGTGGGACTAATTAATATATATAATTGATTAGTATATGCTTATAATATTTATATAGAGTAATGTATACTTATCCAATCGATCGATAATTCTATTTTCGTCGAAATACTATCAAAACGCTCGATTGTAAATCACGAACTTTTTAACGATCGAAATATGGGCTTTGCCGAAACGGGATGTTATACAAGGGCCACTGCTTGCAGGTTATTCACCTGTTAAATGCTCGCAGCTTCTCAAACCACCGCTCGCATGCTGACTTTGATAAGAATTTTGCATATGCAGTAAGAATTCAAGTTATTCACCTATTAAATAGCTTTTTAAATGAATACTTGAATCAAGTATTCGTAGAATAATCTTATGGCTTCACATATAATTTTCCCCAAATCATGTCTTCAAACTAAAAAGAAAGGTTTTGTATGACCTTAATTAAGTCATATGTGAACATCAAGCAAATATCTGTTGGATCATGTGTTCAAAAGAGGGTCACTTGATGATACCACTCTCTTTATAAAAAAAATTCAAATCAAGACATTGATACTCCAAAACTATATCGATGACATTGTATTTGGTGATACAAATGAATCACTCTACATATTCCGATTATTGCACTTAATTTATCATGGTTTGCAAGCTTGATCATGATTGAGAAATAAATGTAGTTCCACCTCAACTTGGTTTGCAAGCTTTTTCTTTTTCCTTTTTCCTTTTTCCTTTTTCCTTTTTCCTTTCCTTATATCTCTGGTGCTTGAGGCATGAGTAGGGATGGCAACAAAACTCGAACCCACGGGTACCCAACAGATCCAACTCGGTCAACGCGGGTAAAATCCGTGTTGACGGGTTTTGGGCCGGGTTTGGGTTTAAACCCGTTCACTATTCACCGGGTTGGGTTGGGTTTGGGTTTAGGTAAACCCGGCCCATGGGTACCCGCCCACACCCATATAATTAATTTTCTCGGCATATTTAATATTCTAAACAACTAATCTTATTTATGTTTGTGGAGACATGCCTAATTTTTTCTTTCTAGTTATGTAGTATGCAATTGATGTTATCGAGTGGAGAGTGACAAACTTAATTAAAAGGAAGAAGCTTTCAATTAATCATGTTATTAATGGATAATTTGTGATTTGCTTCAATTTTCTCGAGTTTTCTAGATTAGTGTTGAACAATTTATATAGTTAATTTGTGATTTGCTTGAATTTTCTAGAATGGTGTTTTATGTATGGATAATTTGTATCGGGAGATTGATATTTGACTTTAATTTTGATAGGAATTTGTTATTGTGAATTTTTTACAACAAAAACCCGTGGGTACCCATGAACCCGCGGATACCCAGCGGGTTGGGTTGGGTTTGAGTTTTTCAAACCCAACAAGTTTTACCCCCGGATTTTTTTCACAGATAAACCCATGGGTTTGGGTTTGGATTTGGCAAAACCCGACCCAACCCGACCCATTGTAGGCTTGAGCCTGTTGCCCTGTTCGACATTCTGTTCGGATGCAGGGGGCCTCTCGGTGGGTCTAGCCTCTCCATTTTGCTCCTTTGGGAGCTGCTGTGACCTGTGAGCACGCCTTGTGCTTTTTATTTTCTGGTGAGCTTGTACCCGAACTCATGTTTTGTTTTTCTCTTTCTAATGCATTATCACTATTATAAAAATAAAACATTTGAGTTAGTAGCTAATGCATTGCGAATCACGAGGATTCCAATGGTTTATTTGAGTTGGACTAACTACTATATTACAATAGGTTTGTATGTCTACATTAATGTTATATACCTTTTGGTTTTTGGTATGAAGAACCTTAATATGCAATACATAATTCCTTTGTCTCTTTCGGTAATCGGTATTGTTATTTTTCGCAAACTTCAAGTACTTGTAGTTTCTACATATTTTACATGAAAGCATAATATAGAGAAAAAAAGACGAGAAGACATTTCACAAGCAACAATACATTGTATCAATTATCAAGCAATTGACTCAAAGAGGAGAGGTTTTTAACAAACTGCATTCAGTTTTTCTTTGCATGGAAGTACTCAAAAATATCTAGTACATAAATTTTTTGTCTTGTATTTGATACCTAAACTTTTAAATTTTACAAATAGGTCCAATTTTGTATGGGTAATTAAAACAGTTTCAATTAAATGGTCATTCATACACAACCCATGCCCATTTAGATTATGGAAGCAATGCATATACCCTACCCAAACTCATCTACAAAAGTCAAAACCCCATACCTATATAGACTTCACTCATACCTTTCCCAATTCCCAGCATCAATGAATTTACTTGTGTTTGAGTAAAATTACCTATGAGTGGGTAATTGTCGTCTCTGGTTCTTACGTAATTGACTCAAAGATGAGAGATTGTTAAACAACCCACATTAGTCCCTATGACCCAATTAGCAAATTCAACTTTTTACCTATTCTTGACATCCAAATTCCACAATTACACCTCATAAGCCACAAGTGGTATTTCTCAAAATTTCATACCACATATATCAATCTTGACAAAACTCATGTACTCCCATGCCAATTAACCCAAATTAAAATCCCATACTCGTACACATAAATAAAACACCAAAAACCAAAACCATGTGTGGATCTTGTAAACCAGTTATAGTTAGTGAGTGGGCAAATAGTATTTTATATATTTTTCTTTATGTTCTTCTCAAGTTAAATCAATTAAACTAATATCCTCCTACACGTGGAAGGAGGAGAGGAAACGTAAAAGAAAGAAAAAGCCAACCTCCTCCTTCCACATAACTAACTGTTCCTTAACGCCTTCTTCCCCTCCAAACCCTTTCGCCTCTCCACGCAATCCCATTCCCCCCTTTTAACTCTCTCTCTCTCTCTCTCTCTCTCTGATATTTCTCTCTAACACCTTCCCCACCACACGCCCTCCTCCGCCTCCCGCTTCCCCCGCCTCTCTTTCCGGCCGCCGCAACTGCTCAAGCGGCAGAGATGGATTCCTCTTCATCGTCGGTAGAGAGTTGCCCGAGCTTCTCCCCTTCCTCTCCGGAGTACTCCGATTCGACGCCGCGCGGATCGGCTGCTGCTGCTGCTGCTTCCCCTTCCTCCTCTGCAATCTCCCGAGCCCTCCACCTCGTCAAATCCGAGAATCCGGAGTCCAAGGTCGAGGCGGCGAGGGAAATCCGCCGCCTCGCCAAGACCTCGCAGCGGTGCCGCCGCCTCCTCGCCCACGCCGTTCCGCACCTCGTCTCCATGCTCCGGGTGCGCGACTCCGCCGACTGCCACGAGTCCGCCTTGCTCGCGCTGCTCAATCTCGCCGTCAAAGACGAACGGTAACGATTTCCATTTTTCTTTTTCTTTTCAATTTTTTTTTTCTTCCTTTAATGTATTGATAATTGATTAGTTTAAATTAGGTGTTGATTTTGAGGATGATCTTGCTTTACTTGGGAAGTACTGCAACTGTTTTCCCCTTTACCAGAGCGATCCTTTTCCTTTTCTTCTCCACCTGCCTTTTTCTAGGATTCCTCTTTTTTTACTTTGGGATAAAAAAAGGATTCCTCTTTTTTTACTTTGGGATTAAAAAATCCCGTTTGCTCCATGGAGAAATTGAATTCTTTTTCCTTTTCTATGTGGTTGGTTCTTATTGGACTCGATTGGTTAAGTTGGGCCAACTTTTTGGCGAATTCTGACTATTCAATTCGGGAAAATATACCCCCAACGGGGAGATGGAAGTTTGAATTCCTGAATTTCAAAATTCGAATCCAATGGGGGTTTCATGGATTTTGTATTTTTCTTCTTGGAAATTGGAGTGGCGAATAGAATATTCGACTCTGTCTCCCTCCCTTGTTCCCCATTCCTGGAAACACAAGGGCAAAGCAGAGAGTTCTGCGTCACCTGAAATCTCTACAGATTGAGATGTGTGATTTTTTGTTGTTGTTGTTGATGCAAGTGAATGGATTCAGCGAATTAGGAGACAGACGAGTAGGAATCATGGAATTTTGGTTTGATTAATTACTTGATGGGTGTCGGTGATCGTTCTACGGGTAAAAACTGCAGGGGGGGAAAGAATCAGATGCTCTTGCTGCAGTGAGTTACCCCCACTTGATTGGGGGAGGCGGGGTTCCTTTCTTTTGCTTTCACGTGTTTTTAATTCGTTCCCCTTTTTCTGCAAATCTTCACCCGGAAGTTATTCTGTCAAAATCAATGGCGTACTTTTGGTGGGGATGATGCCCTTCTGCGAGCTACCCTTCTGGTTCTGGATAAAAATGGGAGTCACGTTGTTTCTCTGTTTTTATCAACCCTTTTTCCACCTTTCACTTTTCCCCGAGTAAAGATTGGGATCTGGAAACTGGTAATGAATGCAGGTGCTAGACTGCTATCTGCACTTAACTAACTTCCATAAATTGTGAAAGCGAGAGCCTTTAATGAAGGGGGAAAGGTCGAACTGAACTCCTGCCGACTGTCCTGTGCTTTGTGTTTTTCTAAGTTGGTACAACTTGGGTTGGGTCATTCTTGTCACGGTGAAATTTGGGTTACTCGTCAAATTTTCTAAAATGCATGGACTATGGCTGTTCAAGCTTGTCAGAATTGCTGATTCGCAAGAGTGTTAATCTTAGCAAATTCTATGTTAGAAAGAACAAATTTGAAATTGCTGACTGATTGTAGAGATGAAGATGGTCTTTATGCTTTTGAGTCGAGTCGCAGCTTGAATCTTAGAGCGCACGTATTGTTATCTCCCCTTTCATTTTATCTGTGAACTAGTAGCTACAAGTTTACTGGGCAAAAGGGTTGTGTTCTTAATCTAATCTGCTAACTAGAACTGTAATTTCTGCTCAGTTGCTATTAGGTTCAATTGTGCTGGAAAAAATAACCGAGTATATTGTCACTTCTTGCAGGAATAAAAGCAGCATTGTTGAAGCCGGAGCATTAGAACCAATAACAAACTTCCTCCAGTCAAGTGATCCAAACTTGCAGGAGCACGCTACAGCAGCACTCCTCACTCTCTCCGCCTCAACCTCAAACAAGCCGATCATAACCAATTCCGGCGCCATCCCCTTGCTAGTCCAAATCCTCCGCAGCGGGAGTCCACAAGCCAAGATGGATTCAGTAATGGCACTCTCCAACCTGTCGACACACTCGAACAACGCCTCCACAATCCTCAAAACCCACCCCATCCCTCCAATACTCGCCCTCCTCAAATCATCCAAAACATCCTCCAGAACAGCCGAGAAGTGCTGCGCCCTCATCGAATCCCTTATGGAATTCGAAGACGGCCGAGCAGCACTAACCTCCGAGGAAGGCGGGATTCTAGCAGTGGTCGAAGTGGTCGAGACCGGCTCCCTCTCAAGCCGAGAGCACGCTGTCGGGGCGCTACTGAGTCTCTGTCAGAGCGATCGGTGTAGGTACAGGGAGCCGATACTGAGAGAAGGCGTGATTCCCGGACTCCTCGAGCTTACGGTGCAAGGCACGCCGAAATCTCGGGTGAAAGCGCAGACATTGTTGAGGCTGCTGAGGGAGAGTCCGTACCCGAGGTCCGAGCTCCAGCCCGACACGCTGGAGAACATCGTGTGCAACATAATATCTCAGATAGATGGAGATGAACAGTCTGGTAAGGCGAAGAAGATGCTGGCGGAGATGGTTCAGGTCAGCATGGAACAGAGCCTGAGACATTTGCAGAGGAGAGCTCTGGTATGTACCCCTGGCGATTTGGCTGATTAGTAGTATCAGTTTTTGCAGCTCTTGAAGTCTCTCTTGCGAGGGTTTTTTGTGTGTGTGACACACATGGGTTTTTCTTTCTCTTCTTCCGGATTGGTAATGTGGAGAACAAAGAAGGGCAAGAAGAGAACAGGAAATTGTGATGTGATGTGAAGTGGGGAGATATGCCAGTCCAGGCCGATAGGTAGGTATCAGGTGGCTGGTAGTAAAGTAAAGCAAAGCAGAATACGCCATTATCAATAATCAATCACGTGGCTGTGCTGCTGTACATTATTGGTGTAGTTTTGTAAGTAAAAAAGAATCAAAGGGAAGTCCCTCCTGCCTTGTAAAAGAGGAACAGTTGTTGTACCAAATGTTATTATTATACAGATTAAAACGAAAGGGTAGATTTGTCACAGTTTTGACTGCAGAACTTTGAATTGAGTCAATCTTGATGTATGTCATATGTGGATTCATTTATCGAGGTGGATGAATCTTGAGTGGGAGACAATTCGGTTCAATTGCCTTAAAATGAAGTATTAGTAGGGGTGTCAGTTCGGGTCGGGTTCGGTTACCCGAACCGAAAGCCGAAAAAACCCGAAAACTTGAAACCGAAAACCACTAAAACCGAACCCGAACCCGATAAGGACTTGCGGGTTCCGGTTACCCGAAACCCGAAAATTCCTTATCGGTTTCGGGTTCGGTTAAAGCAAAACCGAAACCCAAAAACCCAAACGCCTAAGAATACGAGTTGAGTTCTATTCATTGGAGGTTTTTAGCCGGAACCTGAAAACCGATAAGCAAAACCGAACCCGAAACCGAAAAACCCAAAACCCAAAACCAAAAAACTGAAAATGTATATAATCGGGTCGGTTTCGGGTAAACCCGAAAAACCGAACCCGAATGAACACCCCTAAGTATTAGCAACACTTTAATAGAGATGAAGCAATTAGACATACCTGTGCTGTATAGACTGCAAATGCGTGGTATGCTAGCATTTGAGAATATACCCAGCTAATAACATGTTTACCTTATAAGACAGTCGGCAATCCCCCCAAATTTTGTTGGCTCTGTGGGCGCTTTCTCTAAGTTTGACAGGTGAAAATGTTGGTCCAGTCGGAAAGCTATGTTTGGAATCTTTTCATACTTCCACAGTGAAGTTATTGCTTTTGCTTTTCGGTAATATTGATGTGTTGAATAATAACCAATAATAATAATATTGTTGTTAGATATTTTTGTTTGTATTGACCAGTCAGTGAAGAGAAGTGTTTGATAATAATAATTAAGCACCGTCTGCATATATTATGTTTTTGCCCTTTGTCTCCTGTGGTCGAAAACGGTTCAGTGCATGCATATGCCAAAAAGAACAAGAAAGAAGAAAACCGATTGCAGGCTCACAATTTAGTTTTTATTGTTGTCTCATCATCCCTACCATACTCCAGATTTTGTATCCTAAACCAAATACCAGAGTTCTTTTTGTCTCCAAATGTCTTGGATGATGAAGACTAGTACACAGAGAGCCATAATTGTTAGTGTCGGTCCAGCCTCAAATGCGAGCGTCCCACCCGATAGATCAATCACTATTCTATCTCAAAGGTCACCGATAAAAAACTAACCTGTTTAATTTGTAGCGGTCACAAGAATTCCACGAATAACATATGTACTACGCATTCTTCTATAGACTCTAACAGGTAAAGCCGAACTTCATGTTATCCATATACTAGCTCCTCCCAATTTATGATGCAACATCCAATTGGATCGATATATATGCAAAAAGTGTTAGAGTTAGTCAATAGAGTTGTAATACGAAATTTATGGGAGAAGTAAAGTATAAAGATGGAGTCTTTTGGCAGTTTAATTAATCAATTAATTAATTTTGTATATAACACTCTAAGGAGAGTGATTAATCACGCCTTCAATCCGATTCTTTCCTACCAGTTCCTGACAAAAAGGACGCATGCTCAAACTCGTCGTAAACTAGCTTATATGCAACAACAAAAAATATATTTCGCTATGAAACTGACGGTCCAAACAATTTGAAAAAGGGATAACTGCTCCTACAAAATTTGACGCCAATTCAATCATCTCTAGCTAGTTTGTTGCATGGTCCATGAAACCGTACCGTACCAGCGATTTAACCATGCAATACCAGTATTGGAGGCTAAACTGGTATGCGGTATTTAACGGTCTAACGGTTGAACTATGATCAAACCACGATTTTATCATAAAATATCATACCGCTTACTTTTCCGGTGCGATATCTGGTGCGGTTTTATGGACCACGGTTTGTTGAGGAACGGAAGCGCAAGTTTTTCAAGTCGGAGAGAGACCTCTGGGTGGGTGTTAAGAGCTTATAGGCAAACGATCCAGCCATTGCGCCAACGATTGGGCCGAAAATATACACCCAAAGTGCTTTCGTCCCTTGTCCAACTACAGCCGGCCCAATACTCCTTGCTGGGTTCATCGAGGCCCCTGATATCGGCCCAGCGAGAAGGACGTCCATCACAATGGTCATTCCGACGAGTAGAGGCCCAAGATCGCCCACCTGTTCTTAGCCAGAAAAAAGATAGTGAAATCAACGAGAGAATACCCCTAGGGTTTTGCCGAGTGAGTTGTGGGGAAAAAGAAAGGAAATAAGACGTACCGTTGAATCAGAAGATGAAACGGCAGAGATAACGAAGAGCAAGATGAAGGTGGCGATGATCTCGGCGGCCAGAGATTGCGCCGCCGATCCAGCCGGCGCCGTTCCGAAATACGATTTGGGGGTTATCTCCACCAACGCCTCCAACGTCCCGCACCCTAAGATCGCTCCCACCACTTGCACCACTATGTACAACGGAACCTATATACCCAACAAAATCACATTTTAACTCTTCGATTTTTTTGTATTTGTCGAAAAACCATTTTCAATCATAAATTAAAAATTTTGTTGTGTTATTTTATAACACAAATTAGCTCATTCAAAACACTGATTGGACTTTAACTCGATGAATATGTGTATATTACATAAGAATATTCACCAATGACTAGTACTAATATTAATCAATATATTTTAACACGTCATTAGAACCATAATCAATCAATCATACACAACAAAATTCGTCATATAATAATACAATGATTGGATGGACTAAGAAATCTATAACAGAAATTCCCTAATATTCGAATACCGTATATCGGAGTGCACCCCATTAGCTCGACCATGCTAGCCAATTAACTAGAGGACTAGATTGAGTAGGGTAGCTATGCATGCCTATATACGATTTTCGACATGAGTATAAAAAATCAACGTTGTTGGTTAGGTTATAATAACGTACGTAGGAGATAGTGTTAAAACTTAAATGATGATAAAGTGCATGATGGAATTGGGTACGTACGAGGCGGACGGGGAAGGAACGAAAAGCGGCGGCGGAGAGAGTGACGGCGGGGTTGAAATGGGCGCCGGAGATGTGGCCGACGGAGTAAGCCATGAGCATGACGATGAGACCCCAGCAGAGCGCCACCCCTGGCGCCGTCGCTTTCCCGTAGATACTGTTCACCGCCACCGATCCGCAGCCGACCACGATTACAAAATACGTCCCGATCAACTCCGCCGTCACCTGTTCATATAAATATGTATATATCATATATTATGCTACTTCAAAAGTAACATTGATAAAAAAAATTGTACACGTGTATTTATTTATTTATTTATTTATATTGATGGTAAAGGCAACAACCTTTTGTAGAGTTTCAACAACAGCTGAGGACGTCCAGAATCCAGGAGGAGGAGGAGGTGGTGGAGTGGCCGCCGGGGAGACGCCGCCGCCGCCTTCTTCTAGCTCGCTCATTTCTGATCTATGATGTTCGGCGGCCATTATGTGTAATTTGTTTGATGCGTGTTTAATTTGGAGGTTACCTTAATTAATTAGTATGTGTTGTTCTTATAAGGAGGAACTGCGCGGTGTGACAGAGAAACGGCCGTGTCTTATCTAGGTTGTTACTTTTCATTTTATCCATTATCCTTAAGTATCTTAGGAGATTCATTTTTCTGTTGATGTTTCAGGGGAGATCGAAGATTTTGTTCCTGTTGTTATCGGGCTAATTTTTTTGTTTTTGTTTTAGGGAGGCCTTGAAAATTGTTTTCGCTTTCGACCAAAAGAGTGAGAGAATTACTGAGTCACGGTTAGGTTTGAACTTTGAAGAGTGATTTTGAGCTCATAATTACGCATCTATTTTTTTTTTTATAAAGAAAATGGTGATGGAATAAATTTGAGAAGAATTAGATGAGGAGAGATATCTAGCAGATTTTTTGGTTAATAAGATCTTTGATGAAGATGGTAGCTAGCCGCAAATGATCAAATGGATAACTGGATAGTGGATATCGTCTTTTGATTTTTGGGTAGAGACAGATCTGAATTTTTTTGGTGGGGAACAAATTCATTTTTTTATTTTTTCACGAATATTAAGCGGTTTGTATCTAGTTAGTTTTAATTTGAATTCTGAAAAAATATTACATAGATAAGTGGATTGGTTATAATCAACAAATAATATCCATATATATATATGACAATAAAATTTTGAATTAATTATATCATCGTCTAACATGATCTTACAATTATAATCCCCCCACCCCGTAAAATGAGACGTATTTCTCATTAAGTCTTATATGCTTGAGAATGAGCCAACATATCACATCATGGTTCAAAAAGGCGTGATTAATCTTACACTTAGATGAGTCTTGGTGTTTGACAACACTAAAACGTCTTGCTTAGAGGTTCCACAATAAGTTAAGAATCCATAACTCCTGAGTGAAATAAGGTAATAATATCTAGTCAGACCGTTAATATCAATAGGAAAACTTAACATCGTCTAAAAGCTCACTCTTTTCTCAATATTTTAAATAGCAAATCAATTTTGTGAGCTATCGAGTTACTATCCAAGCTTCCTCACTTAATAAGCTTATCTTGGGTAATGATGGCATTCTTAATCAAATGAAGCTATACCTAGCTAGGCACATGGTGCTTGTTTCATAGAAGGTTCTGCCACTCAACTGTCTGTTGCTTAGTCCAAGGGTTTCCCAGAATTTAGATATGGTCCTCCACTTGAATTTTGGAGGATGGTTCTCCATCTTACAATGGTCCATAAAAATGGGTCATTAAATTAAGAGTCAAAATTTGTTAGTAAAAAGTAATAGTAGAAAGTGATGTCAGCAACTGAAAAGCAGTTGACAAAAAGCTATTTTTTGGGGGCCCACGAACTGGAAAATAGCTGACACGAGAGAGAGAGAGTGAGGAATGCAAGTTCTGGGAAATGCTGAATATGATTTCTGTTTTGTACAAATATGAATTGGGATCAGTACGAATATGATTTGTGTTTAGTAAGAATATAGTTTTTAATACGTGGTATATTATTTTGAATAAAAGTTGTGAAAATTACGAATATACAAGTCACACATACAGAATATGTTCTTTGTTCAATACAAATATTTTTTTTAGTTCAATACGAATATGTATTCTAATGTGTATTTATGTTCAATACAAATATGATTTTTGTTTAATATGAATATATATTTTGTTCCATACAAATATTATTTTCGTTCAATACCAATATGATTTTTGTTCAACCAGAATGTACATATACAAACTATAATATACATAAATTTTGTTAGACACAAAGCGCCCGCTTTGTCTGTTGCTTTTCAGTCCGTGGAGCCCATAATCCACTATCTCTTTTACTAATAGATATGAACCTTTGATTTAATGAGCCATTTTTATCGGTCATTAAATGAAAGTGGAGAACCATCATCCAAATAGTAAATGGTGGACCATATCCAAGCTGGGTTTCTCAGTTACCACACCCTTTTTAACATAATAAGCATGCATTGTACTCCATCCCAAGACACCACTTCCCCTGGTTTTTGTAAGTGATCCTGCAATAAGGGCATTGATCTTTATTATATGCCTCCACACCCATGAGCTACGGATGATACATTAATAGTCCACACATTCGCATTTCGACATGTGTTTCTATCACTTCTTACCATCATGGTATAATCTTTAGTAATACACCACGATATATAATGGTATGCTATGGTAAAAATACATTTACTAACATTTTTTATTGACGAATATATCAAAATGGATGATATTTACTACAGCCTAGACATAATTAGTTGACTTCTTGTGCTATCATGATGGTAAAATTTTACCACTTCCAATCACTATAGTTAATCTTTATGTACCATTACCACTATGGTAAATCGTGATATACTTAGGTAAAATGAATGAGATATAGTACATTAACTTTTAATACTTTTAGTAAAAGTTTGAGTCTCTCAGAATAGTGCAAGATTATCTTCGAGACTTGGATGTAAAGCCATTTTGATCAAACGTCACTAAAAGTCGTGTGTCTTAACTCATCTCTATCCCTTAACTCATCTCTAACCCTCCTTCTACGGCTAATTTCCTTCCTTTTTATTTACTGCTATTCCGATTTGTGCACATTTTACATTTTCAAAATATTTACAAACTCGAGACATCTCACCCTTAAAAAATGTTTTACAAAAAGAACATAACTTCTCACTGATTGGGTAGTAAGATTTGACAGGCATTGAGGAATATGATTCTTGTTACCATCTACGTATATTTTGACCCTTATACCATAGTCCATAGCATAGCATATCACCAATATAATAAGTTGGAATTTCTTTGAATGTGCAAGCAACAATTTATGACCGATATATAAGAGATTCACAAGTCACTATGCAAAAGTTAAAAAGGTTTTATTATTTTGAATATGAAAAAGAATAAAATTGGGTGGTGTTTGATTTAAGCTTTCCTTTTTGAGAGGTGTAAAGTTAATGAATAAGAAACTAAAAGGAGGGAACAAGAAAAGGATATAAAGCTTTTCCTAAAAAAAATAATAAAAAAAAAAGATATAAAACACAAAAGTAAAAATCCTCTTAAAAAGAAAATTTCTTTGTGCTCCAGACGGTGAAAATAGGTATAATTTTTTGTTGTTGTTAGGATAAGGAATTGAACCCAATACGAAACGGTAGATAATTTTTTTTAGAACAACAGTAGATAAATTATCTAACTTAGTAACAACTATTATAAATTGCGATGTGTGTTGAGTATCCCATAAGTACCCCCATGCCCCAAATCGTAACTAAGATAAACAAATTCAAGTCATTTAAAATAATTTAGTGTTCATTAATAAGAGTTTACCATACACTACGAACTTTATTCCAATGTGTCACCAATTTTGAGGCCACTACATACAAGTGATTTTTTTCACTAGTCCATTAGCAAATAGAAATAAAATATACAGCACTAATTAAACAAACGAAACTATTTGGCATTCGTCAATCACCCACCACCACTGAACAAAAAAGCGTCAAAAATTCCTCTCAATTATTTCCAAAATGAAACGAATTAACCCATAATATAAAATAATCAATCAAAAATCAAAAGCTGATCAATTGGGAAAGACAGCACAATAGCAATCATGCCGGTAACTACTACCACAAGAACGCCTCCATTCATGCTGGCCGAAGAATCGTCGGAAGGCGCCGGCGGTGGGATCTTGTAGTACCAGGGGAAGTACGGCAGGATCGGGTTGGGTGGCGGCGGAGCCACGTTCATCGACGGAGGCACATTGTTTGGCGGAGGAAAGTAGTACGAAGAAGGCGGCGGCGGCGGCAGCTGGGTGCATGACGTGCAAGCAGGAGGAGGCGGCGGCGGGGACGGCGGAGTGGGCGGAGGTGGGCAGTTATTTGCCGGCGGCGGCGGCGGTAGAATGCAAGGATTGGAGGCACAGGCGAATGTGGTTTGTGACTGCGCCAATTTGGCCGGGGATGTTATTAGGATAATTGATAGCGTGAGCAGAAGGAAAGGGATGGCCGCCATTGGGATGATGAACAAACTGACAGTGGAAGAGAGAAAAGGAATTTTGCGCCGGCGGGGACATGTGATGATATGGTTTATAGTGATAGGAGGGAATATATGACTTTTTCAAGAGGATTTTTTTCTTTCTTTCTTTCTTTGAGCTGTTATGTGCTCACTGGTGGAGGCTTTGTTCTATCTACTGACTTTTCTTGGGTTTTCAATCTTTTTTTTTCCTTTCTATTTTGGACTTTTGGGCTCATTCATATAATAGTTTTCGCAATAAAGACGCGTCTTAACCTGTATTATTAATCAATCTGAATTTGAAGATATCAATAACGATGTCATATAATGTCAATGACATAATTACTTGTTAAGTACTATCTATGATGTACAGCTCTGCAGGCAAGACTCAATTGTTATGTACTAATTGTTTGGTACGCTCACGGTAGACATGTATCAACTGAACTTATCACTCGAAAGAAAGAACATTTGACGGGCAACAACTATGAAGGATCTACGTGGTTGGAAAGGTAGATGAATTAGTGTAACAACAGAGTCGGCTCATATAATTTTTTTTTTTTTTGTAGACATACCCACCTTAATATGACCAAGTTTAGTTTTAAAATATTTCGGCAATGCTTGTTGATCCATAGTTAATACATTAAATTTGTTGAATGTTATCATTTTTCATATTATCCTAGATCAACTTCTAAAAGCTCCTTGTAAAAACGATACACATATCAACTTCTAAAAATGACTGATGATAGCAACAAATTAGACGGACCATTATAGAACATTATGAAGGAAATTTAACCTTTTTGTTAAGTAATAATGAAAGTTGATGGAGGCTTTTGGTAGGGGGTACATTAATTGGTGTTTTCTAAAAGGATTAACTGAGTTGAAAGGGACTTGAATGTAAAACGACAAATGTCAATTATTCTTATCTTGCCACATGATTAATTTTGATGTTGTCTAAATTGGTGAAATGATGGGTTGGAAAGTCGCGATCAATTGTATAATTGGAAACTAATAATATATATATGTGTTATATTCTGACACTAGTAGTTAAACAATAATCCACCGACGCTTTCTTTGCTTTGCTGTACCATACGATTACAATGCATGTGTGGTAGTTATGTGATTCCCTTGAGTCTATCCCGTCATTAACATGATTGATCATTATCTAATCAAATTTAACTAGCTATATCTCTTTCCTTTTACCTTGAAATTTAATATTTTTTTTTAAAATATTAGATTAATCGTGTTCTTCAAATAATATCAACTTTAATATATTTTTGAACAAAAAACATTAAAACATATGCTACCAATTTATATCATAGTGATAATACTTTGTGTACGGATCCTAACTTATAACGATTGTATACATAATACATGATAATATGAATACATGAGAGACAATGGAGATTTTCCTATAGGGAAATAAATAGCATAGCTCACCTATTGGCCCATATATTTCCGTAGGATCAGTGTGTGGTTTATGTTGGTGATAGCTTTCCCAAACCAATTGCTGATGTAATTGCCATTGAGGCTACTTATCAATGAAATCGGTCGATGAGTTGACATTTAAGCTATCATTTACCATCTTTCATCGTAAATTACCACATATATCAGGGTGGTATATTTAATACTGGAATTTTTCCTAATAGATTTTGGATCTCAATCGATCATGATGAAAACGCTCATTTTGTACGGAATTTTACAAAATTTAAGTTAAAACGAAGGTGTTACATAGTGGTAAGACGATAAAGAGTATCCCTCATTGAATTTAACATCAAGTGGACCTCAAATGTTTTTTCACGAATCAATTCAAAAGCATTTTGTGCACGACTGAGACTAATTGGAAATGAAAGTCTTTTATGTTTGGCATAATGACATGTCTCACAATGAAAAACTACATTCCTGTTAAATGGTGCTAGTTGTTTCTCTTTGTCTCTACTTGGATTTTCTAGCTTCCAACCCGGCCCATACCTCTATGTTTTGTTGTTGGAAGTTGCATATGGTGTGGTGGTGATGATTTGTAGTGATTGTGAAAGCAATTGGTAGAGTCCTCTATTTTGTTTTACCAAAGGCGTCTTTCTTTGGGTCATCAGCTCATGAATGAGACGATAATCAGATTTAAAGTGTAAGAAAAAAGGGAGATCATTGGTGAGCTTACTAATTGAAACTAAATTAAATGTAAAATTAGGCACTAGGAGGACATTGTCTAGGATCATACCAGTAGGTAGTTTCACTTTTCCTATATGACTGATAGCTACCCCAGTACCATTTGGTGAACACAAATTGATAATTCACTGGAGTAACTTCAATGAATGAAGTAAGAATGCATGCAAAAAGATCCAAGTTCTAGTGTCAAGTATCCATGTTTCTATCATAGATTCATCCAAGCATGAGTAGAGAATATATTTACCAACACGATTCGTGAAGTGTGGCATGTGTTGTGCAACCGAGAAAGCAAGGTGATTCACTGAAGGTGACGCTGGTGGTGATGGACTATTACTGATTGAAGGAGAAACTTAAGCTTGTTAATTTCTTCAAATGAGAGACTTAGAATGTTACTAGTACTCATGGTCCCAATACTCTGGTTTGTGTACTACCTAAGTCACTGTCAGTATGACTCTGTTTCTGATACAATTGATATAACAACACCTCCAGTTATTCTAGCCTTTTTTCAGTTTTCAACACTCTTCTTTAGTGAGCTTCTCTTTCTTGCAGTATCTACAAAACCTTTTATAATCAGATGTGTCTCATGGCTTATATTGGTCTCCTTGAACTCCTAGAGCTACAGTTTGCACACCCCCTGTCACTCTAGCTTTATCACCTCTGATTTTCGACACATTTTGAAGCACATCATTCGCAACATTGTCGACAGTTGGCAATGGTTTCATCATGAGAGTTTGAACAACATTAAACTCAGGTCTTAAGCCTCTAAGAAATCAAATAAGATTATCCACTTCATATTTCCATTGAAAGCCTCAATAGTTGCACAAGGCCAAATCGCATCTGTAACACAATCACACTCCACTATGAGACTAAATTGTAAATATGCCTTCCATAATACCTTGAGTACAGTATAATATTGTGTCACATTGAGGTTTCCTTGTTTAAGAGCATTAGTATGCCCAACTCATTTCTTCACTTCTTCCCAAAGATTTTTAGTCACCTCATGTTGCATCACACTCCTTCAAAAAAAAAAAAAAAAAAACATCAGTGGAACTCGTAATCCAAGATAAAACACGAGTATTACAAGCATCCCACGTACTATCATCGGGATTTCCTAAAACTGCAATTAGTATTGACACATCAATGAACTCGGTATTATGTTTAGTTTTCAAGGCCATTCTAACAGCTCTTGGCCACATATGGTAGTTAGCTTCGTCAAGATTTTTAGACACAATTGACTATGAAATGTTTTTTACTTAGACTGATGTAACATGGAATTACTAAATGAGGTTCTTGATGTCCATTGTTGTTGATTCGGTTGTGTTCTCAAACTGCCAAATGGGAATGGTGTCAATTGCTAAGGGAGAATTGGACCTACTACGTACTACTCTCGAAGGAAAATATGAACAACAATCTGCCCTGCTCTCCTTGGCTTTCTTAATTCATGAACAAATGAATTGGCTCGGCAACGGCGGAGATGGCGGCAAGAACACACAGAGAATCTTGTTCTGACCACCATCAATATTGCGCTGGCTGGCTGGCTGGCTGGCCGTATAAAGTGCAATATGCTGCTGATGCTGAGGGCCGGCGAGATTCTTCTCTGCCCGCCCAAGGAAGTGAAAGGAAAGGAAAGGAAAGCAAGGTTCCTTCCGCATAACTGCTTTTAGTGGCACTAGTCATATATGTATGGATGGATGGATGGATATATGCCAACTTCTATACTACGCAAAATCTTTCACTTTCCCAAAAACCTTCGTTTCCTTCTTCACCATCTTGTGTATAGGTTCAAAGCATTGCAGTTAAAAAGCGTGATTCTATATATATATATAGAAGCATTTTGGTAATTTAGAATTGTGAAAGTGTAAGCTTTCAAGTTTTGAAACGCGATTTTGATTATATTTGATGAGGGAAAAAGTGCGATTCTGCATAAAAGTGTTTTGATAACCTAGAAGCGTAAAAGCGTAAGTTTTTAACCTTGAAAAAAGAGAGATTTTCACTGCATTGAATTTCAACGTACAGATAAACATGAACACTGTGAAACAATGCGAGAGAATATATATATATATATATATATAGTATGTTCGATTCCGTTTCACGCGCAGCAATAGTATACGAATTCTAGAGACCACAAGTACAACATTTGTTTGATTGACAAATACAAATGAAAGCCAATGTCAAAATGCATAAAAAAAAAAATATATCATGAATCCCAACCTGCGAATCCATACTAGAACATCAATCCACAACCAATCATATACCCTGTATTCATTCATTAAAAAAAATGAAATTTATTAATTAGCTAGTTAAATGTGCCACCAAAAACGAAACTGACATTAATAAACGGACATAAATAACATTACATATAAAATTTATTCATAATCATGCGCCATAACATTGAAGAAATAAAATTGGATCACAATTTGGTAAACAATGACGGAGCACCTAAGAAAGAACCGTAATTATCCCATCGTTAATTTCTTAACTGGCCCCGGAAAAAAAGAATGATTATGACTAAACAATGACTACATGCAGAAAACTCAGTGATATAGAGATCGATGGAGAGCTTTGATCATTTTCCACCCATGCACGATCATATGATCAGAAGTATATCGCTCCTACAAGTAATCCAACACCAACCTTAATAATCATCAAGCCACCATCGATTACATTGCGTTCTCCTCCGCTGTATAAATCCACGTCATACGGATCTCCCGTCACGTACACGAACCTCGGCGGCGGCGGGGGTTTCACGTACACAATTCTTGGCGGTGGAGGTGACGGTGGCGGAGGCGAAAGAGGAGTACAATCCGGGGGCGGAGGAGGCGGTTGAAGTTGTGGTGGTGGTGGCGAAGGCGAAGGCAGAGGTGGTGGTGGAGGCGGCGGCGGTGGTGGTGACGGGGGCGGCGGCAGCTGGCTACATGGGTCGACGCAAGGGCACGATCCACACTTTATCTCTGCCGTTGGCTGGTTTTGATCGTCCAGCTTCTCTGTGACACTGCTAATAGTTGCCGCATTAGTATCGGGAAGGTGGCATAGTATGAAAAGGATTGAGAACAATGCTGCTGCAGCCAGTTTTTTCATGGTGGAAGTTTATGGGAATTGAAATGGAGAGGGAGAGAGATGGAGAGAGAGGAAGGAAGGTTGAATGACAAGGGAAGCATAAATGGGAGGCTTGAAGAGGGGAGTATATGTGCATGTGGAGTAGATGAAGTTAATAAGTTTGATGATGAGAATAAAGGTACCAACAATAATAGTGGGGTTGAGGTAATTAAGAGATTTGAGAAAGAGGTAGGACAAGATGTAGTTTAGTTGAACTAGAAGGTTTTGAGAGTTAGATCAGGTTATAGTTATGAACATTTCGTTTAAATAACTTTTTAAATTCAAAAGATTGACAAGAATTAATAAAGGGCCGGGAGAGATACACCCGTCAGAAGGTTGATATTAAGTCCGACATTAATTAGTTATTATTTTTAATTCCAATAGGCTTGCGTATCTTTTATTTGATTATTCATATTTAGTTATTATTTTGAGACTACTCAGATCATTTTATTATCGCATTGTTCTAGTCATAATAGATTTTATAGTAATTATTATTTCTAGTAAATTAATTCAAGTAGGAAAAGAGGGAGTGGACCATACTAACACTTTCATTAAGGACATTATAGTATTTATGCGTTTAATCTTTCCTTTCTCCTTCCCCTTCCCTTTCATTTACGTATCTTTTCCTGAATTGCTATTCGTCGCCCTAAAATTTAAATTATTTCGCCCTAAATCATACTAAATTGACTTGTATACCCTTATACCCATTTTCAATCCCGAATCCCTAACTCGGAAAAATCGTCCGACCACCGCTGCCGATCCCTAACCCACCGTCGCTCCCATTCCACACTCTGCCGGCCTGCTGTCATTGCCGAGAAAGGAGGAAGAAGAAGGTCTGAGCGCTAGCCTACTGTCATTGCTAAGGACGGAGGAACAAGAAGGTCCGAGTGCTGGTCACCCACCTCGATTCCTCCAATTCGACGACCCGTTGCTGAGGAAGAAAAAAGAAGAAGCAGAAGCAGGAGTAAGAAGGACTGAAGCTTGGTTTGCCGGTGTCATTCCCCAGTCGCCCATCTTTTTAGCCCAGATTCATTACTTACGCCAACTTTTGCTATGTTATAGACATAAAAGAAATCCAAACTAGCTAGAGAAAGTCCAAAAGTTGATCATTAATGGGGAACAGCTCCATGAAATCCGTATCGGCGACGACGATTGGGAGACCCTCGGAGACCACCGCCACCACAAGATAGTCATGTTCGATGCGGACGCAAACGCTAACGATGACCACCTCGGTATTGTCAGCGTCAAAGGAGAACAAGGCGATGATGATTCTTCTTCGACTATAATTTTAATATTTATATGTTTTGAAAATAAAAACTAAATTAAGGATATTTAAGTCATTTTAATAAATGTTAGGGCGACAAATAAGGAGTTTTAGGGCGACGAATAGCAATCCCCATCTTTTCTAGGTTTCATTTATAAATTACAATTTGGTACCTAAATTTAATATGTACTAATATCTAGTACCTAAAATTATTTTTTCACATTTGAGTCCTACAAATATTGAAGTAAAATTACATTTTTATACCTGAAATTTCCCCCCTTACATTTTGGTACTTAAACTTTTCAAATTTACAAACAGGTCTGCTACTTGTGACATACTTTATAAAGTTGTGGCATGTTTTGTGGATTTGTGACATGCTTGAGTAAGTTGTGGCAGGCTTTGAGAAGGTAGTGACCTGCTTTGAGGTTGTGGTTTGGTTTGTAGTCTCCCCTCTCTTCCTTCCTCCTTTTCCCAATTTTTTCATATATAATACCAAATGTGCCACTCATTCTCCTTCCCATTCCCATTCCCATTCTCATTCCCCATCATTAATTGTGATCAACTCATTTAAATGGAAAAGTCATCAAAACGAAAAGTTCATATTGGCTGGAGCTAGTGTTAGCACCATTATAAAAAAAAAATGTTAGCACCCTGGCCCCTCCTAGGAAAAGAATAATGAGAGAGGTAAAAGCCTAGGGTGAGGGGAAAAGGAATTTGATTATGTTACTCTATAAATATTTATTTGACTATGATCAATAATATATGTATGAGAAGAACCCAATTTATGTATCTTCACTTTGTTTTATTATGATTAGTAGTTTCGAAACTATTGTGGAATTGTTCACGCCTTTAACGAGACGTTTTACTAGAGATTTTCGTAAAAACATATCCCAAAGTCCAGAGATTGAGAGATTTTTTACATCTACAAAACTTTCAGTTACTATGACAAGAGTTCACATGGTGTGGGCTGACTGGTGCAATTGGTAAAGCACTGCACAAGTACTTGACTGCTTCTTCTGATCCGCTTCGTGGGAGGTTGGGAGGATGAGCGATCGAAAGCTACCTAGCTCCATGTGAGTCATCGTAATTCGAGGAAACCAGTTGCTCCAACTAATTCGAGTTGTTAGGAGGTTATGCTGGATCTTATACCACTCTCTAACACGCCCCCTCAAACGAAAGTCAATCCATGAACTTGAAAGTTTTCACAGGCCCACCATATCTTGTGCTTTAATCAACTGTTAATATGGGGGTCATGGAGATTCGAACACACGACTATTTGACGTCAAACAAGGCTCTGATACCATGTCAAAAACCAATTGCTCCCAATAACTCGAGTTGTTGAGAGGTTATACTGGATCTTATACCACTCTCTAACAAATACTAGCCTTCCGAACCGAACTTGAAACCTTGATCTAACTTCGTTCGCCATGGGCTGGCGAAAGGGATTGATCGTGATCACAAAGGATTGCAGGGGGGGATCTCTGCTTTCCCAAAAGACTAGCTAACGCGTACATATAGATGTTTCCAGAGAGGTGGGTTGGAATAATCTTTTCGAGCGCATGATGATGATGAGGAGGTGGAGGAGAATCATATGCCCTGCGCCAACCAATTTTGCATCATGCATCCCCAAGTACGTAAACAGGCCGGGTAATGTAATCGCTATGTATGAATTATTTTTTTTTTTTTTTTACATGTATCGTCGCCGATATTGGCGAAGTCAGACATCTGAATGATGGGCTTATTTGAATCGTGGTAATTGGGGAAGGAGGACTAAAAACTTATGAATTGTTGTGTTTCCTAAATTTATCAATTTTACCCATGTATCATAATTGATAGAAGTAATTTAAATTCTCTTAATTTCCTCCGCTCATCGCGTGATTGAGCCGCAAAATGCCACATGCAGGGGCATAAAAGCTCAGTTTGGCCCTGATGTAGATTTTGCAAGAAGCAGCTTCTAGCTTGAGCTTTTAGAGAAGTACTTTTCAAAAAAAGCAGTTGACTGTTTGGATAAAAAAAACTATTAAAAGTGTTTTTTTAATGAGAGGTTGTGTAAAATGACTATAAAGGACTTATAATATAAACTATGAATAATAATTCTAAACAATAAAATGTAGTCAAAATGGATTTTGTTAGACTTCTTTTTATATTAAATAACATGATTTTATTATTTATTTTATTTTTAAAATGATATTATCAATGAAAGAAAATTATATTTTATGGAATAAAATTAAAATATGGTAAGGATAATCTTGTATTTTCAAATCATTTTTTCGTAGAAGCTCCAAATCGGAGCTCTGTTTTTATGTTATACAAAAACGCTTTTTGGCTTTTCAAAAGCCGAACTTTTAGAGGTTTTTTGCCCTGTTTCAACTTTTGAAGGCGAAATGCACTTCTAAAAGTCGGGCCAAACATAGGCAAAGTTAAGTAGGATTTTGATGAATTATATGGTTGAACAAGATATATATGGGAATGTGACGTCTAGGGTAATTAAGATGGAGTGGAGGGAAGGGTAGGAGAAAAAGGTGTTCCTTCCGAATGAAAATGAGTGATTGAGAAGCACCATCTCAAAACCATATATAAGAATCAAGCCCCCACTACCATGTATGATTTGTATACACATATATAATGTAATTATTCTCTTTTGTTTGTCCCTTCTGTTCCATCATATGTTTAGGCTTCATGGGTATATATACCAATTAATGTTCTCTTTAGCAGGGCTAATGGCAGCTGATGTAGCACTGCTGGTGTCTATTTAAATTAAATCATGTCTCCAGTATCACATCTGATATATTTTGTCGGATGGGTTGACTTAAGTTGTTGCATTCGGATGACGACGTTTCTAATACTCGTACGAATTCGAATAGTGTCTCAAGCGAATTTTCAAGGAAAGTGAAAATGAAAGAAAGATAATAACAATTTGGATTTCAATTTTTAATGACGTGAAATGAAAGAATGATGAGTACTTATTTGATGTGAAAGAGCTAGAGTGCTAAAACTGTTTTTTATTAGCATTGTGCTAACACAAGTTTTAGCCAATAGAAACACAATTTTTAATGACTTTTGCATTAATGAGGGAGAGGAGGCAGATGGATGTAATGGTCATTGATGAAAATTTTGGGGAGAGGAGAACAACGTGTGTGTGCGTGCGCGTATTACACGATGAAGAGGGTGGAATAATTTGGGGTGGGGGGGGGGGGGGGGCACGTAACACAAGAAACAACACAACAACAAAAATCACAAGATTTAGAAAGCGTGCCACAACCTAAACACACTAGAAAACATATAAGAGAGTTTAGAAAGCATACCAGAACATCACCAACTACAAAAATCATAAACCACAGCATACCGCCAATTTCTTAAATACACCATAAGTCCCATGAAGTATACTAGAAACCTCATAAAACATATCACAAATTCATCAGCGCACACCACAAGTATCTAAAAATGGACCACACATTCATTAAAACATACCAAAAATTTCTTAAAGTAGACACAAGTTTCAAGCACACCATAAGTTCCATGAAATCTTATAAAGGATACCAACAACCTCATAACACTGGACCTATTTGTAAATTTTTAAAAGTTCAAGTATCAAAATGTAAGATAAATTTTACGTAATAAAATGCAATTTTACAACAATATTATAAAAAATTAATTTTCGACATTAAATATTAAAGATTGATTGTTTTCCCAAAAGACTTATGTATTCGTGCTCTAGATCAAATGCTTCAAATTGATCATAAGTAGGAGTAGGAATAGATGCCTTTTTATCGTTATGCGCTATGTAAAAGAGCTCCTATCTTCAAATAAAGGAAATGTACAACTCGATGAGCTAGGTCTTTTTCACTCGAGAAGGGCGTGAAGCATAAGCACCCCTTTTGACAAGATCATACCTGGATCTGACTCGAGACATCTATTAAACTCATACCAAAATTATAAGTTGTATATAAAAAAACTAATGATATATTTTTATTAGCACTCTTTGTCCTCCGTTTTATACACAAAGAAAACCCTCCAAATCCTTCTCCTTTTCCTCTTAGACCGCTGCTTTTCCTCTTAGACCGCTGGCCCTTTTCCCCCCTTTCTTACTCAAAATATATATGTGACTTATTGTACAAGAAGTCAAGAACACAATAATCAAATCTTAAACAACGACTAAAAACCGAATTCAAATCCTATTAGAACAACGAATACTAATAAACAATGCGAGGGATGGGATTAGGTGCTAATCCTTATAGGGGTTACCACCGTGATAACTAACAAAAAACGCTACTAAAAATAACGAAATCACTACGGATTATTATAAAATCAATACAATATCTAAACTAAATCACTATTAATTCAAACTAGTAGTAGTTTTTACCTTAGTCAGGAAGGTGCTAACTATTGTACAATTAGCACCGTAGCCGTTCCCACAATGCGAACTTTCCAAAATAATGACAAAAAAGGAACTAATAAGGAAAACTCAGAAAAGTTATCCAAGCCCAAAAAATCCTCAAATTGCCAAAGATTGCTTGATCCATGTTAACCAGACAGAGAGTCTTCATGGGACTGACTCAGATCGAGACACGATCCACTTCTAGTTCGGGCTCTCAAACCCACAGCATGCAGGGCCCGTAAAAGCTACCTTAGAGTTTCTTTTGGGCTTTACTCCTTCTGGGCTTCTCTAATAATTTATTTATGATTATCATGAGCTGAAACATAAAACAAAAAACGTAAAGAAAATAATAAGCAAGTCGGTGAAGGCATACACGTGTCAAGAACGTAATGGTACAGGTAGCAGAACCTGACACGCGTCCCACTCTCTACACCCGCTGCTACTTCCACGTGTCAGAGCTCGTTCCTTCTATCCGTCACCGGCCACCGCACCTATAAAACACAAAAAATACCCTTCCGGCTCCGGCCATAAAAAAAACGACCAGATCAGAGTCAAAGTTAAACCTTTATGCCCTGCAAATTTCATATACCTTTATACCATAAATAAATAAATAGTTAAAATACATATCCAAGAGCTATGGTGGGCGTGGGAGTGCCGATATGCGTGCAATGCGGGACGAGGAGCAACCCGTGCCGGTGCAAGGTGGTGGGACCGACGGTGGGGTTTCTGGCGTTCGCGGCGGCGGCGGTGGTGGAGTGGCCGCTGGGGGCGTTCGTCTACATATTCAGGCACCGGAAAGGGAGGAGGATCATGGCCCATCCGGCCACCGTCGTTTACCCTTCCGTCACCAATGCCATCCCCATCTGATCTGGATGAGTGATTTAACTACGCGCTGTTGCTTAATTTTGTTTCCGTTGTTGCTTTTGTTTAATAATAAATGTACAATTTACTGCTCTTCAGAAAACTGTACTTCCTTGTGTATGTGTTCCAATTAATAAAAGGGTTCCGTTAATTTTCCCCCAGGCTTTGATTTGGCAGATAATTTGGAGATATTTTGTTGCTGCTTTGATTTGTAACTGACAAGTGAGATATGCCAAGGGAGACACAAAATCCAGTGATGATGGAACGCCTAGTCTCTCTAGGCAATGAGCCCAATCAGAAGGTCTATGTCAAGGAAGTATTTCAGTGGCCCAAGGCATTTTAATTAGTGTGAAAGCCTTGTTCCAACGGTATTTTTAACCTTTTTTGTTTTTTGTTTTGAGTTATCAATTAAAACAATGTAATCGATATAGACTTGTGAAGTTGTGGAGTATCAGTGGAGGCATGTCGTTGTTACATGCGTTTTAATTAGAGCTGGCAATTGGATCGGATTTGTGGATTGGATTGGTAGATTTATGGATCGAAAGGATTGGTGGATTCATGGATTGGTGGATTGATCCATGAATCCAAATGACATCCAAGTCTTTGACCAAAATGTAAAATTTGAAAAGTTTTGGTACTAAAATGTCATAATGAAATTTCGAGGTAAATTTTTCGTGTAAAAATATAAATTTTAGACACCAAAATATAACAAATATAGGTACCAAGTTGTAATTTGCCATTTTGATCATGGATTGATCCATGAATCCACTATCCAATTGCATTTGGATCAAATGGATTGGATTAAGTGGATAATTTGGTGGATGGATTGGATTGGATTCATGGATTTGGATCTTAATTGCCGCCTCTAGTTTTAATGCTTAAAAACTTACGCATTTACACTTTCTGTTCATCAAAATGCTTTTACGTAGAACTGCATTATTTTTCTCTTACAAACATAGTAAAAATTTAAGTTTTAAATTTTACGAATCTTGATCACCAAAACGCTTTTACGTAAAATCATAATTTTGACTGCATTGATTATATCAAGTATTTCGATAATCCAATTACGTAAAAAGAGTTCTAATAGTGGTCATTTTTGGAACAAGAGAGAAGTGTCGGTGTAATCTAACAGCAAGAGTTTGAGTATATCTTTTAGCCGCTAATCTAACTTTGTACTTGCCAACACGGCCATCTAGTTTATATTTGATTTTAAGAATCGATCCATTTGGTGAACAATGAATTTATTACCTTTTGGCAAAATCATCGAGAAATCTATTGCTTGTCTCCGTTCTGTATCGAATTAGATGTTGCTGCATGGACCCTATAATGCAATAGGGCATGACGTTGTTAGGGTTCATTTAAAAATCTTATTAGCAAAGCAGTGGTTTAATTTTGATACACATTTGACATTTCGGAGTATTTCCACTAAAACGACTCGATTGTGTACTAGTTGCTCATTTGTTCTAAAAAATTGTGTACCACTTACAAACATACATGTAATACTAATACCCCTTCAGACGAATTAAAACTCGTTGTAAAATGTAAATTCATCCCGGTGCAAAGACCAACTTATAGTAATTACTTAGTACATTATATGATAATTAAACAATTCTTACATAAATCGTATTGGCGAATTATTCATTTATAAAAACTTTGTATTCATCGAAAGTCCCATATTTTGGTCACATTTATGTACGGCATCGCATGGAAGGGAGGCAGCCACGAGTGTACGGATTCGCTGCTCGACCAACTTTGTCAACATTGTGAATGGGATCACTATTATCATCATGGTTATCGTCGTGATGAGTGTCGTCGCGATGATCGTCGTCGTGATCTTCTGGCTTATCTCCGTCCTTGTGCTTGTCACAGCCGGGGATCTTCTCGGCGTCAGGGCCCAAGCAAGGGTCGAGCACCTCCGGGGAGATCACGGTTGTCTCTTCGGCTCTCACTTCATTATCCTTCAACAAAACGGACATGGCGATCGTTAGAGCGAGCACCATGATCACGACGTTCTTGTTCGTCATCTTCATCATGGCTAGCTGTTGGGTGGGCGAAATGATCGATTGGGGGAAGGAAATTCTAGACGGTTTGGTTGAAATTTCGAAGGTAAAATATATATATAGGTGAAGAACAATCTATTATTGGAGAAGATTGGTTTTTGCATACATGTTAAAAATAGTTTCTTTCTTTATTTGTCGCTTTCCTGTTTTTACCTAAAGGAGTCTCCTACATGTTTTTTTTTTCTTTTCGTGATCCAAGATGCATGGTAGCCATCAAGTAATGTATGGTAATTAAACAATCGTTTTTTTCCCTCTTTTTCATCGGTTAAAAAATCGGTAAAACTCTTTTCTAAAGGGCACTTTGTTGTTTCTGATATTAGTATAAACTAAGGGAAAAAAAGATAAACTCAATTCACCCATGAGTAGCTAGCTAGGTTGTATCTCGTTCCACCAAACCTTGCTAATAACCATGGACCATTAATTGTACCTTTCCAACTTTTACTATGGTGGGAATCCAAACCAAATCGTATGGGAAACGTGGTATAGATCGGACAACGCGATTTAGTCCAGGCAAGAAGAATGAGAGCCAAAGTTCGGTTGGGTGGGCAGTCCTCAGCCCCCTCTAATATATGATGTGGATGGTCCGATTCAATGTCAACCGCAATAAATTGTGTAAACCGTAATTCATTATCTAGACCAAAACAAAACCTCACTCCCTCGGCCTAATGAAATCTCACAACATGTAAATGGTGTTGAAATTATAATGAAGGACAAAATTGGAGGGGGGGGGGGGGGTGTGAGGGGGGATGATCCCACAACATTTTGATCAAAAGTGTGATGTTGAAATATCTCAAGTTTTTCAGGATTTTACCTTACATCCACTTCTCACGTTCTTAAAGGCAATTGGTAATGTATTCAACCATTTTAGTAGAATGATTTGTAGCGATGATGATGATGAGGTTAGGACGATAAGAAAAATGAAAGGGGAGTTTGGAAAGTATTGGTATGAGTGGGAGGAAATGAAACTTAAATCGAATAGGTCGATTCACATAGATGTTATACTTGACCAGAGCTTCAAGATGAGAAATCCGAGAAATATTATCAAAAAGCTAAATGGGAAGACAAGGAAAAAGGAATTGGTAGAAAGTTTAATGATGAACTTGTCGAATTGTTTGAGTACTATCAAAAGGAGGGTGGGCAACCTCCTCCACCACTACAGTTACAAAAATGAAGTTGTGCAGGTTTCTAGTTCTAGCCAATCTTCGAAGATGGTGGAGAAGTATGTGATGTGTATGCATTATTTCTCACCATTATTGTTACTACTTTCCGGGTTTCTCGAATTTGGTAGTTGGAATATTTATGCAAATTAGTCAGCTGGTCGAGTCGAATTGAAACATTGTTTCATAATCATCTTAAATGTTTATACGCATCAAGTGGTATCGGAGTCCGGTTCCATTTGAATCAGGACTAAACAATTTATACAATCATTTCAAATTTTATGTCATAACTAGACGTGGCTCGTTAGAATTGGAGCAGACAGTTTGAGATCAGTATTCAAATCCTCAACCCCGTAATTGGAAATGAACTCAATCTTTTTACTCATTGATTATATACAATACAATTCTTCTAGTGATGTTTATGTCTTTGCTTGGAAGCTAGCTTGTCCAATCCTTCCTTGGGATTGAAAGCAAGCAATGGTGATCCTATAATTCCATGTATGGGGCCTAGACTTCTTCGGGCACACACATACATATATATTCCAAATTGCGTGCGGGAAAAGACGGCTTTAACCAATTAACATATTTTTGTGGCCTTCAAATACGTTGGGAAGTCAATTCGTCAATGGTCCTTCTATAATTGAAAAATTACACGCTTGGTTGAGTAAAATACGATCAATAGATGATTTTGTTTCTGGTCAATTACTTTTACGGATCAATCAATTACGTTACACCCATATTGTATGATATCTTGCAAAAAATATAGGCTTTTATGGTGATTAGTTATGTTTTTGACATTATGACAAAATAATTAGCAAAATCATGCTTTTTTCTTTACCATCCTAATTACCAAATCAGTGAATCACCCAAAAAACAGCCCTTTTTTCTTCTAGCGTGCGGGTGTGTGTATAAATACATAAACACGTACCGTCCAAAACAGCCAAGAATCCAAATATATCGCTGAGAGAGCACAGAGCAGAATTATATATATGGCGCGAAGACCTCTTTTACTAACGGTGGCCGTTACCATCCAGCTCGGCGACCTCTCAACGTCGTCGTTCCTGTCCATCTCGCTGTACTGCGTGGCCGTGGCGGCGGCGGTCGTGACGGCGGTGACGTTTCTCTGCGGTTCCACGTCAGCAGCGGGAGGGGGGGAGAAGAAGAAGCTGCTGTGGAAGCTGAGCAGCAAGGCGCGTTTGATGGCCAAGAAGATATCGCGGAAGAGGACAACGGCGTCGTATGGTGACGATGAGGACGACGAGGTTTGGAGGAAGTCGATCATAATGGGCGACCGGTGCCGGCAGCTGGATTTCTCCGGCAGGATTTCGTACGATTGTGAAGGCAACCTCGTTGCTCCGATTCCTTCCTCTCCGCCTCCTTCTCATGGTGGAAGCAATTCCTCCTCTCTGGTTAAGTAGAGGCTGACTAAATTAGACTAGTCGGTTCGACATAGTCTCATTCCAAACTACATGTTAAGTTTCGGACAATCTTAAAACGAGCTATAAATTGGTCAGACAAGTCATGATCAATAAGGACGAGTCGATAACCATAACTTTCCTAAACAGCAAGTGTGTGGCTCAATTTTTCTTCGTATATATAAAAACACCATTCGAACTAAATATTAATTTTATGTGTAGTTTAGTCTATGTTCATTTAATTTTTAATATGCAGAATAGTAACTCTCTTTGTTCATTCGACCTCTTCTCCTTTGTGCCCAAAAAAGAGATTGTACCAACTTTTTTTCATTGACAATTTGACTAGTTAATATAACTACAAAAATAAAATAAAAATTAAAGTATAGGTGAGGCTATCTTTTAACTTTTAAGTTAATTAAATTTTTTTGAAAATAGAAAAGGGAAAAACGATTAATTTTAACATAATTGGAATAGCAACAAAATTAGTTTAAATCAGTCACTTGGTATATGGAATTTGTCAAATCTCATTTATTGATGTAAATTTTTCAAATTCACAAGTTAATACATTTTACATTAAAAAAAAACTTTTCATCCATTGCCCAAATTTTGTATGCATTTTAGGACTATAGTGGTTCTACTAAAAGATAAATCTACTCTCAGTAATAAAATAAAAATCTATTTCTCGTTAGCAGACCCAAATAAAGTGAGTAACCCATAAACACGGTGAATGATATCCGCTGGATAGCATGGTCCGGCCCAATAATTATATATGGGCTGGGTCAAATTAAATCCACCCGGATTCTTGTTCGACTCAATTCTATCTACCTCTAAAACTTTGGCTTCTTCTCCCCGTCTGTTCTGCTTCTCCAGTCCATTCTCGGGTCTCTCTCGCCGTCGCTGTGAGCAACGCCATCCTCTTCTTGCACTTCTGTTCGCAGCCTCCACCGGAACTCTTCTGTAGCTCCAAGGTAATCTCTACCCTTGTTCGTTCTGGGTTTCTGTTTCCCTCATTAGTTACTCGTTAGAATTGTGAATTCGGAGGTAGCAGAAATGGCGGGAGGAAGAACAAAACTATGAACGGAAAACCACCAGAAGTTGCCTGACTTTGTGGAATAACGTAGCAACTGGGTTTTCGATAAATGATTAGTTTACAAGAATTGTGTTCCTATCTGACTCAGATTAAAGATGAATCCAGGCGCTGTATATGCAATTTCGAGCTCCATGGTTATGCCTACTAGGCCAAATTGGTTGCCGCCGTCCCACATCTCTACAATTGCAAGTTGCGAGTTTCGAATCCGTTGCAGTATCTCGGGTAGAGTTGATTCTGGAGCTGATCAGAGTAGGTGATTTCCTGCTCAGTACTGACGTTGGAGTTTTTATTCCCACAGAATCAATGTGTAGCTCTTAATACCTAGTGCTGGTTGTTTCAATAATTTATCCTACCACTACACATATGTGCAGGAAAATAACCAAGAAAGTGAAGAACAGAGATCAACAGCTGTGGAAGAAGAGGGATTCGGCTGGATCCGGAACAAAGGCTCTCAATCTTGTTAGAATTGTATGTTGCTCTACCTGTGCTAGAAAAAGGCGGCATAAGTTTTCGATACGTTTGCTGCTGACTTTGTGATGTTGGATGCTCAGGTTTCCGAACTTCCCAATGAGAAAGAGGCTGTTTATGGAGCATTGGATAAGTGGACAGCTTGGGAGACGGAGTTCCCCCTAATTGCTGCTGCTAAAGCTTTACAGATACTGAGGAAGAAGGCTCAGTGGCAGCGGTTGATTCAAGTATGGGAATTCTCTCCCCTCACATGAGATTACATGACGATGAGCATTAGGGTTACTGTGCAGTGAAGTAATCTTTTCACTTCTGTTCAGGTTGCTAAGTGGATGTTGAGCAAGGGTCAAGGAGACACAATGGGAACGTACGACACCCTTTTGCTGGCGTTCGACATGGATGGCAGAGTCGATGAAGCAGAAGCACTATGGGGCATGGTTTTGCATATACACCAGCGCTCGATTCCGAAACGCTTGTTTGCAAGGATGATTTCTTTATATGATCACCACGATAAGCAAAATGGGATGGTAGAGGTATCCATCTTATACCAGTGAATAAACAGATTCTGTGTTGCATGCTTTCTGATGGTATCGAGCACGACAGAAATCGTAAGGCCGGAGTTGCAATTAATTGTTGCAGGTGTTTGCGGATATGGAGGAGCTGGGCATACGGCCTGATGAAGATACAGTAAGGAAAGTGGCTCGTGCCTTCAAGACATTAGGGGACAGAGAGAAGCAGAAGTTGGTTCTGCAAAGATACCTGCCTGACTGGAAGTATATTCACTTCAATGGTGAGAGGGTTCGAGTGAGAAGAAACAAATGGGCTGGAGACTAATATGTATATATATATATAAGATCCTTTACTTTTTCAAGTTCTTGGCTGAAAATGTCGATTAAGTCCTATGGCCTTTCGCATGTGCTCTTTCAAGAACAAAATCGACTCTCTATCACTCTGTTTACATACATAACAAAAAGCTTCGACAACATATTTGGCCTCACTCCCGTACATATGAGATGCGCAAGCTGCTTTGTAAGCTACGATCTGCGCATCACCTGCAAAGGTGAAAAGAGGAAGTTTTCAGATCAAGCGCCATGCAAAATGTCAAGCAAAATTACTTCTTATGGGGCACTGCGGAAACAAATATACCTGCGTTGATTTCGGTTGCAAGCATGCTCTTGCTAAAATGACTATTCATCCACCATCTACATCTTAGTCTCCATGACTTTCCGGATACACCAGTTATAAGGAAACTGGGAACCCTAGAAAAACTAAAGGAAAGTTGTTTCGGAACTTCGCTCCCATTTCCATGGATACCCGACATTTGATCCTCTTCTTGTTGAGACGCTCTGAGAAAGCATAAAGCCAACTCCTTCCAGGTAGTCTTTTCTCCGGTTGCAGCTTCTAAATGCAGAGCTATCATTTCCAGTAGAGATTCCGAGTCATAGATTCCTATGCATAATGCAACAGAGTGGAAACCATGAAAAATTGGCATATGTGTGTTTGTTCCCCTAACACGACAGAGCATGAATGACAAACCTTGATGATGTAGGCTCACAAGCTTTGCCAATGATTGGTTACATGTAGGATCACTCTTTAATGTGTCCTCATAACATCTTGAAAGCAAGACAGCATTGTTCGGATCAATCCGCTCCAAGATAGAGGACTTCAGTCTGTTATCAAAATCCCAAAATAGATAATGATTTTAGAAGAAAAGACAACAACAATAGCCAACAAATCCCACAGTTCAAACAGAGTGGCACAGAGGCAATAAGCTTTTTCATGACTTGAAATAGATCATCAGAGAGCTAAACGGCAAACAAAGAAGAGAGACATTTCGTATCTGTCCTATAATATAAGAAAAGAGTTTGAACCATACAAAGATTCATTGCTTGCAGCTACAAGCATTTTTATAGAATCAATATTTACCACAAGTATCAAGGATCTACATTGGCAAGCATAGACAATTGTGCACTAGTACTGCTACTGGTAATGGAAAGCATACCCTAGATCCTAGCACACATAATAGCCACGGTTCCTATAAAGAGAACATACATCTTTTTTTTTTCTTTTTCAAAGAGAAAATACATCTTCGGGTGTTCCTGTTTTTTAAGAGGCAAGTCAGAATCTTCAGAAATACCAGAAAATACCTATGGGGAAGTGAGGCGCTTGAGTTGTCACAGAAGTTTTCCAGCATATCTAGAGCCTCTTTACAGTCATACCTTATCAGCAACAACTAGCAAAAATGAAACTAATAGAAATTAGTTTCTGTTTTGAATTTAGATTTAGAACATCTGAAGAAAAAACAAATGTTTCCTCAAACAATCAAATTTCAGTGACAAGGTCAATACAGTTTACATAACAGTACCTGAACTAAAGGAAGTAAGGCTGCCAGTATAGGTGGAGTTGAGGATGCAGCTCTCGATAAATACTTCACAGCTTCATTGTATTCACCATCCCGGATGACTTTATCCAACTCACTATCATCAGCTTGTAATGGCCTCAACCAAAGATCCAGATTCCCTTCAGAACACCAACGTAACCACGACAATATCAATGAAGAATATACAAGCATTCACAACTTCAAGTAGAAGGCTTTCACACAACTCGATTCAGTTTCTGTATCAGTTGCATTTTTATACCACTATACTGAGTAGTTAAGGTGATTAATTTCTAGTAATGTGTTTTGTCAAGTAAATAACCGTACTCCAAAAGCTTCATTTACGTGTTACAATTTCACGATATAGCATGACTGATATTTCACATGGATTCAAATTATCTAGAAGCCAATCATAGAAATATTTGTAACCTAAGACAGAATCCTAACAAACATTATAGGAACCTATTGACCAAAAGTTACCAAATTCAAGATTTTGAATCCAATCAAATTATCTGCAGCTGAGAATATATATTGTGGCAATGAAAATGTATTTTTATCAGGCATATCAATTACCAAGGATAGGCAAGCCAAATTCCCCATGATGATCAGAGGAAACCTCATCAGCAGAATTGGCATAAAGGCCCCTATGCTGGAAGTCCCCAGGGTAACTTTTGCTGAACTGATTGACATCATCTTCTGTATGAATCTTTTCTTCATCCAAATTCATACCATTGCCAGCAAAAACTTGTTTATGTTGCATGATGGATGTCTCTGACCCACATTTTAAAGATACATTAGCGTCATCACTGAAAACTGAATTACATCCCTCAGAGCCACCAATGTCACTAACAAACCCTGAAGCTACAACGGAATTCGGATGGCAAGCTTCCATGTCTGAAGGGATAGTACAATATATTTGATTCGAGTCCTCGAGTTGCATGTCTTCTGAAATGTTAGAGTACCACAACTGATAAAATATCATGCCAATAATCATGTTGAACATTGGGTAACTCTCAAATTTGTACTCCTGCACTAAGCTGAGAAGAGGGAATCCAGGTCAAAGAGAGAGCAATTTGTTCATGGCTACAATAAAGCTGTTTAATCACGTGAACCATGACTAGCGGGAAAAATCAAAATGTATAACTAACATTTTCTGCATAAACTAAATATATGCAATGTAAATGCAGTTTCATTATTTTGTTATGCTGATAATGAATTATGGAACTGTTCAATAATTCTTCAAATGAACAGTCAAAATGAAGAAAAGAAAGTATGTTAAAATCAAGGATCAGCCCATACTGCCTTTAAGCCAAAAGTTTCATTAGCTTGTACAAACCATTCACACATAAATCTGGGGGGATGTCAATTTGAACATCTACAAAACTATACATGAGTTGCAATACCTTTTAGCGTTGTTGAGTTCCCCCTCAACGTCCCCTTGCCTAAAATGCAAAAGGATAGACTCCAATTGAACAGCAATACGATCCTGGTATGCAAAAAATGAATTTGACCAATTAACAAATGACAGCTATGCTAGAGGGATATGTAAGAGAAAAGGCCAGAACTAGTACATTGAACAGCATCGTGAACACAGTAGATGAATTGAGGTAACCCACAAGATTGATTACAAAGCATCACCTCTTCCATAGGACCAGACCTTCTTCGATGTGATCCATTACTACCTATCCTTGACATCCATGCACTAAACACTCGATCGATACTGGTAGCATTTAGACAATCACCCTCCATATGCTGAACAAGCTTCATGAAGACCTAAACGTTCAACAAATATACATAATTAAACGTTACATTCCGGATGTTGCAGAAGCAACACCTACGAACAGAGCAGCAGTTCAATAGGCTTAACATCTTCTTCAGACCAGAACAGTCAACCAGAACAAAGACACTGCACCAAGACATCTGCTCAAGACATTGAATTTATCATGAAATCAACTCTTACCATTTTACTCCTACAAAGACCAGTATTACAACTCAAATTCACAAATCATGTAGTGGTCTAATGAGAATCTAACATCTACTGTGTAAACAGCACAGCTACCCTACTTAATCCATAAATGAAATGATCATATTGAAATGGCAAGGAAATCAAATACAACTAGCCTAGCTCAGGTAATGCACCTCTATCAATTCTTTATCCTAACCTAACACCACAGAACAGCAGACAATTAACATCATCGATTCCATTTTTGTAAGCAAATCATACCCAATACTTGAACCGATTGGCAGCAGGACAGCTCTCTTTTTGCGTCCCGTTCAACAACACGCTCAGCACTCCACTTGCTGCTACCCAATCGTGCTGCCTCACCAACTTCTTCAAGATCAATCTGAGTTTGATACGGTTGTCAGGTCGCAAGCTGTTTGCGGACAGTCCAAGCACATAAGATGGCTTGCCCAATGATAACAATACTCTCTTGTAGAGTCTTTCCCCGACGGAAACCTGGCGATCATCATCTTCACGGCGCACCATGCTCGAACTCCTTTTCCGTTTCTTTGCCTCTCCAACAGTGATTTCCAGTCCAGTTAATTCTGTCACCATGGCCTCACTGTCTTCGTGCAACCCTATTCCGTCTCTTTCTGACATCTTGTTTATGCAGGTTTCCGCGAGTCCTTAGAACCCTTGGGAACAGAGCGGGAAGCGAGGCAATAGAGGAAAGAGGAATCAGCACAAGGCGATGGTGCAGCACAACGGTTACCGGAGAACGGAGAGGAGCTTGGACGGGACTCGAGGCGACCGGCGGCAAGGGTTTGAGACGGGACGGGAGGGTCAGTCTGTTGACGCCCGGACCGGCTCGAGAATGCAAGAAAGAAAGCGGACTGATTCACTTCCCTCCCACGACATGATTACCTATTTAGTCCTCTTACTTCTATTGTTAACATCTAGGTCCACGACATGATTACCTATTTAGTCCACGTATTTTGCTAAAATTTGTCATTTTCATTCCTACCCTAATACTTTATCACTTTTATCATTTTCAACAAATCTTGATACCCCTCCGCTTAATATTTCACTAGAGTCTAGTGTCAATGGAATTCACAAATGTGGCAAATGAATTGAATTTTTAGATTGGTGGATTAGATCATGGATCTAAGTAACATCTAAATATTAGATCAATATGTAAATTTTTAAAACGTTTAAATACTAAAATATAATATTCGAACACTTTGAATACCAAAATGTAAAATTTCAATATTTTATGTTAAAAATTTTAATTTTAAATATCAGAATGTGAATTATCGGTATTAAACTGTAACTTACCAAATATCCATGAATCCACCTAACCAAATGGATTTGATTCAAAATGGATCGTAGTAATTGGATATTTTAGTGGATGAATTGGATTGGATTGGAAATTGTCACTTGTACATATCCGTATATAAGGTAGGGTCGAGAAACAGTATGGTCTGATCCAGACCAGATTATATATACAATTTACGATCCAAATCGATAGGATGCAATACAGAGTGGGAATCAGACCAAATACTAAACATTTCAGATCCAACCACGCCTGTACGTTCTGATTCGGTACATTCAGATCAAGCATACTACATTGATAAAAAAAAATGAACAATTTTGTTTGATCCACCGCACAAAAATTAGACAATAACGGAGGGGAGGAAAACTATTTTTGTCTTAAAACCAGCTGAATTTCAACATGTATGCACGATCTTAATGCTCTATATCTAAGTGAACGACAAAAAAGACAAAGTCAGACAGTCTTATTTCCACCATAATGTCATAAAATATTAATATAATTTTATATGGAGATGCGATCGTTTTCACACGAGAAAAAAAATATAATTCCGAACCCAAATCAAATGTTGTCTAAATTAAATACAATTAGAGGCAAATCAATCAAGCTAATTGTCAAACGAACTTCCTTATAAGGAGCTTATTCATGACCAGGAGGAGTTCAACATATATATAGCATCTTCTATATTAAGTGTTTTGAAAACCTTTTATGCAAAGATAGTGGTAGATTACTAGGTTTTGGATTACAAAGGGCTTGACGCATATAGAGCCATAGGTTCTACATCGTCAAGGTTGCAATGGCTATGAATTGAAATATGAGTTACATCTTTCATCGTTCTATTATGGGTCTTTTGTTATTGCGTAATTTGGATTTGATTACTAGGTGAAAAACTCAATAAAACGAGTCTCCCGAGATAGTTAGTAATTTAGTATACTATCTTCAATGTGACGTGGTGTAACCTTAACTTGGTGAACCACGTTCAAAATCTCAATGTGACTCCCTTTACTTTATGTTCTCTTCGGTTGTTTTGTTCTTTATCTCAGTGCTATGTTTTTTCTAGGTTCAAGCACGAAGAACACTGCATGGAAATCTTTCTTCTGAATTATGTTCTTGTGACCTGGACATCAGACATCAATCCCGAGCAAAGTTAAATTGGTTATTTTTAGTACAGGCATGAAACATATAGAACAGCTTTTGCGACGTAAGTAGCATTCTGTTCATTCTTATAATTCCAATGATTATATCTTCATCACGAGAAGATATATAATTATTTTTTTTCCATTTTGAGCAGGACATATATAAAACCAACTAATTATAATTCAAACCGAAGCAACTAATTCCAATGATTATTTGCTCACTATAGCTCTCGCCGCCTCGCTATACAAACTTGAGGCTACAGATTCAACAATGCTGTATATTACACTTAAGCAACAGCACAACAATTTACAAAAGCGATTGAATCAAAGAAACAGGAACAATTTAAGTGCAGAACTTTGATCACAGCGGCAAAAAAAAGGGGGCTTGCTATAAATGGCCTGCACGACTTTCTCCTTGATCAGCTGCAACAAAACTCACTTCCTTCTTCTTCTGCCAAAAGATTACCCCCAAACAACCACAATTAGAGTAGTTTAATTAATTAATGACTGAAGCTGATCAAGTTTTGACTTTTACTGTACACCTAGGCTAGCTAGCTCTAGCTAAAACAAAACGATTGGAACACCAACTATTAATTGTAAAACACTAGCCTTAATTATATTTTTTTTCCGCACTTTGCTGACTACTGCACACCAACTACGTAAATTATAGTCAAAGATCAAATAAAGACAAGATTTTCCAGTTCCAGGGCCCTTTTTCTCTACCACCTACGAAATTTATTCAAGAATAACATTGCAAACCGACAACCCAAGATTCGGTTGTTGTAACGGTGCAGCAGAAAAACATTTTTGCCAGAAGACCGGGAGCGAGCTAGCGGGGTTCGGTGGTGATGAGACGTATTATTTCGACATAACCATTAGGTCTATACCTTGGTGTGTTAGTTTGCTACTTCTGAGAGTAGGAACGGCAATGGGCAGGTGTGGGGCGGGTTTCTTGGTACTCAGATCCGCCTCGTGGCAGGTCGGATAATTTATCACGGGTCGCGGGTCAGGGCAGGTCGACCCAATGGGTATGCAATTTATATGAAAAAACATTAGAAACATTCGTTATTTTTATTATAAGACCAAGAAAACAAACAATATTATGATAAATGTGGTTAAATTATTGAAGAAATTGAGGTTTTCACTAATTTAAAACTTTATTATAGCTAAAATATGATATAATAAAAGGAAAATACTAAGTAATTTGACTAAAAATTACATGTAATTTAGACAAGAACAGGTTGAGAATGGACCGGGTCAGGGCAGGTCGGATCGATAAGAGTATCCATGCCAGCCCCGCCCCGTCCCGCCCCAAAAAAAAAGCCAAACGAGTCAGGTCGAAATTGTCATCCCTCTTCTGAGTGTATTAAAACTAATTATTATTAGTTAATTAAGAATATGAGTAGAAAATGATAACACTACTAGTCTACTACCCGTACAGTGCGAGATACTGATACAATATTATTGGATACATGGACGCCTCCACTACTACTACTATAGCACCAGATATTATTATTATTAATTATTAATAATAATTATTATTATTAATTATTATTATTATGCATATCAGATATGGGTGCCACGTACTTGTACAGATCCAGATTATGGGCTGGATTCTGAAATAAAAAAAAATTCATTAATATATCTAACAGCTCGTTTTCTTTGAACTTTGAAAGTCTGATCAATTTTTGTTGGGTGCAGACAAAGGCGTCGTTAGGATTAGGAATTGTTTTTCTTAATGTTTACTATATATAAGCTTTGTTCATATTTGACTCTATTATTGTTCTCTTCTTTTGTTTATTTGAAACAAAAAATTCTTTATGATCTTTATGTTATGTTTGGAACCGGTACGTAAACTTGTTCAACTGAATTTGTCAATGTAAATTAAATAGGTAAAATACTGCATAGAGGAATCCAATAAGAAAGCTACCAACCAAGTCTTTTATCTTTTGTCCTAATCGGATGGACTAATATGGACCACTTTTGTTTTTATCATGTACTGTCGGCACGTACAATTTATGCTTATAATAATAGTTTTCATGTAGTTAAAAATAACTTGATTTTACAGCAGTTACACAATAGGCCGTGATTTAATGAAATTGTATTAAAAAATAAATTAATCACTTGACAAAATTATGTAAAAAAAACAGTCTATATACACAAATATAGACTATTTTGCTAATTTGTTGATAAAATTATATAAAAATAGAAAATATCCATAAATATTATACTTTTTTCCACTACAAATTACGACAAGAAACATCACTCTCTTGCCGAACAAAAAAGAAAAGGAAAAAAAAACTCTGTCAGTCGTTGCTATCAGATATCAACTAGTAAGATAGAATTTTTTTTTTTTTTTTTTTATAAATAGTAAGATAGATGCTGGTTGTCGGGTTCGCTATCTTTTATTGCCATTTGTCCTTTGTATTTCTGGCCCTCAGAATTTACAAACAATGGGCCTAACCTAACTACAGACGAACTAGAACCACCATCAAAAGCTGCTTTATGTCAATTTATTCACACTCGAAAAAAGTTAGAAAAAAATTATCGCTTTCGTAAAATCACAAATATTCCTGTAAATCTTATAAATTAAACCTCTACAATTGCCTCCTTTTTTTTCCAACTTCAAATGGAAAGGTGATAAGCGAGCACTACTATGATGATGATTAAGTATAGTTCATGTAACAGTAATATAAAAATATATCACCAAAGGGAGATAAATAAATAAATAAATAAAGTCGGTCGTTGGTTTGGTCCCAAGAGATAATTCTTTTCCTAAATGGTCAGTATAAATTAATTTACCTAATTAGTTAACTGGCAAACCGATTAGTTAGGTAAAAATAATGGGGGAATCGGTAATTGCGGGGAAAAGATAAGGAAAGCAAACCTCGTGCATCTTCAAACTTTCTTCAATGCTCACGAGCTCCGGCCGCCAGTGAACATGCCGCTGTGAGTTCCCCCTGCTGCCGCCGCCAATCCCCGCGCCGGAATTCCCCATATAAAGATCGATAATCTTCTCCGCCACCTCAGCACCGCCGCTGCTCTCAGCCACCAACCGCTCCACCTGCGCCCTCGGGAGCCGCACCTTCACGCGCATCGACCCGCTGGGGCCCACCTCGGCCTCGGCGGCGCTGGTCCGGTTCCCGGTGAGATCCGACACGGATCGCTTGGAGAGCATGAGGAAATCGAGGCGGTCCTTGGCGCTGACGTGGATCCCGGATCTCACGCGCCGAGCCCCGCGCTGCTGCTGCTGCTGCGGATTTGAACTTTCCGGGAGTTTGGGCAGCTCGACCAGAAAGTAGATCTTGTTGGGCTTCAGGTCCTGGCCGGGCTGGAGCGGCCGGGCCCGGATCCCAAAGTTCTTGACGGCCTCCGAGTCCAGGAGGACGTGGCCCGGGTAGTCCCTGACGGCGTCGTTTGCTGTGGCCGGCGTCTTCAGCTTGAACGTCTCCCCGGTCACTTTCATCACCTTCGCCGCCTTCTTCCCCCTGCCGCCGATGCTGTTCCCCATTTCTCAGGGTAATTAAGATTTTTTTAGGGGTTAATAATGAATTATGGATTTGGATTGTGGATATATTTATATGCGTGGTGGGTGGTGGCGGGGATGAAGAGAAGAGAGAGAGAAGAGGCGTGCGGGGTTGAAACGAAGTCGTTTTTGTTCTAGATAAGAATGATTAATTAATTAGATGGGATTTAAGGAGGGTAATGATTTCAATTTTGAGTTGGGTGAGGTGTGAATCAGTGGAAAATTCCTCTCACGTAAGAAAGTCGCTTCTTCTTCGTGATTGATATATACACAGTGAAAAAAAGTGTGAAAGCTTTTTTTTATAATCAATTATTTAATCATATATGTGAAAAGAAGTGGGACAAGCGTGAGTCGACAAAAGGAACAAAAGAGAAGATAAATTATTTCTACCTTTTATCCAGTTTATTCGATTATCTCTTGATGCTTATTTAGCTCGAGCTTGTCCGAGATACAAATTGAACTTGTATGATAACGCAAAAAAAAGTATAAGTTCAGTTTGTACTATGAAAGAATTTGCATTACTATGTAATAGTACAAGTTCAGTTTGTATCCTAATATAAATATAAAAATTCAATTTGTATCATTAATAAATTTGTTGCCGTTTGTGTTATGGTGCTAGCTCAGTTTGTACCAAATGAATTTTTACAAAATAAAATATAACAACAAATGAAATTTGTACCATAAAATTTAAATTTAAATGTACATTTTCAATTTGTATCATAAATATTTTAAAAAAAAAAACCAAAATAGTAAATACCGTGTAAAATTCCTCATTCAACAATCGGGTGATGACAACCCTTTGAACAAACTTATAAAAAAAATTTGTTTCTGGGTGAAATGAATTAATTCTTAACTCGTTCAACTTCACACAATAAGGCGTATGATTCCTCTAAATCGTGAACCTATTCATCGTATCTAATTAGCTGATCAGTATTAATTTTAATATCTTAATAAAATAGCTTATCCTCGTCGCAAATTGAAGTTGAAGTTTCAACGAACGTAAAATAATGGAGCGCAGCAGAACTACGAAAAGTAGGTAATCGGTGGTGCATAAACAATTATTACTAATGACAATCCCATGCATGCTACATAGTTCTGTAAAGTATAAAAAGGATCAACGTAATTTCAAACTCTTGACGTTTCATTCATTATTTCCAGGAATTTGACTCTAAGCTATTCATCAAAAACAAAATAACATTTTAAAATGGTTGACCTCTAAACAGAAAAAGGGAGAATTGGGGAAGATTCTACTTGGAACCAGCTAGATTTTGGAATATAATTTTCTTTACTTAGTAGTATGGTTCAAGAATAGGGGTGGCTATTTGGACCGGGACCGGATTAAAAATCGGAAACCGGACCGTATAACCCGGACCGAGATCGGACCGTATAACCCGGACCGAGATCGGACCGTATAACCCGGACCGAGACCGGACCGGGACCGGATAGTAAACAATCCAATCCAATCTTTGGGCTTAGATTTGAGGTGAAAAACCGGATAAAGACCGGATAAGAGAGCTCAACACCCAAAACTTAAGGGTAATTTGCATAAACGGTCACAAACCTTTGCACTTAGTACAAAACTTAACCAACTCCTCACCCTTTAAGGCCTTAGGCCACTCAAATCTCACAATCTCAATGTAAAATCAAGACCGAATTGGGACCGGACCGGATCAAGACCGGACTGTATCCAATCCAATCTTCGGTCCTTATATTTTCAAAAAGACCGGACTGGACCGGATCAATTTGGGCCAATTTAACCGGACCGGACCGTATAGCCACCCCTATTCAAGAAGATGCGTTTAAAGTTTAAACTCTTGCACCTAAGCGTTAGATAACTTCAGGCAATGTGAATAAGTAATTTTGGCCAAATCACACGTTTGGCAACAAAACAAAAAAAAAGTGGTAATTTGAAAAGAGAATGTAAATTTAAGCTCTTCTATTTACCTCTATGCTAACTAAAACTGTGTGAGTAGAATAGCCAACCATTTCGTAATGCGAATTGAGTAATTACGGTGGTTACCAAAATCTACACCGTTCATTGTCTTTATTCCACTCTATTTTTAAATTGAAAGTGAAGATTAGATTAATGGTCATTTTGAGAATAAAAAAATAACATCTAATATCTATCCTTTAAAAACTCGATTTTTATATATTATACCCAAACCCTACTGCAACTCCATTCTTCATCAACGTCAACACCTCCGCCTTTGGAGGTTCCCTTACTCCCGCTGCCCTCCTCTCCTCCCTCCCTCTCTCTCTATCCATCGTAGATCAGGAGAACATAAAAATCTTGATCTAGAGTTTTTTTAGTTTTGATGCTCGTTCATTGCATTGTTTTATGAAATAACATAGTCTTGTTTTTCATAATAATATTGATTTATTTCTGCAATGATATTGTTTTGATTTCACAATAGTAATGGCATTGGTTGATTTTGGTATTGGTTTGACTCTTCTAATGATATAGATTGTTTATATAGGTAGTTTTAGTGTAATGGTATTGTTTTTCATAATGGTATTAATTTATTTCTACAATGATATTGGTATTTTTTAAAGTGGTAGTGATTGTCTAATGGATTGGTATTGATTTATTGTTTTATTTTTGTAGTTGTCTTATTCCGACTTAACAGAGTCAAGGAAAATATTGAGAAAAAGAAGGAAGAGAGATCTTGCTAGAGATAGTGAAAGAGAAAGAAAATGTAATTCATATGTTTTTTTGTGCTTTGAACTACCAAACTCGATTGACAACACTCAGTTTTAGAAGAATAGTGTTATGGCTATGGGTGAAGCGGGTAGACGGAAAACATTGACCATTCGATATGTTTGGATACCATGCTTACTTTCATCTGCTGTGAGTTTTTGACTTTTCCAATTAGTCTCTATGTTTTGCATGTTTTATATGAGATGAATTGTATCTTTATAAAAGAAAAATAATTTTACCTGACTAGTAAAATATAAGAATTTTGCCATAACAATTAAATCGTGGGTAAAATACCAAAATCGTGCGAGGCAATCACTCATTGCACAGGGGTACAAAAAGTACAATCTCCCGCTGAGTGAAGTGCCATTTGAGAATGTGCATAGAGGGCACCCATCTAACACTCATCTACAGCATTGACCCTCCACACGGATCGAGGAAAAGGAGTTAAACGAAGTTCTTATGTGAGTGCTAAGAAGCAAAAATTGCTCCTGCTCGGTCACCAGTAGTAAGAAACAAAGGCCACTTGTACTAAATACGACTGCTCGGCAAGCAGAATCAGAAAGAGATAACAGACTCTCTTTGTAAAAAAATGTAGTGATGCGCTTAAAGTTAATATAAAATTTGCTAAAAGCTTCCCATGAGTTTTTTTAGAATATCATGCTTAATTGGTTACTTATGAATGATGTGAGTAAGCCGGGTTTATTTTGATTAATTGTTGCACCGTAAGTTGTTAGTTACCCACTACTGACGATCAAATTTTAGTGTTGCTAATTTGGTAAGTTGCATCAGATTTGAGTCAGTCAATGGTAAATGCAGGGGCAGAGGCACCTTGTTAGGAGGGGGTGCCTTGGCACACCCTTGGTTTGGTAGAACAAAGTTAAAAGAGTATATTATTGTTTATAATGAAATCTTGTACATGGAACCACATTCGTATCGTCACAATATCACTAGGTGAACTTATTGTGATAGAATATTGCTATATTTCCCTTTTCAATTCCAATCAAAACTTTTCCTCTTAAACATGGTCTCTCGGCTCTATTTTTTCATTCAACCGACTTTCATCAGTTATCCATGAGCACTAGAGAGTCTTTACCGTAACCCGCCATGGATTGGAATGATTAACAAAATTATGAAGCACTAATCGATAGGATATATTGACAATAAGGTCTTTGATAGTTTAGATGAAGAATATATAATTTACAAGTTTTATTAGAGTAGAAAAATGTTGTGAGTCATTGCAAAAATTAATAGTTTCTCATATAAAATATATTGATTAAAAAATTGACACCCCCTTATAGAAAATTCTGGCTACGCCACTGGGTAAATGGTTGCAAAGAACTTGAAAGAGGGGTGAATGGTATGATCATTAAAGCACAGCTCATCCATTGAGAAATAAACTAATGATTATCACAAGAGTACAAGGGTAAATTTCTAGTCTTGATGTTGTGTTTTAAGTGTCATGGGTTTTTATGTTTTGAGCAGGGTTGTGTCTCCCTGGTATGTGTTGAGTTTCCTCTTATTATAGTTCTTATACTTGAGTCGCTGCTTAGGGACAAGCAAGTATTGAGTGTGAGGTTGTGATAATTGATGAAAACATATTGATTTTGAGGTTTAATGTAATTATTTCATGATATGTTTAAGATATATGACACTTGTTTTAGGTCTGATTGACTATGGAATGGTTGAAAAGCCATTACCATCTGTGTTAGAGTTTTTTTATGTGTTTTAGTTGAGGAAAATGACACCACAGACAGATTGCAAATTTTCAATAGCACAGGCAAATGAAAAAAAAAAAAAAAAGAGTATAACTTGGTGGACCAGGACTTTGGGATCTGATTATGTAGCAAGCAGTTGGGCCAATTGAAGTCGACCTGTCAGCCCACAAGGAGTAATTGGAAACACACACAAGATTGGAAGGAATTAATTCCCTAATCATAAGCCACTGGGCCGGCCCTTTTATTTTTTGCTGTTGGTCCACAGAATTCTTTTGGCAGAGGGGGATAATGGGAGAACGGCCCGGCGACAATTCTTGGATTAAATTTTAAGGATAAGAAATTTAGTGTTGGTTTGGAAGTTGTGATTGTTAGAGTTATGTTTGTTAAATACATGTATTGTGCACAATACAATGTTTGGAAGTGCCAAAGTGTAAAACAATGTATGCATTGTTTTAGGTAGGTCCCACCAACAATCACAAAAAATGATGCATTATACAATTTCAACTAAAAGTTGAGATTGTTGTGATTGTTGCTTTTAGATTTGTGTCAATTTTTTCTTTCCATTTATATCCCTATTAGTTTTTGTCTTATGCTAAAAGTTAAGGGTAAATATGAAATTTTCCCATAAAAGTAACTTTATGTAAATAAATGCATAAAGTAGAATCTCAACAACCAAACAATGTATTGTTAAAATGCATCCATTGTATCAATACATGCATTTATATTATTGTAATTCATTACAACATAACGATTTAACATTCGCAACTTTCAAACGACCCCTTAGAATTATTTGGACCGGAGGTGCCGCGCGGAAGCAGTCGAGCGGAGTTGATTGGCACCAATGATATGTGGTTAATTAGGTTATTAGCGGCAGTGGGCCCATTAGTGATCACTTTTCATTATCGGTTTTCAGACTGAACAGTTAATTCATTGAGCTACGACGGTTGGATTTGCAATTGATTGTTTGGTACGTAGTAATTCCCAATAGAGATAGTTGGCACAATACGGATATCCTTGGCTGCAGAGAATTAGATTAAACTGATTAGAAAAGTGAATTAATTTGGATATGATAGGTAGTGAGTCTCGGTGTTTCTCTCAGAGTTTTCTCCATTGAATTTATACCGACCGTTTTCTTTTACTTAATTTGTTTATTTTATTTTGCTTTTAGAAACTAGTCTCGTTAAACCATTTTGACTTATAGTTTGCTCCATAAAATTGATAGAACTTAGCATTGTATCAGTTCCTAAGAGACGATACCCTGATTTTCGATTTTAATAGGAGAGCACAAGCCAAAGAACAAAACCTCCAAAAGAAAGCTAACTAAAAAAAACTAACACCACCAATCAGTCTTGCTGTTTCCGGCGGCGGCGGCCGATCCGTGTTTCCTGGTGGCTCTTTCTCCGATGGTGGTTCTCGGTTTGGGTGGCTTCGATGGCAACGAGTCCTTGGGGATGCATGCGGCACCAAACACTTTATGATTGGGCCGACTGAAATTAGGATTTCTGGGGTAAGTAGTGGGATCCATGTGTTTGGACTGGACTTTGGGCCTCGTTAATTTTGGACTGCTTTTGGCTTACTTTTAGATTCTCTTTTTCAGTAAGATTTTTTCTTCCTTTCAGTGTTGTAGTACTTTGTACACAGTGTTTCGTATTAATAAAACGATCACTCCACTTTCAAAAAGTTATATATCTACGTTGTACAAAGAGAAAACATAATTTTCTTACAAGGTGTAAAACCATAACACGACATCCCGGCTGAATCCAACTCCAATGAATATGAAAATGGAAATCTTAGGTTGATTCCAACAGAGAGAAAACATAATTTTGTAACATTGAAGCAAAAATGATGAAAATTGGGATAATCTCCCGATTTGGAGATAAAGGTCCACAAATTTGGTGACTTGCATTGGGGATAGCCTAACCGAGTGTGCAACCAAAAATATGCCACTCTCGTATGGGCGACTAGGCAATAGGCATACTATATTCCATAAAAGTGAATAATAATAATAATAAAAATAATAATAATAATAATTATTATTATTATTATATTACAGTGAGGGGGAACACAACATGTACATGGTAAGTCGGTAACATGTACATGGATGGAACACAACATGAACATAGATCAGAGGCTCAAGAATAGTTGTCTGCCGGACCCTTCATTTAGAAAATTCAGAACTAAGGATGGAGAATTAAATACTATTTTATTTTTCTTAATTTTCTTAACCGACTCATATCTTCTTCGTTTTAACTCGGATTTTAATTTTTTTTGCACAGATGGAACGAGTTCGTTGTGTTCCACAAAATGATATACTTTTCAATATTTTATGAGAATTTTTTTTTTCTTGCCTCTCGGTACCGACTGCATACCATATGGTATCTTCTTCGTTTTTAATTCGTTTTTGAAAACGTTTACACAGAAGGAACGAGTTCATCATGATCTATTGGATCTACAAATTTCTTGGTGAACAAATTACAAGACCAAAAAATACCACACAATACCATATAATACCACCCTGGTACGAGGTGGTATCTTGTGATACACAATGTTAAAAGTCGTAAATGACAGTTAATATACTTAACCTATCATGTATTCAACCATGCTACAGTCTTGGTTTGTTCATACCACCATGATACGCTTTTCAAACCATATATATGCTCTTATTTTTTACCACCATGATAAAAAAATGGCTCAATTTTCTTTGTTCGAAAAATATATCAAAGTAAATATCATTTTGACGAGCACAATTAATCTGATCTAACTATGCAAAAAAAATTAAATTTCGACTTACAACAAGTGAGAAATCGTCCGTCAAATATTAAGAAGGAGAAAATTAAAAGCTTTCCAAGAGAGATGTTGATGTTATGCTGATGTGGACAAGTTACTCATGGTTAGTCACCATAAGATTACTCACATGATCGATCGATTCCTTAGATCAGAACCAAATCTCGAACATGATTTTACTTTTGTATCATTGTTTGTTTGATTCATTAGACCAAATCACGCAAATCCAAGCAGCAACATATTATAATAATAATTATGATAATAATAATAAACCAGTTGAGAGCAACAAGTGCACAAAGTTGGGAATTCATTTGATACGGGCTAGCAAGTATGATAATGTAAACATAATATTATTATTATTATTATATAAAGGCTATATAAAAGATGAATGACGATTGCAGAAGAGAAATTCCAACAACAAAAACAAAAACCGATTACAGAGGAGAAAGTGACTTGGTGGGTCGTCTTCCTCCCATGCAGCTCCACTGAGTTAACGAAAGAGGAACTGGAGCACGCAACACCACAAACAAACATGCTACTATTCTTTTTTTAACGTCATTAATTATTTATTCGATTCATTAAAACCCGAACACACAGATCCAAAACCTTTAAGTACACATTACGGAACATATTAAAAAAAAACGACAAACAACTGAAACAAGTTGAGTGCAAAATGACAAAGCTGATGATAATCCATCTCACATGATAAGAGCTGCAGGAAGAGGACGATAAGGGACCGATAACACAGAGACGAGAAGTGTGCTGACGCAGGAATGGATACTGTTGACTGACAAAGACGGGTTGGGTGGCTTTAGCTTTTAGCTTTTAGAGCTTGGAGGATAGCAGTCCACTCTTCTCCACCTTCACATCGCTTTCCTTGGCATCCAGCTCAGACGCACTCGGCGGCACGTCCACCGCCGGCGAGCAGTTGAAGAACCCGTGTGGCTGCTCAACCAACCAACCAACCACAAAACAATTAAGTACGACGCGAATGCAGAAAAAAAAAAAAAAGTACGTCGATAAAACCGACGGTAGCGTACCATCAAGCTGAAGCCGGTCCGCTCCACCGGCATCACCGGCCAGTCTTCCAACCTTGGGACGTGCGTCACGCCAAACACGTACCAAAGGACGATGTCTTCTTCTTCCAATTGGCGGTCCTGCTTAACCCATGTGGCCAGACCTTCGCCGACCCGGGGATTCTGATTAGGGAACTCGCCGCCGGGGAACATCTCTCCCGCTGCATATGCTGTCACCCACAGGTTGTGCTTCAGGAAGGCTGCCCTCCTCAAGAACTTGGCTTCCGGACCGGCCAACGGCAAGCAATTCGAACTCGGCACTAGCTTGTACCCAGTCAGTTGTCCCGTCCTGTTCACTATCCTAGTGTTCCTTATCTGATTCCAACACCAGTAAGTAAGTAAGTAAGTAAACACATGGGATTTCTACATCGTCAATTTGGCGCAAGAGTAAGAGAGCTTACAATCCAGTGTCGAGCCGACAAAGCATTACAGTCCCTCGTGGCTTGTGACTCTGATCTCAGGACCGTTTCTTCGGCATAAAATGCGTTGTTGTGCATATTGTTTTCACCAGGTGCCTCCACTTTAACATTCACCTCAGCAACCTACCAGCAACGCAGAAACAAGGGATACATTCACATACGAATTCATTTTAATCCCAAGAAAGAAAAAAAAAAACGGTCTAGACTTTTTTATTTAACCTGATTATAAGCTTCACCGGGTCTGCAATCAACGGCCATGTTCATTCGAGCAACGAAAAAGTGCTGATGAACTGGTGCATACAGCCCAGGCGCAATAATTGTCCCATACTTCCGCACTTCTCCAGGTTGCAATGCTCCTAAGCTCAGGATTCCGGTCAGTTTCACTTCAGCTTCAATTTTCCCATCCTGTCACAATCAACCAAACAAATATAAAGACCCGCATCACACTGAATCTCGCACCTAAAAAACTAAGGTCCTCCCATGGCAAACTCGGAAACAGAGAAATTAATGAGATGCATAACAGATTTTCCTAACTTGCCTGATAAAAATGCCAGAAGAACCCATATTCGTAATTTGCGACTGTGCATATAAAAGACACTGTTAAACGCCTGGACCTCCGCACTTCAGCTAATCCTGTTCTCCAGTCTTGATGTTTCCACAACATTCCGTGATCCTCTTCATGCAAACATACACAATTTTCAATGGTTTCAACACCTCCAGTGAAGTTTGTAAAGTGAGCATCAAAGTATTTGATGTAGCCCAAACAATCACATCCCTGCAACCATCAGTGATACAACTATTAGACCCAATGTATAGATCCAATGGAAGATCATCATCACATTTAAAGAGTGAAGCAGTTCAATTCCCACACCTTCTTAAGAGAATGGGCGTTTTTGCCAAGGCCATCTTCCCCTGCATCAAATGCATTCTTACGGTAATGTGGATCATTAGGATCTCCATAAGGCACAACCATTTCGACAAAGCTTAGCCTGTGGGCCACAGGCCTACGACCTCTGCTACCATCGGTATATGCAATGGAGTGTATGACCAACCCCTCCCTAGGTGTAAAACCGATGCGGAAGTTCCACTACCAAAATACAAAGCAATCACAAGAAATATTATTAATTATTGCTTCAGTGGAAAGACTCAAGACTAGTGAACATACAAAGATAGATAAACCAATATAGATACAATACGAGCATATACCTTCTGCCATTCCACAAAGTGGCCACTAACACGGAAACTTGGACCTTCAGGCTGAACAATTTGCAATGCCTTGATATCACTGCGATCAACCCCTCCTCTTGTCTCACCAGGAGTATAGTTCCTTAGAGGATCCGCTGTCGGTAATGGGACTAGCTTTCGATCTTCGAATTCAATAATCTTCATGTTTTGCATGTCAACAAGTATATGCATTCCCTCAACAGGCCGTGCATATCCATTATCCATTGGATTGTCACTATCAGTTCTGCAGAAAATAAGAGGTTTGGCCAGTCTTCTGTTAGGAGCATCAGCTTCACTGTGATAACCAACACACCTACGCAAACAGAAATTCATAACCAAAACAATTAATAACATTCTATAAAAAATCAGTTTCATAACACAAAAGATAAGCATACTATCTGTCGCGCAAAATACACAGAGGGAGCTAGTATCTTGATTTTTCTTACCAAGCATCAACCATTACTAGGTCCATGTCATCAACCCCCCGTTTCTTCATTGCCTCTCTAAATGCAGGGTACTCTTTCACGGCAGCTTCACATTCAGCATATTCTGCAGCATCCTGCTCGTGAAAAAGAAAACAACTTTTTTTTATAAACTATGTGTTGCAAAAGATAATACAACCCAAAAGACCAGAGAGGAAAAATAAGCACACACCATTGGAGGCTGAACATCCGGAACAAGCTCAGATGATACAACTTTTCCCCTGTGATTCCCTCCACGAGTTGCAGCATGCACTTCCGATAGTTCCACGATCCAGACGCTTGTCTCGTTGGACATTTTGTTGTAAACAACAAGTCTAGCTCTCCTGGGAGGCAACTTGGTGGGGATTATTGGACCACCTTTCAGCCTAGGGAGTAATGATGGCTGAAAGGGAGGAAAGAAATAGGCATCTGCCAATGCAACGACATGTTTCTCAGGTTCCAGCAGAACCACCTCAATGAATCTCATGCCGTCTCGAACCTAAAACGCGAAACACCACACCTCATTAGTTAGATCACATTTCATAATCTTCAAACACATGATATATGCATCTAAAAGGAAGAAGCAAGTGGCATGGGATATCAAGTACCTCAGGAGTGGCTCCAGCAGCTCTCACAGTCGCCACTGCTACTGAAATTTCAGCTGCTGACAAAGGGTCCAATGGATGGCTGCTTTGCGCTCTCAACATGACTGGCATCACAGCTGAGCATCAATCAAACAAACGGGGGAAGGAAAAAAAAACAAGAATCTCTTAAGATAAGGCGATGGATACAAAGGAATATTTCAGTTCAGATCATGTTATCGATAATTAATTAAGCTAATTGAAGATTTGCCATAACTGCAATTGATGATACATGCGTTCAGATTGCCATGATTCAATCAAAATGGCCATATTCTGAGAATTAAAAGAACATATCGTCCCTGCATACATAAACCACTCTGGATATCAAGGAGCATTGACAAAATTGTTAAAACTCAATTAAGAAGATCAAACAGTTCCTTGAGGATTGATTGATTATACCGTACCGGAAAAGTCAGCGATAGAGTATTTTAGACTAAAACCATGGTTTAGTCGTGGTTCAACCGCTAAATCTTGCATACCGCTAAATCGTGGTATGATTTTTTAATCCTTGCTCCGAACAAATACAGAGTCGCATAGAGAAATCGCGAAGAAGGAAAAACACAAAACAGATTATCGACAGTGAAGGATCAAGAAGCGAAAGGGGAGGCATAAGCGAGAGAAAGAAGGAGCGTACGTTTGGCAGCGGGCAATTTGGGGGAAGCATCTGGAAGGCGCTCGACGGGAGAAATCAAGGACGAGATATCAGTCTTGGCGGCATACTGATCGTCTCGTCGGGACGAGACAATCCAATCCTGCACGGCATTCTCTGGCTGAGCACCGGCGGCGGAAGCCTGACGGCGAACAATTGAACCGGAGGAGGAGGAGTCATTGCGGCAACATGCAGAGGAAGGAATCTTCGCTTTTTGCGAAGCTGAGGCCATTGTAAGGGGTTCACAAGCTCGCCGATTCCACCAAGGTAAGACTCCTCACAATCAGCTGACATACAGCGATTTCCTTCGTCACTACCACAACACTCTCGCTCCCTTCTTCTCCACCTCGCCCAAAAAAGGCACACTCAAAATCTCTTTCTCTCTCTCTCTCTCTATGTATAAATCATATATGTGATCTCTCTTTCCTTATGATAAGCGTATTTCGAATCCCCTGCCTGCTACGTGATCAAGGTTTTTGTTCCCCAAACAAACTGTGAGTCTTAAAAGGAGGGAGGGAGGGAGGGGAAAGGAAATTCCAGAAAGATCGGAAACTGAATCCGGTAGCGGAAAAGGAGGACTCCACGGGAGAAGGGGAGGGAGGGAGATAGGAGAGAGAGAGAGAGAGAGAGAAAGCGTTTTTAGTGAGTGAGGGAGTGTTAGACTCGGACAATGACACACTGCGGAGGAGACGGATGGATGGGCAATTGGGAAAGTATATGCAGTGGGGGAAGGTGGAGCCACTTTGTGACGTGTCATAGCCATTTATAAAAAATTAAAAACTGAATTTCCTTTTTCATGTTGTTTTCTATAAAGTCTTTATTGCTGTGTTGGACTCAAAAATATTAACTATTATTGAAAAGAAAATGCGATTATCTTATCACTATCACTTATCAGAATCGTGGTGGATCCACGACACGAATGAACGACCCAATTGTTGAGGGTTGGTGTCACCAAAAGATAGTATGGTTTTTATTTTATTTTAATAAAAATGTTTTAAAATCACAACCGGAGTACTAGTATTGGATTTAGACTTCAATTTTCATTTGTGTTTTTATTTCTTTTCAGCTAATGGTTGTTTAGCAAAGATATATTTTTATTTCTATCGATAGTACGAATATTGAAGAGCAACCATTGGACTTAATTTAATAGTTGGGGTAACACGACTTGCTAATTAAGTTTTTTCCCCCAAAAGATAGTCGTATTTTACTAGGTATCAATAGATACGCAAACACGACTACAAAGACCGAATTGAAGAACAAAAGTCGAACTGAACGAAACCCGTGGGAATAAACTAAGGGCTTTCTCGCCCACTTTATGAGTGACCCTATTCTCTTCTTGACTAACAGGACATAAAATATAATCCGACAAAGCTAATAAAAATTGTTAAATCTCCAAAAGCACTAATGCCCAGTGCATCCCATGTATCTCTATCTCGAACTTCTTTAGTTGGGCTTCCCCTTAACTATCTTGTTGAGATGGGCCTCTCCGTCCTAAAACAGTAGCCGCTCTTAATTCTTAGAACTGAAACTACAGTTGTCGAACCATTACTGAAAAACTTCAAAGAAGGCTATATTGCATGCATAATCAATTTCATCTAATTCTAGCAGCCTGTGCTATAACACATATATATTCAATCGATCAAACCTATCGATGATTTCTCTAAAGTTGTGCTTCTTCTCAAGATTTTCGTGCCAAAGGAAATGAAAAGGAACGGTGGGTTAAGCATTCATCTCATCTAAAACACACATTGAGTGATTATTAAGCAAATCCAACCTATTATGGCAATAACGATGTACAAACAATGTAACTCTTGCCATAATATGGGAGGTCTAAAATAGTACTTTTTGTGTGTCATCACCCCTACACTTTCCTTCTTATACAAAAGTGTGGTATTTTCTTGGACACATCCCTTTGTCCACCTTTTTCGATATCAATGTGCCACCAACCCAACATTTCACCTTCAACTTGTCAGGTGGTAGGTTTTCCATGCCCCCTCGTTATCAGGGCCATTGAGCATGGATGGTATCTGGCATGAACAATCTTTTTGTAGTAACACTATGATTGTGCTTATTGTCAAATTGCTAAGGTGGTTTGACATATCATCGTCCAACCAGAAGCACAATAGAGATTCTGGCTCCCACTCGTCCAGTGGTTGGACTCATATATCGGTGGACATGATGGAGCAGTAATCTTTGGAGTGGGCTGTTGGCAACTATAGAAGTCTACAAACGACTATACTTTTTCGGCGAGGCAACCACACAAATCCATGGACTCATAAATCCATGGACACAGAGGGAGCTATTAGAAACAAAGTTCGTCCGACTCAATCCCAACAGATCTTGTCATGGAGGCCACATAAGGAGGACTGTACAATAGTCAATCCATATGGCTTTGTAAGGATGTCAATTTTTTGCTAGCGGTAATGAGTGGTATATCAAGAAACACCTTGGTTGTGCTTTTTGGTCCTTTTTTATGAGTAATGGTAAATTTACCATCATGCTCATCGAGATCTGCAGGGCTATAGATGAGCTACAACTTGCTCGAAAGAATGACGATCAAAAGGCTGATATTCAATTAGACTCTTTAGATATAATGAATCTCTTCAGTTATTCAGCATGTTACGAAAATGCTAAACATATATTTGTTAGGTTTGGGTTGTTCTTGTGATCAATAACAAAATAATGTTGCCAATCACTTAGAAAATATAGGTCACAATGTTTTAGTAGGATGTTTAGTTGTTAACTATTCCAACAGTATCCTTTGTAATTGAGTTAACTGCAATATTATGAGATCTTCAGAACCTTGTACAATTAATAAAGCAAGTTAAGGCTTAGGTCAAACAATTCGTGGGATAAGACTCCATGCTCTCGCTCCGGAGCAAAAAAAAAAAATAAATAAATAAAAAATGCAATACGAATGAGTTTGTAAGAAAATTATGGATTATTATTCATTGGAGCATGAATTTTGTAAGGTAATTCGGTAATTTGTTTCACAAAGATAACGAAAGAGAGAGTATCAGCAATGGTGATCGTCGAAACATGATGTGTTGGAATACTACTCAACGAGTTCAACGTCCACAATGATGCAACACGCAAGATTACTGGAAAGAGCATGCAAATTGCTAATTAGACAAGGAATGATAATTAAATTTAATAATTTCTTGTAAGGAACATTGTTAATGTAAAGTATTATTAGTTTACTACATTTGCGAGATTATGCTTAATATTGCGAACTTATCTTTCTTTTCTGATTTTTTAGTTATTAAAGAAGTAACTGAATACATTTACATCTTTTGTTGTCCACTTCCATAATTTTTCAAAATTATCGGCTAAACAAATTTTTTTGTTCGTCACAACCTCATTACAACCACAACATCAACAAAGTCATATGGGGTTATCATAAAAAAAACCCCATGGGCAAGTTGTGGATGATAGTGCTGGGACCTTTTTCTGTTCTTCAGCGATAGTTGCGGAAGCTAAAGCCTTGTTGACTGCTGCGAGAATGGCAGCCTCCCTTCACGGTCCTCGCAAGTTAGAGCGTGGATTCAGAGGATTCGCTTTCTCCTTCAAACGCATATCGGATTGAGTATCTTCTTCACGCCAAGATCTACTAACAAAAGTGCAGATTGGGTGGCTAAGGAAGCGGCAAATGGATCTCTTCCTCCAGAATGGATCCAAGTGCTTGACATTTTAAATCCGATCTTATAACTCGGTTTTTGCTTGTACTCCTATCCTATCGTTGATTTGAATAGAAATTACCTATTGTAAAAAAAAAAAAAAAAAGTCATACGAGACCGTAACTTTAAACAGACTTATAGGTTATCTAGCCAGATGGTTGAAGGTAAAGCCCAAATCCTTGATTCGAATGAAGCCTTGGTCCAAAATCCAAATCCTCCCAGGAAAGGGAAAGGCCCACTACCTTCGTGTTCATTATCCGTAATTCCGTTGGCCACTCTCTCGTTCCTTGTCTATATTTTTTTGCTCAAACTTACAAAGTAGTCAAACAGTGCTCTTCTGAGGTGTAAAGGAAAAGCAGCAGTCGCAAAAATTTCACCTCCGATTCTCTCCGACTCCGAGGTCCGTCGTCGGCGTTGTCACGAAGTAGAGAGAACTCGCACCTCCCGCCACTCCGATCGAGGTCGACGACGCTGGTGGTAAACATCTGATTTTGCTTTCAGTTTTCCATTCCGATTAGCAATGGAAGACTCGACTAGCGGCGCGTCTCTTCCCTCAGTAGGCTCCGACGCGAAGAAGCGCCGCGTGACCTATTTCTACGAGCCGACGATCGGCAACTACTACTACGGACAGGGGCACCCGATGAAGCCCCACCGCATCAGAATGGCGCATAACCTAATTGTTCACTACTCCCTCCACCGCCGCATGGAGATAAATCGCCCTTTTGCTGCCGCCCGCGATGACGTCCGGAAGTTCCACTCCGACGACTACATCGACTTCCTCTCCTCCGTATCCCCGGAATCGGTTTCCGATCCGGTCAATGGGCGTCATCTCAAGAGATTCAACGTGGGCGAGGATTGTCCGGTGTTTGACGGGCTTTTCGGGTTTTGCCAGGCCTCGGCCGGTGGTTCGATTGGCGCGGCGGTCAAGCTCAATCGCGGCGAAGCCGACATTGCAATTAACTGGGCCGGTGGATTGCACCACGCCAAGAAGAGCGAGGCCTCAGGGTTTTGCTATGTGAATGATATCGTGCTCGGAATTCTCGAGCTTCTCAAGGTTCACAGGGTAATTCACCAAGCCTCGTTCCTCCTTGATTTGTGCTTCTTAGGATGCTAAGTCTTTTTTGTTAATTTAGAATCACCCTTTTTGCTCATTTTCTCCTTTGGGTCGCAGCGTGTGTTGTATGTTGATATAGATGTACACCATGGAGATGGAGTAGAGGAAGCATTCTACACAACTGACAGGGTGATGACCGTGTCTTTCCACAAGTACGGAGACTTCTTTCCAGGAACTGGACATATAAAGGACGTTGGGGCTGGCCAAGGGAAGAACTATGCCCTTAACATTCCATTGAATGATGGGATTGATGATGACAGTTTCAGGAGAATGTTTCAGCCTGTAATGCAGAAAGTTATGGAGGTTTATCAGCCTGATGCCGTGGTTCTTCAATGTGGAGCAGATTCCTTGACTGGTGACAGGTTGGGTTGCTTCAACTTGTCTGTGAAGGGCCATGCTGATTGCCTCCGTTTTTTGAGGTCTTTCAACGTTCCTCTAATGGTTTTGGGTGGTGGTGGGTATACCATCCGAAATGTGGCTCGTTGCTGGTGTTATGAGGTATGTTAATGCATCACTCTCTGCTGTCTTTCATTCTCTGAATCCTTAACGAACCCTCCTATGATTTTGTGCTGCCTTTTGTTTATGCAGACAGCGGTTGCAGTTGGAGTTGAGCCTGATAACAAGCTGCCTTACAACGAGTATTATGAGTACTTTGGTCCTGATTATACACTTCATGTGGAGCCTACCAATATCGAAAACTTAAACTCGCCGAAAGATATGGAGAATATAAGGTAATTTCATCACTGTAAGTATTAATTCATGTTATTATTGGTTGTTAATCCACATAGGCGTCATATTTGGGAAAGACCTGATCACGCTGATAGATATGTAGAGAATATGGTTTATGACATTATTTTCCAAATCATCTTTACATGTACATCATTGTTATATGAATAATCAATGGATAAATCTAAAATGCCACTGGCACATAGACCTGAATGATACTGGTGCTCAGGAACTATTTTTCCGTAAGAGCCATATGGATGCTACCTTCTGAAGATTATCTGATTGCCTCATATTTGTTTTAAACTCTGGATTGTTGAGGTTATAGCCAGTAGTCCTTGGCCATAACGAATTCGAGTGTCTGTCATTTGTTCAGCTCTCCGCTTTTACTTGTCCTGTGACAATTGTGGACCTGCCATTCCTCTGGCTTAAAGGTTTTCCTGTTCGTGCTACTTCGCAAAGAAATATTTCAAAACTAGCCGAATTATGGGTCCTCATTTGGTGGCAGTGTAACATGCTACTCTCTGCACAGGCTTAATTGGAAGACTTATTGAGCTGTAAATTTAAAAGTTTAAGTAGTTGTATTGTAGTACAAGAGAAATTAATTGAAATGAACTGCGAAGTTTCTTGTCTGACTTCAACTTAATGGTGAAGGAGGATGACAAATGCTATGCAAAACAAAGTATTTATCTGATCATGATGGAGAATATTGGCGTAAGCTTTAGTGCATAATAATGTCTTTTCTCATTCCTAGAGGCTTAATCTTGTTATAAATCCTTTTCTTTGCTGTTCCTGTGTACTCTGTGGTTAATGCTTCCTGGATACAGAGAGTATATTATCACGAGGCAGATAGCATTTATTTGGTGATTCACTAATTTGGCTGGTTTCAAGCGACATTTGGTATATATGTTGATGATTTCTCTCATGCATGAAATTTTGGAGATACGGGGCTTTAGGGTTGAGTAAATTATGCTATATACTCCATCATTGTATGGTTTTGCCTTCTGTCCTTGTTGTGACAGTTTAGCACTTTGATCTAAAACCAATCATTCCCCTTGTATGTGTCAGCCAAATTATGCTATATGCTCCATCATTGTATGGTTTTGCCTTCTGTCCTTGTTGTGACGGTTTAGCACTTTGATTTTACAGGAATATGTTGCTGGAACAACTCAGTAGACTTCCTAATGCACCCAGTGTGCCCTTTCAGACAACACCATCTGTGACGGAAGCTCCAGAAGAGGTAAGTTGGTCGTCACTCGTCAGTCTCTCATGCTCGAATGCATGGTGTTCTTTTGTAAAGCCATTTCCTCATGGTGTTTGTTAGATTAGTAATTCCTTCGTGTTGTAGGATGAAGAGGAGATGGATCAGAGACCGAGGCCTCGTATATGGAATGGGGAGGAGTATGAAGACTCAGATCACGAGGATGACCATAAGCCTCAGGCGAGAAGCTTTAACACCGACGATGAGTCCGTCCAGAATGGTGAAGCTAGGTAGGTAACTGAAGATGTAGCTTTCGTCATGGCACAAGGATTCTGTCTTGCGTTTACTTCACCATTCCTCTCCTTACGCACTTTCTTTCCCCTTCTGTTGTGATTGATTATATAGGGATGTGGCAGATGGTATGGAAGACGAAAAACCAGAAGTGGATAGTCGATCTTGATATCATTGGAAGTCTAGTCACTCTGCTCTCTGTTAGGTGACCTTCTTTGTAACGTGTTAGCCGTAGAAATTTGGAAGGCATTATACTTTTGGCAAAGCAAGGGAATACGTTTCGCAAGAGGATGTTAAGAGAATGTTACATGATTCTGATGTTGGCATGTAACTGCCACTGGTAGTGTAAAGAATGAATGAAAGAATAGTTAGAACCAAGGCTTTTTATTCATAAAAATTCTGCATCATATAATATCCCTACACAGGCGAATTAGAAGAAGAAAAATAAAAATGGATTTACTTCCTTTGGACTTGGAAACACATTCGTGACCTCTAGTGAGCTCAATGGTCAATGGGATTTGCCTGAAAAGCAAGCGCATTGAAAGAACTTCCTGTCAGGACTGGCCATGGATGCTACTCTCTGAATACGCGACGACGACGCAGACCTCGAATTCTTCCGAGCACCGGTAGGCTGCTTTCTCGTTTCCTCCCAATGAAGATGATCAATGGCCTTCCCCTGGTGAACAACGGTGACTTGGCAGTAATCTGGAGCATTCTTCTTCACGTATTCTGCTTTCCCCACTTTCTTTATCAGCCTCCTGATATGACATGAAAACCCAGAAACTAAAGCAAACGAACCCATATATGAACTTAGTAGGCAATTCAGACCTTTCTTCTGGTACGAAAAGAGAGCAGCAAGAAGGAGGGCGATCGAGAAAACCCGTTCGTACGAGTTATATTATATCTCGACGTTTTACCTAGGACGGGGGAGAAGCTTGGTGCCCAGTACGAGATTGGTGATGTTGAGAACAGGGATGAGCTCAACAATGGCTTTCCCAATCTCACTGCTCTCCAGCAGCATTGTGTCCACCGGAACCTTGGCATCGTCGCACAAGCGAATGTACTTCTGCAATAGACTCCTCCTCCTGTTGTTCTCTTCTTTGATGTAGAATCTCAGCTGGTCCTTGCTCAACTGGTTCTTGGACAATCTTCCAACTGCCCCCCCACCAAAGAAACAAAACCATGAATTCAGCTCTTTGTAGCCAGGGGACTCTGCTTCTGTTCACTGGAAAATCAAATTCTCACAACCAGGAAGTGGAGAATATGATGAACGAATGTTTACCTGGAGTTGGGATGTAGTGGATGGGAGGGAAGACATGGACAAGGAACAAGCGAGCTCCAGGTGAGATGTGATCCACAGCCCATTTCACAGCATCCAAATCATCTCTCCCAACACCAACATATACATCGCCATTGCCATCAACCCCACTACTGCAGGATCTTCCAACGCTCACAGTGTTCTCTTCCAGCTCCACTATCTCCACTATCTCGGATGACATCACCCTCGACTTCCTGTAGTGGAAAGAGCTAGAGCTGCTGCTGCCGTTGTTGTTGGTGGCCTCTGTTGGTTCTTCCATGCTGTTGATCCTTTTGCTGCGGGCCTCTGTTATTTGCAGAGGACTCTGTTATGGTGGAAAGAGTGATGAAGATAACAAGAGATGGGTTGGTGGAGATGGCTTGATTGGCAATTTGGAAGGAAGGTAGGAAGGTAGTGTCGTTGGTCTCAAATCCACATGGAGGAGAAGAGAGGAAGGGAGAAAAAGAATGGGGGCGAAGAGATTCTGTATTTTGTCCCAATGGTGGAGGCGTGAAGGCTAATAATGGCCTAATGGGTTTGTGTCACTTGCCACCTTTTTTGCCCTTTCTGGCTTTTATTCTCTCCCACATATGGTTTGTGAAATCAGTCGCCTTTGATGATTTAGCACAGTGAGTTTGATAAATAAATAAAAAGTAATTGGTGGGGACGAGGGACATAGTGCTTGAAAATTCCCATTTATTGGAGTCGTCAAAGATAAAAGGTTTTTAATCTTTTTGCCTATGAGAGTGAGGATTTTGTATTGAAATCTCATGGGAGACTTTTGTGTATCTCGCTTTGCTGTTTGGTTGTTGGTCTCTAGGTTCGAGTCTGAGGTAGTGATGGCAATTTTGGATCTAACTCGTGCGATCCGGCCTGTCTCGATTTGTTTGGGGGCCAGTATTATCCAAAACATTGTAGTGTGGGTGGAACATGAGTATTGCTTTTAACCTGCACCGTCCCATTCTCGGCTCGTCTATCATGATTTGCATTGAAATCTATATGTATGTGTCCTTTTTTGACCTTTATAAAATCATATTTTCACCCCAAAGAAATTTTAAAACGATATCTTTCAACTATTTATATTCAATTATGTCTTATATTTGTATTTCTCATTCATTTATGAAGTGTTTTCTCTATGTCTTTTTGTAAAAGAGTTACAAGCTGACACTCTTTTTACAAATAACATATAAGGATGGATCAACCCGTTCCGCCCCGTACCCACACGGGTATTACCCGACCAAACCCGGGCTTAGTGTGGGGTGATTATGGGATTTGAGATACCCGCCCCATTACCATAACTAGCCATGAGACCAACAATCAACGAGAAAAACAACTTTTACTTTTAAAGTCATGGTACAAATTCACTTTGTATTTTGTGTAAGAAATCTTTTAAGGTGGAAACTGAATTTTTAATTTTACGTTATGGTACAGATTAAGGAACAAAGGAAACTTGAACGTCTAATTTCATTGTACAAGTTAAATTTATACACCGAAACACCCATACTTTATAAAATAGTATAAGAATTCATCGCCTCATGCAAATCTCATGCAAGTTTCGATCACACCCAAAGATTAAGAAACGAATTTTGAATCAAAATTTGAACACTTTTTTTAATTTTGTTTCCAATCGAGTCTAATCAAGGGGGGAAAAAATAATGTTTGACCCTATGGTTCATCTATTATGAAAAAGCTAATGGGCTTTTGGAGCATTAGTTAGGCAGAATGCCACTAGTCAGGAAGGAAAAAACTCAAAAAAGTGAAACAAAGATGCCTGTGGACCTCTCATATTGGAGAATGGAAAGCGTGGCGTTTAGTGGTTTTGTCGTTGTGAATGTTTTTGTGGCTTCATATAATGTGTGGGTGCTGTTTTGTGGGCGGTTTATTCTTCGGACGAAACATTCATCATCACCATCATCAATGTCGCGATAAGGAAGGGTATCCATCGCGTAACGTGGGGCAAGGAGATAGATAAGGTGACACAATCTAAGGTTTGTTTTTCCACATATAAATGATTTTGTAAATCTTTTCTCCAAAATGATGATATTCTACAATGATTTCTCAAGGTATTTGGTGATTTGGCGGTGACGGCGGGGCAAATTTACCATTCAAATAAGCGATATAAGAATACCGTGGCTCATAATAGCGACATAACATAAACCCGCAAGCTAAAAACATCGACACAAGGATTAGTGGTCATGAGACATGTGGCATGTAGTGGTTGGTTGAGGAGGAGAGACGAGGATCATGCGAGGCCAACGAGATATATGGCGTGTGGGCTTAGATTGCGTGGCTGAAATGCGACCTTGCTATGTCGCCACTCCGGATTGTGATCTTTTGAATAGACGACTTTGCTTATGGCACCCCCACCTGAAAAATCTCGTCCCGGTCGGGTAATTCATCACAGGACATGGGTCGGGGCAGGTCAACCCATATGAGTACGTAATTTAAAAGAAAAACATTAGAATTTTTATTTTATTAAAATAACCAAGAAACAAACTAAAATATGATAATGTAGTTAAATTATTAAAAAATATGAGGTTCTCAACTATTTATAACTTCATTTTAGCACAATATAAGGTAAAAATAGTAAAATTATAAGTAATTTGAGTAAAATTATAAGTAATTTGAGTAAAATTACATGTATTTTAGGCATCAACGGGTTGAGAATGGGGTGAGTCAAGGCGGATCAGGTCGAGGAGAGTACCCATGCTCGTCCCCCCCCCCCCTATGGGTCGGGTCGGATCCTCCTCAAAACAGATTGAGTAAAACAGGTCAGGTCAAAAATGAAATCCATAGTCACAATGAGTGTGCTACCATCTCAAGACAATGGTGACCACTTTGGTAGTACCTCGATGCTAGATGACTCAGTGATATCCATACTTACCCTTCTTGTATGATATCATGCTTGACAATACCTTGATGCTAGATGACTTAGTGATCTCCATGTTGACCCCCTTGTATGATGTCATTCTTGATACCTAGGTTCTCTACCATGTGGGGTGTGCATGTTTGACACTCAGAGTCTTAATGACCTCGTTGGGTATTTACCATGCTTCATACCTTGGTTCTCTACCCATAACGTGTATCTTGTTTTGTGTAAAGATGAATGAGACAATGATGGGCTTACTCCAGCATAGAAGATCTCGCTCTTCTGTAGGTTACATTTTAGACCAGATACTTCATAGAAACTATCTAAATCATTTTCGTAACCTCAAAAGTTTCATATGACCCTTTTGTAAAGATTAATAAATCATTAGTACATGATCAAATAAACTAATTTTTACTAAAAGACTGAAGAAAGTATGTTTATTTGAACTCAAAACTAAAATTTTGATCTTGCTTGACTGCTTGAGGATGAGGGTGCACATGTCTACTCTTCTTGTATGATGTCATGTTTGACGTCTAGGTACTTATGGGGGTTGACGTCATGGCAGTTGATGAATGCACACTAACCCCTTAAGGTGGCATAATACTTGTAGGGTCTTGATGAGTGATCTCATGGTTGCCCCCTTGAAAAATATCATGATTGACACCTACGTGTTAAGTGGATGCGCATCAACCCTCTAAGATGATGTCATGCTTGAGACACAAATACTTGATGGGTTGGGATGTACGCATTGACCCTCTAAGGTGATGTCATGCTTGATGACTTGGAACGACGTATACCCACGCAACCCCATTGGATGATGTCATGCGTGATGGGTCAGTGGCGAGTAAGTCTCCACTTATGTACCTTGCATGACATGGCATATAACTCAAAAGTCCATCGCTCGTGCCCAACTTAAATCAATTTAATTAACATGGTTATATTGGCCTTATAAATCGCAACTTCTTCAATTTAGTCCATGTGGTATTAAGTTATTTAAGTGGTAATTACAGTTTCAGATGTCAATGATGATAGGAGGGAGATGAGTCGACAAGGGTAGAAGTGATATATTTGATTTTTTTTTGCTTTATTTTATTTTCTTCATATAATTTTTTTTATTTTAAAATAGCAATGTGGGGGTCTCTCTCTGACAACTAGGGGTGCTAATCATATTGGTTTGGTATAAGTTCACCATTAAACAAAAAATGCATACAAAAATTCGAACCAATAAAGCCTATCGATTTACCGCCTGTTATCGGTTCGATAAGAAATTAGGCATCAACAATAACAATAATTCAAAACAATTTAACTATACTTCAATATTTTAACATAAAATCAATACAATAATTATAAGTAACAATATCAATACAATATCCACCATTATTTCATAATCTAAATCCAAATCCCAAATTCCCAACATATAGAATGAAAAATAATCAATGTGTTCATCCAATTAGCGAGTGGCAACTAGCAATACATCAAACACCACAAGATCATAATATCATATAAACATTGACAACCATCAAATAAACGAAGACTATCAAGTGCGAGGTTTGCTCTTGCGACTATGAATGAGAGTTGGAGAGGGGTGACTTGCAGCTGCAGTTTCTGACTATTTGACACATTTGAGACTTCAGTGGATGGTCGTTTGGAATAGATGTGGATTACGATATTAGGAATCGCGATTTTTGTTGGTCTTGAATATTAAGACTTTTTCCCTTAGTCAAAATCCATACCGAACTATTATGAAACTATCGATTACCGACTAACTATTTACGAGCCATACGAGTAATCTACTATGAATTTGTGTCACTATTTGCATCAATTTGTAATCTTCTGCAGAAAAAAATGAATTTGTAATAATATTTTCCAAATTTCAATCGAACTGTTTTGATTCAAAATGTCAAAATGTGGACCAAAACATAATTTACCCATTTTCTTGGAAGAAGGCTTGCGTGATCCGACATCTATGAAATTTGTTAGTTGTGGGTAGCTTGTTGTGGGTAGCGTGGGTGCAAAAGTACCAAATTAAGGGAATAAAATCTTCTTATTAGTACTGTTAGTACTTGGATTTGGAGAAAGGTCCTCAAATGTCGAGGGCTGGCGCAACAACACATATCTGGTTCTGGGGACACATTGGCATGGGTTGGAGTCACTCTAGCTAAATACTCGGTCAAGCTTGTCTGGGAATCCATTAGAGATCCCTCCTCGAAGGTTACATGGTATCAGGCTGTCTGGGGCAAGCCAATCTTTCTGAAACATAGTGTGTTGTTGTGGCTTGTTGTATTAGACAGAATCAAAACAAAGGACAGGTTGTCTAAATGGGGGATTCATTGTGATCCTTGTTGTGTACTTTGTCCTGAGGGTCTTGAAAGTAGAAACCATTTGTTCGACATCTTCGCTTCTGGTTCTACTGTTTTGAAGAAAGTATTGCACAAGGTTTGTGTTTGGTATGAGTTTGGGGATTGGCATTCGCAGTTGGTTTGGGTAGAACAACAATGGATGCAAACAAATGATGCAGTTGTTGTTGGGAGACTCTTATGGGTCACAGGAATAAGTTTTATATGGCGAGAAAGATGTGCGAGATTGTATAGCACCTCAACAGCTCTCTCCCCAGATGAAGTCTCACTCTAAGTTATTGAAGGAGTTCACAATTTTTGCTCAAAGCCATGTTCCCTTCCATTTGAGAGTACAACGAGTGTTAGGGAATTTATTTCAGTAATATTTGTTTTCATTTTCTACAAAATTTGATGGTCGTAACTGTAAGTTGACATTTTGAGAGGGAGTTTGCGAGAACTATCCGAATTTCAATACAATTTTTGATTAACCATAAAAAAATCTACTTTAAATTCGTGTCACTATTGCCTCAATAACTGAATTTGTAACCTTCAATCGGACCGTTTCGATTGAAAATGTCAAAATGTGGACCAAAACGTAATTTACCTATTTTCTTACTTACTATCATTCAGCTCGATTCTGTTTCTTTCGTACACGTTGGTTCAGGTGATGCAGAAAATCAGAATAGTTCTTTGGAAGTCTACCACCGGCAACTTCCTTCAGTCCTCCCTATCCACAATTATTCCAAAATTTCCAATGCCCAACGTCCGTCCGAGTTTCAAGCATCTCTGATCTCTCTGTAGCTTTCCTATTCATCCCTCTCTCTCCCTCACTTTGTCATCATCGGAACGCAATCGGAAATCGGCATCTCGTCGGAGCTTCTATTAAACACAATTCCCAATTCTCCCAAACTTCACTCTCCCTACTGATCAATCAACCTTCGATTGGATCAATCCCACCTCTGTTCGATCGCTCCCAATCGAAAATTCGCCATGGATCCCAACCCCAAATCCTTCCCGATCCTCTCCTACGTCATGCAGCGCCTCCCGTCGATCAGCCCCAGGGCGGCCCTTTCCCCCTCCTCCGCTCGTCCTCCGCTCACCGCCTTCGACATCGAGCAACAGCCGCTCCGCTCTTCCTCTGCCTCATCTTCCCCTTCCTCGTCGCCCTCCGGCCAGACCCGCCTCCTCTCCGCGATGCCCAATCTCAAGGACCCGGAGCTGCTCGCCTCCATGACCACCGCCATCGCCGACGTCTCCCAGACCCGGGCCATCCTCCGCAGGCTCGGGCCCCGCCCCGACCACGAGACCGTCGACGACGCCAAGGCCAAGCTGGCCGACATCGAGGCGAATCTGTCGAAGCGCCTCGAGGAGATCGTCCTCACCCCGCGGCCCGAGGATGTCGATCGGCTGGATTGGAGGGAGCAGCTGGCGAAGAAGGAGGACGACTGCCGGAAGATCGCCGAGAAGGAGAAGAGCCTCTACACGACGATTGTCCAGCTGGAGGAGATGCACGTAGGGTACGATAGGCTGTTGAAGGAGGCCGAGCAGCGGCTGGTTCAGATGTACGAGAACGCCGAGCGGGTTGAAGGTGAGGAAGAAGAGGCACCCCCCAAGGAGGAGGTGAATGAAGACGTCGTTAGGGTTCTTCAAGAGGCTTCGGGGAAGGGAATTGATACGGTGGATTTGTCCGCCAGGAAGCTCAGGTACTTGCCCGAGGCATTTGGCAAGATTCATGGCCTGAAGTTGCTTAATCTCTCCAACAATCAACTTGAGGTTAGTGATACACTCTCGTTCTTGTTTGCTTGTGTGATGCATTGCTTTCTCTAAGTATAGTTGAATAGGACAGCAAGTATGCATGAATGGCAGAGTGTCAGTTCTGTTAGGTTTATTCTGCCTGTTAGCCTGATGAATCGATCGTTGAGTATTTTGCTGTTGGGAGCATGGAATGGTTGAACTTGGTAAATTCTTACTGTGCTCCTGTGAATCAGAAGTGTCCCTAATGGGACAAAAGAACTGGTATATTCATAGTCTCTAAGTTGGTAAAGTCCTGCGCTTTGAAGTTTATAATCTTTTATGGTTTTTGTTGTTAAGTTGTTCCCGAGTTTCAGTGTTTCATATTGACTAGTTGAATGAGTTCTTGGGGGTCTTTAGATAAGAGGAATCCTATCTATGTTAAACATTATTTACAAGATGGTCAATGAGAAGAATTTGATACAGGTTACTCAGAGATCTGGAAATCAGGGTTGCCATGTGTAACGTCCTGCACTGTCCCTGAAAATGAGAATTTTGTGCTTCTAAACACAAGCTGTTCATTGACCCTACCATTTGTATCAGTTCCCCTACAAGTGTGTGCAAAAACACTGGTTTGGGTTGCAATCCCTTCCTACCAGAAAGAAAATGTTGTAGGAGCTTTTTCCACTCTCTGCTCATAGCCCTGCCAAGTTGTGTTTCACTTGTTCCATGTGAGATTCACGATTGAAGCATGGTATTGCCTTGTTGGAGATTGCACTTAATTATGAAGTGTGATGCGATACCAGATTCTCTATTTCTCATCCTTGCCTGGCTGTTCATCTGCGAAAAATATTTACCAAAGTGCAATTTGCTTATCCATTCTGGAAAATCTAACTAATGGCTAGAGCAGTCCCTTATTTTCATTCCTGGGAGTAACTAAAGCAGCGAACTTGATGTTCAAACTGTTCCAGTAAAGGGAAGTAAATACTGTTTTCCGAAATGCAAAATTTATAATTTCTGATAGCAAATTTAAGGGTTTAATAAAGAGAAGCTTGAGGTCCTGTGGATATACAATTTGGCTTACATAAGATTTCATGTCAGTAAGAGCACGTAGATTGAACCAAGTCTCTGAATATGTTTGCTTGTATGCATATGTTTTGTACTCTCTGTGGGTACAGATGGTTCCTGACTCAATAGCTGGGCTAGAATATCTTGAAGAGCTCAACCTTGCTTCAAATCTTCTGCATGTGCTACCCGATTCAATTGGATTGCTGCTTAACATGAAAGTCTTAAATGTCTCCAGCAACAAGCTAGAAGCTTTACCAGACTCCATTGCTCACTGCAGGTAAAAAAAATCAACCTTGAGGCGGAGAAAAAGGCAAGGAATCATATTAGTTGTCCATTTGTCTTGTTTCACTGTACATTTTGATGAAGCCTACTTTCAGGTCGTTGGAAGAATTGGATGTGAGCTTCAACCGACTTACCTACTTGCCTACAAACATCGGGAATGAGATGGTGAATCTCCACACATTCTCTTTCCAGCTAAACAAGGTCCGATCTATCCCCATGTCCATTGGCGAGATGAAGTCGCTTCGCCATCTTGACGGACACTTCAACGAGCTCAATGGCCTTCCACACACAATTGGGAAGCTGACAAACCTCGAGACCCTGAACCTGAGCAACAACTTCACCGACTTGAGGGAGCTCCCCGAAACTTTTGGCGAGCTGTTGAGCCTCAAGGAGCTCGATCTCAGCAACAACCAGATCCATGCGCTGCCCGATACCTTTGGGAGGCTGGAGAATTTGGTGAAGCTGAACTTGGAGCAGAATCCTCTCGTGGTTCCGCCGGTGGAAGTTGTGAAGGAAGGGGTACAAGGCGTGAAGAGGTACATGGCTCAGAGGTGGATTGACATACTGATGGACGAAGAGAAGAAGGCCATACTCGAGACACAAGAGGAAGGCGAATCAGGATGGTTAACCCGCAGCACTTCCTGGTTGAAGAACACCGCCGCGACTGTTTCCGGGTATGTCAGCCCGAAAGCCCCCAGGGATCCTTATCTTGATCAGCAGCTATAAGAGAATTCTCCCAAGTTTCCCCTCAGCAAATTTTTGAGCATCCCACTTGATATTGTACTACTTGATGTTTTGGTCGTTTTTCTGGTTTGGTTTTCCATCTTTTTCAAGATAGAAAGAGAACAGTAAAGCAAGGTTTTTTGTTTCTCATTTCCCATTCATAGACATGTCGCAACAGGGGCTATAGTTTCTTTCATATGAAATCAAATCTCAGTTTTGGTACACGAGGTTAGTTTTTTTTGTTTAGTTTTGCACGTTCGATGTTGATGTATGAACTAACTGCTGCTATGCTATTTCTCAATCCGTGAAAGTTGTCAGGAAATAAAGAATTTGTTAGAAATATGCCTTTAACATTATTATAATTGTTATCATTATTTTTCTGTGAAAATTATTATTATTATTATGATTATTATTATTATTATAGTTTGGTGTTCGGAGGTATGTCATTTAAATACGACGTGAAAATATGTATTCTAAACTTCTAATGATTTTAAATTTAATTTCAATTTTCAAAATTCTGATGATCTTTCATTAAAGATAGAACATTGTATTGTTAATGGTTATAATCTCGCGAATATCATTCATGACCTGTCTAAAAAAGTGTAACACAAATAGGAAACCGATAACTAAAACATTTTAACTAATATTTGTTTCTCTTATTTGAGAAACAATACATAGTAATATAAAAAAATTTTATGTTATTATAAGCAATGGAATAATAAATTAATAAGAAAATAATATTTCTCATTTATACTCTATGTTATGAAAAAATTATATTTATCAACCAACATACACAAAAATTAGCTGAAAGACAATCTTATTTACTCGACAAATAAAATTATACCTCTATTGTAGTAGCCACCCTGCTTATGTATATAATCACATCAGGTGTCCATGATAACTTCAGTCTGACTTCATGATTTTCATTTTACCACAGTTAGTTCATGTTAAGCCAAATAACTTTAAATTAAATATATGGTTAATTACTCTATAAGATAAAAGAATTAAATAAGTGAAATAATCCACACAATTGGTTTTTCGGAATTTTAATTCATTTAAACTCACCCAGGTGCAATCATGTCGGATTATCAAGAGGTTTAAGGTTTAGCGACTAACCAAACTAAAACTTTCAAAGAGTTGGTCACTTATAGTTTGCAAAAAAATATCGTTGCTTTATGGTAATTCTAAAAATTAATACTAAGTTAAGAATTATATATTATTTCTAGACATTCAATATTGCAATTCAATATAATCAACATATGATGAAACATAAAAAGTACTATTTTAGATCTCTTTGTCATGGCTGGAATTGCATGATTTCCACATTTATAAGCCTTATTCACTTGCATTTGCTTGATAATAACTCAAGGTGCATATAGTAATTCTAGAATTGCGTTTATCATTGTGATACACTTTTGGTTGTGTTTCATGTATTTTGAAAAAAAGCATCTTAGAATACCACCTTGCTCAAATTGGAGACGTTGTAGATTAGTCAGGAGGATAAAAATAGGGTTAATTGCAAGTTTGGTCACTAGGTTTTCTAAAAACGTTCACGTTTGGTCACTAGAAATATTTAATTCCATTCGTGGTCACTAAAAATAGTTAGACATTCCAAGTTTGGTCACTCTCCGTCCAACTCCGTTAACTTCGGCTGACGTGGCAGTCAAATTTCATAGCTGACTGTTAAATATGTGACGTGGCAATTAAAAAATAAATAAATAATAAAATTTAATCATTTGAACTTTCCACCTCATTTTCACAAATATTCAAAAATAAAAATTAATTTTATATAATTTAAAACAATAAGTTTTTCTCCTGGTTGTGTCCTCCCACCATGAATACCGTCATCCGATCTGGGTCAGTCGCACAGCCGAAGAACGACCGGTCTCTTTCAGCACCATCTCTTCTTCTCCTTCCCTCTTTTATATATCATCAATCCTGCTCAAATCCCATCACATCCCATCCTAAACCCAATTCCCCAATTTCCAAATACGATCCTTCCCCCTAGTTAACCCATCAAAAATCCATGCAGACGCCGTCGACGCAGCTTATTCGGGGCATCCTCGACAACCTCAGCAGGGATTCCCTCTCTCGCTGATGTGATAAAATCGAAAAAGAATAGCGGCCTTTCTTCTATCCGACATCCACCCAATGGAAATAAACCAGACGACAGAAGCAATCCACTACCAGCCAATAACCATAGATCCTCCCACCTACTTGCACCTTCCCCAATCCAAGATAAACCCCATTTTCACATCACACAAGACAACAAAAGAAGCAAAGAGTAGATTTATACTCTCCGAAGAAACCATAAATCAAACCCATTCCCCCGCAGCTTGCATCATCACCAGCCACGATCTCATCCACTGGCATCGCTGCCGCAGCACGGTCATCCCTCTGCATATCATCAACGCCATCCCCTTCTGATTCACTGCAGCAGTAGCTCAACAATCCACTACCAGGCGGCTCTCAGCAAAACCCCAAACACAATAGCATCCTCCATAAGCACCCACTCTACACCCCGCTCCTCCACAACAACGTTCCCAAATAAAAAATAAAGTCCTCTCCCTCAAAATCATGGGTGTCGACTATGGGAAAGCCCTCTGCCAAAACCCGTCTCTCCACACCGCCACCGTAGACTCCATCAATGTCGTCGTCTCGTTCTGATCAGCCCCGGTCGTTCTTCGGCGGTGCGACTGACCCAGATCGGAGGACGGTATTCGTGGTGGGAGCCGGGAGGATATGACCGGGAGATTTTTTTTATAATTATAGAAAATTAATTTTTATCTCTTAATAGTTGTGAAAATGGGGTGGAAAGTTTAAATGATTAAATTTTATGTTTAATTTATTTTCAAATTGTCACATCACATATTTAACGGTCAACTATAAGAGTTGACTGCCACGTTAGTCAAAGTTAATGGAGTTGGACGGAGAGTGACCAAACTTGAAATCTTTAAGTAATTCTAGTGACCACGAATGGAATTAAATATTTATAGTGACCAAACGTGAACGTTTTTAGTAAACACAGTGACCAAACTTGCAATCAACCCGGATAAAATACAACACAAATTAAATGCAAAAACAAGTGATTAACAGATTTTATTATCGGTGGACAATAATCTCATGTCGTGTACGTGATCAGTAGCCTTCAAAATCCAAGAAAAATGGCTTTTCAAACCCGAAATTTGTGATGGTACCCTTTGGAATCTAGTAAAAATGGACTGGGGAATAGCCTCAATCAGAATCCGTGATCTATAGCCTTCGAAATCAAAGGAAAATATAATTTCCAAAAAATTGCCCAAAATCTATGATGCCACCCCTTTGGAATCTGGTGAAAATGGACACGGGAAGAATCTGCCACAATCCTCGATTAATAGACTTCACCATGGGTAGAGAATATCTTGATGCTGAATCAGTGATCGGTAACCTTCAAAATCCATGGAAAACGACCTTTCAAAGAAACTGCAGAAATATGAGATGGTGTACCCCTTTGAAATATGGCGAAAATGGACCCGGAATAAATCCGCCCAAATCGTCGATTAATAGACTTCATCATCGGTGGAGAATAGCCTCAGGCCGAATCCGTGATCAGTAGCGCGTTCAAAATCCATGGAAAATGTCCTTCCGTAGAAACCTCCTGAAATCTGTAGTGGTACCCCCTTTGAAATTCACCCAAATCGTCAGTTAATAATATACTTCATCATTGATGGAAAATAGTCTCAGGCCGAATCCGTGATCAGTAGCTATCAAAATTCAAGAAAAATGGTCTTTCGACAAATCACTTATAAGCTATAATAATACCCCTTTGAAATCTAGCAAATTTGGACACAAAAACAAAATCACCCCAAATCGTTGATTAATACACTTTGATTTTTAAGCAAGGAAAATTACTTTGGTTTTAATAATAATAATAATAATAATAATAATTACATATACGTCTTTTTTTCTGAGTGATATCAATAGAAGACAAGAGTTATTCATACAGATCTACCCAGGACCCCTTACAATATAATCTAATGAAGCCACCCCAAAAAATCGAAAGATTCTAGCTCTAGACGAGACAAAAGCAGTGCTTTAAGCGCCACTTTCTGGGCAACACTGTTGGCAATTCTAGGAACCGCCCTAAACTCTTAACAAATGGACAAAGAGTTAAGGATCTGACGACACTCTCGCAACACCAAACCACCAATCGAGACTTCTATGATGCCATGCTGGATCTGCTTGACGACCACTTCGAAATCACCTTCGACTATTACATAATTACATATACATCTCTCTCCACACAAACCGAGATGGCCGTAATATCTTCCAACTTCTTATACTAATAGAAGCGCGCATAAAAGTTCACCACTCGCTACCTAGCCCACGCCACGCCAACCCAAGCCCACACTCACACTATATATTACCTCCACCCACACCAAACGCCTCAGAGAGCCCACGCCAACCAAGCTACTCAACAGTCCACACTCTTTCTTTCTCTCGCGCGTACATCAATCAGTTGGTGCATAAAATCCTTGAGTAGCATCAATCATCGTTAAGGAATCACGATGAGCGACTCGTCGAAATCGATCCACGAGGAGCAACAGCTGGAAACTCCTCTGCTCGTCGGAGATCGTCGTCGTCATCATCCTCCTCCTGAGGATGATGATGACGCGACGACCACCACCACGACCACGTGGCAAGCGGAGTTGGTGAGGGAGCTGAAGAGGCAGATGAAGGTGGCCGGGCCGTTGGTGGTGGTGAGCTTCCTGCAGTACAGCTTGCAGCTGATATCGGTCATGTTCGTCGGAAGGCTGGGTCAGCTGGCTCTCTCCTCCGCTTCCATGGCGACTTCCTTCGCCGGAGTCACCGGATTTGGCTTCATGGTAAATCAATCAACGTAACGTATCTCTAATTTTTTTCGCTCTCTCTTCCGTTTCAACTTGAACCACGATAGATTTAGGTGCTTTTTGTTTGCATCTGTAAATTAGAAGAAACTAGCTGCATGCATTATTTTGATTTCATCACTTGACACGATGTATAACCGTCTTTGTGTTTTATGGCAAGACAGTTTTATTAAATAAACCTAGTCCAAACAAACAGACAAAACAAATAAAGGGTCGCTCTCCCTTTTGGTCTTGTCTTTCTGAAAGTGAAACCACTCTCCTTTTTTTACTTACAGCTTTTTAGTGCATAAAAAAAATATATGAATGACTGTATTCCGCAATAAGTTTAAAAGTTAAGTTGAAGTTAAAGACAGGTGCTAATTAATTATTAACCGTGACTATCTTATAACGATGGCAAAAATATCCCGTTCACACTCGGCTCTAATCTGATCTAATGACGTAGGATAAAATGTGAATTGAATTGATACCAAACAAGTTTGAATATATATTTTGATCTAAATTTGAATAGTAGTTTTTATAGCAGATTGACGATGAATTATCTTTCATTATATTATCCTTGGCCCCGTCGATGTAAATTAATTTGTCGAATTTATAGACTTTCTTTGTAAATAATTACCTTTTTTTCTAGACATATATTGCTATCGAGAATATACATTTAACATTATGAAATTATGAACATGAGTTGGTCACTTTCTTTTCCCTAATCTTTTTTTTACTTATATTGTTTCAACTTTCAACTACATACTTTTTTTACTTGTTCAATGTACATAAATTAGAGGATAATACCCATACCTCGCTGTATTAGATTCTCTGAGTCTCTGGAATCATCTAATCCTTGACAGCTGACAGGGCATAACAATAATCGATAAAACAAAACATTACAAAAAAAATTATTGTTTTCCACTGACCGACGAACCCATGCATGCAGATGGGGATGGGCGGCGCGCTGGAGACACTATGCGGACAGGCCTACGGATCGGCCCAACACCACCACCTCCTGGGCCTCCACCTCCAGCGAGCCCTCATAATAACGACAATCCTCTCCATCCCGATCTCCCTCCTGTGGGCCTATACCGCGCGGATCTTCCTCTTCCTGGGCCAGGACCCGCAGATCTCGCGCGGGGCCGGCCTCTACGCCCGCATCCTCATCCCCAGCATTTTGCCTTACGGCTTCCTCCAGTGCCAGCTCAGGTTCCTGCAGGCCCAGAACCTGGTCTCCCCCTTGATCCTCAGCACGGGCCTTGCCACCGTCTTCCACGTGGGCCTCTGTTGGGCCCTCATTTTCCGGCTCGGGTTCGGCAACGAAGGGGCCGCGCTCTCAGTCGCGGTTTCGTACTGGGTCAACGTCGTCGTTTTGGGGATCTACATTGGGTTCTCGCCTAGTTGTCGGATGACGTGGACTGGCTTCTCCTGGGATGGGGTTAGGGGTCTTTGTGGGTTTCTCAGGCTTGGTGTCCCCTCTGCTCTCATGGTCTGGTAAGGATTAAGACTCTACTTACTTAGGATGATTTTGATAGTTAAATTGCTAAAATTTGATCCTAAAAAGCTACTGATATCCCTCGATTTATCCGACTCCAAGAGTCGAGTTAGGTCAGTTTAGGATCGAGTTATCTTTTGATCGTCTAAGAATTGGATAGGATCAGGTTAACATAAGGGAGGGTCACTTTTTGACTTTGTAACCCATTGAAACAATTATTGATATGAAAATCTACCAACACAAAACACATTGAAACTATTGGTAAAGTTTTAAAGTTTAGGTATTATAATGCAATGTAACAAACATAAAGATAACTAATCCAAATTTTACCACCAAAATATATGGATCTATCTGCAAAAAAAAAAAAAAAAAAAAAAAAACCAGCTTTGGCGACTTACCCATTCATAGAGATATGTTGGCATTCCAGCCTTAGTTCTCCTTTTAGGGTCTATCTAAAAGAGAATCTAATACTTCTAAGTAGTGAATATTTGAATAGGACGAGAAAAAAAAATTGTATCGAAATGTAATTTTCAAAAAATTAGTTTCAATCCTTGAGGGTCAAACATGATCAAGAAGGGAACAGAGAAGGAATAGATAAGTTATATAAGTTGACCCTTCTGAGCGGGTCAGACAAGATCGTAAGACCAAATTTTCGAACCCTATTAAAACTGCTACAAACTTGCTTAGAGAGACGACTTTTCATCGGGGTGAATTTATTTTTTATCCAGCATGCTCTCATTGGTTCAAAATTTGACACTAGATGCAGCCTGGAGTTGTGGTCGTACGAGTTTCTAGTGTTCATGTCAGGACTCCTCCCCAATCCCATGCTCGAAACGTCCATGATGTCGCTCAGCATAAGCACCACGTCGGTAGCATTCAGGATTTCCTTCGGACTCGGCAGTGCAGTCAGGTAAGCAAATAATTGGACCCATTCATTCTTTTCATCTTTTTCGTTTCCTCTCCTTGTTCATGATAAAGAACATTTCTACTTTTCTGCAGCACCAGGGTGTCAAATGAGCTGGGTGCTGGGCGGCAAAACGCGGCTCTGGTGGCAGTGAGGGCGGGAACTTTCCTGTCAATGGCGCAGGGCCTCTGCCTCAGCCTCATTCTGATCTCGGTGCGCGACGTCTGGGGTTTCCTCTACACCAACGACCAACAATTGGCCGCCTACATGGCCAGAGTCATCCCTGTACTCGCCCTCTCCAACTTCATGGACGCAATGCAGGCCGTTTTCTCAGGTACCATATATGCATGTTTCTGATTCATCCATTAACCAGCTAGCTGTTGTCTGCTAACAAATGGGTTTCGGACAGGTGTTGCGAGAGGGTGCGGGTGGCAGGTGATCGGAACTTATGTTAACCTGGGAGCTTACTACCTGGCCGGCCTCCCTGCAGCCATGGTTTTGGCCTTCGTTTTCGGTTTCCGCGGAATGGTACAGTACTGTAATGCAGACAGCAGATACCAAACCATGGTTTCATAATTCGTCTTATTTCTGCTGAGACATGCTTCTAAATGTGCAGGGTTTGTGGATGGGTATCATTTGCGGGAGTTCTTTACAAGCCTGTCTGCTATTCGCCATTACCATGAACACAAACTGGGGAAAACAAGTACTCATTACCCATATTTTTATCATATACTTCCTTGCCTTTCAGTCAACTCTCTGCTGCATGAATGCTGCTGGTATTGTTTTTGTCCTGAACATTTCCTTGGGTCCGTCTTTTTTTCCCCATTCTGGACTTTACAGGTAAAGAAGGCCAAAGAGAGGCTGTACGCTTCAAGTTATTTGTCAACAGAGACGACTGGTGCAGCGACAATACCTTAATCCATCCATTCATTCCCCTCCTGCAAGGGAAGCCCAAACTAATTAACTCACAGTCACAGGAGTAAAGTACATACACATGGTGTACTGCAGTGTTGTTCCATTCAAGAGTGAACTCCTAAAAATGGTGTTACAATGAAGAAAAACGAAGTAATAATAAAGGGGTTTTATGGCTGACCATCCTCTTCCAGAGAAAACAGTACCACTTGTGAGACTAACACCACATTTCCGAGCTTTAACAAACAGCATAATTTTATCTGAACTTGCCGATCTAAATGGAAACATAAGGGATACCTTAGTAAATAGTGCATATACAACATTTCAACTGCTCTAGAGATAGTGGCTCAAAATGAAGGAGAGTCGTGTTGAATCCCAAAAAGAATCTCTCTCTCAACCAGCTCAAAGATCTCCCTCATTCTCTGGGAGAACTTGTCAGTTATGTTTCTGGTGATCCTCTGCTGGAACTTGGTCGCTTTCAGCCATGTGATCCCGACGTAAGCGTCGCACTTGCATGCATTGTGTGCAAGTCCAGATTTCTCAATCTGATACCTCAAGTTCACCTGCAACGCCCACGGCCACGAACCATCAATCAGATAACTTGAGAAACAACAGCATAGCAGAGTCATGGTGATGATAATAGCAGCAGCATATGATTCTATTATTACATGAAAGTGGTCACTAAATGGGACGTCATGAAGCACCATGACCTCATTCACAGTCCACCCTTCTCCGCTGCCATCTGCCATGGTCGATCTCTGTTGGGTGCAACTGACATCACCTTCAAAGATGGACACTTGGCGGTTGAATTTGTAACTGACGTGCCTCTCTTGGACACCCGGCTTCACGGTTTCCCAAGGGGTGGTTGCATAATTGAGCAATCCTGATTTCCCCATGATTCTGTGCTCCATCTTCCCTCCTTCAAACATCTCCATGAGCTCCTTTATCTGCCCAACAACATCCAAAAGGTTTTTGAATCTATACAAAGAGCAAATGACTTGGATGCTTAATAGAATATAACAGTACAGTGACTGCTGCTCACACAAATCGGAAGCTCTTCAGAGTAGATCTTTGACATTTTGGTATCTTCAAAAACATCCATAATGGGTATGGAGTCCTCGACCATAACAGGTCTGTCACCTTCGTGTCCAAGCTCTTGTTCGTCGGCTATTTGTGCTTTCTGCTCAGGGGTCAGTGTTCTTGTTCTCCACAAAGCCGTAATCGTCCTAATTATTTTGGTTAACAATGCCAAATCAGGCAAAATTAATGGAAGGGCTGTGATGGATAACAATGTATGTCAGGCTGGCTTACCTGCTGGCCAAACCGAATGAGCCAAATGATTGAAAGCAGAACTCCAGCCTCCCCTGTTCATCTTGGGACTTGGCCCAGTGCCTTGCTTCAACTCCTTTGTCCTTCCGCAGAACTATGAGCAGCATAGGGCTGCCTACGGATGAAAGAGTTGGAGGGAGTACTTGGATGTCATCAATATCCTCCCAAAGGAAGAAAAACTTGGTTTTGTGACCAAATAAGTTGGCATAAAACCCTAAAATCCTTGCAGATAAGAAGAGCTTGCCCTGCACGGAAAAAGAGAGATTTTGTATCAATGCTATTTCTGGCCATAGTCAATCCTACTTACCCAAACATGAACACAGAGCAACAATCTGAAACATTTTTTTTTTTCTCCAAACATCAACTCTGCAGATTGGTAACAATGGATTCGTAAAAAATGCACATTTAAAGGAAAAAGGGAAAGTAAATGCGCACACCTGCAAGGGTATTTTTCTCTTTAGTTGACATGTAAAGTCACTTATGAGGAATTCTTCTGGCGGCAACCCGAAAAGCTTTTGGAATGCTGAGTTCTTGTGAGGTGATCTTAAGTTCAACTGCCACATTAAAGAACTAAATCAGATATATTTGGGCAAAAAGTACAGATTGACATGTGCACGGACTGATGGATAAATCATGACCTTTACTCAAGCAAGCGACCAGTTCTCATTGGCGATTATATACCAAGCAAGCAGAATTGGTTTACCTTCTTCCCGACCTCCCTTTCCATCTTGGTCAAATAATCTTTGATGGTCTCGACACCGTTGTTGTTGTCTAGAAATATTCTCAAATGTAACTTTGATTGAGATGATTGAGCAAGCTTTCCCTCGAGTGACACCCATATATCTGCCAACTCAGTGGCTGTGTGCTTCAAAAAGTTGATTTCAGTATGCCCAAGTGATGTGGCCTGGTCAAATGGACCGTCAAAATCAAAAACTTCAACGTCTAGAACTGAAGGCGGTTCGTCCATGGCATCAAACTCAAGTATGTCTGCATTTTTTCTTCAAATAGCTTTAACACACATAAATTCATATCTTCAATGCAACGACTGGAGAGAATGCACAAACGTTAGGTTAGTAAATGTCGTACCGTTCCACTGGGGGTCACTAGTTTGAAGCTTGATGGAGCTTGTTCTTGTTCTTCCATTGCAAGTTAACACCGCATAGGGATCACAGAGACCTGTTGAACCAATTGATGCCAAATTGGTCCCTTCAATCAATGCAACAGTAAGAACCCACCCATCACCTTGTGCTTTAATGCCATGATCACTACCTGCAAACCAAAATACAAATTTGTATTATCTTTCGCAGTACTAAACCTCTGGAGAGAGTCCAACATTGACAAAGATGTTTACCTCTATGCAACCTTGTCCCGATGAAATGAGCAGCCATATTGTAAACACGTTCCACCTGGATGAACAAGATAGCACAGCTAACAAGTTGTCCAAAGCTATCCGGCAAATCAAGTCCATAAAGTTCGAGTCCTTGAACTTTGCTAGGCTCACATAATAATATATGCACCAAAACATAAAGAACCATAACAAAAGTGGAAACAACTGTAAAATTGCAGAAGTACTGCCATGCTAACTCCCAATCCGACTCATGTTCGGCCCCCAAACTTGCAAGCATATGCTCCTTGTCTGATAATGAACTCGCTGAATCCATCACCTTGAGATGCTGGCCTAACAGATTCTCAAACTGATCAAAACTATCCTTCAACCCCTGTTTAACTCCGCTTTCAATCACACCTTTCATCATCGTACTGTGGTGAAATGTAACTCCCCATGAAATGATAAGTTGACAAGAAGACTCCTCTTCTAAAGATAATTTCGGTCCAGGCAGCATCTTGTACAGTAACTCGACACTGAACGTGTTACCATATGGAACATCTGGCGTGATTACACTAACACGCACAGCAAATTCTGGACCATGGACTCTCACATAGGATTGCTCCTCCGTGGCCCTCACAGCCTTCACCAACTTCGTCGCAGCTTTAATGTAAGTAACCGTACGAGTGAGACCAACAGATTTCCAAGTCCATGGTCCCTCTACCACATCTTGTGTTCCCTGCAACTCTGCAAGATTCTTTCTAAAGTGCGAACCAGGCTCGAAAAGAAACCTATTGAGCTCACCAGAAGATAGTAAATACTTCTGGTCTATAAGCACACCTCCCTGTAAGTTATCAGGCATGTCCTGTTTCTCTTCCATTGAGTCCATCATGTAAAGACCCTCTTCAAATGTAACAGCTGATGGGTGGTGTTCATCATCTGTGCAATCCTGGTAATCCGAAGCACTGTTTAACTCGGAGGATTCATGATCTGGCCTAGGACTAGGAGAGCCTTCTTCTTCATGCTTCGAGAAAACCTTTTCCAGACTATGAGCAATGGCTTTCATTAACTTCTTACCACCTGATATCTTGTGATGCTGAGCTTTGGAGCAATGCATACCATGAGCTGAACCCAAATGGGTTTCAGATTCTTTCACATCCTCATCAGAGGAAAGGAAGTTTTTGCTAGGGGAATCATGGGTTTCATCATTCACACACATAGACAGAAGAATTTTGCCTGCGCATATGCATCGAAGTTGTCACACTAAGCGATTCAGGGTAAATTCACCATTCCACCAGCAAATCCTAGCATGTGTCTAACAGTCTAATAGCTCTGAACTGCGAATTAACTAGAGACTGGAGGAGGAAGACTAACCGGAATCAAGATGAACATGCTTGCCGGTAGATGGGGATTCGAGTGAGAACCAAGTGGGAGGCAGCGTCTGATTAGGCTCGCCGCCAACCGAGCGAACCGGAACGGTGACCCGGCCGACCAAATCCCCCGACCCGGCACCGAACAACCCGGCACCATCGTGGTGGGTGAAGACGGAGACCAGCAAGTTCTCATCGTCATGGGCGTGAATAGGGAAAATGAACTCCTCGTTCCAAACCGGGTTAGCTGTGTTTCTGAGGACCCGGGTCTTGGACTTGCGCTTCCCGACCCGGAGCTTCACGACGAAGGCGTCCTTCACCGGCAAATCCCTGGCTTCCAGAACGTAAACGTATAAGTTCATGATGTCAATTGAGCTTCTTTTTTTTTTTTGATAGCAATCGGAATTTGCAGCGGCGGTGGAGGAGGAAATTGGTGGTGGTGTAGAGGAAGGTGGAAAAGGAGGAGTCGAGTTTGAAGAAGTAGATGGCGGGATGGGAGGAGTTGGCCATAGGGAGGCAACGTGGAGAGAGGAAGAAGGCGACACCTGGGTACCAGCCGGAGTTGAGGGAAGACGAAGGGAAGGGAAGAGAGAGGGAAGAATATTGGAGAGGCGGTTGGGTTCGTCAGCGAGCTAGAAAAGCAAAAAGAAAACCTCCGGAGTTAAGTGTTCTTCTTGCTTTCCACTAAAAACCGTTATATCCGAATCTATTCGTGTTAATCTCACCTATATACTTATATCCAAATCTTAACGTCCAGAGTTAAATTATTCAACTATTACCTAATAAAATTATTAAAATTTTAAAATATTATAGGCAACATGTTGTACAGATCTATCCGGCAAACTGAGCCCATAAAATTCTAGAGCCCAACGACTTTATGGGCCCAATCACGAAATTTACATCTAGAACTAGAACGTTTCCCACAAGAATTTGTTTACAAAGGTGAAAGTGGAATCGCAGCAGGAAGCCGTTATTACCAAAAAAAACAAAGAAAAATCTACCGCCGCCGGCGAAAAAAATTAAAAATGTTGCAGACTCCGGCGTTCATGACGCAGTACCCATGGTCGACGAGGACAGTGCCGTCGTCCTTCCTCATGTCATCGCAGCCTCCCGCTCAAACCCACACTCCGGAGCAGCTTCTCGCCATGGAAGAGGACGTTTACGAGGAGCAGGTAAAAACACTGCCCCTGCTGGCCTCGAACCCTAGTCGTGATAAAATGTCGATGTTGCCGGTAATTGTCCGTAACCTAGTTTGCGAACAGCCAATTCAATTCGAGCCAAGAAGGGGGCGCGATTTTGCACGATTATCTCTTTTCCTCATGATCTCGAGCCGTAATTAGCTTCAATCGAAGTGATTAAATTCATTGTCAAGCAGTCAGTCTGCTACTCTGTGCAAGTTATCAAGAGTTGTGAATTAAGTTGAATGTTCAAGCGATCCTATTTCCATGGTTGCTGCAGTTGAATGAGATCCAGAAGACTAACAGCAACTTGATCGTGATTGGTAAGACAACCGTCGACAATGATAAAGATGAGGATGATAATGATCCGGATGATGACGATGCTGACAATGCAGACGAATCTGAAGGCGAAGAGTTTGAGCAAGAAACTGGTTGAAGGAAGCAGGCAAGAAAACCGACAATACACCGTACCTTTGTTCTACCTTTTCTTTTGTGGGCTTAAGAATGTCAGCAGCGTATTCTTCAGATGGTGAATTTTTGAATGAACAAGTTGTTTCTGCGCTTTAGAGAGTTGGAAGGAAGATGAAGTTTGTGTAGACGAGTTGCCAGTGATGGCTGCCAGTTGCTTTATCTTGTAAAATCTGCTAGATACATTTGGTTCGCAGTTTTCATTCCATACCGACCCCTATTACCATCTGCGAATTCGATAAGCATTCGACGAAAAAACACCATTCATATAATCTATAAACATAGCATTAGCAGGGGAACAGAAGTCCCCAGCCATTTATTCATATAAACCGAAAGTTCAAACACAGAGAACTACAGGACCAGAAGTTTTAGAGCTATTAGCAAGTGAAAAGCCGAAAACCAGAGCTACGGAAGATGTTTCCAACGACATAAGATAACCCCCACTTATTTATATGCTACTTTTCATAGAGAACACTTAAAACTCAGAAACCGAGTCACCATCCCGCGGCTAGGCCTTCTCGCCAGTGAGGAGGTCCATCACCACACGCTTGATGCTCCCATTGTTCTTCTTCAGCAGCTTCTTGTTCACTTCATTGTCACAGAAACCCTGCACAACCATAATTCCCAGTTGTATGTCAGCACACACTTCCTTAACAACAATTAAGGGCCTTCCGTGGAGGCCGGAATTGTTTTTTATCAGTCAAGCCCGCGACTTACCATCTCTTTCAGCTCCTCAAGGATCGGGTCCCACTCAGCAACACCACAGAGATCGTCCAGCGACTGGTCCAGGTCATACTCATTCATCCTCAATATCTCCTTGTTCAGATTCACCTGCTTGAACCCCATTTCCTCCAGCTCCTTCAGAAGGCTCTCCTCAACGGCATCCTCCACATTCTTGTCTTCTTGTTCTGCAGTTGGTTTGGGCATTCCTATCGCGGCAGGAGCACTTGGTTTGCTGATGCTAGAAGAGGGGCCGGCTGCTGCATCAGACAGGTCTATCATAGGGTAGGGCAAATAAGAGCTGCTCGACTTGGTCTCCGAGGCTGAGGGGTGATTCCCTACAAGCAAGGCATCATTAACAGGGAAATTCTTCTCCTGCTCCGACTTGGCCAGTTGATCGAACATGTGTGTCGCAGCCACCTCAGAGGGTAAGGCTGATGAACCAGCAGGCTTACTAGTAGCATCTACTACGGTTTGAGAAGAATCAGAGGCAGCAACGGAAACAGGGGGTAAATTGAGGTTCAAACCCTGGAGACTTGCGCCAGAAGCAACCTTCAGGGAAGCATCCACCTGGCAAGAATGAACAACCACATCAAATCATAATCTACTTCAACAAAAGAGCAACCAAAGCTGATGAAATGAAAGTTGATGATCGATAAGTATAACCAAAACTGGAGCTGACATACATGGATAAGAACCCAGATGCGCTGACCGAATTTGGTGCCAGATGGTGAAACCAGTCTCCAGTATGAGATGTATCGACCAGGTTTTGCAGGAGAAGTAAAGTCAATAGCAACATCAAGTTCTGCATCCACGGGAAGACCATTTGCAGCAATCTGGCAAGTTGAAATGTTTAGCATCAGAATCAGAAGAAAACAGACACTGAAGTTCTGCAGCAAGCAAAGCCATGCAGATGCTCACCTCTAGCTCGGATGAATCAGTGTGGTTGAATCTGTCTCCTCCAATCCACACAAGCTGAGTACCCTTGGGCCACACAAGATTGCCATTGTTGCGCAGTCGCCAGATTTTTGTAAATGGAGTAGATGGAGCCAGTACAGTACCATCCACTACATTCACATCTAAAACAAAGCGACTGTCTAGCCTAGGCTGAACAGATCCACCTTGTTTTGTTATAGGCCTTACTGGTGGTACGGGGCACGTCCAAGGGGAAGCCTTGAGAAATAGAAGAATGAATGAGTTAGAGAAAGCAAAATTGCGGCAGAATGTATATCAGCATATAAATTAACTTACAGGACAATTCGAGCCTCTGAAAGACCGTAAATGACGATAAGTCGCGGGCTTATCCATCTTGACATAGTCAGTTTCGTTACCCATTTGAGCAAAGCACATGCAGCACAAGTCATAATTTTCCTTTCTGCACAAAGGATATCAACAATTTAATATAGAGCCTAAATGAAAAAGGAATATATAATCTCCATACTATGATGATGGAATCAGAAAACCTACACAGTTGATTTGTAACGAGGTCCAGCAATGGGATGTATCCCGCAACCATCACATTGAACACCGCGGTGGAACAAGCCAACCATGCCATCACTGCGGCTATGGCTCCTCTTAGACGGTTTAAATGGCTTGAAATGGGGAGGCAGAGGATGAGGTAGTGTGTAAGAGCTGTCAAACAGCCCCACCCCACTAAATGGGCATGAACTGCCCCAAGGATTCACTGTATCAGTAGGAACGTGAACCCCAGCACTTGGTTCTTTCGCTTTCTTCTCAGATGCCTTGTTTTGTGAAGAACTCTCTACTAATGGAGACGAATCAATAGGCGGTTCCCGATTCAGATCAACAGGAGCAGAAGAAACAGGCTTTGATGGCCTTGACACACCACGTGTTCTAGCACTGGATTCAGCCAAGTCTTCCTGCATGCCACCCCCACGGGAAGCATCTGGAACAGCAGATGGTGCAGTTGCAACACCTGCATCCTTGGTTTGAGGTGTTGCATTAGTCTTAGGCTCCTGAGGAGTACTGATGTAGGAAAGCCCAATCTTTGACAAGCTGTCAACAAGATCAGTCAGCACAGGAGCAGAAGAAGAACCGGCATTAGAAGCCAGGTCCAGAGACATCTTCGATAGTGCTTCATACAGAGGTTGCTGGGCTGATTTCGACACTTCCTTCACATCAATTTTAAACTGGGCACCAGAAGCAGCAGCTTTCGAAGCAAAATCAGTTGAAAATTTTGCAACAGCTTCAGCAACCGTTGGAGGTAGAGCAGACAGAGCAGGTTGCAGAGTCTTGAGCACATCAGCAACACTGCCCCCAACATTAGGTGTTGATGGCCTCTCGGTTGCAGGAGATCTCAAGGGCGTAGAACTGCAGCTAGAAGCGGCATAAGAAGAAGCATCTTTCTCGGTCTTGAGACTGACATCCACCCTCAAGAACTTGAGGTTTTGCCTTGTGACATCTTGCAGATCAGAGTCATCAACAAGGGTCACAACATCCCCATCTTCATCCACGTAGGTCAGCCCGATCACTGCATCGGGAGGGAAGTTAAAAAGACCAAGGACCTTAGCCCTGAGACCCTCCAAGTTAAGAGCCAGTTGTCCATCCTCCCTAATAACAGCATTGAACCGCCTCAATGTGTCAGCATATCGAACCTGCAAGTGGTAAACCAAGCCACTACGTTATCGTCTCAGACTAATAATCGGAATTCAGGAACCGTCAATTCATCGAAAGCTAGAACAGGACTAGGTAATTCCACTGCTAGAAACCAGAATTGGCATGCAATCACCCACCTTAACGAGCAAAATTGAGCACAGATTATAAGAAGATACAAGCATCGAGGATTGATCAAGACCGAAGAGTGAGAAATCGTTCAACGAAGGACGAAAATCAAAGACGAAACCAGGAAAGTCATGATCAGATAACAAGCAAGCAAACGAGCCACAATACCCCCTCATGTCCAAAATCGCAACAAACCCATCGATAACGCAAAACCTAATCGCAAGAAGAGAACAGCGGGAAAGGGACGGGGGAAAGGAAACAACAGCGTTATACCTTGATCACGAGAGTCGATTCCATAGCTGCAGAGCTTTTAACAAAGCTACGCGTTCCGGTGAGCCGCGCACGAACAGAGAATTGGAAGAGACCCTCGAAAACCCTAGAGAGATCGCGAAGAGGAGAAGCAAAGACGGTATTTAAGGAGAGCTCTAAACAGACGCACACTCTCCGAAGCGTACCAGTAAGCCGCTTTTGCCGTGAAACTGATGAAGAGTCTCACAACTTCCCCGGGTTTTATATGAAATTTTGCTTCGTGTGTGTTGGCTTAGTGGATAAGCAAGCAAGGGAAGGTGGTCTTTGACGCCAAAACGCGGCGTTTTGGTTTCGTCTGGCGGTCTGGGCTCTGGGGTTTCCGTTTCACATTAATAATATGTTGTTTCTTTTTGGGCAAGCCAGAGGCCGGACCGGCTGACCCGGCGGAGACTCATCTCAAGGCGTTTTGGTTTCGACTTGGGGTTTCCCATTAATTTATTATTTCTTAGTGGGCAAGCCAGAGGCCTGTCCCGGAAGAGCAGAAATGATCATTGTTAGACGTGGAAATCGGTACAGTATTGATATATATCTCTGTATGAAATATTGAAATTTCGAATATCAAATATCAAATAGTGTTTTAAATGAATGGACACCCAATTCTTTTTAAAGAATGAATATATTTTCGTACTTTTCTGCTCTTAAATATGGCAAATGCCTCATCTAAATCCATTAAAGATTCATAGGGTTGGAGATTGGAAAATAAAAAAGACGTATTTATGATGAAATGGTGGTTGTTGCTCCATTGTTGTTGGTTTTGTAGTGATGTTGTGGTAGGAATGACAATTTGAACCTGCTCCGCCGGATACTATCTGACTTGATTCGGCCGGGATGAGACGGGTATTACCTGATCTGTAGTAGTGTGGGATGGGGCCTGGCGCATGGGTATCTACTTCCGACCTGTTATGCTCCCACCCCATTCTTGATCCATTCTCTCTCAATTTCTTACAATATTTATTCATATTTCTCATATTTTGACTTTTCTTCAACTAATTAAACTTAACTTTGCTACTAATTAGACTCAATTAATTATATTATCACAATTTTTCGTTCATGAAATATTTTTCCCTTCGTTTTATCACGAAAAGTAAAATATTTCGCGTATTTTTTCCTCCAAATAATAAGTAATATAGTGGGTCGACCTGCCCCGCATGAGTATTACTCGCCCCAACATGCAGTAGCATTGGCAGGCATGTGTATAGAGGTATCCGTCCCGCCTCATTGTCATCACTAGGTTGTGGGGATTGCGTCACTCTTCTGAGGCCTTTTTTCATCGTCACTTCCTACAGCTACTTGTCGTTCTTCCTTAGCGTTGGTGGAATCGGCCTTCGTCTACCTACCTCCCTTACTGAGATTTTTCAGCGCCTTCTAACTGCCCTTTTTTATTTATCGAAACCACCATGACCTGGTGAGAAAAACGGAGCCGCTCACACCCTCCGGGTGGACCCGCTTATCAGGTTGGAGGTCCACGGTGTCGTTTTTTCCTTTTGATTTGTAAAATCCACCTATTTTCCGGTTGTTCTCTTCACCTAACTATATTTCTGGAATTCTAATTTGAATATTTGAATACTGATGTTATATAAGTGTGTTTGAATTTTTACTATATGTTTGGATCCAAGTACGAACTATTATTTTGATGTAATATGTCACATGTTATTACTCATAGTTTGGATGAGATTTGATATCATTTATAAATGTATGAACATTCTAAAGACTTTTTTATATATTCTGACTAAAGCGGTCGAACCATCAACTTTCAACCCATTTTTTATCGGGCCAGGTTAAACCGAATTGACATTGTCTTTGATTTAGAGTTGAATGGAATGCCTGCATGACTGACACGTGGCTGGGGTTCTTTCTTGGCACTGAAGAAAAGGGGCGTTAACTTGTGGGGGGGTGGGGGCGGATGGTAGTTTAGCATTGATGGCAAAAGTAAACGCCGGGCCGCTCTATGATGGCAACGGTTTAGGATCCCTTTCTTTTCTTTCTACAATTATTGTCATATATAATTAAGGATGTTAATCCAACCCGTAATCATGGGTAACCGACCTGATCGTAACCGGTTAGTGAGGGTAATTATCCGCTTTGACAGGTTAATGGGCGGGTAAGGGTGATACACGGTTTCAAAATAAAGGGTAGGATACGGGTATGGTAATCGATAATACCCGCCCCGCTAACCAAATGGTCAATTTCCCTAGTCCTAACCATACCCAGCAGTCGATTTTCCTTGCCCACACACAAGTGAGGTGCTTGCTCACACTACTTGCTTGGGATACTGACACAAAGGTATCTACGACTACCTTGGATAATTGTTCTACTAATGATGCCTTGATAGATGCCATGAAGCATAAGTTTAGCAGTGAACATTTGATGTGGTCTGGTTCTAATATTGTCTTTGATGTTTTTTTTATATGTGGATTGTTGAAGCTAGAACAAATATGACGTATTGTGTTTTTGTTTGTGTGGATTGTAGAAGTAAGAGCAATTATTATGTGTTTGCTGTTTTTATTTGTGTGGATTGTTGAAGCTATAATAGTTACAAGTATTGATAATTTTTAATGGACAATAGTGTGTATGTGCATATATGTGCATAAGTTCATATTTTAGGATTCGTACCATGGTTACCCGAATACCCGTGGTTACCCGGTGGGTAGGGTATGGTTATATCATTTTCATACCCGGTGGGTAGGGTATAGTTATATCATTTTCATACCCGGTGGTTATTTGGTCGGGTATTTTAGGAGGCTCTACCCGACGGGTTAGGAGTTGGTATAATGTTAACCCGCACCCGACCCTACTCATTGCCATCTCTACTTATAATTAAGCTAACAACCTTTCTCGTTTCTTCCTTCTTGCTCCTCTGCAACCCACAAGTGCATGTTCAATTGGAAGTTTGGAACCCGTTAATTTGGGAGTGGGCAACGGGAAACAGGTTTGGGTATACCCATACCCGTCCCGTTTTTTGAGGATTACGGATACTCAAATACTCGTAATTTTTTTTACGGGATGAGACTTGAGATCAATAAGTTCTATAATAGTTACCCGTACTACCCGTCCAACCACTAAAATTGTCCGTTTATTTAGATGATAGCTAAGTAATTCCACTAATTGAACTTTAAGGATTAATGAAAGGAGGTGAGGCGTACATAATTGGAAATCTCATCATAAGTTAGGGGGACTGCTGAGTAGCTGCTTTGGCTCAAGTCGCACTTGATCCCTTAGCTTTTAACAACGAACATCAACCTAGCATGATGTAGCTACTGTTGGCTTAATGTTTTCTATTTTTTTTTAGAGAGCCTTCCAGGAACTTTCTCCTACTTTTTATTGTTTGTAATTTTCAGTCTTAATAAGATGATGTTATATTTATAAAAGGTTGAAAATTCCGGCGAGAAGTAGGAGTCGGCGACCAACACAAAATGTTAACAAAAGTTACATAACTATAAGTTGTGTACGTTGCAGTTCTGGAAACACATAATCAAACTAGGATCAGTTGATTGTCAGGGTTGTAGAAATTGATTAATTACGAGAATAAATTATAATATTTCATCTCGTGTATCTTATCAATGTCCTACCATATGACTTGGCTACCAAGCAATCTCCCATTTCTCCTTTTTCTTCCTTGTACTAATTGTTAGCACAACAATCGCAAATATGGGTTACCCGCGGATACTCGTTATCCGTACTGTACGGATAATGGGTACCCATTAACCCGTACGAATTTGGGATATGAAATGTAGTTTGATCTCCAAATGGAAACGGGTACCCGGTCCCGTCCCGTTGCCCACCCTATTAGGTCCAATACTCAGCCCAAATTCTCCTGGTGCTTGCTCTATGTGGACTTTTTGTGGAGCCTCTCTGGCGCATCACGCATAACAAGACGTCCTAGAGAAAGGCCCGTCCTAACAGGCCCAATGTTTAAGACGTCTCTTAATACTTCCACCGCATCAATTAAGCCCAACTAATCTGCCTGTGCCTGCTGCTAAGTACAATTTGTTTTCATCATGGACAATTATTGATACCCGAAATTAATAGATTTCAATATATAGTACTCAAAATTACTTTTTTACACATAAGTCCTCAAATATTGATAAAATTTTACATTTTAGTACCTACAATTTTTTTTCCTTACATTTTGATAGTTGAACTTTTTAAAATTGACAAATAGATCAACTATAAAAAAACTTGTGATGTATTTTATGAGAGACTTGTGGTCTGCTTCATAGAACTTGTGGTGTGCTTCAAGAAACTCGTTGTATGCTTTTTTTAAATTTGTTGTGTAGCGAGGTTGTGGTCCCCCATCCCTTCCCAATTTTTAATGCTTTAATACGTTGGTCTTCTCTTCCTCTCTCAATTTTTTCATAATGCCAAATGTGCCCCTTCACACCTTTCCCCTCTCATTAGTTGTAATCAACTCATTTAAATTGAAAAGTCAGTCAAACTTCTAAACAAAATCACTCAAAATAAAATATTCTTAATGGCCGAAACAAGTTTTAGCACCATACTAACAAAGAAAATGTTAGCATACTAGCCCCTCCCTTTATCACCTATCCTAATAACATTCTACACACAACTAATTGTTCTGATTTTTGAAGTGAAGGGTGCCCATTTTTAGAAACACTCATCTTGTCCAAAATCACTAACTATTTGGACTACAAATCAGTTCAGTTTATCCCCTTAGCTATCATAGTTCAACCTAGGTATAGCAAGGAAAAACTGCTCATATCTTGGCAAAAAAAAAAAAAAAAAAATCTTCTTATCGTTCGATCGACTTCTAGTCAACCAGTGTCCCTTTCATTCTTCTGTTTTTTGACTGACCCTGTAAATAAGGTCCATTGCATTATATCGTATCTTCCTATACTTTTATGATATTTAAGAAAAAAAAAATAATCTTAGAATTTATTGAAATTGGAGTACAAAAGTTGGGAAGACAACTCCATATTGGACTTGGATATTGACCACACGTTATATCCACCTCCAATAGGGAATTAAAGAAAGAATTTTTGTATCATCACAAAACAAAGTAAAAAAAAAACAAACGTTACAACGATTCTTGTACCAAGGAAATCGACCGGGGCTCCTTGTGCTTGTTGTTGTCTTGTGGGAAAACCACCACTCTGTCAATGGACCTGACTGCAGGGTCGTTTCCCAGAATGACTCCTTGCTTTCTGATATAAGCCCATTTGTCCTGGAAAAGATACAAGAGAGCCAGCAGGCAGACTTCAACTGTGAGAGCTGCAATCCATTTTGTTATGCTTCTTGATGTCTTCTCATGGTATGCTACTAGTCCTGTGTAGACATTGATGATGCCAAGCAGGCAGACTGTGGTTCCAATCATCCAGTGGACCAAAAACCACAAGCTCCTTCTCTTCGACCCCCTGCATGTATAGTGGAAAAGTAAAGGATTACTCTCTTTATATTCTCTCTCTCTCTCCCCCCTATTTTTAGGGTAAGGGAAACCGTTTGATCTGGTCCAGACCGAATCACACATGCGGGTTATGATCCAGATCGAGAAGTTGAAGTATAGATCAAAGACCAGATCAAATAGTACACGGTTCAGACCAGATCACATTTATGTCGTCTGGACCATGCATATCACATTGAGAGAGAAAAAAAATGAACAGCTTGTTTAGTCAACCACACGAATTATCGAACCAATGACCAAGAAATAATTTTGTTTTTTTCCCGCTTGAAACATAAATTCTAACACGCATGCATAATTTTGATACCATAAATCCAATTAAAAAAAAATACAAAAGTCGTAGAGCAATCCAACTTGCACCATCTATAGTCACAAACATTGACATTATATTATATGGAGACACAAATATCTCTACTTGGTGGCGGAGTGTGATTTTGTGAACGAAGGCGAGGGGACAAGATACACAAAATTAGGTGTGAGACATGGGTCTCGTTGAGGAGTTGGGAGAGTTGTCGAGTGAGCTGCTAACACGAATTGGAAAGTGGGATGGGTCCATGGTTTGGTCTGGTAAATCGTGGTCTAAGACCAAACCAAAAAATGAATACATGATGTTGATCATAGACCTAACCTGATCAAACCATTTTCAATGGTTTATGATCCGGACCAAACTGTACGGTTTAGTTTGTTCTACAATTTTTGCAAACAACCTAATTTTCTAACCCTAGTTGTTTTGATGGGGGGCAATTAGCAGTTAAGATATGATAAACTATATCATTATCTTACATTGAAGGCAAATGTGCAATGTCCAACCACCCTATATCATGAAGTGCCAGCCTTTCTTTACTTTCCTAGAAGGGTCCCAATTAACACAGTGATAATGGGATTTTTGGGTGCATGATGGCTTACCTTGGAGGCCTTATGAACCCTACAACTGCTTGTAGCCAAATGATGCCATACAGGGATAAACCGATTCTTTGATGATGGTTATTGAAGGAGTTACTGAAGTTCTTGAATGACAATACTGCTCCCGCCGTGGAAAGAAGTAGAGCAACAATCTGCATGTCGACAAGAACATGATTTAGCCACTAGATCCATCATTTTTGCTATGGGAAAGAAAAGATTAATAAATAAAGAAAAGGTGGTTCTAACTTCTAACCCTACTACTGACTGGCATGATGATGCTTTTAGACCAATGGTTTTGGATATAGAATCATATCTTTACTTCTCTCTCAAGGAAGGAGACTTTTGATTAACGAACCAAACTGTGGGCTGTGCCCTATATCCATAAACTGATTGCAAGATAAGGAAAACCCACATGTTTACTTTATCTATTGTTACTTTTTTTCTTCTTCTTTCTCTTCCACCATCATTAATGGAAACTAAAATGGTGATTAAGCCCATACGCCAGCAGACTAAAAGCTTTAGCTTTTATCAAGTTTGTCAAATCGGTTTATAGTGTTATCCCGGTTTGACACGTGATATGGTTCGACCGGTGATACAATCGGTTTATACTAGTTCATGTCGGTTTTAGCAAAACATGTAGGAAAGTGGAAAACCAGTAACACTAAGTGAATTCAACAATATATATAACATATTGAAGACAATTAATCTCTCAAAAGTCTACATCCATATTTAAAATAAAATAATATTCCAAAGAAAATGAAGAATACTCATATTTAAAAAAACATTTAACCCCAACATTCAAAAGTCTATACTTATTCATAAAAACATCCAAAAGTTTATACTTGAATCTAACAAATAATATTGAAATCTCACAAATAATATTAATATTCAGCTTTCAAATTCAAGAAACAAGTAAAATTTTTATTTCTTTTGTTAATTAAATTTACCAAAACACCATCATTTCATTTAAATGTCAAAGAAGCAATCTCGTGTCGATCATTCTGGGGAACGTCGTTCCAACAGCCAATTTTATAACCAATACCGATTGAACCGAACCCGGTTGTACCGCCCGACATGCCACCCTGATGACAACCATGGCATTGATTCCTTCTCGCTATTCTTTCTTTTTATCATTTCAAGTGCAAGTGGGTAGAAAGGAAAAAAAAAAAAAGGTTATTGAGTTGAGAATTGTGAGCGAGCGTGATGATGATGAGGGAATTAATGTAACAGGGTATAACGGCAAAGAGTTACAGAAACAGAAAAAAAAGGATGAAAAAAAAAAACATGCCTGTGAAATGGAATGAAGATAGAAAAGAATCTTGAGCCTTGTTCCGCATTCCTCTCTGTGTGACAATCTGATTGCCAGCATCCCAACAGGCGCCAAGAACCCCAATGAAGCCCACAGCAGAAACCCATGGACTGTTATCTCAAACAGCAGCTTATTATGGTCATGATCATGGTGGTTGCTTATGGAGTGGCCGTTTCTGGGCTCGGGGTGACCTTGGAATGAACTAGCAATAGGCACAACTGTGATGAGAAGAAGAACGACCAAGGTCGTGGCCGTCGAGGAAGCCAAGCTTTGCACCATCATCTCTCTCGCTCTCGCTCTCGAGAAGAAAAAAGAAGAAGAAGAAAGGGGTGGTTTTGGTTAGTGATTCATCCAGGAGATTGATATAAGCGGGAAGAATTGTGGGGCCGCACTATTATGATGATTATTGCTATTATATTCGAAATGAAGAAAAAGGAGTGGCCAGCTTTTGCACCCACTAGTACTGTTCAATCAGGCTCGTATATATATATGCTGTAGAAGTGTCCTGTTTCGGCTCGTCGTTTCATCGGTTCTCTGGGGCCTTGTTTCCATTTTGCCACTGCAGTACTGCTGCTGCTCCACAGCCATTTGTGTGTTTGTTGATTTTGTTTTTGGCGCTTTTGCTTGGTTGAGGGGACCTGCCAGCCTCTGCAGGGAGCAGTAGCCCCCGTGCCTGCGCTGCTCAGTTTCACTAACTGGTAGTGGGAGAGAGATGGAGGTTTGCCGGGTGGATCACTGCGCTCCTTTTTTTCTCCTTCCACTCTGTCTCCACCGATAAATTTTTTCCAAGATTGGGATCATAAATTGACTCTTCAACACGTCGACTTTAGTTTTAGGTTAGATTCAACGGTAGCCTAAGGTACAATTGGACTTAGGTGATGATATATTATATATATATATGGGTGGGTATCTCTCTGCTGATACTCAGTTTCATGATAGGTTGCATGCATCTAAGTTCAGTGGCGGACCCAGAAATTTTTCATAGGGATATCCTCTTTTAAAAAATAAATTTAATAAAAATAAAAATATTTAATAAAAATAATATCGTAAATATGAAAATACCTACTGGTTAAAAAAAGTCCATGATGTGTTTTCATATTCGAAAATAATTGTAGAATACACTTGGTATTTATAGTGTTAAAAAAATATTCTCTATATACCCTACTAGACAATCATTCAGGAACTTATCGCATATTCGATTTGTAAACTTGTTCTTGATGTAACCCAAAACTGAAAGACTCTTCAACACTTGTCGTACAATCATAAAATCAATACAAATTAAGGGTAGATTGAAATTAGTTTAGATTGAAATAATTAGAGATAGGGAATGACTTTTTACTATTACACATTGTTCAAAATCGAACACCAAATGAGTTGTAGCTCAATGGAAATTAAGTTTATTAGTAATAATAGTGTTCTAGATTTGAATTACCCAACCTACCATTTATATTTTTATACACAAATGACAAGTAGGATAATCATTTTGTCTATACGTAAATTATCACCGGGGTTGGATAATCATTTTCCCGAAATTTATGGGTGTCCGGAGACACCCCTAAAACCCCCTGGTTCCGCCCCTGTCTAAGTTACATAATTTATACAGAGTGTGGTTTGGAATAGATTAGGGCTGGCATTTTGGTTTGCGGTTAACGGGTAACCGCCGGTTTTAACCGAAAACCGACCGGTTACCTTGACGGTCGGTGGTCGGATGGGAAAAGGAAGGGGTCGGTTGACCGAGTAACTGACGGTGATTAACCGCGGTTATCCGACTAACCGGACCCAATCGAGACCCACTTAACCTTCGCCAAAATCCTGTCCAGATTCATCTCCATTCCCACATCTTGAATCAAAAAAATTTCCCAAATCCAAGAAGAAGAAGAAGCAGTAGCCTATCTAAAAAATTTCTCAAATCCATGAAGAAGAAGAAGCAGTAGCCTATCTAAAAAAATTCCCAAATCCATAAAAAAATTCCCAAATCCATGAAGAAAAATTTCCCAGTAGTCTCTCGACCGGCTAGATTCGACGGCAGGGCCACCACCACTAGAGCAGCCGACGCCTCCGCCTTCTCCCCCCTTTCTCCCGTCACGAACCTCCAGCACCTTGACGCCAGCTCGACGTAGGGGGTCAAAACGCCGCCGTAAAAGACGCCGATCTCGCAGTGGGAGAGCACAGAACCGACGCGGTAGTGGGCGGCGAGGGCGAGAAGCCAGTGCTCGTAGGGGGTGGCGTCGAGGAGGGCGGCGTCGCGGTGGTGGAAGGCGGGCGAGGGGAGAAGTGGGAGGTGAGGTGGTGGAGGGAGGAGATGAGGTGTTTGGCGACGAGGTGGGTTTTTTGAGGGAGGGAGAGGGTGAGGGAGTAGGGGGGGGGGGGGGGGGGAGGGGGGGGGGGGGGGTGAGGAAGGCGGAGAGGCGGCGACGAGTGTCGACGAGGGAGAGGATGGAGGAGGTAAGGGCGGTGAGGTTGTGGCCTGTGGGGAGGGAGGAAGGAGAGAGAAGGATGGAGAAAGGAAGGAGAGAGAAGGGTGGAGTGGTGGGAGGATTTTTGGGTTTTTTTTATTTAATTTATTTTTGGAGATCAGGGTCTGCGGCTAACCGAACCAAAACTGATACCCGACCGGTCGGTGGTTGGCTAACCGCAGTGTCCCTCACGGTCGGTGGCCGGCAGTGGGAGGTGGTGGCTCGGTTTAACCGATAATCGAGAAATCGATTTTCGGTTAAACGGAAACCGACCGACTGACACCCCTAGAATAGATTGATCCATATGAAATTTAAAGAGAAAACATTAGAAATATTGAATTTTAAAAAAAAAACAAACTATAACATGACTTAAAATTTTTCAAAAAAATTTGAGTTCCTCCCCTATTTAAAAAGTTGATGTAGCTACTATATGAGGTAATAAAAATAAAACTTCAAGTAATTTGAGTACAGTTACATGTAATTTCAACGATAATGGTTCTAGAACGGGGCGGATCATGTCAAGGAGAATATTTATGCCCACCTCGCCTACAAAACATGTATTAATCCACCTCATAATAAGTCAAACACATCGAGTGAAACTGATCAAATCATAATTGTCATCGTAATTTGGCCAAATATTTTATGAGACCAAACCAAAGCTTCATTACAGTGAGAGTTCAGGGTTTGATTGATTGTGATTAAATTTGAGGGAACGAAAAGGGTACGGTTAACATTCTGCCGCTCACAAAACCTCGACCACCGCGAACTCTAGCAGATGAAAAGAGATAAAATGGAGCAAATTAAGGGGAACTGTATCCTTCGCACGTAGAAGAGGAACTCGGAGGACGAACGAGAGAGGTTCAGCCAGCTCAACTAAACTAAGAGTATCACAACGTAGTGAAGGTATTGGTTGTAGAACATTATACAGGTCGAAAGTCGAGAAAACACAGGCAGGTTGAAAATAATACTTGGAGATTTGAAGTGAAACGACGACGAAGAACGTCCTGTATCTAACTGGTTTTGACAGTTTGAGTTGTTTTGGGTCGGCTTGGTAGCTAGGCCCAGTTTTACTAAAGATACTACTACTACGTTGGGCCAACTTTTGTAAGTGAATGTCACCCACAATTAGGGCTGTTAATGAGTCGAGCTATTCGTAAGCGGCTCGGTCTTGAACTCGATAAAAGCTCGTTCGATTAAAAAAAAGTTCGGCTCGTTAATAAATGAGCCGAGTTTGAGCTCTACCTTGTTCGGCTCGTGAAGCTCGTGAACTAGCTCGATTAGGTGGCTCGTTTAATACAACTCATGAACTGTCTCGTTTTGAGCTTATGAGATGTCCCAACATTGTGACTAGAGAGCTAACTCAACTACAACTTATGAGAAAATCAATCTATATTTTATGAGTTGGTTTGTTAATGATGCATATAATTATTAAATTGTATATATCACCTCATATGGTGTTTAATACATTGAGTATATGTAAGCAAATACGTCTCATATATGACATAACACTAGGTAATCACTTGTATCACATATGACATATAAATATTAGGGTATTTATATTATAGATTATCTTAGAGTTGAGCTCGAGCCGAACGTTCGATCTTAACGATGTGTCAAGATTTAATAAATGAGCTGACTCGTGTTCGACTCGACTCGGCTCGTTAATAACTGAGTCGGGCTCAAGCTCGGCTCGTTTATAAACGAGCCGAACATGAACAAGGCAAAGCTCGACTCGGCTCGGCTCATTAACAGCCCTACCCACAATGGCCACAAGGCCGATCAACTTTTTTTCCCCCGCCAAAAGATACTTCATCTAGAACGAGACTAGCGTGGGACCCGGCCAGTTGGTCGTAGGAAGGTGAGGTATGAAATTTGATAATGTAATGGGTGTATAACTTATTGTTGTATAGTTTTTTTTAAACACGTGATACAAATAGTGAATTTTAGCAGGAAAGAGACATGAATGATGCAACGAATCAAAAATCAGTCTTATGAACCAAAATCAAGTACCTGTTACCTCGTGAAGCAATATTGTAATATGATGAGGTGGAGTAAGTTTTATAGAAACCGAATTCCAGAAAATTGAATAAAAAATTGCCTATCCCGTCGGTTTTCGGGAAATGAGCATCTCACAATCGTTGCTAGCTTTTACTCGGCCCGTTGGCCGATTAATTTGCTTTATAAAACTTTCATCTTGTCGTCATTGTGCTTTCTGGTTTTTGTCATGCCATGATAAAATCTAAGGAAATCAAGAACGAACAACACGATTTGGGATAGGAACCACCGTTGTCGTATCCCTAGAAAATGGTGGTAAACACGGGCTCACCTGCCAAACTGGTTTGGATTGAGATTTTTATCGGGTATCAGAGAACCATGTGATTATAAATTAGACTTGATCAAAACGGGCCAAAACTTGAAATTCAGTCTGTTTGACCGACCCATACCAAATTCTAATTATTCTTTACTTTTAAACTTTCTATTTGAAAATAAAAAATAGTGAAAGAAAAGAGATGACTGCAATTCCTCATTTGCACATCACTTATTCGGGAATAAAACCATAGAAATTCAAAAGGAATTGAAAATATTTAGGATCTTTTTAATGTTTAAAATAACCAAATAGATCTTTCTGTTTAGTTTTTTACTATCAAATACCAAACGATTCCCTATAAAATACACTATAATTTGATCATTATGATATCAAATAATTATATAATATATATTTAAAATGATACAAATTGGACCAATTGGGTTGGTCGAGGTTGAACCATTGAATAACTTTAAAATACATTATATTTTAGCCACTAAGATATAAAATAATAGCATAATATATATTATGCCAGAGAAAATAGCTTGTTTTAGAATGGCAAACCAATGATGTTCATTTGTTTTACTTGATGGCCAAATCCCGTGTAGGTCAGGCCCATTCAACTCTTTTATTTTATGGTTAGCGGTTAGCCCATTAGATACCATGCATTAGTTTATTGTTAAATTTTTTATTTTTAGTAATAAAAGGGAGTATTATTTTTGTCTTTTTATATATATTTTATCACCACGGAGAAATAAAAGGGTTTAAAGAAAAAAAAATTGACACTCCTGGACCCGTTAAAATCCGCATGTGTACGGTAAGTTGGCCTGTTCCACAGAGGAAAGAGAAAAAAATTGACACTCCCTATTCTACCCTTCCTACAAACGCTTGTGGAGCAGAGAATTTGAAATGGGGGGAAGGGTTTTTTCCTCCCTGCTATTATATGTTTTTAATTTAAAAAGATACAACAAATCTACTTAGTGTGATTGGTTATGATCCTTGCTTTTCTTTAAAATGGTCATGGTTTGAATTACAGTACGTGTCTTCTTAACGAATAAAAAAAGTAATTGTGAAGACCAAAATATCCTTCCTACTTTCACTCTCTTTGCAGGAAATTTGAAATGGGGCTCCTGTTTTTCCCTCCGGCGTATTATATTATGTGTAGATAACCAAGATACAGTAGAGTCAGTTGGTCGACCAAAGCCAGTAACGAAAATCGAACTCTATCAAACTAGGGAACAATAAAAGGGTTTTTTTTACCATTATACGGGCCGCCCTATTGTGAACACGACCAACAAAACAAACACTAAATTGGTGGAAACATTGTCTCAATAACTTGATCTCGCTCAAAATCGCCCCACCACGAGCATCCGAATACCAACCTTCCTTAACCTTGTCCAGCACCACCTGAGCATCTTCGGCAAAAACGACATTCTGCATACCCATCTCAAGCGTCCAACGGATCCCATCGCTCAAGGCTAGAAGCGCACCAAGAAAGCATCTTGGACGTTCAGGTACAAGCAGGCTTCATCACCGAGCAGCGTTCCTGAGGCGTCCTGCATCACCCTGCCATCTGCACCATGGAAACCCGAACTATTGACCCCATCCGTGAACACCCACACTGCCACCTCCCTGGCCCCCTCTCAGCCCGTTCCTAGGAGGAGGAAAATGTGTAGACCCATTGGTCAAAGCCACCACCTCCCACTCCACTTTCTATCTATTGAACTGAGAGAGCAACACAAATGACGTGAACAACATGGAGTCAAAAACCACCCAATTTCGACCTTTCCATATATGCCAGAAGAGGGCGAACACACACATAAGCATCTCTCCCTCCAAGTTTTCTTGGTCAAGAAATCTTCGCCAGAAAACTTCCATCGAGCAAGTTGGAAAATAATCACGAAGATAACCAAGCCCATAAGCCTCCCAAACAACCCCAAGCCAATCTACAATGGAAAATAAATGTTTAGCAGATTCCACCTCCCATAAACACATGGGCACAGAAATACCCCTCCTGTGGGGAGAACTCTCCGCAACAATTTCCAAAGAAGAATTGAAACTTAGTTGGCATCGAAGCATCCCAGACCTTACCCCACAGAACAGTATCGCAAATCAGAGGCTCTTGTTTAGTTTGAACATCTCGACACCGCCTAAGGTCCGAAGCTAAGTGATATCCCGAACGAACCGCGTAGGAACTAGAGATCTCATGGTGCCAGACAAATCTAGCCTGTACCGGATGCCTTGGCAAAGGGATAGCCCGAATTTGTACAACTGTGTCCCTCTCAAATAATTGTACAACAAGCCCAATCAACTTGTTATGAAGGGATCTGAGAAAGTAGGTGTGGGTATCGATGGATTAGTCCAGAACGAGATCGAAGTGAAATAGGACGGGGCAGGAAAAAAAGAGGACCATAATTTAATCAATAGCGTGTTTAATTCATTTGATTTGGTTAGATCAGGTCCAAATTCAATTTTTTTAATTTTTCTTCATACTTAAAATAAGACATAAAACCAAATCGAATTATATTCGATATAATCTAATTCGGTCCAAATATTGATTCAATACGATTTAGGATCCGGTGTAAACCGCGTCGTTGCCAACCCCTAACGACAAGTGACATGCAACAGTTTACTAAGGTCTAAGAGCATAGTCTCTATTGGGATACATATGTTTCCCTCATAGTGCGTCGGGATCCCTTCCACTAAACGTTACAAAATCCGAGAAGATCTAATTATAACTCATATACGATGACGTCTATATATCGGGAGCGGATCAGGTCAGTAACTCTTATGGTGAGTAACCATCAGCAACCTATCCACATCAGCATGACATCAGCATTTCCTCTCTCCTGGAAAGTCTTTTATCTTTTCTCCTTTAATCTTTAACGGACGATTTCTCTCTCGTTTTAAGTCGAAATTTAAATTTTTTTGCACAGATATATCAGATTAAATGTGCTCTTTAAAATGATATCCACTTTGATATATTTTTAGTAGAAAAAAATTGAATAATTTTTTACCAGTCATTACCATATGGTATGCTCATATTTAATACCATATGGTAAGAAAACGTACCATGATGGTATGAACATACCAATATGGTAAGAAAGTTGAATATATGATAGTAGGAGTATACTCACTGTCATTTACGACTTTCATCATTGTTTATCGTAAGTTACTACCCACATACCATAGTGGTAAAGTATGGTAATTTTTAGTCCAATATTTTTTTCACCCAGAAATTTGTAGATCCAATAGATCATGATAAACTCGTTCCTTATGAGAAAACGTTTTCAATAACGACTTAAAAACGAAGAAGTTACCATATGGTATGTAGTTGATAAAAAAAAAGTTTCTCGAAAAATATTGAAACTTGATCTCATTTTGTAGAGCACAACGAACTCGTTCCATGTGTGTAAAAAAATTGAAATCCGAGTTAAAATGAAGAAAATATGAGCCGATTATGAAAACTAGGAAAAATAAAATGTCTTTAATTGACAACACTTAGATATGAATTTTCCGGACCTACTTAGATCTAAAGGTCCAGATTTAGTTTCTCATATGTTAGTAACCAATGGTTAGTGGTTACTCACCCTATCCTAAGCCCTATATACATGACTATAGTTAGAAATCAGTAAGGTATCAATATTTCAGTGCAAAATAGTGAAGTTTCAAATACCAAAGAGTGTCATAAATCTAGTATCATTTTCTAAATAAAATTGATATCGCAATCCCAAATTATTTTCTGTATAGGTATATACCAAATAATAAATGAATTTCCTTCAAAATTATCAAACAAATTTATAAGAGCAAATAGTTCTCATCTGCCATTAGGTTTACAAATCTTCTTAAAATATATAAAAGCAAACAATGGTGCAACACTCATGCAAAATAAATGGGGAAAATATCAAGTATACTAACAACAAGCTAGGAAAATGTGGTTTGTAAAAAACATGTTAACAAACTAAAACAATAAACTTAAACATGGGACAATTAAGCAACCCATAAACATACTATTAATAATGAAATGAGGTTGGTATCGGTCGTCAAATAGTGTGGGAATGAGTTATGTATAAATATAATTAAGTGGTTATTTTGACGGCCGAAGGTCTGGTAGCAATGACTAATGAGTGTTGGAGCCTAGTTGGAGGGAGTGAGTAAAATATACAGTAGCTTATATTTTGACATTGAACGATTTTAGGTATATATCGATTCCAATTCTGTAATCTCAAATATCAAATAGAACTTGAAATTCAATCCTAATCCCATAAAATACAATGTATTGAGTAATACCAAATATCAATCAGTATTCGATATATACCAAATACTGGTACCAAACTACCAACCATGTACCTGACCCGTAATCTTTAAAGTTTGACGTATCATTCAATATGTTGTTTTCAATCATTTTTTTTAGTGTGTTATCAAGAGTATTTTGAATTCACCTCTAATGTATGATCTATTTAGATTAATAATAATAAATAAATAATTATGTCAAAAATAAAACAAATATTTTACTAGCTATTGAAATACTTTTCATAATTAATTTATACTAGCAATTGAAGACTAATGATCGAAGTATCCAAGTAAAGTGACAAACATATGATACTTAATAAGGTACTAGTATCTCAACCATGAAATAAATCGAGTTTATAATACAATATTATACTCTAACCTCTACTACTAAATAAACTCCAAATTTCAAAATCAATTTAACAAAAGATGATATTCAATAGTTGTAGTTTGCTAAAATACTACAAAATAGATGTAAGTTGTAACTATTAGTTCAATTAGAGTACAATATACCTCATGTTTTAATTCAATTTGTCAAATGTTGAACGTTCAATGATAAAGTCCAAGGAGACCAAGTGACCAGAATTTGATATCCCGGTCACTTTTGGTAATTAATATTTTTGTGAACCAGTCCAGCCAGCCATCAGGCGACTTAAATATTGAAATTGAAGCCTTCTCCGCAACTAGACCATGATTACGCACTTTGATTCTGATTCCCCCCGCATTAGCTGGCCTCTTCCACCTTCCACTCACCTGCAATCATATTTTGTCAAAAAGAGTTTAAAACGTTACGAATAATCAACGAATTAAAGAATCCACAAAAAAAAAAAAAAACGAATTAAAGAATCCACATAAATAAATAAAAATAAAAATCAAACGGCCAACAAATGAAAGAATAGTCGACACGGGCGCTCGATACGTGTCAAGAGAAGGAATGGACGCAGCGTTCCATCCCATACGTGTCAAACGCTCAGAAACCGCCAAAAAAGCACGGCACCTCCGCCATGTCCTGAAACAGCGGGACCCGTCACCACAAACGTGAATGACTGCTTACCACACAACGGGAACGGGCAGCCTGTCAGCTGCGGCGGCGACGGAAACCTAACGGTAGTATCAAATTCGCCGTCGTGTCAAGGTACCGGAAGTCGAGAATTCGACGAAACCGGCGATGATAAGAAATGGAAAATTTCCGAAAGTTCGACAGACGAATCAATCACACGACACACAGACGAATCCAAACTTTCACAAATTTCGTCGTCATCATCATCATCATCTCATCTCGTATCCAAACTTGTATAACCTAATTTGACTAATTTTGTTTCATTCCAAGTCAATCATCAAGTTCTCGTTCTAATGCCGAACCCTGCCGCAGCGGGCATGATTCTGCGTTGTCCGATTGGAAAGCGGGGACTGTAATTTCCACGAACTCCGCTGCGGAAACCAATCGGCGGAGTGTGGCAGCCGCAACGCGATTGGCGGTAGTAGTAGTCCGGCGCGAGAGGAGACGAATCCCCACTCGACGGCGGGGAGACGGTTTTGAGCGATTTCGGCGGCGATAGGACCGCCCTAATCTTGGAACCGGGACAGCACCTGTCGTACTCCTCGACGAGGCTCGCCAACTCCTCGTCGGACTTGATCAGAACCAGAGTCTCCAGATCTCCGCCGGGCAATTGGCACCTCAATTCCACGGACTGGCCACAGAATTCCCCCAGCTTGACCATCAGCTCTGCGATACAATCAGAGATTCTAGTTCAATTTCACGAGGAAATTGGATGGAAGGCGGAGCTAGCTAGTTGAGTTGCAAATCAAGAGCGAGGAAATTACCAGCGGAAGACACGGAGCGATGCACGGCGAGGACTCTGGTGAGACCGCCGACGTAGCGGAGCTTGCCGTCGCCGTAACGAGGAGCTATCTTCCCGCCGTAGCTACAGAGGAACTTGACAGTCTCCGCCGCCGCGCCATTCTTCCTCGACTCACTCACCATGGCTTTTTTGAGGTAAGGAGGCTTCTAGAGACAGAGGAGGGAGGGAAGGAAGAAAGTGGAGAGAGAGAGGGGAGAGAAAGGAAAGAGAAGGATTTGTTTGGAGCGTTGTTTGAGTTTCAAACGGCAAAGCGAAGTGAATTGGAGGTCAATTTATAGATTGGAGATCAGGAGGGCCGGAAGAGGGCGTTAAACGGGTTTTCGGGGGGTGACGTGAGGAGTTGGGCCGGGGGCCCACGCGGAATTGGGGACGGGTCGTTAAAAGAGGAATAAAGGGAGGGAGTGGAAACAGGGAAGGAAGCGGCTTTTCAAACAAAAACAAAAGAGAAAGGAAGCGGGCGTAGGAAAACCGGAAAAAGGCAAATATTCGGATATTCGATTCCTCGAGAAAAGGAACCGGGTAGGAAAAGAAAGAAAGATTAGTGGGGCGGGTGGGCCAGACAATCGGGTATAATTCGTGGCCCCGATTTGTTGGGAGCATGGTTGTCACGCCGACCGGCGTGCCACTGGTTGAACCTGATTTAACCTGTGTTGGTTATAAAACCGGTATGACACTACTGGTATGACCGGCACGATCGATATACGAATCTCCAAATAAAATTATCTTATCTTAGTGAATTTAATTGATAAAAAGTAGTTTATTATTTGTTTTATGTGTTAAAAAGTTAAATGTTGATGTTATTTGTTGGATTCAAGTACAAATATTTAGGTATTTACGTTAAATGTCGTGTTTAAATATAAGTATTTGTAAATTATTTGTAATATTAACCGGTATGAACCGGCACGAACCGGTATGTACCACCGGTCGAACCATTCCACTTGGTAAACCGGCACACTGGTATAAACCAATTTGACAACCTTGTTGGGAGAGGGTAGCAAACTAGTAATTATGTCAGTATGGACTATGAATATGATGGTGTACACACCACGAATTCCTTTCTTATGCATCCAGTATTCCAATTATAGGTTTTGAGTTTTTTCCATAGTTAAAAGCCAAAATTAGGATTTTTCCCCACCGGAAACAAGTAAATACTAAAAAAAAAAAACTCAAGAATATTACACTACTACTATTATTTTCTAGTCTACATAAAATTCGATAAAATCACTAGCGTATTGCGAAACTGAAAGAGATGAAATAAAACGGTTCAAGAATGTAATGATTTATGTCTTTAACACCAGCGAAAGAAGCTGGTCAAAGTCATTATCAATGGAAGAGGCGGTTATTATCATGATCCTACAGAGATTTATCGAAATTGAAAATATGAGTCGCGCGATTTAAATTAAATGCTGGTGTGAGATGGGATTGAGTAAAGTGTTGCAACTCTCCACGATTTCTCTCTAATGTTGCTTTCTACCCCCAAATGGCATGATAGATAAGGGTGGATTGATGGATTCCCTATCATAAATCGTTTTGAGGGTTTAAAGAAAAATTTGTTGGACCATCCAACCATTTATGTGCTCAAACTTGCCAGAAGCAATTATTCCCCAACTCACCCCAGCTGCCTTCCTTTTCACTTCTTTTCTTCTCCTACCCAGAAAAAAAAAAAAAAAACTGGCAACAACATCCTCCTTTATCTCTTCCTTTCGGACTAGGATTTTGAATTTAGGTTGTAGGTTTGATAAAAGTTTGGAATTTAGGTTATATAAGGGCTCGGATTTAGATTGTGTGGTTTTTTGGTTCTTTATATGATCATTAGTTAATCTAAATTGAAAAAATCATAGGAAAGTTCAAGCTAAGTATTCAATCAAATGGTGGAATGACGAAATTTCACTCTAGGATTGATTCATGAGGATGGGTGAATCCACTGATATGAGGACGGACATCAAATTCACTTGGTATGAACTCTCTAAAATTTGCGAGGAACAAACTTCTATAAATGTTCTTCAGAGAGTTCGTAAAATTACCTATCGGATGCCAATGATGAACAACAACGTATGGTATACAATGAACTATCCTCTCCGACAACGGAAGCATAGATTCGATGTATAGTTTATGGTTGAAAACAAAATATGGTATGCCAAGGTTTATGTTGAGACCAAGGAGGTAAGTGGCAGGGAGAGACTTATAAGTATCGTGATGGTCGAATTAGCACATAAGCATGGACACCAAGAAGCATCGTGCACAATTTGTCACATCTTTGCTTGGGGAAAAGCAAATGCATAAGTCAAACTCATAGTTTCTAATAGAACTAGAATAGATAATTTCTGTTTTCTGGTCACACGAGACCATATCCTTACTTTTCTATCAATGTCTAACTATACCTCTGACCAATATGACATGATCATACCGCAGTATAAACAAAAATTCTATTACGGTCCAGTTTGACATATAATAGTGTCCTAATTTAGCAATTTGTATACCCTCATTTTTGTGTGTTATCATGTTCACATTGGCATGATTGTTTCAATACCATGACATGTTAGTCTAGGAAGTTACCATATTTTAATTTTATTTCAGAAAATATAATTTTCCTTCATTTGTATTATTTAAAAATAAAATAAATTATAAAATCATATTATTTAACATAAAAGAAATCTAACAAGATCCATTTTGACTAATTTTTATTGTTTAGAATTTTTATTCATATTTTATATTATAAGTCCTTTATAGTCATTTTACACAACCTCTTATATTAAAAAACACTTCTAATAGTTTTACAGCCAAACACTTAACTGCTTTTTTTTAAAGTACTTATCTAAAAGCTCCAGCCAAAAGTTGCTTCTGCAAAAACTACTGCAGGACCAAACTAAGCTTATATATTGTTGTCCACGCCAAATTAAATATAGTATCATTGGCGGAGCCATGTTGTTGGTTGTGGGGTCAATGGACCCCATTAGCAAGGTAAGGCCACGTCCAAACAGTACAAATTTTCAAGGGAGGAAAAAGAGAATTGAACTTTGGACACCATGCTCCAAACTAAACACTTTTACCATTAAGACATGAGTCGTATTTGATTAATACTTGGACCCCACATTACTAATTTTCTGGCTACGCCAATGTATAGTATAGGAACAACAATTAACTTTATTTTTTTATGAATCCGAAAATGGATGAATGTTTGACTCTTGAGTGGTTATACAAAGTATGAGTATGTATTGTATAATATATTATATATATGTCGTATTCCTAATTGGTTAATTGATTTGATCGGTTAGCAATGTCCGAAACCAAACCACCTAAATCAAATAAATGAAAAAGTTTAACAAAACTAAACCGAATACTGATGTTAAAATGATTATCACGATACGATAACCAATCAGTTTGAATACCCCTACAAACTACGGTTGCCAATGTGATGATGGCCATGCTAGAGAAGTTCTCCCCGGAGCCTCCATCTCTTGGAAGTTGGAATTCAACTCATCTAACCCTCCCTCTTATTGCTGCATGCTACATGCATCCACATTTTCCTTCGCTTTCTTTGCCTGCAAATTTGTTTTCATTCAAACACATTCATCAGCTGGTTACAGAACTATTCACTTCACACTGCTCAGAAAGTGAAAAGCAATGAATTTACTTCGTCTTCCCAGTCGATGCTGACAGTGACGACGAGGAGCAAGATGACCTTGACACTACTCCCAGCTATAATTCCAAGCAAAAAACCCTGCCAAGTTTTCATGCAATCAAAATTTAGTACATGATCCAAAATATTGTTAGTAAGTGGTATATATTTGATAATGGTACATCTCTTATCAACTCGAGTTATTGGTATCAACAAATTCTTAACACGGTATTAGAACCTTTTAGACCGAGAGGTTTTCTATTCGAATCACGATCACCCCATCCATTCTGATAAGCACATGATATTCTGACCCGTGCAAACTTCCAGCCCAAATGAGATGGCTTTCGTTTGAGAGGGGATTGTTAGTAACTGGTAAATGATCGAGAACCAGTTGATTCCAATAACTCGAGTTGTTGGGAGAGGTTCAATAATAAATCTTATACCACTCTCACTAATACGCCCTCTCAAACAAAAGCCAATCAAGTCATAAGAGTTTTTGTTTGCACATGTTATGAATATGAGAATACCATGTGCTTTCCAAACGAGGTCATCGAGATTCAAACAGAAGACCTGTCTGTCACAAAAGGCTCTAATACCATGCCAAAAATAACTTATATCAATAATAAATCTTATACCACTCTCACTAATACACCCTCTCAAACAAAAGCCAATCAAGTCATAAGAGTTTTTGCTTGCACATGTTATGAATATGAGAATACCATGTGCTTTCCAAACGAGGTCATCGAGATTCAAACAGAAGACCTGTCTGTCACAAAAGGCTCTAATACCATGCCAAAAATAACTTATATCCTAATAACTCGAATTGATGGGGTAGATTATTATGGATCTTATACCACTCTCTTGGAGTTCCTTTGCTTGTTGGTTTTGAAAATGAGGGTTTTGAATTTTGATAACCTTTGGATTTATGATGAATTTATTGCATTATGGATTTGAAAGAGTACTTTGTTTAGTTGATTTTTTTATTATGGATTTACGATGGATTTGTCTCACATTTTTGCTTCCCATGATCAAATTCCAAATAAAATGCGAGATTTGCAAATCCATGAGATCCACGAATTCCCGTCTCTCAACAAACAGTGAATTTACTTCAATTTCATGATACCTTAGATTCCACATCGTTATAAGCTTACCTCTCCACCGTAACGCCAAACGAATGCAAAGAGCAGAGCCACCGGGATGCCGACGAAATAATACGCCCCCAGGCTTATATACGCGCCGCAGTTCTGCCACCCGCACCCTCTGACGCAGCCAGACAGGACGCCGTGGATCCCGTCGATGAAGTTGCACACCGCGATCTTCGGGGCGACGACCGATAGGTAGGTGATCAGGATCTTGTCGTCGGTGTAGATGCATCCCCACACGTGCCGAGTCGCCGTGGCGATGGAGCTCGCCAGCAGGCCCTGCGAAACCGCCAGCAGCAGCACGACCCGCACCGCCATTCGGGCTGCGCCCGGGTTCCCTGCTCCTAACTCGTTGGAGATTCTCGTACTGCGTTTAAAACACGTATATATATCGTCAGATTAGTTAGCCGTCCAGATTCGACAGTTAATTTTGTTGGGACAACTAGTATTTGTCAGATTAGTTAGCCGTCTTGTCCAGATTCGACAGTTAATTCTGTTGGGACAACTAGTATTTGTCATATTAGTTAGCCATCCAGATTCGGCAGTTAATTCTGTTGGGACAACTAGTATTTGTCAAGAACCAGTTGCTCCCAATAACTTGTCCAGATTCGACAGATAATTATGTTGGGACAACTAGTTTACACAGGTCCGAAGACGAGAATACCATGTGCTTAACAAATTGGGGTCACCGAGAATCGAACACAAAACCTCTCGGTCACATAAGGCTCTGATACTATGTCGTGAACCAGTTTCTCCCAATAACTCGAGTTGTTGAAAAATATTCAATACTGAATCATATACCACAACACTAACCGTATTAATCTTTTTATTATTACCTTACAGCGCTGCCAAGGCTATTAGGGATCCGGAAAACCACGGCGGCAGTGTTGAGGCTGCGAGGGGCAGAAAACAACAGTCCAATTGTTAATGTCTTAGTCAGTTTTGTCTAATTAACAAGGAAAGATTGATGATTAAAATACTACGACTGTCATATATCAGGAAAAAATACAAAACAAATTAACCAACCTACAAGTCTATGGTTTGAACACAAAACTAATATACTCTGTTTTGTAGTTTTGGTTAATTAAAAAAATGATACTGTTGGGAATACGTCTCTGTCGAAAGACATGACACAGAAACTATTGATCACAACGATGTAATGGAGTTACGTGTAGTTTAGCATGGGCTGTTTAGTCGTGAAAACCTGCTGTGACGTGTTATTTTCGACTCCTCTGTTTCGATATTTAGATCGTTTCGAAATTCAAAAATTAGAATATGTCGCTGAAAATGTAACCCGTTATAGAAATTACGAACCTGATCAACATCATGGACGTCTCCAGCTCTGCATCAGGAAGAAGTCCAGCTAGCACAATGAAAACCTGAAAAGACCAAAACTCCAAGCTATCCCCCAGCATCCAAATCCAAAAAAACAACAACGACACAGGGGGAAAACATTATCAAACGACACGGTAAACGGCAGGAGAAAATCAAATCAAAGCAATGAAACTCGACTCACCACATCATGAAAGCTGAAGGAACACCCAACTTGAGGAACGAAAGAACCCCTCTAGCTCCCTCCAAGCTGAAGCTCTTCCATGTCTCCTGACACGAGCTCGAGACCTTGATGTAACCCGCCAGAACGATCACAATGACCCAGTAAGTCACCCCGTTCGCCAGGCACGCCCCGCTGTTCCCCATCTTAAGCTTGTCCACCAGCACCCAGCAGACCACGCCGTGGACCAAGCAGCCCACGGCGGTGGTCGCCATCTGCGGGACCGTGATTCCCTGGGTCTGCAGGAATCGAGTCTGCGACTGCAGAATCCCGAACGGCAGAATGCTGGGAATCAGCCACGGGGCCGATTCTCCTGCCATGGCCGAAATCTCGGGGTCCTGCTTCAGGACCCCGAGAATCGGGCCCGTGAATATCCACAGCACGGAAATCGGGATGCTGAGGATCCCGAACACGAGCATTGCTCTCTGCGCGTGGACCCCCAGCATCGCGTACTGCTTGGCACCGTAGGCCTGCCCGCACAGCGTCTCCAGCGCGGAGCCCATCCCAATCTACAGAGACAACCAAAATTCTAATCAAACAGTTGTTCATCAATTTGATTAGTGAAAAATGTTTTTTTTTTTGTGCGGGCGTGACGAGCATCATTAATTACCATGACGGTGTATCCGGTGACACCTGCGATCGAAGTTGTGAGGGAAGAAGAGGCGAGGTGGAGCTCTCCCAACCGTCCGACGAACATGACGGACAGCATCTGGATGCCGAATTGCAGCAGGCTGACGAAGAGCATCGGGCCGGCTAGTTTGAGGAGCTTGTCTAGCTCGACCAACATTTGGGGGCTGTCGCGGCATTTGTCTTTCGTCGAATCGGGACGAATTGCTGGGTGAGCTGCAGGATCGGGGATGGCTTCAGGGTCGTTCATTGTCGAGATTGAATTTTGGGGAGGAACAGGTACGTCTGACTTTTGCTGTGTCCAGTTATTATACAATAATAATGGGAGGAAACGAGTTCAGCAGTTCATGGAAAGTGCAGAGCAAGGAGATGTGTGGAGCCGTACGCATCTTGAAAACTAAAGAGACAGAACATGTCGCTAGCCGTTAGGGGGTTAATTGTTTATGTTTGGGAATAATAATATGCTTGGATTTAAATTTTAGGGTAAACAATTATTTAATAAAAAAAGTAATATGTTTAAATGATCCTAGTATAAAACAACCATAAAGTAAGGCTTGAATATGTATGGAATCAATCGGCTGGTACATTCCAAATTTGGCTTATACAACTGTTTAGTAGACAAACGGATACGGTAGTTCATCGGGAAAAAAGGATGGAACTTCAAAGCTTGATCCGAGAGTTGGAGGTAGCGATGTCTAGGAAATAGTGGTCGATTCAAGTTACAACAAAAAGCCCATGAAATGGTTTCATATTTTTGAGAAAATTGTAAAATACTGTGTGTATAGTGTTCAATAAATTTCTCTGTATTATTAGATGATTATTTATTCAATTTCGAAACTTATTTATGATGTAACTCAAATCTGAAAGGCTCTTTCAATACTTTTTCGTTGAAACTGGTAAAATCAATACAGTTTTGGGAAACTAGTAAACACATGTATATGATAGAATGCTGGGGAATAAGGGTAGTCTGTAATTGCGTTTAATCGGTTAGGTTTTTAGAAAATAATTGTGAATAAAAAATAACAGTTTTACTATTAGACTTGTTTTTGAAATATAACAACAAATAATTTGTAGATTAATGAAAATTATATTTACTAATAATAGCAGTGTCCTATGTTTAAATCAGCCAATCACTTATTTAATTGATCTAATCAACTTAGCTTGGAAGACTGAATGCATGTAGTTAATGGTGGAGTAATGATGATATTAATTAGTTTAATTAAGTGGCCACATACTCTCATTTAATTCCATGAATGCTACTGGTAACGGTTGGTAAACAAACAGTTCGTATTCTTTTAATAAGGGCTGAAAATTGCTCCGACTTGTCTCTGATCCGTCCGTGACCCTATCTGAGTTGTTACTGAAGGGTCAAGATGTATAACTGACACGTCTCGTCCCGTCCCTGTCTCCTTCTTGACCATGTTTGACCTTGAAGGGTTGGTATGGGTCGGGGCAGTGGGTCGACCCTTAATCAACACACTACATTTTTGTAAATCACATTTTGGTACCCAAATTATTTTTTCTTAAAATTTAGTACCTAAAATTTATTTTTTTACAAATAAGTTCATATTTTATGGTAAAATTACGTTTTGGTACCCATATTTTTTTATTCTTACAATTTATTACCTAAACTTTTAAAACTTTACAAAAAGGTCCAATGTTGTTTTAGATATTTGTTGTTGTTAAAGGTCACAGGGCTATCAGAGTCCGATCAAAGCGAGCAAGAGATAGAAAAAAAATCGCTCATAGATGTGAATTGAGAAAGCAAGCCCAAATTATTTTTAATTAGGCTCTATAGTCTGGTCCCTGTACCTGGTAAGGTCTTATTGTTATCTGTAATGTTTTGATCCGTCCCTACCCGTCCCGACCCTTAGAGGGTCAACAAGAAACCCTACATAGATGTCTTCATTCTCCTCTTGTTAAAACACTAAAAACAAAATCAGAATTGTATGATTTTCGTCGTTTGTTGCATTTGTGAGGTTCCGAAGTTTGCAATACAGACACACGTACAAGAATGGTAATCCGTTATATCCTATCCTGAGAGGAAATGTTCTATAAACATTGGATGCCTAGAGTGGAGAACCTATGAACTAATATACCCAAGAGGAAATAGTATCTACCATAGGCTCATATTTAGTTTGCACGTTGGTGTGTTTTTCGTATTTACAAGTTATCTATTGCATGGCAAGATATAGGTAGTGGCTTTAACTGTTGCAATTTCCCTCTAATGTTCAATTTTTCACATGACAAGTTCCGAGAGTCATCCTTTTTCTCTTTATCCATAAAATCCGTAAGGTGATATGCATTAACCTCTGCCTAGTTTTTTCATGTCAATCTTGAGACAATTGAACACCTCTTTTTTACGTGCCCTCTAGTCCCATCTTTGGGCCCTAGTAGAATTCGAGATATCTTTTTTTTATAGGAAACCTGAGGAATTATATTAACGGAAATCAGTTTGGCCCAAGGAGCCATGCCCCAAATCGGCCTCAATGAGAGAACAAAGCAACAAAGGGGGAGAGTCCACCCATACAATCTGTTGATTCCAACCCAAACCCGTATGAGCCAACCAGTGGGCCACTGAGTTGCACTCTCTCGGAACAAAACTCCACCTCACCCTCTCTCCAACCAAAGATTCATTCACCTTTGCAAGCGTTCTCAGTTCATCACTCCAGATACCCATTTCCGTAAAATCCTCTGATCCATTCTTCAAGAGATTGATTAGTACCTGACAATCGGACTCCACAATGAGAGGACCCAGAGATCTTCGATTTGCTTCTCTCAATCCCAAGATCAGGGCTTTCGCTTCAGCTACAATCGGCCGGAGAGCTCCCTTTTCCCTTTTAGCCAAAGCACCCACAAATTCGCCTCGACCGTCCCGGAAGATGCATCCCATACCAACTTCCCGATTCTGAATGACGCCAACATCAGAGTTCAGCTTAAAGAAACCCTCGGGAGGAGGAGTCCAGTGTCGAAGAGGGAGAGAATGATGCCGAGGGGCGGAAGCAAAGGAACTCGGATCTGGGGTTGCATTTGCCGCCAGGAAAGAAGAAAGCCAGGCCAAAGCTCGCGGAACAATCTCATCCTCATCCAGCTTCCGGTTATTGTACTTATGATTGCATCTCTCTTTCCAAAGGTACCACAGGATCGAACTAAATCTTTGGATTTTGTCTTCCGTAA